GGTGGAAGGGAGGGAATGGAGTGACGGCAAAGTTGCCGAGCTTTCAACGAAGCATGGCAAGGAGAGATTCAAAATGTAGAGCACCATGGACATCAATGTCCAAAATAGGGGATCAATGACATCGGATCTCTGTAACCTGTCAGTAGTCCCAACACATTTCAGCTCATGGCTCTCACTACGACCTATCAATCACACCTCCCTTCCTCAACCTGCAAGCACAGGCACGCCTAGACACACGCCTGATATATTTGTCATTCCTCAGGACACCCCCTATGCTCCTTCTCCAGCACATCCCCCTCTTCCCCCCCCGAGGGAATAAAAATCTTGTAACAACCCTCCAAGCACCCCACAGGATTGTGAACCAAAGGATCCCGGTGTGATCCCAGTTGGAAATTTGCTCTCCAATATGGACTCTTGCCGAGTTCGTCACCACCTTCATCGTAGTTCTATAGAACCAGGGGTCGGTGATGCACAAGACGAGTCGCCGAACCCTTAGGTACCTATGTTTCGTAAGCCCAACCTAGCTCCCAACCTCAACCTTCGTGCATTGCAGCAGCTTGTTTTTGAAGCCTACCCCCCGGCAGACAACCCTTCCCCTCCCCCTTTTTTTGGCTCTTCCTCCCGTTACACCAGCTTTTGTGTAAGGCGACGAGTTCGCGTGTGTAACACGGCTCGGGCGAGAGGAGTTACTATTAAGACCTTGGCGGCCAGTCTCTGCTCGTTCATTGGGGAAGTCGTTCCTTCTCGCTATGGAACTGGGGGAGCGATGGGTGGTGGTGGTGGGGGGGAGCTATCACGAAAAGCGCAATGCCGACACTTACCACCACCGTGGCTCCTACAGCAAGCAGCAAGAATCACCATCACACTCTCCCGGTAGACGGCATAGTTGCAGAGTTTTTCTTGCCCTCGGGGTATTCTCTCTTGGTTCTAGATATGCCGCCAACAGTAGCGAGGTCATACGACTTTTCTCAAGAAAAGAAAACTAAAAAAACGCCACTACCTACCTAAGAAAATGACATGTCTTCGTCATGCTTTCGAGGGAGTCACTATCGTCGTATTCACACTTGGCTCATACGTATCACTGACGTCTTGGCGGAAAACCAGAGGAAAATGGGCTGGATACTGGATGCCATCTTCTACTGTTCGAATATGGGTATGTCAAGCCTAAGACTGATTCTTCGAGTTCTTTCTAAGCTAACTACTAAGATACGGTATATCGTACGTGCCTCCATGAGGCGTACTAAGCAACTGCTATTTACTAAGGTATGTTACTTGAGACCGTGATGTAGAGGAAGCGTCGCTTCTTCAAGCCCCTTATTCACATTCAGTTTGCGAATGCTTGCCCACGTCTACGACCCGAGCCCGTCCTACCTTAGGTACCTACACACACTGAGTTTTCGTGATAGCGGCCTGAGAGGAATCCTCGTATGGTACTACGAAGCGGACACGAACCTTGCGAGTCCCCTTGACGTCGCCGAGAAGTACCAGCTCTTATACTGAGGGACAAAGGCCCTCGGGTTTCACTTATCTACAGGGGTACACGAAGATGTCTGCTTGATTGTCATTATTCGATCGAGACTGCTTCTAGGAACATGTCGAAGGAAAGACAAGGGTTCTATTGAAAGTGCTGCTATATCCCATAATCTTGTTATATACTAGGTAGGTAGCTTAGGTAGAACATCAGTGCTGTCAGGGCAAATACCACTCTCAAGCTAAAAGAACCGATAGAAGTAAATTTACGGGTATAACACTTCGATGGTATATGGCGATCACACAAGTCAGATGCCGGAGTGCCATGCTTAAGTTCTCGTATGTCTACCTAGGTGCTGCCTCTCCAGGCAAGGCCAACATACATGTATGTGTACAGCTACCTTCATATTCTTCCCCTTTCTCTCAATAATTTCTACCTACCTCAGCTGCAGTCAACCACTAACCTACTCACCTACGTCCTCACCGTAATCTCCTTTTCACCTTGAACCGAACCAGAAACGAGCTCACTAAGCGCCTCCATCCTTCTTTCGGTCTCGCGATGAAACGTCATTCGTCCCAGCGCAATTCCACCTCCAGCCTATCACCGACCTTTCCCCGTACCGGATACAGATTTTTTTTTTTGCTGCTGTTAGCTGCTCGGTACCTGCATCTGCGGTGCAGTACACTTGCATATTACCAAATTTCGCTTCCTGCCGCTCGAATGCGACCCTAGCGCTCCATCTCGTGACTGGGAGGCCCCGGAATTAAGTGGCCATCAGAGTAAGTCGCGGGGAGCTGGTGGAAAGCAGGGCTGTGGTCAAATGAATAGGCAACGTCTCTCGACTAGGATTCGTTCGTAGGGGCAACACGAACTTAATGGGAGGGATATTTAATGGATTGGCCACTGAAGGTCAGAAATTCGGACACCGCGGGACGGGGATATAAGGGGTGTTGGGAAAGGGGCGTTTTGGAGATCAGTACCTAATCTGCAACTCAGAGGCACATGTCCCCTCGCCGTTCTTAGATGATGGATTTATTTGACTCGCCTAACTAGGTAGACAAACCCCGACCCTTGATATAGACGGGAGTTGAGACGTATATCTCTAGATACCTGATAGTTGGGTACCTAGAGCACATAGCTAGGATTTACTAGACTCTGCCCTCAAAGGGGTGTTACGCCGCTTGCTAGCCCGACGAATAGTAATTACTGACTACCTACCTAAGTAAGAATATAGTAGGTTACCTAGTTAGACTGGACCCCAGTATCTATCGAGTGAATGCGGTAAACCCCAACTTAGAGTCTAATGAGCGAGTCTTGCCAACGTGAGCGCCAGGCTTCCATCGTGCTGTAGCTTGCTCTTGTAGAATTGACTAACCTAGTGTAGATTACTACTGAAGCTAAGATGACTTGTTGCGCCAGCCGAAGGTAATTGCGGCCGTGTCGCATGACACGTAGCTGTTCTCCTCTCCGACGCAGAGAAAGGGTTTGATAGGTAGTTATCGCACAGAGCCTAGGATAATCACGCTATAAGCTGACTTCCATTCATTATTAAAGCGGTGGCTAGAAGCTGAGTCGATCCGACATGAGAAGCTTCGTAGAGGTCATAGCATCCATTGCAACAATTCACCACCACGTAGCCACCCAAAACTCCGAGAGAAGCTCGCGGGGCTGTTCTTCACCTAGGAAACGACTCGATGATGTAAAGTGGCTTCTCTTATGGAAGTCCAGTACAGTCTGGTACTTGCCTAGGTAGGTAAATAGGAGAGGATACGTTGGCTAAGTATCGACCTAGACGCGTACTGTATCTCAAGTGTCTTCACACTCCTCTTACGTCCCTAGTGACTAGAGCTATACGAGGATTTACAGGATTGATCTTCAACAATGTGGGCTCTGCCATACTTGGCAATTTAGAGTAATCGTATTCTGAGTTCTTGGGAGAGTCGAGATTGAGATTCCAACTCCAAGACGAAACACCAGAACCGCAGGGAGTTTGGTACCAAGTAAATGAAAATCACGTTCCCTTCCTTAGACCTCTACTGTATTCGTATCCATATTAGTTACGTCCATGTTTACTGGTTAGCCTACTAGAGCCTTTTGATAAGATGTTACGTCCAAAGGATGGAATGGCGAAATACTCTTGGCCATTCTGTGATACAAGTCTACTATGTAGGTGTGTTTGAGGACACAATCAAAGGTGGGTACACTAAGGTACGCTGTCTCTATTCCTTGCTAGATCTGTGGGTATGTAGGTGCCTATTCCGTAGTCTGTCGCATCAACATTGTCGAACGGATATGGTTTCGGCTTTCTATCATCAATATAGATCTTAAATAGTATACGGGCTACGATAACATCGAGGAATGTATCGTGAATAGAAATAGCTATGAGTTTCCTTTTTGAGAGTACCGATATCTCCGTAAGCCCCCTGGAAAGATCTCATAGGCGAATCCGAACAATCCCGTTAGTGGCTTGGCCTATCCAATCGTAGACAGCTCACACTTCCGAACTGAGAGCTCTGAGAGCCATTCTTGCCGTGATGGCCCGGGAGGTCGGGTGTCGTTGCTGTTTATTTAAAGTCAAAAGGAGCCGCATCGTTCTTCTCCACACCTTCCTAGCTATATAACGTATGTTCGGCAGTCGTTGAGCCTCAGGGAGCTCAAGGAAGAGCCGCGGGACGGACATGTTCGCCACCTATATCATGTCCCTTCATCCGCCGACCGACCGGTAAAAGCCGAGGGTAACGAATTACCAATCATCAATACAGATCGGATATAACTACCTATACTTGTGTATGGTACTCAGTGGACCAGGTCTTCCCTTTGTGTGTTCAATGTTGCTTATCGTCAATACCTACCTAATACCTACATACCTACTGAGGTATCTAGGTACCTAGGATTGGCGCTTGTGCTTTGGCACTGACATAGACATTGACATTGACATTGGCAATTCGTTTCATTGCCAATTGTGCACCCCACGTGTGTTGCGTGCGCGTATTCTCCTTTTGTGCAATGCGCTCATAAACCGGAGATGTGCCACTATGTCCGCGGGTCACTGTTCCTCACACCCAATCAGAGCGGTAATGGAGGGAAGAGATAGGGAACTAACAGGCCATCCCCCCGGTTGGCCACCCCTCCGCCAGGTCGGGATTGGATTCTCAGAATGATGGGGGCGTGGATGCTGACTGCTGAAACCACACGCACGCACTTTGCGACATAAAATATGAAAAGGGAAAGGGAGAGGGAAAAGGAAAAAAAGGATAACTAACAACATCTAGGCAATACATAACGCTTAGGGAAAGTCTTGGCGATTCATTACTAGAAACACCATAGACTCATATCGGTGTATGTATGTATGTCTGTGTGGGGGGTGACAAACCTTGGCAGTCCTCCCCTTCCTCCCCCTTCTTACTCTTGCTATCAGTGTACCCTCCATGACGCTTGACCATCGTCTATAAAGGAGCCTGCCCACTCTCTCCTTCCCATGTTCCTGTTCTCTTCGAATCTCTCTCTTCATACTACAACAACCAGCAACTCTCAGACAAAGACATCAGCTAAGCACGCCATAAAGCCTTCGCCGCCTATCCAAAAGAAACTCTTAACTTCACACTATCGAAGTTAATACTTTTTACTTGGCCTCGCCGCTCGCACGCGTACACACACCATAACCTTTCAACGAATCAACTATCTACCTTCATCTTACCATCCTTTATCAATCAACAAGATGTCTTCCGTCAGCCAGAATCTCGCTGAGCACGTCCGCCAGGGCCAGCCCCAGATGTTCCTGCCTCTTGCCCCCACCACCTCATCCTCCTATCCTACCGCCCAGAGCGTCAAGCCTACCGCCCAGAGTGATAAGCCCGCGGCTCACGGTTCCCGCCGCACCTCCAGCCAAAGCAGCGTCGGCAGTGCTAGCAGTGCTAGCAGCTTTCGCTTCCTCAAGCTTGGGCCCGTCCACTACGGCGAGCACTCCGGCGACCACAAAGAGGACTACCACGAGGTTGCTGTCGACGAGTGAACAAACCCCAACCACACAGTCACTTTTCCAGTTTTATTTATTTATTTACTGCGGGCACTACGAGAACCTTGACCAAAAAAACCGGCGCTACTACCTATCTGTCTTTTAAGCTCTTTTTGCGGACATGACTAAAAACTCTGGAACGATCTACTCATAGCGTGCACCTAAATGGAACTGGGAGCTTATATGCGCTGGGAGGGGCGGTTCACTCGGGTCTGGACTATTATCTGTTTTTTTTTCTTTTTCTCTTTTTGGTGTTCTATTTTTTTTACCTCCCACGGGGCGTTTTGGGGGGAACCTGGGACACGGGACGGAATGGGTTGAAATGTGGGTGGGATAAACTGGAAGCGCAAACTTCGTATAGCAACTTTTGCATGCCTACACACACCAACACCATGCATGCCTACATACTTTGATGGGGGGTGATGCATCTCGGGTATCTCGGCGGTTATCTGCGGGAGATTGACTCTATTCTTTTTTTTTTGAGAGAGAGAGATGTATGTAGGAGAGAAGCATATGGTGGGCTCAGGTTAGGATGTTGCCGGTTTGGCTGTAACTCCTAATACCTAACTACTACCTAGGTATTCTAGAGCAAACCCATACATAGTATCAACTGCAATGGAATGCATCACCATCACCTTCATCATCTTCACATGTTGGACCATAACGTATGTTTCACTAAGCCCCATGCTTCACTCTTCACGCCTTTCCATTTGCGCGAATAAATAGTCTGCAGTAAGCGGACCAGTCAAATGATAGGCACTAGAGCATGCTCATGGCACAAAGTCACATTGTTCTTTCAACGTGTTCTACTGGGTATGTATGTGATGTATGTATGTAGGTAGTGTAGTGTAGTTTAAGCTAGCCACTGTACGTATTTACAGCATTAGTGGACTGGAAACCGCATATAGTATCCACAAGCAGTAGGAGGGTGAACAGGATCCCCTTCCCTTGCGCATTATTTCTCCTATCGCACGTTTTTTCGCTTCTTGGTGAAAAAGAGTGCAGCCGGTGTCGTGATTGGCTCTGGCTCTACGAGTCTACATAGTCTACATACATACGACGTAGTAGTACCCGCATTTGCTCCCTTGCTTGTTGAAACACAGGCGCCTCTAGAACAACATGGGCAAAAGTGCCTAACCTAGGTACATAGCTGCCATAGCATCAATGATAATACTTGGCAGTAGAGTATGTATGTACATATGAACTTCAAATAATCAAAGAATGAAAATGATGTAGGCTCCCATACCCGATGATGACCGCATAACTAAGGTATCTAACTAGGTAGATTACGACTGAGACACAAAATAATATAACAACCGCGATGGCCAAGCAATACCAAGACGGCCTCTTGCGAACAGTCTCGACCTCTCAGGGCTTGGCGGGGAGGGAGGGAAAGGGAAGCGGAAGGAGGAAAAGCCACCTAATGTCCTGTGTGCTATGTCATAGCCTCCCATGAATTAATTCTCAGCAGTGTTCTGAATAACTAGATAGGGAGTTTAAAATTCCACTGCAAATCACTACCGCGTCAGTGATTTGGACCCTTATCCGTTAGCACGAAGATGGGGGACCCTCCCCGCCGATCAATGGCTACTGTAACCGTGGAGTGGATGTAAGCTTGGAAGCTTGGCAGCTAATGAATGTGCCATAATAAAGCTTTCGAGCTGGTACGTAGTTAACTAGTTATCAGATAACTACGCAGATTTGCCACCCACCTGCTATAGAAATCCTAGCTCTTACGCCGTACACTAGTTAGAGGGGAGGTAGAAATAGGTAGGGGGGTTGGGGGGGACTCGGGAGCAAACAGTCTAGCGGGTCTGTATCACAAGCTTTTTTTTCTCTTTCTCTCATCATCTCTGACCTCAGACTGAAACTACATATCTTGCCAAGAGAACCCGATGGTGCTTGGCTGCGATGTTTCGTTTTACTTGCCTAGTATTATTTCGATTCTACTGTAGACTCGAGGAAACATGCCGAGGTTTCAACTCATACCTACATAGGTACCCACGCACCTACCTACCTACCTAACTGGTACACAAGATCCATGGATAGATAATCATCCCGCTCCTATTGTTTCTAATGCATAAATAACATACCTTGCTATGATATAGAGGATCTGCATTCACACCGTAAACTTATGCTAGTTACTGATAACTAGTTAGTATTACCCTGAATGCTTAAGCGACGCAACTGGATCGGCATAAGTTATTAAGAGGCTGAGAGGTATAATAGTCCACCGCACTTTGTCGAGACTGGCCGGTCCCCTTATTTTCTTGTATCAAAGCGAGAGGAGCAATAATACTACCTACGACATGTATCCCACATACCTGGATTTCTTGGAATAAGGAGACAAATAGACTGGCCTGGATTTATGTATGTCGCGCTTGTACAATTAATACCGGTGTGTCACAACGCCAGGTTCGTGCCCATGTCTGATGTATGTACTGTATGTACGGCCGACCCTTTTCTAACGTCTCTGAGCTCGCTACCTTATCCACGGGCCTGGTGTCCTGGTGTGCCGCTCCGCTATCTCCTCCAATCCGGCTTCCCTTTCTCTCCCCCATCCCATGCATGCCCATGCCCCATGTCTCATCCTCCACCACCACCTCCACCACCACCATCGCCCTCCTTTCATCCTTCTCCCGTGCCATCAAACAAACCAAAAAAAAATCCAACTCACACAACCATGATGACCAAACCATTAGGTTCTAATGACGCCCTCGTGCGCGACGCCTCGCAGAAAACCGAGCGAGTGAAAATGCGACTCTGTGAAAAGATTGAGAAGATCCCACCTATGTAGAGGGACCTCCGGCCCTACCTATGGGAGTCTTCCCTCCCCCTCCCCCAACCGTCCTCGTCTCTCAACAGGAAATCCAATACCATGTAGTTGATTTACGCCATACATTAGTATATATATATATACCGACCTATCTTTTTAAACTTCTTATAATTAATCACTTGTGCAAAAAATGCATATATTAGGTACATACATTTCTAATGGCTCGGTTCCCTGCCGAGCGCCTCCGGGGCACATACGCACTAACTACTATGTAGGTACTAATGTATGTATGTGCAATACTTGGAGACCATAGACGGGGCACGTGGGCAATTTGAGGCGTCGATGGAGGGGGAAAGCCAAAAGCCAAAAGGTAAGGGTCTAGTGTGACCTGATGAGAGACAGGGCTTGCTTATTAGAAAGTGATGATCGAGACGCTTCGATAGGTAGTATCGAATCCGCCGCCATCTTACTTACACCACGTACACTATACGCAATCATCTAGGTTAAGCAACACAGAAAAGAAGAAGAAAAACGTGCATAGCTAGGTAGCCTACCTATGTGCACATTCCTCATCTTTCTTTGCGAAAACTACAAAGTTTGTTGATAAGCCGCCAGTAGCAGTACTATATACGAATACTTGCAGTCTTCTGTCCACCCTATGTAGATACCTAACCTAGACAAATACATAGGTATGTATGTACCGCAAATCAGCGCAATCATCACAACCCCCCACGTCTACCGTACGTACATACCTCCTACACAGGTAAGACGGACAGACAGACATACACATCTCGATCTTGGCAGCGAGGATCTACCTATTAATCAACCAACTTCGTTCGTCAACAAGCACTGCGGGATTTTTTTCTATACCTACCTGCCTAGGTACATTACATGTGGTGACGAGAAGAAGAAAAGAAAAGAAAAGAAAAAGGCTGTGAGACAACCCCTTCCTTCGTTAGAGCCACAGCCTGCAGCCTGTAATACCTTATGTAGTATGTAAGCCTAGATAGATGGTTCGGGAAGCAAGCCAAAAGTCCGTTCTACATATTGTACATACTCAACGAATGGGGAAGGGGAAAAAAAAAATAACTACTAGGTAACTAAACATCATCACAGCCCTACTCTGCCATCCTGCATTCGATATTCTATTTTCTGACCTCAGAAAAGAGAGGCCTGTGAGATTGGGGTAGTGCCATAGCGAATGCATGTGACTCTGGTGTATGAAGTACTACCTATGAGCTCGCCCCTACATACTATACAGTCTATACTACGTACACAAATCTGAATACTCCAGGGCTCTTAACTCCGAGTCAAGCCATGTACCTGACCCTTAGGTAGTTAACCCTTAACTTTTAGCTTTTACCCTAAAAAAAAAGGGCTATTGTACATAGTAGGTAGAGAGAAATCCCGATGCGACGGTACCTCGTGCCCGAACGCGGGACTTACAAGTTACGGCTTATGGATAACTATCCGTATATGACGTCGTGCTGATTAATTCTTACACCTATTGACAGGCATTCCCCAGAACGAACAAACATTCAACATCTCCCCCTCGGGCCCCTCCAAACCTAAATCATAATAGGTACCTACCTACCTGATGTATTAAGCTCCCAACTCTGTGCTATGTAGGTACCTGAGATATAGCAATTCCGCCTAGTAGTACATACATAGCTCGGATCATGGATCAACCATAATATATCCTACATGTGCATTGGTAGATTCTGAATCAACCTAGTTATCTCCTTATTGACGACATCACATCGGACCAAACAGATAACCACCTACCCTAGGTACACTAGTTACCTATAAATGAAGCACGGTGGATTCATCGTGTCCCCGTGATCATTGGCCGTATGTACTCACGATCATCGCTTGGCACACGTACTATGTATAAAAAACAAATAAAGGGTTATCCTGAAGGATGCCTGATGCATAGGTATGTATGTATGTATGTACGTAGGGAAGGGAATACGTGTGTCACTGTGATCGGAGATTCTATCATGTATGTGCCTATCTAACTTCCATCATGGAGATAGGCAATATTAGATAGGTACACACATAGTAGGTACCTACAACGTATGTAGCTGAGCAAATAGGCATTGCGCTGAAAACCCGTGACATCCCTCCGATCTCCTCGTCAACGTAATTAGCCCCTTAACCCATATGTAAAGGAATGTGGCAAGCGACCTAGGTAGGCGTGCATTTCACTATTGTATTCTGTATGTTCTGCTATGCAAATACCAAGCCGGCAATAGAGGCTGACGGCAGGAGGCAATGTCTCTCGGCGGAGCGGAATCTCGCGGTACACCGCTCGACGGGCCATGTGCCAAGCTGATACCAAGAATGCCATCATTACACAAGACGGGGTCTATGTAAGTCATTCGGTAGCATACCGTATACCTAGGTAGTGGTAACCACCTATTCCACTGCCCCGGTGAACTCCCCTATCTGCATCGTAGGCGGACAACGGGTGATTCAACTTGACTGCTCTCTATCAGGTATGTACTAGGAATCATATTCCCGTATGCATCGCTTTGTTAGATGCCCAACCAACCTCGGTCGGCTCATACCTGACGAAGCTCGCCAAGCTTCTAGATCCGGATGTGCGTGAGACATGGCGTCGTGGCGTCCTGGGGGAGCTGAGGTCAAGTATTACAGATGGTGCCCGCGGGTGATCGACAGGGCCTTTAGCTCTAGGTAGCCGCTAGATTAGGGAGTGCCGGCGCTAGAGGTAGGCAAACTTGGCGAGCTTGGCTGCATATGCTATGCCAGATATATACATGTATGGCATCGTGCTTGTGCTCTGCCAAGGCGACTTTGATGAGACTTGTGAGTTGCGGAAAGTCCGAATAATGGCGCACCAAGATCATGCTGGTAGCCTTCGATTGCGAATTTTCTGATGGCGGAGTTAATAGGGGTTTGGCCCCAAAGAGTTCCATGTTGATCGAGCGCCATAACTTCGGCATTTGCTTCTCCGCCCCTAACATAGATATCTTTCAATGGCTGACATGAATGCGTATATCGCTGTGTAATGTAAGGTTTGTGTCGTTTAATATCTACCTAGGTAGTTTTCCCTACATATTTATGTAGGACTTATTTAAGTAGTTTCGCTAAACTTCCATGACACGATTTCGAATTTCTTGGAAAAAAAAAATGAATACCCGATATTAGTGAAGCGTGTCTGACCATCTCATATCGCTGTCGCTCGTACTTCTTATTCAGTATTATCTTAATAGGTTCGTTCACCAATCGTCATAATCGGCTGTCCCATCCCAAACATCTCGACCATGCTTTTCCAGTCTAGTTTGACCCAATCGGGACCATTTCGTACAATGGCTAGTCCTTGATCATCAACGGACTCAGCGTTTGGCTTGATCAATGGGTTTCCCGTCCGATGGAAAGGGCAGAAGACGGTCAGATGCACTTTCCAGGCCAACAACTCAACCCTTTCCAAGTATGGGTCGGCTAGTAGTCTCAACAATGCTTGAAAGGGGGGACGTTGGACCATGTCGAAGTCAGCCATTCGGTTTGCACCACGCCAGCTTGGTGGAATCAAACGCAGTCTGAGGTCTCGCAAGTTCCCGCAGAGAACCATATCGGAGAGAGCAGGTCCCAAGACACGCTCGAATTCACCGCCTACCCTTGTGAGGTGAAGGGTTAAGCAGCGAATGCGCCTACGGGCACCCTGTCCTTCGTCACTCAGAAATCCTCCACGACGAGTGAGATGCATGGGCAAACGGTGGCTTTGTGCATTTAACGTAAAGCGGTTTTGTGAATAAAATATAGGAGATGCCTCCTGGTACATCTGCATACTGACGAGAAAAACATTCAAGAAAGATGAGAGTGATGAGAGGGGTAATGTGAAGAGAGTTGAGTTGTGAAGGATGATGCTATACTCCGAGACAAGAACGTGAGAGAGAATAGCGGCTCTCAACTCGGGCGGAAGGTCGAAGAAGCGAAAGACATTAGCAGGAGCCATCTTCATATATGGTGTTTAATATTGCTATTGCCGTTTTTTTCTTTGTAATATCAAGGGATATGTCGTCGTGATGTGTGGCTGTATGTGTGTGTTGTATCGTATCTTACGCCGGTGAGTTGACAGCCATGTGCCGGTTTATCCAAGACTGCAAGATGGCGATACAAGCTTCTAGTTTCTGTAAATGGACCGCTCGACTGATAGATACCCCTACTAGTAGACAGTAGAGGCTAAAGTTTGGATGGATTCCGTAGCCATCAAGGTTCAATATTCGTCTGATACTACTAACCTATTATCTAGGTACTAGGTAGTTAGTAGGTATTTATGTAGCAAGGTAGAAATGAGTATTACATGTAGATAGATAGATGTATAGATGAGTTGTCGGAATTATTCGAAATGATGTTTTTTGTAGGAGACCAGTCTATCCGCACCTTCCACGCACATACATACCGCTATTAATGTGCTATAGGTGATACCTCCAGTGGATTTGCATACTTGGCAGGCAATGGCAGCTCCTTGGGTAGCAATGGACAACTAACTGAATGATGTTTTACACCTACTAGGTTAAATAGCTTACCTAATAGTTAGTTAACTACCCTTGTCTTACAAAAACCATTGAAGCATTAAATACTACAAGTTATTCAACTAACCGTATGATTTATGTCACAAAAGAGGCTCATACATACCGTGATAAACACATATACCTTCTAGGTTAATGTGTTTATCTTATCTGAGCTGTGCTAGTTAAAATACTACCTACTATGTATGTAGGATCTTAGCGCGATTGAGCTCCTAGCAACAAACTTGAATTACAACGATTCAACACTGGGCATTCTTTATGTGCCATTAACCACCTGTAACTACTACCGACCACCTTAACACTCGCAGTACTTCATAGGTGCAATCTTTTATTCTCCCACGCAAACACAACCCTCTTCCCCTCTCTCAATCGCGTCTGAGATGAAGTACCGACGTCCAAAATGCAATGCTATACAGAGCTGACGCCTCCCACGGCTGTCACACATTCCCTAACCTTACCCTTCGTCTCGGCGCAAAGCAGTAATCTCGTTGTCGCAAAGGCATCCCTTCTCCAGATCTTCACCACCAAATCAGTATCCGCCGAACTTGACAAGGCTCAGAATGCCAACTTACAATCCTACCGATCTACTGAGAATTATGACTCTAGAGTAAACGACGATGACGGCCTCGAAGCTTCCTTCCTCGGCGGCGACTCTGTCCCCGTCCGGTCTGACCGTTCCAACTATACCAAGTTGGTACTTATCGCTGAGTTCCCGCTCGCTGGAACTATCACGGGGCTTGCGCGCATCAACACGAAGACAACCGCTTCCGGTGGAGAGGCTCTTTTGTTGTCTCTCAAGGATGCGAAGCTGAGCATGATCGAGTGGGATCCCGAGAAACATTCAATCAACACCACTTCCATACACTATTACGAGCAAGAGGATCTTCAAGGAAGTCCATGGGCAGCATCATTGAGCCATTATGCCAATTTTCTGGCAGCAGACCCAGGTAGTCGTTGTGCCGCCTTGAAGTTTGGAGCGCGAAGTCTCGCCATCCTTCAATTCAAGACCACCGAGGAAGATATAGACATGGATGACTGGGATGAGGAATTGGATGGTCCACGGCCGGTGAAGGAACATACCACCGCGCTCGCGAATGGAACTAGCAGCAATGAAGAAACACCATATTCAAGCTCATTTGTCCTTCGACTACCTAATCTTGACCCTAGCCTCATCCATCCTGTGCACCTTGCCTTCCTCCATGAGTATAGAGAGCCAACATTTGGCATCCTGTCTTCAACTACTTCTCCCTCCCTAGTGCTTGGTCGAAAAGACCAGTTGACCTATATGGTATTTACCCTGGATATCCAACAGAAGGCTTCCACAACTATTCTGTCAGTGACCGGACTCCCACAAGACCTGTTTCGAGTCATTGCTCTGCCGGCGCCAGTCGGTGGCGCATTGCTGCTTGGCACAAATGAACTCATACATATCGACCAATCCGGAAAATCGCATGGTGTAGGTATCAACCAATTTGCGAAGCAATCTACCTCGTTTAGTCTGGTTGATCAGTCTGATCTCGAACTGCGGTTAGAAGGTTGTGAAATCGAAGCCTTGTCTGCAGAGAATGGCGAGTTCTTAGTGATCCTTAGTGACGGTCGCCTGGCCTTGATCATGTTCAAGGTTGACGGTAGGATAGTATCCGGGTTCAGTCTTAGACTAATATCGCCAGAAGCTGGTGGATCGATCATACCAACCGGTGTAACAACCTTGAGCAAATTGAACAAGACCTGCCTCTTCGCAGGCAGTGAAGACGCAGATTCCTTGGTTATTGGCTGGACACGAAAACAAAACCAGTTCGGAAGGAGGAAGTCCCGCTTACAAGACCCTTCCCTTGATCTTGATATAGACGATGAGGATATGGAGGACATGGATGATGATGATGACCTCTACGGTGAAGAGCCCGCGCCTACCAAGCAAACCTCCCCTAGTGCTCCGAATAGCAAATCCGGAGAGCTCGTCTTCCGCATACATGATCGCCTTGTCAGCATAGCCCCCATTAAAGATTTCGCGCTTGGAAAGGCAACCTCCTCTGATAATGAGGAGGAGAATCAAGTGGGCGTTGAAAGCAGTCTAAGCTTCGTGTGTGCATGTGGTCGAGGTAATGCGGGCTCTGTAGCTATTATCAATCGAGAGATACAGCCAAAGGTTATTGGCCGTTTTGAGTTCCCAGAAGCACGAGGCTTTTGGACTATGGCTGCTCAAAAACCGATACCAAAGGCATTGCAAGGAGAAAAGGGGGCTACGTCCATGGGTACAGACTATGACACATCGGCGCTATATGATCGCTTCATGATTGTTCCTAAGATCGATTTGGATGGATACGAAACATCAGATGTTTATGTGTTGACGGGTGCGGGCTTTGAGGCTCTCACTGGAACGGAGTTTGAACCGGCTGCCGGATTCACTATTGAAGCTGGCACCATGGGCAATCACATGAGAATCATCCAAGTTCTCAAGACTGCCGTCCACTGCTACGATGGAGGTAAGACTGGACTGATTCTGCTATTCAAATTTTGGGGCACATGCTAATACACCGGATCAGACTTCGGACTCATCCAAATCTTACCAATGCTTGACGAGGATACGGGCGCCGAACCTAGGGTTAATTCGGCCAGCATAGCTGATCCGTTCATCTTGTTAGTACGCGATGATGCCAGCATTTTCATCGCAAAGATCTTCAAGAACCTGGAACTTGAAGAACTTGAAAAGGACGACCCAGTACTCACTTCCACAAAGTGGGCCACCGGCTGTTTATACGAAGATAAAACCGGTATATTTTCCGGCTCCAATACCGACAAAGGGACCAAGTCTGGCGAAAACATTGTGATGTTCTTACTCAGCAAGGCTGGAGCGCTTCATGTACGTGTTATAGTCAATCTCTCCACAATCTGACTGCTAACAGGCCTAGGTGTATGCTTTGCCAGATCTTTCAAAATCGGTGTACGTTGCTGAAGGATTACCCTTCGTACCTCCAATCCTCTCAGCAAACTATGCAGCAAGACGAGGGACTGCCAAAGACATGGTTAAAGAAATTCTCGTAGCTGACCTTGGAGATATGACATCTTCGTATCCATACTTGATTGTGTGTAGAACCAATTCCACCATTATTACTTCAAGATGACTTACCACCTTCCAGGTTCGAAACGAGAATGACGATGTGACGATTTATCAGCCCTTCCGCATAACTTCGTCCGACGCCCAAGAACTTTCTACATCACTTCACTTCCAAAAACTGCCTAACCTGGTAGTAGCCGATAATCTAGAAGAATCATTTGACGACAATGACAGCGATGATACCGAGACAAAACGGGATCTTCCGATGCGACGGTGTGAAAACATTGGCGGATACATGACCGTCTTTCTTCCAGGCCACTCTCCGAGCTTCATTCTACGATCGTCAAAGACTCTGCCAAAGGTCCTTAGATTACACGGTGACGGAGTCCGAGGGATGAGTCCGTTCCACACCGAAGGCTGTGAACGTGGCTTCATATATACAGACTTCAAAGGGGTTGCCCGGGTATGCCAGATACCAGTTCGCAATACCACCTATGCAGAAATAGGCATGACCCTCAAGAAAGTGCCTTTAAATGCTGACATACATGCTATTGCTCATCATGCACCATCCGGCACCTTCGTAATAGGTTGTGATGCTCCAGAGCCGTTCGAGCTGCCGAAAGAGGACGATTATCATAAAGAGTGGCAGCAGGAGAAGGACCTGACATTCAAACCCACGGTTATACGTGGGCAGATCAAGTTAATAAACCCGAGCAGCTGGACCGTGATTGACACTATCGAGATGGAATCTTGTGAAACGATCATGTGTGTTGAAACGGTCAACCTAGAAGTCTCAGAGTCAACGAATGAGCGAAAGCATCTGATTGCTGTGGGTACCGCAGTATCTCGTGGCGAAGACCTTCCTATCCGGGGCCGAGTGCTCGTATACGATATCGTTACGGTCATCCCCGAACCAGGAAAACCGGAAACTAACAAGAAGCTAAAACTGATAGCAAATGAGGATATTCCTCGTGGTGCTGTCACAGCCCTGTCCGAGATAGGTACCCAAGGTCTCATGTTAGTTGCCCAGGGCCAAAAGTGCATGGTTCGTGGTCTTAAGGAGGATGGTACGCTCTTACCAGTCGCGTTCATGGACATGAGCTGTTATGTAACAACTGTCCGAGAGTTGAAGGGGACGGGCCTCTGCCTCATGGCAGATGCAGTCAAAGGCGTGTGGTTCACAGGATACACCGAAGAACCCTATAGAATGGTGCTTTTCGGCAAGAGCTCGACCAGACTAGAAGTGCTTACGGCAGACTTCCTCCCAGACGGGAATGAGCTTTTGATCGTAGCCTGTGATTCGGATGGAGGAATCCATATCCTTCAATTCGATCCCGACCGTATGTCTTTTTTATATTCCCTCAACACCTCTCAATCATAAAACTGACGTGAAGCAGACCCCAAATCGTTAGAAGGCCATCTTCTCCTACACCGGACCACCTTTTCCGCCGGTGCGCATCCCCCAACCCGCAGTATGCTGCTTCCTCGCACATTGCCACCCGACTCGGACTATATCGCTCATCTAAACGGCGCCGCAAACGAAGATCCGGACTCTACCCCAGCGCCACCATCCCACCTCCTATTCGCCTCAACTACCGGCGCCCTCGCAACCCTAGCACCGCTCTCCGAGCCTCAATACCGCCGGCTCTCCTTCCTCACAGGCCAGATCGTGTCCTCGCTCCCGCACTACGCAAGTCTCAACCCGAAAGACTACCGCGCCCCCGTCTCCACCGGCGCCGTCGGCCGCTTCCCCCCTGGAGTAGACGCCGGCATGGGCCGTAGCATCGTTGATGGAGCAATACTCGCGCGATGGAACGAGTTGGGCGCCGGACGACGCGCAGAGATCGCCGGACGTGTTGGGTTTGCGGGCGCGGACGAGGTCAGAGATGTGCTGAGGGAGGTCCTGGGTGCTAATGGGCTCGCGTATCTGTGAGCTTGAACTCCTGGATATCGTGTGATGTCTGGTAGTTGTGATGATATTCGATTCCCCCTTGCTCGAAATCTTATGGTTGAATGGAAAGAATATGAAAAAAAGTCGAAGACGAAAAGAAAAGGGGCAAAAGGAAATAGCAAATCATCAACGGAACAATAGTCGCCAGATGATTATCGAAATGCATGAATGGCTGCGGATCTCTCATCTTTCTCGACTCCTTCTCGGAGGAATAGTTAGTTGCCTAACCCCCTACCTGCCCAAGCATCTATTATCTAGGTAGACAAGTAGGCAACACGCAGATTTCTCCGTGGGACAAACAGATTTGGTCGGGGGATTAATTTCAGCATTCAAACGAGCTAAGCAAAGATGATTGATTCTTTTTTCGGTTGGCTTCGTTTTAGTTGCTTGGTTGGTTGCATAGTTATCATAGTCATGGGTGTTGCTCGGTATTCGTTATGAGATTGGTGATGGTGATGGTGATGGTGGTGGTCGGTGTATGAATATTATTAGCCCGGAAGAGAAAAGAAAAAAAGAAGTGCCTACCTAGGTACCTACCTACATAGTATCCATGTGTCCTATATGTAGGAACTACTTGCCTTGCATGTCGTGAAAGCAAGCAATCCGTGTGATGAATGCCCAGGAATATAGCTACATAGGTAGGTACTTACCTCCCTAACCTAGGTATCTAACCTAGCATGCGTCGATTTCCTTGACTTTTACTTCGACTTTCACTTTAGACCTGTCTACGATAAAGGGGCTTATGGTAGGTATCATTCCTATTCAGGTACTATAAACCTAATGTACCGTACCTAGGGGGTGTGCATGTATGCAGGTAAAACTGCATACCTCCAGGCGCCCACCTACACAGTACCTCCCTGCCTAGGTATCCATCCGGATCTTGTGATCCTGCCGTCCTTCGAAATAGCCATTTCGAGTATTCCCGGAACCCTTTATTTCCCCTTACTTCCTTCCGTCCATCCATGGGGCCGTCCCCTTAAACCGTGAAAAATGAAAATCCCCAAACCAGGAGACCGCGCCCGTTCCTATCACATATGTACATATTGTACACGAAAGACGTGGGCAGCGTGAATTTCTAACTGAACCTGGAAAAGAAAAAAAAAAGGGGTGTGGGGTGGGGTGAGGGGGGAGGGAAAAGGGAGGGAACTGGGCAATGGTGCCCCTGATAAATGCCAACGCAGCAGACTGGTCGACTGGCGCGATACAATGCGCATCTCTTCTTTCAATCATAACTAGAGTGCCCAGTCCACTCTAAGCATCCTCGTGTCGTCGACGGAAGCTGCCGATGCGACGCTTCATACCGTCGCTGAAGCGCTTGGCGGAACTGGAGGAGGGGCCGGCTGCGCCGAGGCTGATGCTGCGTTGGCGGGCCTCGACATTGAGATTGTCGCGGTTGCTCTTTGAGGCAGATCGTCTGCCGGAGGCGTGGGAGGTCGACGGCTGCATCTCGTAGGCATTGGGTTGCTGCTGGAGCGATCTGTGGCGCTTGTGTTTCTTTAGGTCCTCCTCGATGGTGTAAGAGGGCTCTCCTTTGCCCTTTAGGTCGTTGGGATGGTATTGCTAATAGTATGTTATTAGTCTAAGGTTTTTCGAAAGGGGGAATAAGTTAATGGGCACTATAAAATGGTAACTTACAATATGGTCCCATCGCTTATACGGACCACCCGGCGCATCTCGCTCTCGCATAAGATCTGCGCCTTCCTCGTAATCCATGATGTGTCCACTCATGTCCCGTTCACCGGGAGGAATGGTTGCTGTTCCCTGAAGAGGGACGTGTCGTTCAAGAGAGTCCATTACATGCTCTCGAGGTGTCGCCTTCAACGCCATACTGTTGCCGTACTTAACGGCTTCGACGGGCGCATAGCGCTTGTCCCGGTTTCGGGAAGCCAAGGTGGCGTCATAGGGACCACCGTGGTGGTACGAACCACCAAAGCCCGTAGTGTCGAGGGAGTCGACGGTGTCCGTCTTGCCGATGTTCCTCTTGCGAAGATGGGGGGATCGGTCTGCGGCCTTGGTTGCACGCCTGATTGCTTCTAGGGGTCTCTCCGACATGCTGCTGAGGCGGCGGCGAGTACGGCCAATGGCGGATTGAATATTGCTCTTTAATTTTTCGATGGACTGGCGGTGATTCGGACGATGGGAATCTGCAGTTTGAGGTCTAATGGACTTAGGCGACTTAGGCGACTTAGGTGACTTTGGAAACTTTGGAAACTTTGGCGATTTGGGTGTAGTCAAAGTGAGTTCGGTGTCTCTGGTTGAGACAGGATGGAGTTCTGTAATTGGGGAAGAAGGGTTGGTGCCAGTAGTTATGGTAGAAGATTGGTTGGAGAGGGCACGAGTTCGGGTGGGTGTGGGATACTTCTTGGACCCAAACGAAACCTCATAGGGCTGCGGCCCATACAATGGACCCAGGATCTCGTCTGCGGCCTGTTGAAATAAGAAAAAAAGAGGGAAAAGGTTAGTGGATTCATGCAATACACGCGTTCAGACATGACTATGATGTAACCTGCGAGCCAATCTGGTACGTAGATGTATATCAAGTACCCTGTACATCAACCTTATCTCTCTCTGCAGGGCTTGTTGACCCTTGTGCAACCCACTCATTCAGTGGCTGGGGGGGTGACGTAATTCAACTTACAGGGCAGCTGCGCAGCTGCAGGGATAGCTCATTGCGACAGGTGAACGAATTGCGACAGCGCATGGGTCAAGGATCGTAAGACAGGAAGGTAAGACAGACAACGATCAAGATCAACAGGAACAATGTACATTGTAGAAGATGATATTTCATATCGTTAATTCTTCTAACTACATACATCACCAAGTTCGAAGTTCGAAAATATAATAAAATAAAATAAAATATACAAACGCGAAGACAGGACGGATCGTGCGTCTCAGGCGACTGTTGTGCTTGTCGCTCAATACATGATCATGAAAATAAACCGCCGAGACAGATAAATATTGGGATAGGAAGACGTGAACCAGGGCACAGAGAGAGGACGCAGAGAGCAAGAGCAAGAGCAGGAACAGGAACAGGAACAGGAACAGGAACAGGAACAATAAATGAATCTCTTTTACACGTACCCAGGAAGAGCTGAACTTTTGCTCACGAGGAGCCATCGTGATACTGGTAAATAAAAATAGGCAAAGGATGCCGCAAAGAACAGAAAGTCAAGAGCGGGCAAGAACACAGTTGTCTGCGGTGTAAGCATGGGAGGGTTGGAGAGTAGAAAGAAAGAATGTAATGGGAGGATTGAACGAGAGCGCCGACTTACACAAAATTTAAATAAAGGTCGAGAATCAGTAATTCCACTTGTGGGGAACGCTGATTAGACTTCGCCGGCAACAGAGGTGAAGAGGTGCCTTTAGAAGGTGATCGATCCGCTATGCCGTATTCGAATCACTTCAGAGTTGGCGAGAGCCTCAGGCACACCAACGTTGATATCCATAATACATTGTGCTCTCCTGAGGAGGTACCGGCGTACCCAGCTAACTACTACGAGCTTATTTCAACGGTAACAACCTTCTTATGTGCACATATCTGCCCCGAAAAGGGTTTAGTAGATGTTGAGCCCTTTCTCTTGTAGAGAAGATACCTAGAATATTGGAATCTAGGTTGTGTTGATACAGTGCTTCTATATATCACGAGTATCTCCTAGCCCCATTTTGGCATATTTTTAAGAATACCCATGCAGCAACGATGGATACTGATTATATTAATTTCAGAAGTAGGAATAGGAGGACCTTGTGATCATATAAGATATTTATCAAGATATTGTCATGATCCTTGATATAGGTATCATATACTAGAAGCAACAATACCAAACGAGGTTTGTATTTGAACTTTGACAAGTCTGTAAGTCTAATAGTTGCTTGAATTAGAAACATCACAATATATTTAGATGTTGTCAGACGTCCTTTATACGTAACGGATCTGAATATAAGCCACTCTAGTATCTCAAGTCGCAGAGGTTACTTCTTAATATGCTACCATTTATATCTACATTAATACTTTTGTGTACCTAGGCACGAAAGCAGATGCTCTCAGAGCTTGCTCTAGACTCCTATTTGATCTTTTAAAAGTTCAAAAAACGATTGCTCCTTGGTTGGAAGGCACCCAACATGGTAGATATCATGGTGTAGACACACAATATGAGAGGATTGGCTTGTCTCTGTCTAATCAAACACCCATATACGTGTAAGTATAAGTGTTCTTAGCAACATGCTATGACTACGTGATGGAGAGTGCTCATATTGAGGCGTATGAGTAATAGGGAATATTGAATATGAGGGTTGAAAGGTACTTAATTCTAAGTACCTGCCTAACCTTACCCTGCATCTACATGTATGTATACCTACTACATGTAGGTACTAGGTAGTAATGTGATCCTTCAGCCCTATCGTTAGCTCGGGCCTGCACTTTGCGGGGTTGGGTGACACCGGAAGCAGGAACAGATCTCAAGAAACTTCCTAATCCTAAACGGGAGTTATTTTGACAAGGGAATTAAAGTATTTGAGACAGTTTTCTGCATCATACCAGGTACCTCCTAACCTTAGGTAGATCAGAGCGATGGGTAGCCTGTAAGTAGTAAGTACTACCCAAGGAGGGTATGTAGTACTAGGTATTCAGATGAGGGCACACCTCCCCCACCCCAACTCTTTCACCCTCCTCCAATCATAAAAATCACATGGAGCCTACCTATCCTGATGTACTACTAGTAGTAGACCAGTTTCTAAGATCAGTAGATTTTCTCACCTCTCAACCTTTGGAAACATTCAGTTGTCTAACACCATATACATATAGTACCTTGCAATATGAGAAAGTACATATTTTTATACCAACACTGGCTTGTGCCCCTCCTTTTTATGCATCAATGACCCGAGTTTTAGCCAGTGAACATTGAAGTCTTAAAGATACCTAGATATGTAACCTACCTCTATCTTTCACACTCCAAGCTTTCATCCATGAATCGACCTTAAAACAGCCGTGAACATAACATGGGAATATCATCATCGTGATTAGCTAGCAAATGGCGTTGGTAGACTACTCATCCTCAGACTCTGAGCCTACGGTTGATGAAGCGGTGTCTACTACAACAGCAACAAAAAGGCGGAAGACATCACATCAAGATGAAAAAGCAGGAGAGGCAGCAATGCCACTGCTGCCTACATCTTTCCACGACTTATACGCGTCCACCGTGCGTCGAAGCACGAGTGATGACCCGGCCTTGCACCAAGGTCGTAAGCGCGTGAATCCGCACAAAGCAGGCAACTGGCCGAGCCACTTGTATATCGAGTGTAAGCTCTCCTTTCTTTGCTTTCTCATTCATTCTCTACAATAGTATTTCATATATCATATATCATATATCACACATTTACAACTAAACTCATAAAGCCTCATACTGTATTCTTAAAACAACCACCCCTACACCTAATCTAGCCAAATACTTACTACCTACCAGGGCACCCAACACCCCCCCAACACACATCCCTCACCAACCTCCTCACCTCCCTAGAACCCGCCCTCAAGCCCCTATCCATGGACCTCTACTCCTTCCTAACCTCAGACCTCGGCGCCCCCCAGCCGCTGCACATCAGCCTCTCCCGGCCCATCGTGCTCAGCACCACGCAGAAGGACGCCTTCCTCCCACAGCTCACCGAGCGCATCAGCAGCAGCCGCGTCGGGCCCTTTGATCTCGTGCCGCGGGGTCTGGAATGGCACCGGACGCCGGAGTCTTCGCGGTCCTTTCTAGTGTTGAAAGTGGCGAGTTGCCCTGCTCCTCCTACTCCTACTCCAACTCCAACTCCAAGTTCAAATTCAACCTCAACCTCCCCCTCCCCCTCATCACCATACCCCCGCCCCCCAAACCCAAACCCAAACCCAGAACTCTCAGCCCTCCTCGCCCAATGCAACGCCCTCGTAAAATCGTACTCCCAGCCACCTCTCTACGCCTTCCAAGACGACGAACACAACACCAGCACCAGCACCAGCACCAACGAGAGCAGCAGCAGCAGCGACGCGTTCCACATCTCAATCGCCTGGTCCTTCGCCGAGCCCACGGCCGCAGTCAAGCAGCGCACCGAAGCCGTCTTCTCTTCGCCAGACACGCGAGCGCGGGACGAGATCCTAGCCGTCCGCGTCCCCGTCACCGGCGTCAAGGCCAAGATCGGGAATGTCGTCACCCGTGTGGCTTTGCCCGTGCGTGGGAAGAGGGGGAGGGGGAGGGAGGGGAGAGGTGGTTTAATAAGTACTATCCATGTTGCTATGTAGCTAGCTAGGTAGTTAATCTAGTAGTTGGTCTTCCTAGTTGATCGATTGATTGATTGGCTCATACTATAGCGCCAAGATGAGGATATGTAGATTAGTAGACTAGATTACCCAAGGTGTGCCTAGAGACAGAGAAGCATGCCATGGGAGAGGGAACCCCATAGGCCAGCCAGTATGGCACGTGTCTCTGATGATAATAGCAGTGGCAGTGGCATTTGTAGGATATTTATATGTATAAGTAGGTATCTATAAACTAGGTGTATTTGCTATGCACATAGTAATAGTAATAATCTATACACCAATACTTGTCTGGAATACAAATTCCAACGCTTGAGTAGGTAGGTAGGTAGGTAGCCCAAACACACAAAACCCAAGCCCAAAACAAACAAAACTCCGTCCCATGGATGCAAGCTATGGTGCTTTTCGCCAGTATTGCTGCAGGTATAAGAGAAACGCCAGAGTCAAATCCTGTATACGCTTTTTTTCCCCATCAAAAATCCGAGCTAGGTATGCAAGATTTATTTCCTTCATAGCTCGTCTAGACTGGGCCGCTCCAGTCTCCAGTTGCGAGGTGAAACCGGCAGCCCGATGAAGAATTGCCAGAGACGGTTCAGCTCCGACAGAGCGATCAAAAACCTAGGGATGCGTGGTTAGCGTCTGAGTGGGAAGAAGATACCTAGTTTAAATATCTCTCGATTAGGACTTACATAGTCTTTGGAAAGGTAACCCAGCCTTTCAAAACAAGTTTGAACGCCTTCATTACCCTGGAGAATTCTTCGTTGAAGGCCTCACCAACCGTCGGCTGGGGGCGCTCTCGTTTCGGCGGCACATCGTCTTCCACATCCCATTCATCGTCATTGTCGGGCTCTTGGTCAACCTCTTGAGCAGTCTCTGAGGTAGCCTCTGGTCGACTCTGCGAGATGCCGACTGCATGTGGTTTCTTGGCCCGATCGGGGATCGTGTCCACGTTGGGCTTTTCCTCGGCCTCTACCATGCTCCTAAAACCGACAAGAGCCCTCATAGAGCTGCTTAGCCTAGCATAGGTATTGAATAGGGCGACAAGCTCCGTGCGTTGCAGCACCGGGATATCCTCGCTGTCATTGTCAAATTCGAACAAGACTTTGAGAGCTGCGCCATACCCGGCAGTCTGCAATTTACCCCAGAGCCTACACTTATCACAACCCACGCAGTCCATAACCCGGCTAACATTCCGGAATCTGTTTTTAAAGTCCTCCTTCAAGGATGGGCCCTCGCCGTTTTTGAACATGAGGCTCTCGTCGAAGATCTGAGGGACAGAAGCCGCGCCTTGAGTCACAGCAAGAACTTTGGCCTTGGTAGCAGCGTCTTGCTCCGGATCTCCCGTACAGAATGTGTAGCTTTGCAAATGAGGACCAATCTTGGCAATTGCGCGGGTAAGAAGTGCGTAGTTGAAGTACAAGTTGGAGATTCGCTCAGGGTGGGTGTGTAGTCGGCCTTTATAACAACCTAAGTTGGGCTGCCATTCGCCGGTAGTTTGATTCAAGAAGTCCCAGCAGAGATGGGTGCTGATGCTCGCGTGCATGCCAGATATCACACGGTAGAAAACGCGTTTTTCTAGACATTCGCCCTCCGTCTCCAACCCAGTTTGCGTAAATGTAGTGCTTGGGTTTTGCTGATGTTGCTGTATCATGTGCTGTCGCTCCGCATCTTGGAGTACGTTGCGGAAATCTTGCGCCGCCGGCCCCTTGGCTACAGGACTGATCCCAAGAGAGGCAGAATGGGGAAAGGAAGATTTTTGGAAACAGTTTTCCCGGTAGATGGCATCCCACACCATCTTGGCACCTTCGCCGGCGTAGCCCGTGAAACGCTCAGGGTTATGGACTAAGCTGACATAGTCGCCCTTGCTGCTTGTGCTTTCATCTTCTGGCACACAGTAATCTCGCTCGTCGCATTCGTCGTCGTACTCTACCACGCAACTCTCGCCAACATCCTCTCCTAGCAAGCCCTGTAAAGGCTTCTTTGGTCGCTCTTTTTGTGCCTTTTTCCCAGGATGCTTTGCCGAGGGCCCTTCTAGCTTACTTAATTCGCTTGCTCTCCATATTTTGGGTATATCTTCTTCGTTGTCTATCGTGTTCACAGCACATGCAATGTTGCCACACATGCCATTCTCGTCGTTCCAGAAAGGACATCTTTTATTAAATAGGTTGAGGCGGTAGTGGGAAAAGAAGTCGGTTTCTCTGGTTAATTCATCTAGGACAGGTTTGACTTGGCTATTCAGTCTCTCGAGCGTGGAATAAGAAGCACAGGCGTCAGAGACGATGGCGCGAGGAGATATCTGGAAGGATTCATTTTCATTAGAGACAAGAGATTGATATTGTGACGGGACAGCTGCCAAAGAAGAGGCGGTTAAAGAAAGATATATAGCTAAGCTGTACAGCGAGGAAGACATACTGCGCATGCATCCTCCGGAGGTTCTTTGCCTTTACATTGGCCGGGGGTTTCCCAGAGCGCAAATAGTGATAGGTAGAATAGTTTGGCGGATTTCATCGCGGCGGATGGAACCGTGACCGGTATATGTGTTATATATACCTAGGTATATACCTACCTACTAGGTACGTAGTAGGGAGAGGTTCACGGGTGTCAGGTAGCGAGTAGCAGATAGGCGGGTGGAGGAATGGACACCTCAATAATAATTATTTTTATATTGAAGAGGAGAAAAAGAACAGGGCCTAGTTCCTTCTTCTTTTCGGTATATGGGATTCGCGGCGTAGAATACTCAGGTAGGTATGTAGGTAGGTAGGTAGGTAGGTACTGTATGTATATATAACGGTTAAATTCCAGTCAACGGTAATACTCAATGAAGATTGGAGGTGAACAATATTAGGGTAAATTCATGTCGTAGGCAGGGACCATGTAGGTACATAGTAGAATCTGGTAGATACTAGGTAGGTATGTATGAAACTACCCTAGGTACCTAGGGATATGTACATGTGTAACCTTGAATATAGACTAACCTTTGGTAGAACCTGGTAGGTAGATGAGTCTAAGATGACAGATGTATGCACGATTAGATTTCAAGTTGTGCATCAGTGAAAAAAAGGAAGAAATTAGAAAGTCATGGCAACTAAAATAAATACCTATGGGGGTAATGCAAACTGAAGAGAGTCGTCGCGATATAATTATTTCAATTTTGAAAATGTAAACGTGTTCATTAACTAATACATGTATTCCATATGTAGCCACTCTAAGACTATAAATCGATGAGATTCAATGTCATACGATCATGGCCTGTAAAATAGATACATTATTGTCGTGTTCATCTACATACGAAATACGGATAATGGAATGTTGCCAGTTTGCATTGCCTTCAATGTTCTGACATACATATGCCTACTAGGTATTAGGTAACCTACAGCTATGCATGTAGGTAGATCAGAGTCATCAGACGATTAATAACTACATGTACCGAAGTAGTTATTCTTATTGTTAGTCTCATGCTAACCAAAATAGCAAACTCCCAAAGTGGATACGAAGTAACTACGGGTTTACTAGTGTTGGAGCCTCGTTCTAGAAACGGATGCACGGAACTTGCATAGCACCTAGTACCATGTACCTGGGCACACGCGGGGGCGGAGCGACTTGAAGTGGTTTGATGACTTCACTTTCAATTATTAATTCAAATGTTACATTGGCATGTTGCTTTCCCAAGGTTCCCTTAAAACAACATTGAATGCTGATATGTTGACATGTTGATATTCCTACTATCATTTCTCACAGCACCTCATTTTGTTGAGTACCTACTTGCGGTGAGATAGAATCGTACGTGAAATATATTAATCTTATCTATAAGCATACAATCGATGCACTCGATACATTTGATGCCATTGTGATAATACTGACCAGCCAATCTCCTTGGTCTTTTCAGGTATTGGGGTTGTCTATCATCATTGCCATTGGTGAACCAGCTACTTGGATTCCAGGGTTAGATGACTATTAGAGTAAACATGTCATATGCAATGTGATCGCAAGGTGATCGAACACATACGTATATACATATTACCTGGTTAGATGATACCTACATGGAGGAAACCTTGGAGGTATCGATTTCTTTTTAAGAAAAAAATCCAACGTCTAGCACTGCAAGTAGAAGTAGTTATGCTTGTCAAGCAACTCAAAAGAATGGTGTATGAGCCGGTAATGAGCCTTCATGACAATCATGATATTCCATTCCATTTAGGTCCCCATGAATCTCTATAACCCAAGGGGACCTAACTACTATCTGCGTAACTGACTAAAACGTAAGCTACCTATTCACGCATGAACAAGAATGGAGCGTAGTTTTGAAGGACATATTCTGGTCCTTGTTTTGCTACCGAGATCTGCGCTTTGTTGAGCTGCTCAAGCTGCTCGAGTTCCCTTCATGCTTTATAGTTGACGCAAATAACCACCATTCCCTCCTCTGGTATCTTCTGATATTATGGGTCGAAGGTTGCCATATGCGCCGTTCGATTCCCCAAAGGGAAGAATGATAGCAGCCATTGATGTCCTTTCTCGGCAGGTCAAACTGAAAACCAGTTGGGCGAAGAGCATTGGTTTGATCAAGAACGGCCATGAATCGTCACGAAGCATTGCCCCTAATAAATGCAGTCCTCGCTATGCAGTGGTTTCGCGTATCAAGAGTAATCTACAAAGATGGTGAAGCCCACGTGGGCTGACGGATCCGTTTAGGTTTGTCCAGGTTTGCCTGTGGATCACTGTTGAGGTGCCTGGTAGTTGAGAGGTCGCCTTAAAAATAGTTAGCATAATCGGCCAGAACGAGACGCATTACGGCCAACTCACTTGAATAATAGGATATGCGGCTCTGGTTCATGGACTTCGTAGTGCTCCCATCCTAAACTCTGTGGATTAAGATCCTTATTAGCTCTTGCCAATACAAACAATGGCGATGGGCTTGCGCCAGAATGACTTGAAACCTACCTGAGTGATGCCGATCGCGCGCCATTCGTCCTCCCATAGAAGCTTAAGTGTGCCCTTGGAATAATCATGATAGTCTTTGGGGATAGCCTTAAGCATGGCCTTTGGTAGCTGAACGTGACGGTATTCGTATTCGCTGTCCGAGTAACTGACACACCAAGTTAGCGACGAGGGTTTGCTACAGGTAGTAAGGTTATATAGCCGTACCGGGCAGAGTAGTGGATCAAGTCGATGTATTCCTCAAGCCGTGCTCGTTCTTCGTCACTCAGAGGACGAGGCACCTTGTTGCGCCGAGTGACATCAATATTCATAGGCATGATGGCAGATCGCGCAGTTAGGTTTTGTTTCAGAGGTCGAATAGTATGGTGGCAAGATGAACAATTGGGGCTTGGATAAAGTCTCGAAAAAGGCGTCGATCGAGTCTAGTAAAGAATGTAGGATAATCGCGCCAAGTAGAAGTAAAGACGGTCTCGTGTCCTTCCGAGGTAGATTCAGTGTCTGAAGTGGGATGCGCAGAAGCGAAACGGTGCGATTAGATGTTAGACTGTCTAGGCAGCTGTTGAGGGAAAGTTAGATTGTAAAGTAAGGGGAAGAAAGAATTAGGTACTTGGTAGGTAGAATGGGTTACAGGCTGAGGGGTGTAAGTTTCAAGAGGAGAGCGGGAGGAGCGCGCGTTGCTTAAAAGTTGAAGTTGCGGTACCCAAATTTTAGTCGCAAAGAGGTACGAAAGTAAACAGTGCTTGAAGTGGGGCCGTTTATTGAGCACAAGCCACACATACGACATTCAATGTTGCAGCTGTATTGTGTGTACTGCTAACAGTACGATGCCGACCTAATAGTGTACTGGAGGTACTCTCTCATATACCTATAACTCGCTCTTCGATACAAGATAATCACCTAGCGTCAGATACTAGCGCGTACTGGGTACTAAGCTGAGGGGCAAACATAAGAACCTAGCCACCTTTGTTAGCAACTGGCAACTGCCATGTGTAAGTTCAACATTGTGGCGCATTATCTACTACACTAGTATTAGCAGACACTAAATTGAACAGCTGGCAAGGCAGCAAGTTACATTGGTACTGGCTGGGACTGTCAGCTGGTGGCACTCTTGAGTCACTCAAAGTCGCTCAAACTAATTTACGCCGAGAGCTTTTCTCCATATTATTGTTATGCGCGTGCATCAACGACTTTCACTGCTTATTTTCTTCAATTCATGAAAGCCACTCTGCCTTTCAATGTTCGCGTCGCAGCCGTCGCTTTCAACGTCCATACCTGGGTACCTCAAGTGCTAACACTAAACCTAGTACCTTAGTACTGCCTTATAGTAACTAGCAAAAAGCCGCGTCCGACAACCCACAAATCATCACCACCATCGCATCGCATCGCGTCAAGTCCCTGCAACCCCATCATTCTGAAGCTGCCAGTCCAAGTTGTCAGAACTTTCAAAGTTGGATTCCGCCATTGAATCCATACAATTAACAGCAATAAGATATATAATTTATACGACCTTAGCTCAAACTCGAATGCGTCCGCCATATTTTTGCACCCGCAACCATGGAGAATAAGAGAAAAGCAAGCAGTGCAAATGTCGACTCATCGGCAAATGATTCCAATGATAGAGCTGCTAAGCGTCGCAAGCTGCAAGAAGTAAGCTATTCCAACTATTCAGTTATTCATCCCAATTATACCCCGTCTTTCACATCCATCATATAACTCGCATTGCGCGCAAGCTTTTGCCATGGCTTTTGTAAAAAGCACGAGGCACCGCGCAATGTAATGCAGTGCATTCATTGTATTGACAATGCGAGTTGAGTTGTATTATGAATTCCTTTCTCGGTTGAACTCAGACTTGAAGTTGTAAAAGTGAGGGTCAGGGTTGGAGCATACATACCTGTTTCCCTAACTACTTATCTACCTCCTTAACCTACATATGTAGTAGCTACTGAGTAGCTTTTGACGGAATGCAATCCCAATGCGTTCAATGTTGTCTGCATTGTCTGTCAAACACCTCTTCCTCATTCCTCCATACATCTTCGTACTTTAATCAGCCCTATCCTAACCCTAAGCCTCGATGTATAATCACTCTCCTTTCTTGAGATCTCTTTACTATTTCCCCATGCACCAACAAAAGTTGCTCCTTTATACTAATTTAATCTCGTCAATTTAGGAATTCGGTGATCTTTCAAACGGCGAGACCGCTGAATCAACCACTGCATACGGATTAAACATTCTAGAATCAATCCGAGCCACTACAGACAAAAAGTAATGTTTGAACCATGAACTCCTTTTTATATATTATTACCCATGGGTGCCTCCATGCAACCCCCCTTTTTGTTGCCTCTACCTCAACAAATCTCATTCAAATTGGACATTGATGTCAATAAACTTATTATAGACTGGCTATGACTGACCATATTTGTATCACAGTGGTCGTTCCGTTTCGCCCTATTTCGAGAGACTCCCATCCAAAAGCCAAGATCCTCAATATTACAAGAAGATACGGCTTCCCCTATCTCTAGAATTGATCGAAAACAAGCTCAAAAACCATGAATACACAAAGCTCTCCGCATTGGAGAGCGACTTCAAGCGTCTCGTTTCAAACGCCAAAGAAATCAATGAGCGGACATCTGTAGCCTTTGGCGATGCAGAACGAGTACGAAAGGCCGTTAGTAACCTCATGGTCAAATATAATCCTGCATACAAGTCCGGCAATTACCAAGCTGTCGCTACTCCCTTACCTCCCACACCAGAGCCTGACGATAACGAGGGCGATGATGACGATAATGACGCCGAGGAAGATGGAGAGGACGAGAAGAGTGCCAGTGATCAAGATTTGCAACCAACATTGGAGAAGGATGATGACGAAGTAGCTGAAGTAGCTGAAGAGGAAGCTGCCCAAGCCGAAGATGAAGACGAAGAAGAGGTTGAGGAGGCTGAGGAGGACGTGCAAGAAGAGGCCGAGGAAGGAGAGGAGGGAGAAGAGGGAGAGGAAGGTGACGAGGAAGAGGACGGAGAAGAAGACGAAGACGACGAGGATGAGGAAGGAGAAGAAGTTGATGAGGATGGCGAAACAAGCCCTGAGGTTCGAAAAAGACGACGACCCGGCCGACCACCGAAGAACCCTGCTGCGCACGCCCGAAAGGTCGCAGCACGTGGGCCAACTCCTGGCAAGGCCGATACTCACTACGAGAATAAGTCGTATAAAGGTCTCACCTTTCAACAAGCTCAGGAGAAGATTGTGGAAGAAATGCTTCGAAAGAAAGACGAGACGTAAGTTTGCCATGTCCCCGTGTGATACTGCAGTTTACTAACAAGTACAAAGTGGCGAATTCCCCTATTTTGAGCCTTTTATCTATCTTCCCCCACGAACGCTCAAAGACTACTACGAGATCATCGCAGAGCCCTTGTCGCTCAAGGCACTACAAAAACAAGTCCGAGGCCAGCATGGCAGAGGCGGAGCAACCTATGTCAGCGACTTCAAGGGCTGGGCTGCTTTTGAGGATCAGGCTAGTCTAATTTGGAAGAATGCGTATCATTACAATGAAGATGGAAGTGAGATCTTTCTCATGGCTCAGGAACTTGAGGTAAAGACAAATGATATTGGCGCTGATCGGTCATTTCTTTTGCTAACATATCATACAGCAATTGTTTAACGAGCAACTAAAGCTTGCCAAACTTCAGATTCCAGAGCCATCCCAGCCCAAGATAAAGTTGAAGATGCTGCCCAACTCGGAGACTCCTGTACATCCTAAGAAGATTACTATCCATGTTGGTGGCAAGACAAGTGCTACGGGCTCACCGGCCCCCGTGACAGGCCAATCCGGCGAGGGGGAAGCTATTCGTAACGGCACACCTATAGGCAGAAATCCCTTTGGGGGCTCTACAGCAACGTCTGTAAACCTAAGCCAATTAGAAAAGGCGAGAAGCATGTCAACCTCTGCTGGCCCTCCTAGTCCGTCGGCAGCAGGGCTGGCGAAAGTTGAGGAAACCGTTCGGCCGTCACCTGCATTTGCGAATGCTCAGCCATTTGCACCTCCAGTGATGCCCCCCGCCAGCGTTATACCCAATGATACGGTCCAGCAACAGCCGCCCCAACCCCCTCCAAAGCTATCGGCCGCTGACATTCTTGAAGCCCAAAAATATCGGCCCCATCCAATTAGTAAGAAGCATTTCTTCCCCAATGACTATTCTTGTTTGACTGACCAATCTATAGAAGAGTCAGAGGCCCTCATGCCTATGCTCGTTCTCACCTCTCATCCTAGCCTCCCTCTTGACAAGAAACTTCAACTAGCCTTTCCCGCCAGTCCTACTGAGACCCAACGAGATATTGTTTTGAGTGCGCCCGCCAGCCACTTCCGCCTACAGCTCAAGCCGCAGATAGCGCCATTCCTAGAAGCCCAGAATCGTGAGTGGAAGTTGAATGTGATCCACGATACGGTGCGCTTGTATCCTTCATCGGGTCCATTTGACAGGCGAGGCGAGCCCGTTTTTGACGTCAACTTACATTTCGGGGTGAATCGCCTGGAGGTCTCAGTGGTGGCAGCCCTCCCAAAGGGTCAAAAGGCACCTAATGGGCTAACGATGGAATTGGAGAGAATTGTGATACACTTCAATTTACTCCGACATTCGTAGCATCATGACATAGGCAAATGAACGTGCCCCTTATTCTACGCAGAATTAAGCCCAAGAAAGTCGCATATAAAAGACGTGCCTCGTCACCAGCCATGGAAGGAATAATAGGTTATATGGAGGTAGGCATTTATCAGGGAACATATGAGCACAAAGAAGTGGTGGATATTATAGACGGCCCTTCATATTGTACTAAGGGCAGGTCAGATGTACACAGGGTGGTCTATCGACAAATATTCAACGTCTACTCGGTGGACTTAGGGGGCCATTGACTTGCTTCCCATTCTAATGCTTGTCGGAATTGACATTGGTGAGGAGTGGTGGGAACGGTGGGAACGGTGGAACATACGAATCTTGCTTTTAACATTGAGGCACTGCAGCACTGTAATAGTCTACAAATTTGTGATCTCACATGCTTGGTAGTGGTGGTCATGGGTAGATGAAGTGAAAATATCTCGAAGACCTCGTCACATTTCACTCAGTTTATAATGAGACTGCAGAACATATAGGTCAAGATCCTGCTGTGTACTTAATTGCTCTGGCTAGCATGTGCCCAATTCAAAGGAATGAAATACAAGGACTATTATTTACTATAATTGTTGAGTTGATAAGATCTGTACAGCTGTAACAGTTAACTTAGTTGCAAAAGCAAAATACCTTTTTTTTTTCTTGGTGGCGGGGTAGTTCAGTGAAAATGTTTGTCAAGCAATTATTGAACGCTAAGGCTCAAGTTCTGGACCCTGAACATTGAAGTTGGCAGAATAAAAACAAAGAAATTATCCACCTACCCTACCTCCGGTAGGTAACTACATAAGCCTCGGAGTTTGCCTAGACGAAAATTTAACTTTGAGTTTGAGGGGCGTTGACTAGATCGGAACTAAGTTAGTCCAGGCGGCAAACGTTGGGCTTACGGTGGTGGTGGTGGAAGGGTAAAAAAAAAAAAAAAAAAAAAAAAATTAAGAAATTTTATAATATTTTTTCACCGCCCGCTTAAAATTTCATTGAAAAACCCCTCCATAATTCCGTGCGTTTCCCCTCCATGCCCATAACCTCCCCTCTGATCATCCCGCATCGTCCCTAAACATTTTTTCCTCCCACAACCATCAACTGCAATTTGTGATCCCATTCAGTTGAACAGAAAATTTCTAAGATGGCGGAAGAAATCTACGACGGTGCCATTGGTATCGATTTGGGTAAGTTGCGACAAGTTTATCCAAGTCATTTTTTTGTTTGAACTTTTCATATTTTATAGCCGTGTAATCGCATTGCGACTCGTTTGCATTTGCTTATGCATTTGTTTCTGGGCATTTTTAATATTACGACAAAAGACAAAATACACATGCTAACAACTTTGGACAACAGGCACAACCTACTCCTGTGTCGCTATCTATGAGGGCAACAATGTCGAAATCATTGCCAACGAGCAGGGTAGCTTCACTACGCCATCATATGTCTCCTTCAACGAGAAGGAGCGATTGATTGGTGAGGCTGCAAAGAACCAGGCCGCCATGAACCCGCGGAATACGGTCTTCGATGTCAAGTATGTTTTGACCTGGTCTCCTTATATCGTACTATTCAACACAATGATACTAACGAATGCTCTGCGATAGGCGTCTAATTGGACGACCCTTCTCCGACCCCATCGTTAAGAAGGATATCGAATCATGGCCCTTCAAGGTCGTCGAGCAGGGCACCAACCCCGTCGTCCAGGTCGAGTACCTAGGTGAGACCAAGACTTTCTCGCCTCAGGAAATCTCTGCCATGGTCCTTATCAAGGTAAGCAACACCACTCACTCCATATGACCACTACATGTGTATCAGCATCACCTAAGTTCAAACCCTAATGAATTATCACCCCACAGATGAAGGAGATCGCCGAGGTTAAGCTTGGCAAGAAGATTGAAAAGGCCGTTATCACAGTCCCAGCCTACTTCAACGACAACCAGCGTCAAGCGACCAAGGATGCCGGTTCTATTTCGGGCCTGAACGTGCTCCGTATCATCAATGAGCCTACCGCCGCTGCCATTGCTTACGGCCTAGGCGCTAACAAATCCAACAAGGAGCGCAACGTCCTTATCTACGATCTTGGTGGTGGTACTTTCGATGTGTCCCTTCTAAACATCCAAGGTGGTGTCTTCACCGTTAAGGCTACTGCCGGTGATACCCATCTTGGTGGACAGGACTTCGACACCAACCTCCTTGACCACTGCAAGAAGGAGTTCTCTCGTAAGACCAAGAAGGACATCTCGGGTGACCCGCGAGCACTCCGACGACTGAGAACTGCTTGTGAACGTGCCAAGCGTACTCTATCCAACGGTGCACAGACCACCATTGAAATCGACTCACTCTTCGATGGCGACGACTTCTTCCTACAGATCACTCGTGCTCGTTTCGAGGACCTGAACGCCAAGGCCTTCAATGGTACCTTGGAGCCTGTTGCCCAGGTCCTTAAGGATGCTGGTGTCGAGAAGAGCGCCGTTGACGAGATTGTGCTTGTTGGTGGCTCCACCCGTATCCCCAAGATCCAGAAGTTGCTTAGCGACTTCTTCGATGGCAAGAAGCTCGAGAAGAGCATCAACCCTGACGAGGCCGTTGCATATGGTGCTGCCGTTCAGGCCGGTATACTCTCTGGCAAGGCTACTTCTGCCGATACCTCCGACCTCCTCCTCTTGGATGTCGTTCCCCTATCCCTTGGTGTTGCCATGGAGGGCAACATCTTCGCTCCCGTTGTGACTCGCGGCCAAACCGTCCCGACCATTAAGAAGCGCACCTTCACCACTGTTGCCGACAACCAGCAGACTGTTCAATTCCCCGTTTACCAGGGCGAACGTGTCAACTGCGAGGACAACACCTCTTTGGGAGAGTTCACTTTGGCACCCATTCCTCCCATGCGTGCCGGTGAGGCTGTCCTAGAGGTCGTCTTCGAGGTCGACGTCAACGGTATCCTCAAGGTTACTGCTACTGAGAAGACATCCGGTCGCAGCGCTAACATTACTATTTCCAACTCCGTCGGCAAGCTCTCGTCTGCCGAGATTGAGACTATGATTAGCGGTATGTTCTCCATTGAGCCATTAAATAGCGACGAGTTCCACTAACATATAGTTATAGACGCCGAAAAGTTCAAGAACAGCGACGACGCTTTCAGCAAGCGATTCGAGGCTAAGCAACAGCTCGAGTCTTACATCAGCCGGGTCGAAGAGATCATCTCTGACCCGACAATGTCCCTTAAGTTCAAGCGTGGCCAGAAGGACAAGATTGAGCAGTCTCTCAGTGATGCCATGGGTCAGCTTGAGATCGAAGACTCTTCAGCCGACGACTTGAAGAAGAAGGAGCTTGCGTTGAAGAGATTGGTGACCAAGGCCATGTCCTCGCGATAAGCATATCCTCTCCTTGTTTTACGGATTTAATCAAGGGATATAGATGGGTGGCTGCTTAGATTCCCCCGAGTCCTCTAGGTGGCTCTAGTACCCATCTACGCTATGGAAAGGCAATGGTATCTGGAAGTTGGGGGGAAAAGGACGCGGTGTTTTAGCTCGGCTTAATGAGACACGAGGCGAACACAAAAGTCTTCCGGGGTGGTTTCTACACTTCTGGGCATTTACTAACACCATATCTTACCGTTCTCTTCCGAACAGAAAACAACCATATACTGGTTGATGGCGTATATGCATGTAGACTAGGGAAAAGAAGTGGTCCGATAGGGATGAACTCTGCATGAAATTTAATGGTTTTCACTTTATATGAGTTGAATCCGATGATTTGTTTTAGGTGACCTAGGTACTTGAATATCTCAGATATGGCTTGATGTAGTTTATTTTCTATCTTTTTTCCTTATTGATTCATACCATGTGGTGCTGTGTTTAGGTAAGCACTGTAAGTATACCCGGCAGCTACCCTAGGTAGCTGCATATCCGACAATGTCGTGATGGAGAGTCCCCCGCAGCTATCGGCACTATTTAAGGCGATACTTACCTACTTCAAGGTCGTAGTCGTCCCGCATGCGCATGCCGCCGTATGCGTTCGTCCAATAATAAGTCAAGTATAAGTAATCCGCCAACTACCTAGTACCTTAGACCACCCGAAAGTCCTTAGTTCTTTGCAATTTGCTATACGTAGGATCAGATATATCTCTCGTTTAGGCATTCAAGATGTCAGACAGCGCTCCAAATGATTCCAGCGCAATGCCTTCTCATGGGGAGGAAGTGGGAGGAGGAGGGGGAAGGGGAGGGGCAGAGGGCAGCAGCGACTACGACCTCTCGCGGCCGCTGGACACGGGGCGGGGCGGCATGCGCCAGGGCCTGACGTCGTACGGCGACGCGCACTTCTCGCTGTTCCTGCGCAAGGCCTTCATCAAGGCCCTCGGATACTCGGAGGACGCGCTGAGTCGGCCGGTGATCGGGCTCACGAACACCGGGTCCGGGTTCAACCCGTGCCATGCGAACATGCCGCAGCTGCTGGAGGCGGCGAGGAGAGGCGTGTTGTTGGCGGGAGGTATACCGGTGGACTTTCCGACGATTAGTTTGCACGAGAGCTTTGCGGCGCCGTCGAGTATGTTTCTGAGGAATCTGATGAGCTTGGATACGGAGGAGATGGTGAGGGCGCAGCCGGTCGATGCGGTGGTGCTTGTGGGGGGTGAGTTGCTTCTTTTTTCTTTCTCGTTTTTCTTTTCACGAGAAGGTGGTAAGTATGGAATAGGGGAGCGAGCGAGCGAGCGAGTTATATACGTACCTACCTCTGTAGTTGCTGGGTTTTGCAAAATGAACTACTCCTAACTTTGTTTCTTCCTCGTAGGCTGCGATAAAACAACACCAGCGCAGCTGATGGGCGGGATCTCGGCGAACAAGCCGGTGCTGCATCTCGTCACGGGCCCGATGATGCCGGGGAGCCACAAGGGCGTGCGGATTGGCGCGTGTACGGATTGTAGGAATAATTGGGCTAGCTATAGGGCGGGTGTCATTGACATCGAGGAGATTGCTGCGTTGAATGAGGAGCTTGCGCCGACGGTGAGTTGGTCCGTTGGGTGAAGTTATTTAAAGGGGGCCGGCTTTGGCAAGTAAGGAAGGAAGGAAGTATGCTAACACTGGGAATGTTTAGGCTGGCACGTGTGGTGTTATGGGGACTGCGAGTACAAGTAAGAAGCTTTCGATTTCCCTTTTCCTCCCCCCTTTTCTCCTTTCCCTCTCTAGCTAGATACTAACTTGATACTCTACAGTGGCGTGTATACTTGTAGGTCTTGGCCTTATGCCGTTTAAAGGGGCTTCAGCACCAGCCGTATCCTCGGCTCGACTTCGAATCGCCGAAGAGACAGGCGCCAACGCTGTGAAGATCATCGCCGCCGGAGACAGACTGAAGCCCCAAGCTCTCCTCACCAAAGAATCCTTCATCAACGCCATAACCGTCCTCCAAGCCATCGGCGGCTCAACAAACGCCGTCGTCCATCTCATGGCCATCGTAAACCGACACCCCAACGTCGCCGGCAAAATCACCCTCGACACCTTCGACGAGGTCGGCCGCCGCACCCCCTTGCTCCTGGACCTCAAGCCCAGCGGCGCCAACTACATGACCGACTTCCACAACTCGGGCGGCATGGCCGCGCTGCTCCACGAGCTGCGCCCCATCCTGCACCTCGGCGCCATGACCGTCACGGGCAAGACCCTCGGCGAGGCCCTCGACACCGAGCGCCTGATCCCCGTGCCGCAGGCGCTCCGCTGCATCCAGCCCTTCGACAACCCCCTATACCCGCGCTCGTCCCTCGTCGTCCTCCGCGGGAACCTCGCCCCCGGCGGCGCCGTCACGAAGGCCAGCGCGTCCAAGGACCGGCGACTACTAAAGCACTCGGGGAGGGCGGTTGTGTTCACGGGCTCGGCGGACATGGCGCGGCGCATCGACGCCGACGACCTCGAGGTCGACGCCGGCAGCGTGCTGGTGCTGCAGAACATCGGGCCGGTGGGCAACCCCGGGATGCCGGAGGCGGGGCTCATTCCGATCCCGCGGAAGCTGGCGGCGCGCGGGGTCGAGGACATGCTGAGGGTGTCGGACGGGCGGATGAGCGGGACCGCGGGCGGCACCATCGTGCTGCACGTCTCTCCCGAGGCGGCGGACCCGGGGTCTGTGTTGGGTGTTGTGAGGGACGGGGATGTGATTACGTGTGATGTGGAGGCGCGCGTTCTGAGGGTCGAGGTCGGGGAGGAGGAGATTGAGAGGAGGAGGGAGGAGAGGAGGGTGGCGATGGCGAGGGAGGGGGGAGGGGAGGGATGCCCGTGGAAGGAGAGGGAGAAGATGAGGGGATATAGGGGGTTGTATATGAGGTCGGTTAACCAGGCGGATCAGGGGGCGGATTTTGATTTTCTGACCGCTGAGTATCAGGGTTGATGGTAAGTAGTAGGTATTTAATTTTGCGTATATCTACTTTTGTTGTGAGAATGCTTCCTATTAAGGGGCCTATCAGGGCGTATATATAAAAAACTGTGCATATTGCCAAAAGAAAACCAAATCTCATCAGCTCTTAACCACCAACTCCGGGGCCCCCACCTTCCTCGCCTCCTCATTCAGCGCATCTACCTCGGCCTGCACGTAGGGTATCCCCGTCCTCCGCCTCTCCTCCTGCGTCAGCTGCTCGATCTCTCCCGGGAAGTAGATGCGCTCGACGCCGGCGGCCTTGCCGGAGCCGACGACGCGCTGGTACAGGAAGTCCATGCGCGCGCGGAAGTCGTCGAGGCTCATGAACAGGTCCGGCTTGATGGCCACGAGGAAGTGGCCGACGTCGGAGGGCTTGCTCGGGTCGTACGGGTTCGTCACGCCGCCTGCGAATGCAGAGCCTGTAATGTTTTTTTGGGCCCTAGGTGAGAAAAGTGAACCCCCTTTATGGGGTACGATTGGAATGGATTGGATGGATGCTTCTTACCTGACAACACCCCCGAAAACACATCCATCATAATCGCCAGCGCCGAGCCCTTCGGCCCTCCCATCGGCAACATAACCCCTTGCAAAGCCGCCGCGGGATCGTCCGTCGGCCTGCCCTCGGCATCCAGCGCCCAGTCCAGGGGGATCTTCTCGCCCCTCCTCATGGCCTTGTATATCTTCCCCCGCGCGGCTACCGAAGGGGCCATGTCCAGGATAAACGGCTTCTCTTGGCCCCCGGGAGCACCACAGGCAATGGGAGAGACGCCGAGCAGCTTCTCGGCGCCGCCGAAGACGGGCAGCGCGGGGCTGGAGTTGGTGAAGACGAGGCTCATCATGCCGGCGTCGAGGGCCTGCTGCACGAGCCAGGCGCTCATGCCGAAGTGGTTCGAGTGCTTGACGCTCGCCATCCCGAGCCCGTAGACCCGCGCCATCGCGCACGCCTCCCGCATCCCCGCCTCCGCCGCCAGAAAGCCGAACCCGTTGCGCCCGTCCACCGAGGCCACCACGGGCGTGATGGGCGTCACGGTGGGAGAGGCGGTGGCGTCGAGGACCCCGTTGCGCACGCGCGCCATGTACGACGGGATCCGGTTGATCCCGTGCGTGTCCACGCCGCGCAGGTCGGCGGCGACGAGGCAGGCGGCGACGATGGCGGCGTTTGGGGCGGGGACGCCGTTGCCGGTTAGGATTTTCTCTACGAAGGACTGCGCTTCGGGGGGCTCGACGTGGAGTTTGGGTTGAGTTTCCCCGGGGTTATTGTTAGGGTCTTCTTCCATGATAGCTGCTTGGGTTAGGTTAGGTAGGTGCTAATAAGGATTGGTAGGTATCTGTAGATGGTGATTTCTCTTTTAAAGGGTAAGCCCAGGTACATAGTCTTATCGTAGCTACATTATATATGTAGGTAGTATACTACTATGTAGATAGTATCAATGATGGTAGTCAGTTCAGCTGTTACATACTACCCTAGGTAGGACCTGGTAGGTAATAGGTATGTCAATACTTACATGTAAGTACTAAGGTTAGTTACATGTTGTGACTACCTAGGTAGTTAGGTTCAAGTTGGTGTGACTGATGACACCTCCCCGGTATCGGTTTCTCTTTCTTACGTAATACCTAGACTTAAAGTATCTACCTACCCTACGTATTAGTAGTAGGGTAGGGCAGATTATAACTTGAACCATCTCCTAACATTAGTGTTGGTAGGGATGCTATTATCTATACAATCTGTTACCCCTTTCCTCATACCTTTTTTCTTTTCATAATCTGCTCGCCATCCAAGCATATATATCCTAGGATCGTCCTTACATCTCATTCAACTCTCCTATCTCGTCCTATGCCTCTGTGTTATTGGAGGTATATTCTTGGGTGATCAACGAGCAAAGTGCAGCTTCTAAGTTGTCCTTCTCGGTCTTATCGAGGTCGAAATGAAAGTGTAGGATATATCGGATTGGCCTTCATTTAAGACCTTCAAGTTCGGCTTTGGCTTGTTTGGCTTCTTCTTCCACTATTTCTCTTCTTAATAGTCCTCCTCGACCTTCTCCTTGGCCGTTGAGACCGTATTGAGAAGATCTTTTGCATATGCTGCGGCTGCCATAGCCGCGTACCCTATTCATTCTGGGTTCGTGCCTGAGATTGAATAATTGTAAATTCCGTGGGCGACTAGGCAGGGGACATCGGACTCCATTACCCCCAATTCCGTCTCGACGCATAGCACCCCCTTATTTACTGCTAGGAAATCCCGCTGCGCAGCATCACTCATATCCAGGTCCCCTACAGCAATCATGCCATGATGCACTTTGGGACTATCTTAACTTCCAGACCTACAGCATTGATGGCCTCGTCGATTTGATTGTCTTTCCTCATATATTGGGCCCTTAAGTTCTGTACAGCTCTTTGAATTAGTAATGATGGAGGATCTCGGTGTACTCTCCATATGCCCAATACGGTGTCGTAATCAAAAGCATACTTGAACACGGCGCTATAGTTCTCAACAAAGCAGACAACAACGTCGCCGAGACGGATGTGTGTTGTCGGGATTCCCCCACCGATGCCCACAACTAGATTGATTCTGATATTCACAAATCGTAGCTCGGTAATAAAGGAGCTCAAATATGATGAAGGTGATGATAATAATGAAGTATCCCTAAGTATGCGACGAAAACAGCTCACACATGGAAACGTTCCCACCATAGCAGAAATGCCTGAGCTTTGTTTTTGTTTCCCATCTACCTATGATAATAGGCCGAGATTCAGCGTAAGGTGCCAGTGAAGAGAGGGGAAGGGGAGAGGCAATAGCTGCTCCACCCTTCAAACAAGCATCCTGCAGGTATTGTCTGATTGGAAAACATTCAATGTTGACAACCAACATGCATGCCCAACGGCCCGCAGCACTAGTTCCCGTATGAAGATCAAGGCAAATCGCATATCAAATCTAGGCACTCATGCATAGGTGTGGATTTATTCACTACATATGTAACATTTTCTATAACATACCTATGTATTGTGGACCAGTCTCGTTGGTGCCGCCTAAAGCGAACGTAGCCCCGAGCTGGCTGCGTCCCAAACCACACGACTTGCTATTCGCAGAAAGCCACCAGATAGGTATGCAGGCTACAAGGCTTTCAGCAGGGTTGTAAGGTGTCTTGCAATTATATCAACTTCGAAGTTTTCTCGCGAATCATCAACTTTATGGATTTTGATACGCTCAATATTTACCTACCTACATCAAGATTCGAGTCAGCAATTTCAGTGGCTGGAAAAGAGGACATCTTTAGACTTTACGATTCTAATGAACCCCTCCAGGGCTTTGTATTTGTACTATATACCTAGGTACTAACAAGACCGAGTGATCAATGTCTGAAAGCTTGAGACAGCAGTTTAGCGTCCATTGGCAGACTAGCACGGCCGACAACAACCTGACACTTCACGGGTTCCGCCGCTTCAAAACCACCCACTTGCTGAATCTCCGCTTCTTGGAGGCCGAGATCGCGGAGCTGGACCATGTCATCTACCAGGCCGGGCTCAGCTTGGACATAGAGCCTTCCGCGGCCGATAGACTCGGGCTGAAGCACAGCAAAAAGGACAAAGACACGCCTGATGTCGACGAGGTTATTACACGGGACCTCGTGCTCAAGCTGCGAGGCTTGCTCCAGCAGTATGGTATGCAAACCAACAGAGCTTATAGGGATACAATGGCTAACAGGGGGGGTAAATCCCCCCAAAGAAATATAGACGAAGCATTGATTGCCTTCAACCACGTCATGTCCATGGACACGTTCTCGCTGATCGACGACGAGAAGCAGTCGAGCCTGCGGAGCGAGCTGACGCTGTACGAGATCTACAAGACGCGGCTGCTGCGCGTGGACCAGGCGCCGCGCCTGCGGCAGGACAACTTCCAGCGCTGGATCCACAAGGGCCTGCGCGCGCTCCGGTACTGGCGCCTCAACAAGCGGTCCCAGGGCGACGGCGACAAGGAGCGCCTCGGCTCGCCCAACGCGAAGGGCGAGTGGTCGTACCAGAGCACGACGCTCATCTCGGATGTGATTAGTCGGCTGGTGATGGCCACGGTCACGGCGGCTTTTATCGTGGTGCCCCTGGTCTTGCTGTCGGGCGAGGCGAACAAGGGGGTTCAGCTTGCGGTCATCTCGGCGTGTATTGTGGTCTTCTCGTTTATTGTTACGGTGCTGCTCAGGGCTTCGAATCTGGAGATGATGGTGGTTTCGGCGGCGTACGCGGCGATCTTGGCTGTGTTTGTTTCCAATGCGCCGAATGCGCCGTCGGCGGTATCATCGCAACCGTAGCCATGGCCATAAGCTGGCACCTGGTGGGTCACGTGGGTACCCTAGGTCAACACACTTGCGTCCTGATCTACTAACCTAGAACGATCTAACTTATATATAGATACTGGTTTTAGAGCCTCACTATTAGGGTGTTTGAATCGGTATAAGTTTAGAGTATGACTGGTTCATTTCCTTCAATTTGTATTGTTAAACATTGAATGTTTGACGTGTTGAAATGTCATGTACTTACCTTAGGCATGTGTGGTATCAATGATAGTATGTAGTATCAAAGCCCTGGAGGTGCTACGTACAAAGCTCGACAGGTACTAGGTTAGTTAATTTTGACCCTGTTGTTAACTAAAGCTAACGCTATGCATCGCATACATAGCCTATAAAATGGGTACCTAGGTATGCAACCATGCGGTATAAGTAACTAAAACTGACGCTAAACATCAGGCCCGTAACTAAGCAGCTTGCTGAGTAAAGTAATACGTCATTACAACGACAGCTCCAATGCAAGCTCCAAATAACTAACTAATTCAATCATCCACCATTTTCATACCATTTATCTTCTAACCATCATCCATCTTTTATCAACAACCGGGAACATTCCAATCCTTCCTTCCTTTCTCTCACCAACGCCAACGCGGGGTAAATTCGACTGTGTCGAATCTCATTCCTCCCTCATGTTCACTTATTCTGTGCTCTCTTAACTCTATACACAACATTGAGTAGCAACCGTTGCGCGAGTTCGTTATTAACCAATTCGTTCAGCATGGCTACCCAAGGCTACGTCCAGGCCTCTTTGATCTGGGTTGCCTATGCCGTCGCTGTCGTCTTAGCATTTATTGCAGCTTGCGTTACTACTTTTACATGGCAGACACCTCGCGATCGATCCGCCGTTGTTAGTACCGTCGCCATCATCAGTCTTACCGCGCTCCTCGCGACTGTCTTACTCCTCCCTGTTGACATTGCCCTTGTCTCCTCCACCACATCCACCGCACTCGGCGTCAAGAAGGATTGGGCCACTCCTGGCCGCATCGGCAATATCCTTCTAACACTGAAAATTGTTTACTACTCCCTGTACAGTTTCGATGCCCTGCTATGCCTGTTGGTTATACCCTTCTCCTACTTTTGGTATGAGGAGTACGATGAGATTGAGGAGCAGGAGGGCACGCAAACATTTGGTAGCAGACTTTGGGGTGCCTTCAAGTACACTACTGCCTTTATAATCCTCGTCGTAATCATCTTCCTTGTTGGCTTTTTCGTGCCTGTGGCTGGTGCCCGCGGTGGTGGCAATCACCTCGACCTCGACTTCTTCAAGCGCCTCCTCGATGAAACCCATGGCGAGAAGGCCCTGACCTTTGGCGTCGGTCTACTTGTTACACTAGGAACCCTACTCTATATTCTATACACTGGAGCCGGTCTCGCTCTTCTCCCTGTCTCCTTTATCAAATCCGCTCCTGCCGTGTCCGCCCCCCAGCTCTCGGAAAATACTGCGTCGCAACTAGAACAGAACCGGGAGCGTCAGAGACAACTCGAGCTGCGCAATTCGGGGCGCGAGGATGGAATGCCAAACAAAGATAGACGTGAATTGGATGCACTTTGCCGCGAAGAGCGTACTCTGGTACGACGTGAGCGGCTTGCTGCTGAAGCACAGGGCCAAGGCAAAGGGTTTATCGTGAGGGCGTGGACCAAGATTTGTGCCGTTTTCAGACCTTTGAAGCTCGTTGGAGGTGTTCTCTTAATTCTTCTTACGCTGATCATATGGGTATCTATGCTCATCACAGGGATCGACAAGGCTGCCAACTCGGTTTGCAAAGAGCACTGTGGCTACATCCTCGCGCATATCAACGTATTCCAGCCTATGAACTGGGTCTTCGTGCAGACGGCCAAAGCTTTCCCGGTGGATTACGTTTTGATGGCTCTCCTCATCTCCCTCTTTTTCAGCGCCTCCATCTCCGGCATTGCGACCATGGGTATCCGGTTCCTCTGGCTACGCATATTTCAAATTCGCAAAGGCCGGACGGCTCCACAAGCCCTACTCATGGCGACTGTCATGCTAGCTCTTATCATGCTAGCAATCAATTACGCAGTCGCCATGATGGTGGCGCCCCAGTACGCGAGCTACGGCACCCAGACATTTTGCGATCTGCCGCCGCACCACCCAGACGAGAAGCCCGACTGCAGAAAGACCCCTGAGGCTATCAAGCCATGCTCCGAGTGGGTTAACTCACACTCTCGATCTCTACAGGCATGCACGCCTACTGTAATGTCTACCTTCCTCAATCGTATCGCTCTCAACTGGCCCGTGTTCGGTGCTATCGACTTTTGGGCACAGTTTGCGTTCCTAGGCGTTTTCCTTATCGTCTTCTTAACCAGCCTGTTCCGTGCCCCGAAAACGAACCTCAGCGAGCTTGACGAAGAAGCCGAGGCAGATGAGGAGGAGGGTCTGTTGGCAACCACGGGCCGCCGGTTTGGTGCGACGTGGCAGGATATTAGGGGGCAACCAGGACATGGTGATAATGGTGTTGATGTCCACCGAGATGGATCTGGCTCTAGCTCTCGTGCATAGTTATGCTACGTACCAAAGCTCATCTCAGACATGCTCTGCTATTGGTTGTCCAAGAAAAAAAAATAGGTACCTACAAATACGAGATGTAAAAAACAAGGAGGGGAAAGGGGGATGGATCCATGGATAGGTATCACAAATTGACAATGAAACCAAATAATAAGGGTTAACTCTGCTTCAAGGTACCATAAAACCTCTTTTTTCTTCTCTAGGTCCTACATAAGAAGACCATTTTCCTACTGGATAGGTACATATGTAGGACGGCTTTATAAGAGGGTGGGGACTTTGTAAAAGGCGGTAACGGGGCATACATACCTACATACTGGGCAGATTCTAACCTTCCATGTGTAAGAAGTGATGGAGTATGGGATAGGATAGGATAGGTAGGTACAACAAAAGAAAGAGCCCGGAAAATAATAAGGATTGGCGTTGCATGGCTTGCAGGAAGTAGGTAGGTAGGTACATAGAACACGGAGCCCTGATTTCACCACGCGGTGTTTTTTTTTCCCCCGATTTCTAGCGACCTAAAAGTAAAAGAAAAGGGTTTTACAAACTATATATCTAACCTAGGTATCTACCTTGCCCAGGTAAGTGTGCTTCCTGTCATCGAGCTGTGTTGGGACTGGTGAAGAAATCCGGTTTCGAAGTCAACGGGGCTATCTGGGTGGCCCGGGTCCCGTGATGTAGATCTAATTAGGTACCTATCTACCTGTGTATCTATCTATGCATGCGTGCCCTCATGGAAGGGGCAAGCCGTGACGGTCGTTGTGGCAGCATACATAGCTAGGTAAGGGTCACCAACGGCGAGGCGAAGGTCTCCTGGGGGGGGGAAATCGGGTCTAGCTATCCAGATACATATAGATTAGGTAGGTAGCCGTCTTGCACGATTATCCACAAGGAGTAGCCCGTGATAGAATAGACTCGAGGGTTGTCTCGGTCGACTTTCTACGTATGTATGTAATGTCCGCCTGGGCAGGTTATGAAAAGGGGCTAGGGGTAAAGAACGAACCACTCGCAGTCTTCATGGAAAGTTTCCCTCTATCAATACTTTATTTTGGTATCCTTGCCAGCTAGTATGATTGTGCTTGGGAATCCTAAGAAAATGCCAACGAATTAGCGATCAACACCAGCTCAAGACAGCCTCAGGAGAGCATCAAAGAGGCTCGTGGAAAGGGTTGCGATGATTTTGTGAGTTGAGTTTATATGTAGGTACCTAGCTAGGTATTGACTGGACTTTTTCATAGGGAGTACGAGTGTACCGTCTCCAGTTGGCCTGCTGCCTACATTTTGAATGCCGATTTATGGCTTGATATCTGGTACCGCCGTTTCGATCATCTAGATACAACAACAACAACAACAAAGTCAAAGAAAGCGTAGGTATCTAGCTAGATAGCTGTTCAGAGGTCCTTGAAGCAGCCTGATGCCGAGGAACGAGAAAGCGCGGGTTTCAAGTCTTCAAAGATTTTTTTTGCTAACGTCACGGTGATTTCAACCTTAGATCAGGGCCATTTGTGAGAAGATGGGGAATGCTGTTCTTCTTCCCTGATAGGGATCCATAAGTTCTTTAAAATTATATACAATGATCTGGCAGAGGCCTTTTCTATGATGGGCTCTGCGGAGGTATTCGTTCGAGTTGGTCTATGGAAGCATAGGGTGATAATTTGAGGCCTTCATAGTGGAAGCTCCTTGGTGGCGGATTGTAAGGAAGGTGAGAGATTTGGGGGGGGGGGGGGGGGAGATATTGAATAAGGCAATACGGAAATCAACGTCTTGCTGCTAATCTTTGCTAGCCCTATAGATCCCTCGAGATTCTGATCTAAACAAAGGAGAAGTACACTGCCTAACTCTGATCTCGACAGCAAGCGAGATATTCCCTGGTCTGCCAACTGCTTCATGCCCGCATCCGTACACTCCGCGCAAACCATTGCTAGAAAGTGTGGGTGTTACTATAGGCTAGTCATGATCATCTCCTCAGAGCCATGTAAAGTGCGGCCATCTTAAATGGATTTTAGGCTCGAGCACGGGTTCAATAGTTAGCGAAGAGCCATAGGGTGGATATTTGAATATAGGGGCACATTCGCTCATGCCATTTTGCTTAGGAGAATAGCTGGGAGCATATAATCCTGAGAGCAGATCAACGCGGCCTCACAAACTTCTCCCACCGGTGTCCTCGCTCATCGTAGCCAGCCGTAGGGCCAACATGCATCTCCTTCCAGCACCTCGCGCAGTAGATATCACCGTCGCAGTCGAGACACTTTATCGCGCCATCTTCCAAACATACGATGCACCAAGTCTTCTGATCCTCGTCGGTGTAGCCCACGCGCTTGATGAGGCCTGGGGCGGGGCGGTCAGAGGGCGCAAAGGTAGGCACGGCTGGCAGACCGAGCTCGTCCAGGTCTGAGGTTGGTACTGAGGGCAGATTTGGGCCGGAGGCTGTGTCCACCTTCAGCGCGGCCATGCGTGAGGTGATGGATGCAGCGAAGTCGGCGTCATCGTCCTGGAAGTCGGGCGCGTTGGGTTGGTCCTGTATATCAGAGGGTACTGCGGGTAAGTTCAGGGGGTCGTCCTCGTTGGATCTCTGCGCTGCCGCTGATTCGTTATTATCCTCCGCTGTTGGCTTTGTATCATTTCTTGGCGTGGCTGATTTAGTTTCTGGGTGGGAAGGAGGCTCATTGGACTTTTCCCATTCTACCTGGTCAAGTACTTGAGCGAGAGTATCATCGGTTTCACGAGTTATTTGCTCATTTTCTGAATCATCATCATCCTCATCGTTATCGCCGCTACTGCCTTCGTCTCCGCCATCGTTGTCTTCGTCATCACTGGCTGTTTTAGTCCTAGATTTACCTAGTTCCTGTTCCGTTGCGGAAGCATCACCAAGCTCCTTGAGAAGTGCAGTGACCTTAAGATGCTGTTGCTGCTCTTCTTCGGCTGCTACTTCATCAAGCCACTGCTGATCAGACTCGAGGTCTGCAAGAAGTTCTTCAAGTGTCTGATCATCTGTGTCGAGAAATGGATCCGCATCATCACTAATTGCTTCTGTGGGGGAGACTTTTGTAGACCCTATGCTCAAGCCCGGAATTTGGGGACCGAGCTGTGGCTGTGATATTTGATTTGGAATTGATGGAAGGCCCGGGCCATCATTGCCACGGTTTGGCTTTGCGCCAGAACTCAGTTGGGCTTTACTATCGGCCTGGCTCCGAAGATTCTTGAGCCTTTCTGTCAAAGCATCTTCTCTTGATGGAGGCTTGGCCGATTCTATAGTAGATGCGGCTATTGGTCTGTTGATACTTAGCATACTTGGATGCCTCACGATGAAGTCACGTGTGTGAATGAATAGGTACTACCTAACACTACTTTGGTAGCTAAGCTAGATGGATCAGAGGTTATAAGGTTACCTTACTTTGATGATGGATCCAGATTAACAGTAGTTGGCTTGAGTGCGTTTAGCCTCTCTAGTAAAGTTCGATCTGCTCCCGTACCATCGGCCATGATGTAGTGTGACGATGAAAAAGTGAGTGTGGCTTGAGACGATGAGCCTCGAATGACATCTGACGCCTTGGGTTTCCTTTATAGTATGTATGTACCGAGTACTGCCAGCTTTAAGGAGCTGAGCTCTGCTGAGTTCTACTAAGCTCTCAGGTGTAATTTGAAATAAGATAGTGATGCCTAGTTGGATCTCCACCTTGCGTTGCTTAGCTGACCATAGCCTATACGAATAGAATATAAGAACCACAAGGCTGAGTTAACCACTTGAAGATGAAGAAAGTGATGTCACTTGGGAGATACTAGAGTTTTTGCCTCATAAGGCGTTACGGGTTACACGGGGAAATCTTGGTTCAAATGATTGTAGCATTTCCGAGATTGCACAGTGACCAGTGCTATGTAGGTACCCAGTATGTCAGCTGTGCTTATGTAAAATGACATAGATAGAACGTTCTCCACATTTCTATATGTAGGGCTACATCATTACCTACTAAGTATGGAAGTACAACAAACTTTAGACTCTAGAGACCCTTCTTGCATGGGGTTGATATCAGAATTCTTATTGGACACTAGAGGGCACACGCTCGCGCGCGCCACAAATGCCCGAGTTTTCTCGGACCCAATTTTAATGTTACTAAAGGCTGCTTTCGGGCTAGCGCAACGCTAAGGATTTAAGGTCTTGATAAGACGATTTGATTGGGTGCAGCACCCTTTAGATCACATGACCTGCTTTTTCAAGTTGTAACTCTTTTTTTTTAGATGGTAGGGAACACACGGGCCATCAACACTTCTTATTCAACCCTTCCAATTCAACCCTTCTAATTCAACCTTTCCAATTCAACCCTTCTTATTCAATTCAACTGATTGAATTGATTGAATTGATTGATGGATTGGTTGATGGATTGATGGATTGATTGCTTAGATAGCTGATCTACATATCCTGTTGCAAGCCGGCTGGCTGGCTGGCTGGATAGCCCTGATTAACGACTTGATTTGATAATTGATTAAGGACCATTGAATCAAAGGGATCAAGGGATCAACGCAATCAAGGGGATCAAAGGGATCTAAGAGCTGATCTAAGATGTTCCGATCATGTGACTTCGATCACATCAGGTGATCAAAGTCTCGGAACATCTTTAATCAGGTCCTTAATCAGTTCTTAGATCCCTTGATCCCCTTAATCCCATTGATCCTTTTAATCTGATATTCAATCAGGTCTTCAATCAATCAATAGATCAGGTATTTGATCAGGTATTTGATCAGGTATTTGATCAGGTATTTGATCAAGCTGGGGCCCTTAGGTGCACTTTTAGGTATCGTACATCCGCTAGGTCCCCTAAATCTTCAAATCCGGGCCTAATCTAGCGCCCCTAGCCCAAACCACATTCAACCTTTTTTCCACCTTGAATAACTTTTGAATCAGATATTGCACCATAGTGAGACCGGACCCAATTGAAAGCGCATCTAATTGCCGATTGATTGATACTGGTCTTGAATTGATGTGATATCTGGTCATGAAGTTATTCAAGTAAATAGGTGGCAGAATGGGAGGCACGTGATCACCTTTAGAGCTAAACCTTATTCAACACTTTCAACCTTAAATAACTTTTGAAACATATAGCTGCAAGGGTGAAACCGGATTCAATTGAAATCACATTCAATTATGAATTCATTGATACCGCTCTTGGATTGAGGCGATACGTGGTTGAAAAGTTATTTTGATATATGTAACTATTGCGAAGGGTCACGTGACACTGCCTAGGGTGACCCCAGGCAGCTTTAGCGCTCTTAGGCGGCTCTAAAGGCCCTTAATGTGTCCCCAACGCTAATCACGTGCCCCATCTTGCCAGCCTATTTACTTGAATAACTTTGCAACCATGTATCGCCTCAGTTTGGGGCCCAGATCAATCAATTGGCAATTGAATGCTTTTTCAATTGAATCCGGTTGCATCGTGGTGCCACATGTTGTTGAAAACTTATTTGATTGGATTGATGTGGGCAGCTGGGGGCACTCACTGGATCACATGACCTGCTTTTTCAAGCTGCAACTCTTTTTTTTGGATAGTAGGGAATATACAAACCATCAACCCTTCTAATTTAACCCTGCCAATTCAATTCAACTGATTGAATTAATCGAATTGAACTGATCGGATTGAACTGATTGGATTGATTGATTGATGGACTGACTGATTAAATGCAGCACCTTTCGGATCACGTGACTGCCTGCAAGACTTTTTTGGTATAGTAGGGGCCATCAAACCTTCCAACTGAACTCAATTCAACTGATTGAATTGATCGATTTAGATTGAATTAATTTGATTGGACTGATTGGATTGATTGAATTAATGGATTGATGGATTGATTGATTGAATAGCTGATCTACATATCCTATTGTAAGCTGGCTGGATAGCTGGCTGAATAGCCCGGGCCAGCTTATCCAACGCTGGTTCCAAAGCTGGATCTAATAGCTGTTTGAATAGCTGCTCAACAACCTGATTTATTGATTGATTAAAGACCTAATTGAATACTAGGTAATGAATCAAAGAGACCAAGGGATTAATGCAATCAAGGGGATTTAAGAACTGATTAAGGACCTGATTCAAGTCACATGACCGGAACATCTTTGCTCAGATTCTCGATCAGCTCTTAGATCCCCTTGATTGCATTAATCCCTTGGTCTCTTTGATTCATTACCTAGTATTCAATTAGGTCTTTAATCACTCAACAAATCAGATCGTTAATCAGGTATTTGATCAGCTATTCAAGCAGCTATTAGATCCAGCTTTGGATCCAGCGTTGGATCCAACGTTGGATGAGCTGGCCTGGGCTATTCAGTCAGCTATCCAGCCAGCCGGCTTGCAACAGGATATGCAGATCAGATATTCACTCAATCAATCCATCAATTCAATCAATCTGATCAATTCAATCAATCCGATCAATTCAATCAGTTGAATTGAATAAGAAGGGTTGATGGCCGGTGTGTTCCCTGCCATACCAAAAAAGACAGTGTTGCAGGCTGTCACGTGATCCGAAAGATGCTGCATTCAATCAATCCGTCCATCAATCAATCAATCAATCAATTAATCAATTAATCAACCAATCAACCAATCAACCAATCAATCAATCAATCCAATCAGTTCAATCCGATTGATTCAATCCGAACAATTTAATCAGCTGAATTGAATAAGAAGGGTTCAATTGGAAAGGTTGCATCAGAAGGGTTGATGGCTCCTACAGTCCAAAAAAAAGAGTTGCAGCTTGAAAAAGCAGGTCATGTGATCCAATGGATACTGCACCCAATCAAATCATCGTGTCAAAACCTTAAAAATCTTTTGCGTGGCACTAGCCTGAGAGCAGCCTCTGGGCTGGGACCCACATTTCCAGTGATTCCAGCCAATCTCGACTTTCTTGCACGGGCTATTGAGGTAATTGAATACATATATTTTCCATTCTTATAACAGCTGTAATAGGTTAATCAGATCTTAATGGCCGCTGACGGATCTGAATGTCTCCAGGGCTTATAATAATATTAAACCTTCAATCTTCCTTATTTGCAAGCTTCAAGCACTTAATGGGACTTGAAGCTTAAGCACTTTTCCATACGTGTGGCTGCATTTGTGGCTCCCCACGTGGCTTGATAGTCTTGGCAAACTTTCCTCTTTTGCAACTTTAAAATTCCTCTAAAGCCTTGAGCACTTTTCCATAGGTGTGGCTGTATGTGTGGCTCCACATGTGGCTTGAGAGTCTTGGCAAACCTTCCTCTTTTGCAAAGCTCAAAATTCCTCCCCTAGAGACCCACAAGCTTACGTGAACAACATCTCCACCTTCCTAAAGTGGAAAAAGTCTCCTATTTGAGCCTAGCGCGTCTGCTTAGTAAGCCAAATCCCCTTGAGAAAAAAACCGTACAGTAACCCTCGAAAACTCGGGCATAACTATTAAGATGTTTACCTAGGTATTTAACAAACATTGATGCTCTCAGCTTTAGCACTGCCACCATCATTATGAAATAGTTCATCACGACTTTTATTTGTTCTGTTAACTAGTTATAGGCAGTGTTAGGCTTAGATAAGTACTAACTATCTTGCTACATAGGTTAGCCTGGAGGACTATTATTTAGGACAGGGGCAGTGTCGCATGGCATCATCAATGAGATGCATAGCAAAGTTCCGTCAGAAAAATATAATACAATAAATACAATTGGATACCTAATAACATAGGTAGTAGGTTAGTACATTTTAGAAAGGAACTACGGAAGTCTAAAATCCTTCTTTGTCTTCAATGTTGTACAACTCAAACCAACATCATTCATAATTATCAGCGATCATGAGATCGATCTATTTAATACCTTGGGTAGGTACTTACATATCCATTTTGACTTGGCAAAAGTTAGTGAAGTCCGGAATTGGCCACACCCGTCACTGGGCAAACTGGGTGTGAGTGCGTACCAACCATGAGCAGGTACAGTAATTGCCAACCTTGAGTTCCATGACATGACACGCTGGAGCGGGCTTGGCATCGAACAAGCATTTTCCTTTTACCGATAGTTATAAGGTAAGTTAGGTAGGTATGTTGCAAAGTTATGGCCATCACTTGCCCTTTCCCAACTTATAACTTACTCACTCCATTGATTTTCCATCATACCTACCGACTTTCTACATAACTAACACTTCTCCCCTTGTCACCATTTTAACCTTGTTCAAACACATACCAATTCAAAGACCAAGCTCCTCCCAAACGTCTTATAATAATCTATCTTCATCCCCCTCTCACCTTTTGTCCATCTAATTCGGCATTAATTCCCAACCCCACTGCCGTATTACCCAATATCCCTTCAAATTGAAAACAACCCCATTTCTTGATGAAGCTATCCAATATTATATTTGGCCTTACGGCTATAAGCCAGAGCGTCAGCGCCACTGCTATACCTGATACCAAAGATGTCGCGATAGATGCGCGCTCACAACAACAAACAGATCAAGAACATATCGAGCGATCAGCAGAGAGCGAGGAATTATGGAAGCGCAAGGGTGGCGGAGGTGGAGGCGGTAGAGGAGGCTCTAGCGGCGGTTCCTCTGGCGGCTCATCTGGCGGTCGTGGCTCTAGTGGCAGCTCCAGTGGCCGCGGATCATCATCATCTAATACCGGCGGCTCTACGACGACAGGCAGCGGTGTGCGGCCAGCGTATGGCGGGGGGACCTATTACGGCGGTGGCGCGAAGCAGCCCTACACTTCCGGGGCAAGAAGTCCCTCCGGAATCGCGCCTTTTGTACTGGGTGGCGCCGCGCTGGGCACTATCGGCTTCCTAGGCGCGAGTTGGGCCTATGGTGCGTATGCGTACCCGTACTCGCACCCATACTATTACCACAACTCGACCACCAACCAAAACGAAACTAAGCCCGTCACCTGCGTGTGCGACCAGTATAGTGAATGTGGGTGTGACGATAATGGCAACCAGACATACTTCAACTCGGTCATTGGCGACGGTAGTTACGCGAATCTCAACAAGTCGCTTGTCACGGTGGCCGACAATGATACCACGCAAAACTCTACCATCTACATCCTAGGCACTCTCCCCAATGGAACAACGTCCTCCGGCGGCACCGAGGATCCGAACTCCTCATCCGGCAACATCCAGGCTCTAGCTCGCGCTGTGGGCTGGTGGCCAGTCGCTACCACCGTAATAGCCTTCATGTGCCTATCATAAGAAAACGGGCACCCTCATTTCAATAATTCAACATGAGAGGTTTTGGCGGGTTCTCTCTTTTGGCATTTGCACGACCACCTTTTATTATTAAGCACAATACCACCTTCACGACACGAACTTACAGCATATGATTGATATCCCCGTGGCGTTCCGGCTTTGTCCTTTCTTTTCAGGAAAAAAAAGGGTGAAGAAATTGGGAAATGGATGGACCTGATAGGTCGGTCTGTTACTTGCCACAATAAGAGGGTTTTGATGACGAAGGGAGAGGGGATTACGATAGCGGTGGGTGTTGGGAGGTAGACTGCTGGATAATAATATATTAACTCTTCTATATATATCAAGTCTTCTTGTGATGTCTTGTGCTTATTAGACCCCTGAGCTGAATGACATCATGCTTCCAGAAACGTCCAATTTTGTTGGTTGGTGATACAACTAACATATGCAGGTTCCTAGGTATTCCGCATGAATAAATCAGCAAAGCAACGCTATATCTATGTCCCGATCCATATGCTGGGTATCTAGTAAAAGCAACGCAAATATCAGCATGGCGATAAACCAGTCCTCCATCAAGATGCATCCTGGTCTACGGTCCCCTCAACAGTAGCCGTAGATTCTACCTCTGCTTCCACCTCTCGCTCCTTCCGCCTCGCCACACACCAATCCCCCAAGATCTTCCAAATCCTCTCCTTCTCCTCCGGCCTCAGCGTCGCCGCCAAACCACTCGTACTCGGGGCCACGAAGATCCTTGACCCTTTCCACTCCTTCTCCTTTTCCTTACCCTCCTTACCTCCCTCCCCATCTTCCTCCCCCTCCTTCTTAAAGTCACCCCCCTTTCCTTCCTCAACACCCGCCCCCATCCGCTCCCCCTCGTCCTGCCACCCATACACAAACTCCCCCTTCCTCAGCGCACGCCCATGGCGGACGCGGAACACGCTCTCCCAGATACTCTTGCCGACCACGCACGCGACCTCCGGCTTCCAGCGGCGACACTTCCTGTCCAAGTCGGCGACGCCGGCGTCCATCTCCCCTTTACTCAGCTCGGCGCCGTTGCGGGAGGGGCGAGCGACGATGTTCGTGTGCCCGATGCCGTAGCGCCGGGGCATCTCCTGGTCCTCGGTTGCGCGGCAGGGGGCGGGCGCGGTGGTGATGCCGGAGGAGTGGAGCAGCTTCCAATACAGGTTTGAGGGGTGCGCGTAGGCGTGCCCGGTCCGCGCGGTCTGGAGCCCGGGGTTGAGCCCGATGGTTAGGATGAGCAGGTTGGGGGCGAGGGCGTCGGGGAGGGTGGGGAGGTGCGCGTAGGTGGAGGGGGGCGCGTAGGAGGTGGATCTGCGGGGGCGCTTTTGGGGGGGTGTGCTGTTGCTGTTGCTGTTGCTGTTGCTGAAGAAGTTGCTTTCACTCTCCGTAGCTCGAACCTTTGACCCGGTTTTGCGCTTCCTACTAGGTTTGGGTGATGATGATGAAGTAGGAGGAGGAGGTGAGGCCGTTGGCTGGGGAACCAAGAGCCTCTGACTTCTCCGGGGCTCGGGTGATGGGGTATTTTGGCTTGGTGCTCCGGCGAACATGAAATTCTTTAGTTGAAGGCGGCCTTCGAAGCTGGCTTCAGTTTGCGCAACTTGCTCATTATTGCTTGTCGCCATTGTGTCTCATTTATCTCATTGGATATGAGTGTGTCCCGTCTTTTCATAAGTGGTTTCCTTTGTTCTTTCTATATTGTCATGATTTGATTGAAATTTTTAAGTTGTAGGTATATTGAAATATTGAATTATTGAATTAAAGATTGTCAGTTATTAGTCAAGCTTCATGCAAGTTGCCGCCTCATGGAACGGTTGCTTCTAAGGAAGGAGACATCGTTGATGTAAGTGTGTACAAAGTGGATCCCACGATCGCTCTCTTATATGGGGCTACCTTGTTAACCATAGTTAAATATATGCATATGCAGATATCCGATATCTAAAAGATCAAGTCGAGTCTTTTCTTTTCGTATTCTACCATCGACGTCACATACCACATCACATCTTCTCCCCCTCTACTAAAGGTCGTAGGACGAGACCGGGTATTATCGAAGCAAATGCATTCTTCGTTTTAATTTGTATCTTGAGTCAAGCAAGGATATAGCAACCGACCGCAACACGATTCAGGGCCAGTGTCACTACTTGCAGATCAGGTAGGGAGAGTTGGGGTCTCAGTGTTCCCTACAAGTTTAGTAACGACTCGGAGAATTTCATACGCTTTCGTCTGAAGCATAAATTAAATATCTACCTACCCACGACGTAGTAAGATACATATTGCACGTCGTCAGCGCATGCAAACTATTAATGAGCACAGCATATAACTAAGTGCTAGGTAATCTAGGCCCATGCAAGTTGTCGGATTATATACGAAGTTTGATTTGAAGAATTAACGAATAGGAAGTGGCTACATCACCTCATGGCTTTATTCAAGCGGTGAGACGAGAAAGCCAATACGATCCGGTACCCAACCACACGAAGTTTCGCATAAAGAGCCCTGACGAGGAAAAGGAAAGAAGAGAGAGAGTCAAATGGCGGGGCAGAGCTGAAGCTGCAGCCCTAGTAGCCTACTATGTAACAAGGTTCTCATGGACTCCCTTGTTACTGCCCCTCTGCCCTACCCCTCTAACTTATTGTAGCCCCTCGTTGTCATCATTAGGTGCATTAGGTGACAGGGTAGGTATGTATATCTAGCACCAACTCCCCTGACTCTCTCTTACCCTTTCTTTTTTTTTTCTACTAAGTCTGTATTGATTGATTACTTAAGTTTCGGTATTTACCTAAGACTTGTAGGCTTTCTTTTGGTAACTCTATCTGACTGAGACTTTACTTCATATTTCCTTCTTTCGAAACGTTTCCCGTAGACTTCATCATGGCTCAGTTTACTCCTGCTGAGTTGCAAAGCCTCAAGGCCCAATACGAGAAAGCCGGCCAAAGCCACGTATTCACCTACTTCGACTCCCTGGCCGAGCCCGAACAGAATGCTTTCTTTGAACAACTCCAGAAGATTGACCCCGCTAGAGTCCAAAAGCTTAGAGAGCTTGCACTAAACCCTCCCAAAGAAGAAGGACAGGCTGTAGTTGAACCCCTCCCAGACTCAGCTACTGCCAGTATTATCGATTCGAGCCCCGAAGATATTCAAAGATGGTATAATCTTGGTCTGGAGTTGATTGGGAAGGGTGAGGTTGCAGTGGTCCTCCTAGCTGGTGGACAAGGTACTCGACTAGGAAGCAAGGCTCCCAAGGGATGCTTCGATATCAAGCTACCCTCCCACAAGACTCTCTTCCAAATCCAAGCCGAACGAATCCTAAAAGTACAGGAGTTAGCTGCAAAGGGGGCCGCAGATCCGAGCAAAGCTGTCATTCCGTGGTTTATCATGACCAGTGGTCCTACACGAGGACCAACTGAAAGGTTCTTCAAGAAGGAAAAGCTGGATGAGTTAAGTGAAGAGGAAAATGCTTTCCGAGCGAAGGGTAAGCCTTACTTCGGCCTGGACCCTAAAAACGTGACGATTTTCGAGCAAGGTGTGCTTCCCTGCATCACAAACGACGGCAAATTCATGCTGGCAAGCAAGGGCAAGCTTGCTGTAGCTCCCGATGGAAACGGTGGCCTCTATAAAGCTCTACAAGATGAGGGTGTGCTTGACAAAATGCGCCCCAACATCAAGCACGTCTATGCATACTGTGTCGACAACTGCCTATCCAAGGTTGCCGACCCAGTTTTCATTGGCTTCGCGGCCGAGAAGAAGGTCAAGATCGGAACTAAGGTCGTAAGAAAGCGTGATGCCCAAGAGTCTGTTGGTCTCATCATCTCAAAGAACGGAAGGCCTGATGTAGTAGAATACTCGGAGATTGACGATGCCACCTGCCAAGCAGTAGACCCCAAGCAACCCAGCATCCTCAAATTCCGTGCCGCCAATATTGTCAACCATTACTACTCCTTCGAATACCTTGACGGTATGGGGGATGCCGTGAACAGTCTACCCCCTCACGTTGCCAAGAAGAAGATTCCCTTCTTCGATACGGAGAAGGGCGAGGCAGTTGACCCCAAGTCGCCTAACGGTATTAAGCTTGAGCAGTTCGTCTTCGATAACTTCAAGTGGCTCAACTTGAACGAGTTTGCATGCTTCGAAGTCAAGCGCGAGGAGGAGTTCTCCCCGCTAAAGAATGCGGACCCGGCCAAAAAGGCTGATGGAACATTCGAAAAGCAACCTGAGGACAGCCCCGCAACAAGCCGAAGACATATCAAGGAACAAGGTCGACGATGGGTTGAGGCTGTTGGTGCCACTGTCAATAATGGAGATGTCGACGAAGGTCTTGAAGTCTCGCCTCTCACGAGCTACGTAAGTTCCCCCTACACTCTAATAAGAAAATCATTTCTGACACTTTTATATAGAGCGGTGAAGGCCTAGAGGCTTTCAAGGGACAGACAATTGACAAGGCTACCATTTGATACGACGATGACATTACATGATGAACAAAGCCGGCGTGGAATAACCTATAATATTTAGGATACATATACCACCCACCAATCTGCATTGCTGGGCCAACATATACCGGCCTATATGCGGTTCAAAATAAAATAAAACCCCGATGATCTAGAATAAAAGGATCCTATAAGCATATTATCTTATAGTGAGACGTTAGAGTCCGAACTTGAAGAGAGAAGTATATAAAGTAAACTTCTCTCATCTCCATACTTGTTTATGAAAGTGACTATGCTGCTTGTCACTGTTGAACAAGTGTATGTTATCATTGTCCAACCCCCATGACATCCATCCAGGATTATAAAGCCCAACTTCTTTCTCCTTTGAATACTCACAGCATCATCATGAGCGGCAGGGATGAAAAGTCGTGCTCAGAACCCAGCTGGGTTTGGTGAGTATAAGAACATGGAATGTTCTCATTTAACTACACGTCTGAACTTTAAGGCAAGTCGCGTTGTATTAATTTTATTATCGGTTCCCACGAGGATCACTTGGGAGCACTTAACCCTACAAATAGCCTCCAAAAAATCTATGCATTTACCAACGTCGTTAAAAAAAAACACTCCCTTACCGCCGCACAACGACAACAAATTGTTTGCCATGTTCATTGTGTACTACATCTGAGCACATCGTTAGAGGAGTATCAAGTTCGCAGGCCCGTTCCCCCTGCTGCCAGCCGGCCCATACCACATCTAGGTGCGCCGGATAAAGGGTATATGTGCCTCACCCGTGGCCTCACTCAAAAGACAGCCCAGCGCATCCAAAAGCACTGCAAGGACAAGCACCAGTGGGTGAATCCACAGACACGGGGGAAAGTTATTCAGAAACATGACGAGCGCCCGGACCTGTGCCCTACGCCGGGAATATCTTCTACCAGAGCCGGCTCCCGCGCGGCACGCAAGGGGGTCGGCCGTTCCAGGTCACACCCGTCGATGAGGATAAGACTGCAGAGGTGCGGAGATGAACAACCCAAGAGTATGTTATTCGCCCTTTTTCTCTTTTTTTTCCCTCCGCCATTAAAGAAAAAAAAAGAATTTGCCAAGGTTAGGCAATCAACCCACTTTCACAGGCGCCATGAGAGTTTGGTGGAAACGGGGAAGGAGAATCACCGAACGGCGCGAGGCATAACTATGAGCGGGCTCTTGAGGCAGCCTGGTTGGAGAGGCAAATGAAAGACTACTAACCCCATCCTCCCCCCCTTTCCACTAAGCGTTTATCTGCCTAGGTTAGGTAGGTAGGTATGTGGCTTTCTACTTAGGTACCTATAGACGTATGTATGTAAGTACTTGGGGTTATAAATCTCTTGATGCATAGCTAATACCGTGTATTAATGTAGTTATTATATTAATAATATCTACCCCAACTAAATAACTACCCCAAATCTGCCCAGGTGGTTAAGGGGTTAGTTAGTTTTTACCCCAACGAACAAATCAACCCCCTAACCTAGGTAATTGACTAGGCACAGATGGGTGATGGAGTCGAAAGGGGTTATTTATCAGAGAAATCAAAGTATGCAGATAGTGCAGTGTATATAACGAACCTCCCATCTACTTCTTCTTCTCTCCAGTCCCTCCTGTGGATTTCTAGGTTAGAAAGCTTCGTGGTATAAGTACCTACTTATCTAATTACCTGCCTGCCTACTATTACTTCAGAACCGGACTTGCAGAGCTTGAAGAAGAAAAAAAAAAGGGGGGAGAGATCGTCAAAACTCGTTCGAGATACCTACCTAATCAACGGACTAGATTTTTATATCATTACTTCACCATGTCAACCCAAACTGTATTCCGCCGTAAGTAACACCCTCGTGTCTTCCTCCAAGGTTCTTTAGGTACCAAGCAGTGGTCTTGTCATGTCTACATAGACGCCCTACATTTTAAGCTACCTATCCATCCATTCACCTCCAGATACCTGATATATAGAAGACATGGCCACCTACACAGCTAACCCCCAACCGCAGTAACCTCCCGCACGGACTTCTCCGGCCTCCACGCCTTCCGTGAACCCATCCCCTCCCTCTCTCCACACGAAGTCCTCGTCAAAGTGCGGAGCCTCGCGCTCAACTACCGCGACGTCGTCATCGCGCGCTCCCAATACCCCTTCGAAGTAAAGGACCAGGTCGTGCCGATCTCCGACATGGCGGGCGAGATCGTGCAGGTCGGCAGCGACCTGGTGGCCAGCGGCGGGTTGGCCGTCGGGGACCGGGTGGTCGCGCCGCTGAGCCCGTCGACGCTGTATGGCCCGTTGAGCACGACGGCTGATACGTTCGGCGGGTTTGTGGACGGCATGTGCAGGGAGTATGTGGCGCTGCCGGCGCATATCGTGGTTAAGCTGCCGAGGACGGGGCATAGCTTTGCGCAGTGGGCGTCGCTGGTGTGCACTGGGTCGACGGTGTGGAATGCGTTTTATGGGAATGCGCCGCTGAAGCCTGGGGATACGGTGCTCGTTCTTGGTGAGTGGCCCTCTATTTTTCCATTCCCAACGAGAGGGTATATAGCTAGGTATGTATATACTGGAGGAATTTTTGGCTAACATTGTCCTAGGTACCGGTGGAATTTCCTTGACGGCTCTCGTATTTGCCAAAGCCGCCGGCGCAACCACCATCGTCACTTCCTCCAGCGACGAGAAGCTGGAATACGTAAAATCCAAGTACGGTGCTGACCACACCATCAACTACAACAAGACCCCCAACTGGGCCGCCGAGGTGCAGCGGATCACCAACGGTAAAGGGGTAAACCACATCATAGAAGTCACGGGCGCGGGGACGATTGAGCAGAGTATTGAATCCGTCGCACATGGAGGCATTATTTCTATAATCGGGTTCATGGCACCTCTCCCCCAGGAGAAGATGCCCGACGTGAGCTTCTTGACGCTAAGCCACAGCTGTGTTGTCCGAGGAGTTTTGGGTGGTTCGAAGCAGCAACTCGAAGAGGCGGTTAGGTTTGTGGGGAGCCGTGGGCTACAGATGCCTCTGGACAAGTCGTTTGGATTTAATCGCGAGGATATCATTGCAGCTCTGGAGTATGTTGCGTCTGGGAAGCACATGGGTAAAGTGTGTATTAATCTGGAGTAGATTCAGATAGGAGCTGAAGACCAGCTTTGATGACGTTGTCAATTTCAAGAATATGAACCCCTTGAAATACTGCAGCCCATATTTTGGCTACCGTCGAACCCATTCGTTGAATACGGGATGCGTCGTCATCTGGAAGATCCAGCGTAGGAGCGACGCATGTTTCTCTGATAATCTCCGTGATGATCATTAGAAGCTTCCTCTCAGAGTTACGCAACCCATCGGTGCCGCATGTTCTTACGATCGTGGAGATCATCTCGAGCCAGTCTTTGAGAAGCATTGCGCACTGAAGACTGCATAAAGAGTGTTCAATGGTCCAGATCGGTGTGGAAGCGCGAGCCATCAACGGAATTCCAAAACGGACAAGTAGCCCTAGAGCATGCGCGGCTTGGAGAATAGTTCTATCAGAATGCGACGACCTATTCAGGTCAGAGCGTATGTCCATTATACACGACAAATCCCCCGAAAGGAGTCCCTGACAGGGGTTAATATCTGAGTTCAAACGAATGTAGGAAAGTCGAAGCAGTGCGGTTGCACTGAGTCCGAATGGTCCCTTAGGGGATGTTGGATCAAGACTAGATTCATTGGTGAGCTCCCAGGAACTCTGCCAGGTACGTAAAGCAGTTTCGAGGCCCTCGATGGCGTCTTGCTGTAACCGTCCTAGAGACCCATGGCGGTTGATATATATCTGCTGAAGCAACGCGTGGATGAGCAGATAATTGGCGAATGAGGACACACTCTCATCCTTTGGGATTCCAGTACCATCAAGGAGGCAGCGTAGTCCTGCTTGAAATTGGCGGTCGACTTGACGATCAGCCTGACCCCATTGTGCTGCATTTTCTGAGCTCCATTGTTCTGCAGATCCTGGCAAGAAAACGCCGACTTCAAGATTCAATATGAGTGGGGGGACATCGAAAGCGATGCTGTGCAAGTTAAATACCACATAAGCGGCAAGCAATGTTCTTCGTCTTTCCTCAATAGCGACCCAGGATAGCCAGTCGATATCCGGTGGCATCTCGTCCGGTGTCGAGATCCCACTTCTTTTCACCAACACTGCGAGCTGGCTACCCATAGATAGTGCGTCTGGTGAAAGTTTCCTGTCTGCCCACGATGCGAAGTTTATGAGTAGTATAAATGTCTGTACTCTTCTTATATCATGCATTTTATCCGGAAGTAGATGGCTCTGTCCAGACAGCAACTCCGACGTCAGTTGAAGGTCCTCGACACGGATTCTCTCTAGCAATATTGCTCTGGACATGGAGTATAGTTCATAAGCCTTGGCCGTCTCATATGCGTATAGTGAGCCATTGGCGGCTACGGCAAGGATAAGTTCGATGTCCATTTGCTCAACTGAAAATGTTGCAACGTGGATAAATGGCAAAAACTTTTGAGTACATCGTAGATATATATCTATGTATCTGAATAGGTTGTTTTTAGACGGCATGGAACATTGGATTGGAAGAACATTCGAATAGGCTTGAACTACGAGGCAAAGCCTTTCATAATCAGCACTGGTAACGGACCACGTTGGGTCCCTAGTAATAGTAGCACATTCGACTTGGTCGCCAATTTCAGCTTCATTGCCGGTATCATGCTCCATGCCATCCTCGGCATCATCTAATTGAGGTAGACGAGAAGTGAACCGAGAAAAGTTGCCTGTTTTTGGAGGGGGGGTGCTTGACGACGTGTCGATGAGAGGAAAGTCAGCACCAAAGAGTGTGGTTGGCAACAAGTCTTCTGTTATGAGGTCAGGATCCCAAAGGAAGTCAGAAGCCTCCATTACCATGTTAGTGGACATGCTCGGTTCCTGCGTCCCCCCTAGTTGGGGCGGGTGAGAGGCCTTAGTATGCCGTGCTAGCAGGTCCCTATATAAGTGTTATACATGGATCTAATAGTGTCATGTTACGGGAAGTTTGCTAACTGTCTAGAGAAGGCTTGTCCACATCCACAGGCGAATGGCTTCTCACGGGTATCTATTGATTTTCATGAGATTAATATGCCTACCTAGATTTCTTGTAGGGATAGAGGTTTGGAGTTTAGGTACTTACGTGTTCGCTCATGTCTCACCAAGTGCTCAAGTCTTTTGAACTGTTTACTGCAGAACCGACATGGTTCCACGACTGTCTTTGGCCTACCTGGAGGCATATTTTGGGATAATTCATGGTAGCGATGTGATTTGTAAATGGAAGCTTTCTTACATAGTAGTGTTTGCCTGCCTAATGATGCTTACTAATTGATGTTCCCATTCGGACAGTGGCTCAATGCCGTATAATACGTGGACCATTGAATACTAGATATATACTATGCCCTTAGGGGCCGATTGTTGTGATAGCAAGATGATAGATGAATTCAATACTGTTAACTTTAAAGTGATTTAAAAAAGAAGAGCATCATGTTCAATCTAAGTTAAAAATGTTGTGCTACTACTAGTAGTACACACATGTGTCTGTATTAATTTGCAACAAAGCCATATAATCATATAGTAGCAAAAGTCTTCTCGGTAAGTGAATTTCTCAAGCTTATGACGTAGAACACCTTTCCTATTAGTGCAAATAAAGCAATGGTTTATAAGGGTATTTAGTGGTAATTAATAGGTTTATGAGGGTAACAATCTCAGTTAAGATCCATCAAAATTACGTACATGCAAAGTTGTACAGAAACATTGGACTTTTTTTTTTAGGGGTCCATCCAACATTAGGAAATCCACACGTAAAACTTGCAGTAAACCACCAACTCCAACTCTCCAATTCTTCAATATCGATATCCTCATTAACGGCATCATAACGCAATCATGCTTCGCTGGTACGTAGGATAAATGTCACCTTAGCCTATTTATCCCCATTGGCTTTTCTTATGAAATACATACCTATATACCTGAGTACTTAGGTATTTATGAAATAATAATCTCAACATGGAGTGCTAAATTAGTTTGTGACCAGGTACCAACGCAAGCTTGCCTCACGGCCACTTTTGACACAGGCCGTCACCACCGCTGTGCTATTCGCAGTCGGAGACGTCACAGCTCAGCAAGTTGTCGAGAAGAAGGGCATTGACAAGCACGAGTATGCCCGTACAGGTCGCATGTTCCTCTACGGCGGCGGTAAGTTTTGTTCAATATAATCATCGTCAATACAAAAAACCCATCTCATCTCATCTCATCACCACCAACAAAAGCTTTTATCAATTTCTCTCAAAAGCTGTCCCAGATCTCTCACCTACTTTTTATCTTATCTTAGCACGCAAAGCTTACCCCACAAACCTTGAGCAAATCCGCCCCCACGGGCCCATCTCTCATCCCCCCCACAGCCCCTTTTCCTTAGTCACATTTGTAAACCCTCAACAAAAAACAGGCATAAGCTGTAAAAAGGGGGATAAAATGAAATGCAATGCATAATGCCAAAAAAAAAAAAAAGCCAAAATCAAAACCCACATACTAACACTCTACCACAGCGGTCTTCGGCCCCGCCGCCACGACCTGGTACGGAATCCTGCAGCGGTCGATCACGCTGCGCAACAAGCAGGCGGAGACGGTAGCGCGCGTGGCGGCCGACCAGCTCATCTTCGCGCCGACCTTCATCGGCATCTTCCTGTCGAGCATGGCCGTCATGGAAGGCGGGTCGCCCCAGGAGAAGCTCGCCAAGAGCTACGTGCCCGCGCTGCAGACCAACTACCTCATCTGGCCCTTCGTCCAGGCCGCCAACTTCACCCTCGTGCCCCTCCAGCACCGCGTCCTCGTCGTCAACGTCGTCAGCATCGGCTGGAACTGCTACCTCAGCATGATCAACAGCCAGAAATGAGCGACGGCCCTAAAGAGCTCCTGAAGTAACCACCCCTAACTTATAGCTTCTTTCTACCTACCTACATATCTGAAATTTCATATTACTGCCTATCCCTAGGGTACTTACTACTACAGACTACGACGGAGGAAATCGGGGACATCAAGAGGAAAAAATGGAGACACGGCACTGGATGAATTATAGCCACCGGGGATGAGCAAGGAGGGGAGGGGGGATGAGGTATCCAACGGGTTGATAGACAGGGCGTTCTTGTTGCAGCCGGAGGTTCATTGCATAGAGCGGTTGCGTTGTGCATGCATCTTTGGCCGTCATCTTCGGTACTTCTGTTTCTTCTTCTACTTCGCCGTCGTTTGGGCTAAGGCATGGATAGCTGGGTCCCTAGGTAGGCATAACATACATACATGTATAGGTACGTTGGCTAGGCTTATATATTACCTAGGCTCGACTTGCATTTACCTACTCCCTATTGCCAATATTCATACGGGCCATGATATAATCCATGTAACCTAGTAACATCTTGATACGATTTTCAAGATACATACATGTCTAGAATGCATGTTGGTTTCTCCAAAGTCATTTCCTATATACCCCGTGCCTATCTAGGTAAGTAGATATATGAAAGTAAATAAATATCTACATATAGAAAGTCCCAAGATGCCGACATAAGACTATAAATTTCAAGGCTCATTTTCATCTTCACAACTTCCTCAATTTCGTTATTCTGGGGTATCCAAAGCGATTGTATTCGTACAGGATTATGCATTACTTCGTTAAAACGTGCGTCGAGATTCGTATATAGTAGGCGTCGCAGCCAAGCCCCCTTCACTAGACAATTTGTAGGCTAGGAAAGGGGGGGCTCATGAATCATGAGAAGAGGAACTCCTTCAGGACGGGAGATCCAGAGAATTCCGGGTTTAGTAGTATACAACTAGATAACCATCGCGTTAGCATCCATTTATCCTAGGGGTTATGAGGAAGCGAGAGACCTACTTTAGAAAATATTGCAGACCAGCACGGCGCTTCTCCAAGAACCTCGGCCTGAACTTGGACACAAAGCCCTTGGGTGGCAACTCAGGCACGGCCGCCTCGAAACCAGGGAATGTGCGTATGAGGCGCCAGCGGAAGTCGTCGAATTCGGAGTATCGCTTGCGGATGTTCATGTAGCTTCCCTATATGATAGATCATTGTGTAAGCCCATAGTCCTAGAAATTTGCCATTCATGCTCTTTTAGCTGTGAAGACTCACACTTAGTGTCCCGACTTTGATATTCCAGACCACAAAGGCTCCTATGTTGGTCGCGCTGCCGTTGACGGTGACGAAATCGGTGATCTCGACGCTCTTGGCCCAGCAGGCGCTGCCCCTATCGTCTAGGCTACTGTTCTCGTTGTCGCGTAGTATGATGCCGCCGGTTGGTATGGATTCTACGGAAGTGCTGGAAACATTCCTAGTGTGGTTTGGGTAGTTGTTCATCCAATAAGGCGGTGATGTAACGGGCGAGGATACAGATGAAGTATCATCATCGTGTTCTTCCCTGGCTCGGCTTCTTGGAGGCGTGGTGAATAACCTTGGTGGCGAATTCGAGGTGTCGGACTCTGTCTCGGTGTCTGTTTCGGTTGTGGGCGGCGAGGGGGGAGGATTCGGGCGTAGTGTGGTTTGCGACAGGTTCTTGTGCACATTTCTGTCTATGCCGCCTACGTGGGCATTGGGAAGTCGGGTTGCTACCACCGACGCCATTCAATCAGGCGCACAGAATGCAAGGGGTTGGTGGGGGATGATGTCGTGACGTTTCTCGTGGATGCGACTAGTTGTACGGTGACCGCAACAAGTGTATTGAAGGTGGTTATTGGGTTCAATTCTCTGAATGTTGAATTATCGGACGCACTCGGAACTGTTATGTGATGTCAATTATTACTGATAAGGCAATAATAAAGAGACAAAGGAATTTTTGGAGCAAAGTGTCAAGAAAAGCGTATGTTGACTAAGGTAACCTAGTAACTAGTAGTTGTAAGGTTCGACGGTGCAATAATTCCTGGAGTCCGCCAGTAGAAAGATACGACGATTTACGACAAGTATCCCTGCATTCATATCTTATTCTGATTGGTGATAAGTTACAGGGATCAAGGCCAGGCATCTATCTTATCGATTATCTACCTAATCTCCAGGAGTCCAGGGTTGTCATTTATGTACTACCTACTAGTAGTACATGTAGTTATCACCTATGTAACTATTTACTACGCCGTATTATCTTTCGAAGCTTCGATGGTTGGTACAAAGTGTACTTAGATATCTACCGGGTACCTATTCTTCAACCTCATGCTCAACATTGTGCTGCCTCTTTTCCAGTCTCACATCAAGTCACCAGTCTACTCCAAGGAATGATTCTTGGCTCAGATATATCTTGCTTGAAGAATGGCTCTTCGATTACAGAGACATATGTCAACGGAATCACACAAAAGTTTGGGATAACAGTATCTCGTTTCTTTTATATCGAATATTTCTGAATTGGATATTCTGTTGCACGTTTGTGTCCAAACACGTATCTCGGTGAGAGGTGAGTTTCAGCTGAAGATCACCCTCTCCACGTGTGGGGGAATAAAGATTCTCCAGCTAACTATGGCCCAATCACTGAACCTGTTTGGCTCTGTGTAGGGTCATAGCTGACCTCGCCGAAGTTGAGCTATCAGAGGGCCATAGCTGATCTTTTGCTTGTCAAGTAAGGAAATGCCACATGGGATATCTTCTGCCGATCTATCAGGCTGAGGTTATTTTTGTGTGGAGCACCAAGACCATGACACAAACAAAAGTTCCACCCAAAACATCGAGAAAAAGATATGCATGATTTGAATGAAAGAAAAAAAGAGAATGCTGTCTTTCAAAAGGTGGAGCTACGGGACCCTTATTAGCAAAACATCGGATAAGTCCGGTTGCGGGCGAGGTTGTTGTTCCGCTCTGGCATCGGCGGCGTTTCGTGATAATGTAAGTAGCCTAGGGAGATGTCTGCGTGCCGCCGTGCCCGTCTCCTATGATGTCTATAGTCTATGTTTAGATGTATAGATTAGTCAGGTAGGCACATTAACTATACATAGTTATTTTCCGAAAATAATAAAAATGAGGTGACATGTGAGACTACAGCATGCCGTGCCGTGGGCATCTACGGATGTGCAATTCACCGAGAGGCTGGAAGCCTACATGCATCATGCTGCTACCCTATTTGACAATTTGACAGAAACATGCGCACTGTCTACTATAAGTTGTACCTACATGATATGGTTCGAATTAATAACCTTGAAGCATTTATGTAGAAAAAGCCTATTATACCTGCTCAAGTTGGATAGGATGAACGCAGTGGTGTGGTGTGTGGTCCCCAAGCATACCTGCCTAGGTTGATGTGTGTATGTATGAGTATGAATTGGTAAATAAAAGAGGCTGGGCTTTGGAGATGTCGTTGTTTGATGGGGGGCGGAGACTTCGGTCACCTGCTTCGAAATACGGCGATCCGGATGGGGACTCTAAGCCAAGGTTAGGGGACTCAAGAAATTCATATGGATCTATCTTGCCTCCTTGCCTGCCAGCCTACCAAACTTGAGCTTCCAATGTTCATGAAGGACGTTGAAGTTCGTTCGTACTATGTACGTGAGTGTTGCGGGGTCGCACGATCAGCATTCCATCTAGGTATCTAGTGCTTATAATACATAGTATAATATATACTGCTAGGTAGGTAGGTAGGTAGTAGGTACAGTAATTAGTAGGTGTTGGAATGCTGGAAGTTGGATGAGGGCAAAACGTGGGTAGGTATCTACGTAGTTATCTATTCTCAACACTTCCACATGCATCATAAATAGCCTCCAATATCAACCGGCCAAGGCAAAAATCAACTTCGTAAAGTGCATGCATAGGTAGGTAGGCAAGCGAACCATTTAGGTCGTATGCATCGTCACGCTTCGGATTTCTGCAGTCCTACCCTCTTTGTCTGCAATACGAGAATCTCTGCTTTATACCAACTCCCTAGGGTTGACAGACTAGCAAAGTTCGGGACTCGGGAGGCGTAGCAACCAAAAAAAAACGAGGGGGATGGCAAAATGTTCGCTTTCCCCAAATGGCATCTGATCTTACTATGGACCAATGAAAATGCCCGCAGCAGAATGCCGAACACAAATACTCCATACGGTATCGTCGTAGGTTTTCGCATACATGCATACATATGTATGTACGTTGATATTCTCGCACCAATAACTGCACTTGTGGGTTACAAACACCGACATCTAGGAGGTATTTATAGTGGACGATGTGATCACCGTCCAACCTAGATATCGGACGATAGTTACAGATGATCGGCGGTAAATGTTGTGACTTCAACTGACAAGCTCGAACTATGTACCAACTTACTTTGATACAATTTTATTTTTTCTTATTTGTTCTAAAGTAAAACATTTGCAAGCAAACGATCCAAAGCTACCATGTGGGCATACTACTAGGTACTAACCTAGGTACCTAGTATGTATGGATTAGGTACTAGGGATGTAACTAACTACATATATGTACATCCTATTCTAACTTCTGAGGCTCTGAAACAGGGACCGGGGACATAACGGTGAAATCTTCCCGGGTTTGCAGGGAATCCGGTCGGGGTACTATATTTGATGTAGTACTAGATGCTACATATAAATACTACTTTATAGATACATACTAGATATGCCTTGATTCATTTAATGAGACATTCAAAAACTGAGCACTACTATGTACGAAGCCAAGTTATTAGTCTGTTTTTTAGTCCTTTTCTATGAGGACCACGAGGACGCCAAAAGCTCGTAACTTGTGTATGCGAGTGTATCTAGTTGACAGATACAATATGTAGTTGCATACAATAACTCCAGCTTAGGTTTTCGTGATCTAGGTTTTAACGGAGTTGCTTCGTATACAAGAAACGAAATCCATGACAACAGCAACGGTGGGTTACATACATACAACACTTGAACTATCTTTGATATCTCAGATCTACTATACATACATATGTACCACCGCTACAGTAACAAATAGGTCGATAGCTGCTTATGATCCCTGTCCAACCCGATAGAAAAACAGCCACTAATAAGAGAAACTGGAGATTTAGAAAGCGCTGAGACCACCAACGCCGAACAGGAGTCCATGTCTATCTCCTTTATTTTCCACTACTGGTGATACTACATGTAGTTACATTGTACATAGATAGCTATGTAATCTATGTACCTACTCCATACAGTACAAGATGTAGGCAGACCCCCGGCATCTCGTCTTGGATATCTGCCCGGAACCTCTTTTCTCTCTCGACATTCCTCTTGTTTCCCCAGTTTCCCTTTCGTATCTATGGGCCGTTCCTCTCGTTTGCACTCGGTCACTTCAGTCGTTAGGTATTTATAATAATAATCACTTGCCTTTTAATCTTTTTCCGCCGTATATTGCCTTTAATATCACACACAGTCCTTCCAATCGGATAAAACTAATAAATAATAATCACAACCGACCTCGACTTCATACGTACGTACATACATACCTACCTAATATACTGGGTGGCCTTACACATAACTCCAACTTCACCATGCCTTCGATAAGAAACATTCTGGCTGCGGCCGTTGTGTTCGTCTCGTCCGTACGAGCTGACTATGTCATTGACCCGAGCTCAGTGTCTTTATCCGACAGAAGTAGGCCGAAGCTTTCACGATCCTAACAAGAAGTCTTGAGTTGGTGACTAACACGATATCCAGATAATTGGTGCCAGTCTGAGAAGAGCACGTGCCCATTGATCTGCCAACAGACATCTACGGGGTCGACCTTAGTTAACGATTGCGATCCGGTAAGTTTCCACTATGCAAAAATACGGGGGTAATCGACGGACTCCAGTGTTTCTTTCGGGGACTGACGCCCAGTGCTTTAGAAAACCCTACAGTACGGTTGCGTGTGCGGCGACAACAAGCAGCCCAATGTCTCCGAGTACTCTCTGACCCTTCCGTTCTTCGTTTGCCAAAAATGGGGCGATCAGTGCGTGCAAAGGTGCGGACAGGACAATGCGTGCTCTAGCTCTTGCCGAGAGGACCACCCATGTGGTGCCCGGAACCCAACGCGAGTCAACGTGACCTCGACGAGCTCGGCCCCATCAGCAACATCGAGCTCAGCTTCAGATGACGGAGACGTTATTTACAATGGTCTAGCTGGCAGCGAAGATGGTGGCTCAGGTTCGACGACTGACAACGCTGCTTTCCGTGCCGCCGACAGCAATGGCCTGTTCGGTTTCGTCGTACTCGCCGCTAGTGTTTGCCTAGGAGTGTTCGCTCTCTAGACATGGAGCAGAGACCATTCTGGCAGTGCTAGTGATGCAATCTTTCGGATTTACATATTATGATTGGCAATTGATGCTCGTCCCTGAACATATTGGTTGTTAAGAGAGGCTCTTCGACTTTACCCATTTACCTACCTATACAACACACAACACCGACAAAACCTTGGCCTCTCATGATCAGAGGCAACGATTCGAGATGCACAACCGAGGAGGCTCAATAGTGTGATGACAATGCCCAGCTATCCACCTACGAGCCTATCGTGTTGCTATTATAATATTGTAATTGGGAGCGTGGGATTTCTCAAACCTGAACATCATGCTTGACGAAAGAAGGAAGGAAATCCCGTCGAGACATTTAAGGAGCAGAAGGCTCACAGCTCATAACGATTTAATAATTGGAAAAGGACTTGAGTCTTGATAGATACGACGGTATTCAAGATGAGATCAAGATTTAACTGATCCGCTTACTACTTTACATCATCTGCCTTGTTTTCTGACATCATTGGTGAACGTGACTCCGTTTTAAGTCCGTCTCGATCTTTAGATGTAATATAGATGGATCTAATTCATCTGAGCGGTAATTAAAACATCAATTGATTCGAGGAGGTAAATGTTTAATTTTCGATGTACAAGTTACATACAATTGACAGGGCCACAGGGCCAATTCCTTAACCTAGGACAGTTACAATTTAAACAGGCTTTATAAGATGGAACCTTCCATAAAAGAATCAAAGAAAAAGGGGGGCCATGTGCAAAAGTGGACAGCTTGATTCGTGATCTAACACTGACTAACAGTAAGGGTACGCAGCTGCAACCCATGTTCTCGGAGAACCTAGGCAAGAACATTTGAGCTAGAACCCATACAGAACCCATTCAGAACCCATTTAGCACCCATTTAGCACCCATTTTGCATGTGGATCCGAAAAAGGGACCAAAATCTCGGCCCCACCAAAACTCATACGTAGTACATACTCATAGTACATACTAATTAACTCTTCAATGTTCTTCTACTCTCCTACTTTTTTATTATACACACCGTTGACCGACCTAACCGTCTACAACCCTTTTTTATGTCACATTTGTGCTAGGTCTTCCCCTACTACTCTACCTACTTCTCACCTCCTGTACCCTATTATTTTCCTATACAGACATCTTCCATGGATTCGCGTAATAGATAGCCTTGCAGGAATCGCATTTCCTAGACATCCAGTTGATCAGTCCATCTGACGAAAACTGGCCTCGCGAATACTGTCCCGACTTTCTATACCACCTTGCGCCCCTTGCCGATTGACGTCCAGATCCTACCAACTTCGGTTTACCAGGCTCAGAGTTGATCGCCAGCCACCTTACGACAACTGATCATAGTGGAGAGTGTTCTCTACCATGGCTCCCAATAATAGCAGTATGTTCGCCCCTTGGCATCCTATGTCATCCTAAAGACTACCGCCCAGACTCTGACTTAGCCTTGATGTCTAGAGACCGCTATTGCTGAGTGTATCTCGGACGATGCTCTCATCCACCTAAAATCCTACAAGTACTCGGCCGTCGACAAGTCGCCCGTATCAAATTACATCCTCCGCCCTTACGTACGTCCCCAAGTCCCTGTGACCGTCGTCGCAATTCCGTTTTACTAGTGCTAAGAGTTGGTCCAGTGGAATGCCTTCGTTGAGCTTTTGCCACTATGGCTAGCCCCGAATATGGTGACCCTGATTGGGTTTTGCTTTATTCTCGTAAACATCGCTTTGCTGGTAATATTCATACCAGATCTAGTAGGACCTGTACGTACCACCATACCTTGTACCAAGAACAGCGGTACCTACCCATTGAAACATAGTGTAACTAATAATATGACGAATCGTAGGGCCCATCATGGCTATACCTTAGCTTCGCATTCGGCCTCTTTATGTACCAAACCATGGACAATATTGATGGGAAACAAGCTAGGCGAACGGGTACCTCGAGCGGTCTGGGCGAACTATTCGACCACGGTATCGACTCGTTAAACTGTACCCTCGGTAGCTTACTGGAGACGGCCGCCATGGCCCTAGGAACCTCTAAATCAGGCGTCTTTACGGCTCTTTGCCCTTGCCTTCCCATGTTCTTCTCGACCTGGGAGACATACCACACCCACACCCTATACCTAGGCTATTTTAACGGCCCCACGGAAGGTATCCTTATTGCGTGCAGCTTGATGGCAATCTCGGGTATCTATGGACCTGATATCTGGACAGAGCGTATCATCGACATTCTAGGAAAGGACAACCTTTTTGGCTATGACCACGTTGTTGGTGACCGTTCGATTCGCGATATCTGGATCCTCATTATTGTGGGCTCCCTCGTTTTCGGTCACATGCCATTTTGCGTCTTGAATGTCGTCAAGGCCAGGAGACGGGACAAGCTGCCTATTCTTCCGGTCTTCCTTGAGTGGATCCCCATGGGCGTATATACTATCTCGATCGGCACCTGGCTCTACTCCCCTCATTCGACCCTTTTGCGCGAGAATCACTTGGTGCTTTTCTGCCTAACCATGTCCCTTGTGTTCGGGCGCATGACAACCAAGATGATCCTTGCTCATCTAACCCGCCAACCTTTCCCGTATTGGACTGTGATGTTGGTTCCGTTGGTGGGTGGTGCTGTTCTAGGCAACCTACCACGCCTTGGATTAGCCCCTATCACTGCGGAGCTCGAGTACTATTACCTATGTGGCTACTTCGTGTTCGCCTTCATTGTCTACTTCCGCTGGGCTTACCTAGTTACAACGAGCATATGCAACTTTCTGGGCATCAACTGCCTGACGATCCCGCGTGAGAAGCAGCTGGAGAACAAGCGCAAACGGGAGCTTGAAGCTAATGGGGCTGCAAATGGGAAAAAGTCGCAGTAAAATGGGATTTGGGAATTTTATTAATAATAGACGGGGAGGAGCAAAAAATGGGAAATGTCTATACATAGACACACACAAAGAGCTTGAGGCCGCTCATGAGGGATTACGACACGATTCTGGAAAAGGGAAAAAAGGGGGGGAGAAACCACCCCCTTCTTGAACAAAGAAGATTGGGCTCTTACATACATACTACCCGCATAGCCTCCACCTACCTATGTTAATGTAATATATCGCAGAAAAGAAGGAAGATCCAAAGGCTATGGGATATCCTGTCTTCGCTTCATTTCATTTGACTTCGCTGGACGCATCGACTATCTGGCACCTGTGGTCCACTGAACTTAGCTACCTAACCTAGTTTAGGTGGACAATCTTCCCCCCTTTTTCATGAAGCTGGACCGGACTGGCCACATTCCAATTTCCAGCGGTGAAGCAGATAGTTATTTAGAAGGCGAGTGTTTTGTGGTTGTGTTTCGTTCTTGCTACTACTACTACTATTTGCCAAGTTTATGTGTCTATTATTATTATTGTTGTTGTTGTTTGTTGTTGTTTGTTGTTGTTTGTTGTCTACTACGATATTGTATTGTATTGTATTTAGTTTGCGTTGCATTGCGATGGTGGAGGTACATGTAGGCCGGCATTCTGAATCGGTAGAATAGAATAGAAAAGAAAATGGTGAAAAGGGGGGGATGGGATGGGATGGGATGGGGAGGAAATGAATGAGATGCCTAGGTTAGGTAGCTAGACTATGTAGGTATACTAATGGGCTGCTTGACGGGTTTGCATTGCACATATGTGGTGTCTGGGTGTGTAGTACGTGCCTGGTGGTAGATATGTTATACGGAACGAAATATACCTATGTATACCTAGGTAGGTATTATGCATGCAGATACCTACCTAACCTAGTGACATGCTGTTCTTAGATTTAGCTCAGGGGCTGTATGGAAGAGAACAGAAAGGGGGGACATGCATATAAAAACTTAGGGAAAGGAAACGACCACCAGAGTATCAAGATGTACGTACATAACTGTAGGTATAGTTGCACTTGTTATACATTTCTTCGTTACCTACCTAGTAGCTTATAGACTTATTGGCCTTTTAATTTACCTGCTCCCCCTTCCTCCTTTTTTTCCCCTCACACTCGTCCTTGCTAGTTGAAAACCATACCGCGCCATCTGACCCCTATTTGAGTTCGTGAACAGAACCAAAGACAATAGCACAGTTTTGTGTATGTCCCAATATCACGGTCCTTTTCGACCACGGAATACACAGCGGCAGCATTTCTTTTCAGTCTCTGGAAGGTCGCAAAGAAATTTGGTCACACAACCTAGGTACACGTCCAATCCCCCCCTTCTATCTCCTTCCCTATCCCCTCTCCACGAACTTGCATCACACATAAGCAAACAGAAAAAGAGAAAAATCTTCTTCACCTCTCCCCAGCCAACCGGCGGCTCTGCACTTCGCCCAGCGCCTTGACGCCGCTCAGGAAGGCGGTGGTGCTCACGACACCGATAACGGGGAGGACCTGGAATAGGTTCCAGCTGAGATAGTACATGTAGAAGACGCCTTCCATAGCGATGATGGAGCCGAAGAAGACGCTGTGAGCGATGGGGGCGGCGCCTAGGGCCTTGGGGAGGTGGGAGACGTTGCCGCCGAGGACGAGCCACTGTTTTTTATTACTCTTGTTAGTGTTTTTTCTCTGGGGTGGGCAATGGATAGATAGACATGTAGGGAGGTATCTAGTAAGGGGTGTAAGTAGTTAAAACGTACGCCGATGAAGAGAGCCGGTACGGTAGCCAAGATAGCCAACACAAAGACGAGCGATATGACCTTGGGGGGGCTCTTGGGGTCGGCGCGGAAGATGTGATGGATCTCCTCCAACTTGCCGTAGCGCAGGGGCTTCTCGTAGACGATGGGCTTCGCGGCCGGGTTCCGCGTGATCTCGACGTCGAATATGTCCTTCTTGAGACCCTCGGACGAGCCAAACGAGGCTAGGAGGAGAGAGGCCGTGACAGGTTTGTCGGCGGTTGCGAATTGGACGGGGAGGTCGGCGTGTTTCTGTTAGGGGATTATGTGCGTTAGAATGGAGTAGAATTAGAATGTATTGGGTAGTTTGCACAGGACGTACAATCTCAACAGTGGCCTTCCCGTTGTCCTTGACGGTTAAGGGAAATGGTGTCTCGAGGCCCGTGGTAGGTTCCCGGAGAACCAGGAATGCCTGGTGCGGACGCTTGCCCTTGCCGCTCTCCTTGATCGTCAAGAGGATCTTCAAGCTGTCGTCGCTGTCGAACGTTACAGGTTTAGAAAGAACATCCGATTTATCGTTGAATCTATTTTTTTTGTGTCGCACAACCAACTGTCAGCATAATTCTTTCGCCTTGCTCCCATATAACAATCAATCGTCATCGCCAACACCACTTATATATATAAAATAACCTACTGCTGGACATCCTTTGACTTGGCGCCGTCGGTAGCTTTCTTCGCGCTCACAGTGACCCTCGCGTCATCGAAGCCCCAAGACGAAGAAGCAGCAGCCTGGGCCGCACCAGCGGCTAGAAGTAGGAGGGGCGCTGCCAAAGAGCGTGCGAAGCGCATGGTGGGCTATTCTAATTCTCTTTTCTTTTCTTTGTTTCTGTGATGTTCAATCAATGGAGGCGACTGGTAGCTTAGAGCAATTGAATTTGTTGCGAGGTTGTAAGTTCGAGTGCGACTTGGAAACCTTAAGAAATTAGTAACTACAGTAGGTACCTCAGTAGATAGAGGTAGGTACTTTGAAGCTTCGTCAATTGAACAGAACACCCGTTCCACTTTTTTCTTTTTAGTGTCGTTGTGGCTGACGTGGTTTGAAGCTATGTACCTAGGTACGCTAGGTCGACCGTAATACCTGTAAATCTGGGATGTGACGGTGCGAATATTTAATGTGCGGGGCAGTATTCACACGGTCTTGTCCTGGAGAGCGAGCTCCCCCTATCATCCTGCTTGGGAGTACCGGTAGTATTCTCTTTTTCGTACTTGTTTAAAGAGCATTGCAAGCAATATGTACATATAAGTACCTAAAAAGGGAGACATAAGACTCCGAGACTTTAAATATGCATGCTCAAATTACAGCCATGAGCAAGACTAACCTCATAGCTCCGACCTATCTCTAATACCCTTCTCCTTCTCCTTCTCCTTCTCCTTCTCCTTCTCCTTCTCCTTCTGAGGCTGGCTCATAAAACCATCCAACTCCATCCACTCCGCCGCAAACGCTGTCACAATCTTCGCCCAGTCATCCACCGTCGCTGGGTCCAAGTGCTCCCCGTCATCGTCCATCGTATGCCACGTAACGGGGAACGGGAAGGGAATGATATGCAGAACCTCCACTCCTCGCACCAGAAACGGCACGTGATCATCCTGAATATACCCCTTCGTGAACTGGGCCGCCTCCTTCCCCGCGTCCGAGAGAAAGGGCTGCTTCGATTCCGTCCGCAGCAGTCCGAGCTTCCGCATCCGCTCTTCGATCTTCGCCATGCCCAAGTACGCCCCGTGCGTCGGCAAAAAGTACGACGGCACGCGAGGATCCGCCGCCCCGAGCAGGTCTATGAGCAGGAAGAGGCTGATCGACTCGAGCGGGGTCCGGTACGCCGAGTTCGCGGGGTGCACTTCCGCGTCCCAGCTCTCGGCCAGCGCGCGGGCGCCGTATAACGAATCCGTGGCCGTCCAGCTGACCCAGGCCTCCTCACCGTCGAGCAGCAGGATCTGCACGCCCTTCTCGTCGTCCTCGAGCCCCATGCCCGCGTCCCCCGCCGCCTCCACGGCCTCCCACTTCCGCGTCAGCGCATCGTCGATGCTGCGCGCGACGTGCATCAACATCGCACACGGCGCCGCGCTGTCCGTGGCCCCGACGAACCCGTCCGGCTGGTGCAGGCTGTCGTAGTGCGCGACCAGCGTCAGGCGGCTGACGTCCCCACGCTGCGCCCACGGCGGGTCGCGCGTGAAGACGAGGTTCTTGAAGGGCACGTCCGCGTCGCCGGTGGCCGGGGTCTTGGATGTCGAGTTGTGCCAGTCGAGCCGCCACGCCGGCAGCTGCCGCGAGAAGAAGTCGACGAAGTGGTGCTGCGCCGCGATCGACCCCGGGGTGCCGGGCACCCGAGGGATCAGGATGGGCGAGAGGAGGGCGCCGTGGTTGATGTCGAAGTCGGCGCCGCCGGAGGGGATGGTGCGGAGGGCATCGTCAGATAACTCCTCGTAGGCGAGAACGCGGGCAGAAAAAAGGAATGGGAGTAAAAATAGGAGTAGGAAAACGGATTTGGTGTGAGCCCATTGTAGGGACGCCCTCATGCAACCCATTGAAGCCTGCAATAAAGCAATAGCGCGCGCCACGTCGACATCGGGACGGTTTTAAATCAGGAATTCGCTAATTAATTACTACGAAGATAAAACGTGGATACGGATGGTAATAATATGGAGTAGCAGTTAGTTATGGGGTACGTGGTTGGTAACTTGGAAATGGATAATTTAAATGGATACTACCTACTATAGAGGTACTTGGGTACTTACAAAAGTAGCGATAATCTTACTAGGTTTGTACTCTACATTAATCTTAGGAGTCGCGGCTAAATTTCTCCGATGGTGGATTGGAACCCTGAAGGTTCCTGCCTTAGTGATGAACGCAAGGGATGGATGCACTAGGCGCCGTAGCCGCAATATGCAGGGAGCATCCATGTCTTGGCAATATCAAAAAGGAACAGTGGCAGATAATTGAGCCACTGACGAAATATCAATACATGGCGCTTTTAAAATTCCAATAATTTCATGCATCGAACAAAGAACTGAAAAAAATACCTACCTACATATAACGAAAGGGATTGCAATATTGAGACACAAGCTTCACAACAATGAACAAAATGTCCAATAGTCAGTATATTACAAGCACACGCATGTCCAGGTTTTAACAAGAAGCAAATCGTATACAACGGGGGTAGTAGACGATGTTGAAAGGTGAACACGACGTTGCTAGACATCTCCCTCGCCCAAGGTAGGTATATTCCCTAGGTAGCAAGCCAGCGGCCATCAGAAACCCATCGGAGTTGCCCGAAAGACGGGGGATCAAGCCGTCCAAGAGAAACAGAACTACGGAGTAGGGTTCTAGCCCAGCAACATGGCCTCTAAAGCACAGATAGGCTCTTGCTGATAAGCTACCTACTATTAATAGAAGACTTCCTATGTAAGGTCTTTTTTATGTTTGTGGGCATAACAACATGATAGGTCAACATGAAAAAAAAAGAATAAGCCTCACTCCGTGCAAGAGGCAGGGGCGAATGTGAGAAGCCCAGTGCCAGTGGTTCAGAGGGCTAGCCTCACTTGCGCAGGAGGTCAGTGTATGCATCCAGTTGATTGAACGTCACATCGGCCTTGCGCCAGTGGTAAGCAACAGCACATACTTAGACCCCGCATGCTACCTTACATAAAGTGGTAGATGGGTAGCTGTGATATCGGTAGGTCGGTAAGTAGGTAGGACATCCGATCTCTATGGGCTTTGGAGGAAATCCGGTTCGGCTCTTAGATGGGCGTAGACTAGAACAAGTAAACCCCCTTTTCCGCATAGGCAATCGCACAACCTACAAATACCAAGTAGCCAGAAAGGCACAAACCAAGCTGCTTAGCCAATTTGTTCCTCATTTACTTAGGTAGAGAGTGGGAGAGAAGAGGAATAAAAAGGTACGTGGTATGGTTTTGCCCAAGCGTACATAGTACAAAGTGTTCTAGTGACGGGGAGAAGCTCAAAGCGACAGACACTCGACCACCGAGACCACCGAGACCAGTCAGCAGGGCCACGATTGGGCTACTCGGGCACGAGCCTATTTCGATAGCGGCTCATATAGGAACACCACACACATCTATCTCACCAAAGCCTTCACCAAAACTTTGATAAGCACCGTTCCGCCAACCCTTGGTTATCAAGCACACCCAGCATCGCAGAGTGAAAGTGAGAAGCAACTTTTTTTTTTTTTTTTTTTTTTTTTGCTGGTGCGATTTTAGAGTTGGGACCCAAACGCAAATGCGCCATTCCCCTTTATGAGACGCCTTCAGATATTGGGTTTTTGCTTATTGTATCCTGCTCCTTTTAATCAACACCAAGTCTCGAGTCCAGTCTCCTCCAACTCTTAACTGACATCGTTTACTTACTTAGAGCCTTGAATAAATAAATCGGGTCGGTCCCATAATTGCCACTTCTCCCTAATTTTCATCATCGGCAGTATATCCCCCCCTTTGCGTATTTTCTTTTTCATCAAACGAGCAACATCATCATGTCGTCGGGTTCATCTACGTTAGTAGGATCCTTGCCGACCTCCCAAAGGAATGACTTGCCTCCTCGGGAGCCGCGTCAAAGGTTCGCCAATTTTTTACATCGCAGTAAGAAACAATGCACAATTAGTGCCCGGGATAAAGGCGATAAGGATGACGAGAAGACGAAAACTGCACCGTGTGCGGGCTGCAATGCAAGCTACCCCTTCAAGCTCGTCAGCTCACAAGGTTGGGCTGGAAACCCCCCGTGCGTTTTCGGGCCAGTAGAGGGATGCTCGCTCCACAACCCCAAGAGGTTGCCCATCGCGTGGAACCACCACATTCCCTCGAATAAAAAGAAACTCGGCATCCTCGAGTGGTTGTTTGGATCGAAAACTATGCCCGAGTACGACGAGGTCCAAGAGAGTGAGCGCATATGGTCGACATTGCACCGGGACACGTCTACCGTTGACCCTCTTAACCCTATCTATGCCCCGATCTGTTACGCGCTGGCGTACTATCACTTGTACTGGGTCCGAAGTGCGGGGACACTGGAAGCGCAAATGAGTCGAGCCGCCTCTCTCTCGTGCTGCGGGTTGGTGCCTGGCAACGGAAGATCGCGGCCCGACTTTTACTATTTCAACACACCCTGGTGGTACCGAAACAGATTTCTCTTAAAGCAAGCTGTACGCTTCTCCATAACGCCGAAGAAGCGAGACCCGGTGTATAGATGGGAGCTCCGTCTTCTCGACTGGCGGCGGGAGGTATGGTCGTTCAAGATATGTCCGCACTTTCGGCACCGGTTTCTGGACTACAGCTTCAGGGAAAAACGAGGCCTATTGAAGGCGTGTATGAGGTATCGGACAACCCGGTTATACGCGCCTCTCGACAAGTCAGTGCTGGATACATATTGGTGCAGCTTGTACGGGCCGAGCAGACGGGCCTTCAACTGTCCGCACTGCAGCACTGACAGTTGTGTCCAGATTGACTTGGTCGAAGACAAGATTATGGTCAATGTGATTGTCTGGAAAGACCTCGGCAACGCCAAGACGCCGTTCGAGCCTCAGTGGGTCACGGCGCTCCGTGAGAAGGACTTCCGGTGCAGACGTTCCAATGAGGCCGTCAAGGGGGGGTATGTACGAGAGGCCTGCCGCGAGGCAGAGGAAGAGGAGACAAGGGCACGTAGACGGGCGGAGCGAGCGGGCTGTCTAAATGTGTTATGAATTCGATGCAAATCGGTGTATAAGATGCACTTACCTACTTACTTACTAACTTAACTGCTGCGTTATAGGATAGCTTGAATGATATTAGCGAGGGTACACGCCCATATAACTCCAATTAGTTGATGGAATGCTACATACATGTTTCGGACTAACATGACTGACTAATATGACCTGAACAAAGTGATGTTATACAGCCCCTGAGGCTATGGAACTGCCTAACAGAGAGGTGTTGAATAGGTGACGGGAAGCCCATTTGTGCACTGTAATTAAGTAGGCACCCTTTCCGTCAAGCCTCCGGATTCCTACAGAACAGCAATGCGAGTGCGGGTGCGGGTCGAGGTCAAATGGTTCCCGCAGTGGTTTGTGGTAAGCTGATATATGAACACCATAGTATAGGTACCTACCTATCAAGTAGGTATGCATTTATGATGTTTGGTATGTATAGACGAGCCACTTATCCCGTGCCTAGGTAGCACCGGTAGTATCGGATCGGAGACTCGGTAGAGTCGATCTCAGCCGTATATGACATGTATATCATACGACATGCACATGTGTGATGCTTTGGGCTACTCAGCAAAGGACAGGTAGCCTTGTCGCAGGTTGTTGTGTCTTGGATGAACTCTAGGTACTGCCTAACCTAGGTAGGTAGATGTAAGATGTATTTTTATACGACCAGACCAACAGAAACATTGACAATAATTTGAAGTTGTGGAAGTCCCTTCATAATGTTCTTAGGGGTAGGAAGTTCTACTAGGAACTGATACCTACTACTATGTGTGAGGCAACTTTATTACTTTAAAGGTAGGCAGGTAGTTAAGGTAGTAGGTAAGTAACCTTGAAGTAAGGAGGCATCAAGCTGGGTAGGTTAGGCTGCTAGGCTCAGATGGGTTTAATACTACATAGGTACCTAGGTTAGTTAACTTGAATAGCGTTAATAGCGTTAATAGCCACATTGAACTGGCTCGGATAGGTACAGTAGCCTCAGATGGAAGGAGATACCGATATGCAACGGACATAATAATTGGTATGGATATCATGGATATCTCATTATAAATTGCCCAAAGTGGATAAAGGCATTAGTAACCTCAATGGGAAGCATCCACTTAGCCAATCGAAGCAATGGAAGATGCCTGTAATCACCGCCCTTCTGGGCCCATACCCTGTTACACCATGCGGGAAAGTACCAATCCCAATCGAGAATCTTGAGGATCGAATGGATTGGATTTCAATGTTGTCTGTTCCCTCTTCTTTCCCTTTCAGTGTTCTCCCTCCCACAACAAACGCCCTGTCACCCTACCTGCTTACCACCTAACCTTACCACCTACCACTATCATTAGGCAGGGGCTAATATAGTAGGTACCTTACTACCCTTACTATTCAGTGCCACTGCGCCAGGCTACCTTTAAACTTTCCACCCGCCGTACATTCCTTCTAGTACATGTAGTTAGTTACTAGGTAACTACTATGTAGTGATTGGAGTCTCCTGTGTCACCTTATACAAACTCATTCTTCTATTTATTTTTATTTTTAGACAGTTCACACTTTACGAATCCACATTGACAACCCACCTACTACCTACATAGACGCCTCTAATTAGGTATATATTGAAAACCCAAAGAGAGAAGACGAAAAGAAAAAAAAGGACAAGAAAAAAAAAGGGTCAAAGGAATCAAACCAAACGGTAAGCACGGTTCGTTCCTATTCCCACTCTCGCCTCGGTCCCCCTTCAACCATTCTTGGGCCCCTCCACACGCCAACGCACACACGCACACAACAACTGCCTACCTAGTACTAGGTAGTTAGCGTCTTCTACCTTTGTCCACGATACCTGCGAATTCTTCTGGGCCACAAAAAACTTAACTAATTCAAGGTTCACTTTCGTTCACGTTATTGTTTCCAACATCTACCAAATACGAAACTTTACTCTAACTAGCCTCAGCGGCGTCGTCGACATTGGTCCCAAAATCACCCTTTGTCTATCACGTTCCATCGTATTCTATTCTATTCTAGTCTAGTTACGATCTCTGCCTATTTGGCGTTGCTTACCGAACGTTTCAATCTGGCGAGACTTCCAACCTATACCGTCTTCAATACAACTTCCAAACTTCCATCTTACAATATTACCATCTATCGAGATGAAGGGCCGCCCAGTTGATCAACTCGTTTACGAGTGCATGTTTCCCAAACCCCGAACAAGCGATCCACAAAACTTCCATACTCTCCTTCACCGAAGCCTTATTCCCGAAGTCCGCCAGGAAGTCCATTCCTTCTATGGCCATCTTGATACCCAAGAAGCCAAGTACCCAGGCCTCGACTACACCCACCGTATTCATCGTATACGACTCAGTCGCTGGCCATGGCATCGTCGCCTGTTTAGGGCATTTGATGCCTTGCGCCTAACTAATTCCGAGATTGCAAATCTAACCAAATGGGAAGGTACAAGATGGGCCAAGGAGCGGTTCGAGAGGGATTCTGGAATCGTCATCCATGATACAGCTTTTGATGACATTTCCGAATGGGTCGAGCCTGAGGATAGACCACAGACGGCACGAGCAACGCAGACCCAGACTGCGGTGGACAGCACGGCAACAGTAGATGAAGATATGGAAGGTGAGGAGGAAGAGGAAGATAGTGATGGTGAACTTACGAGCGTTGGTGTCGCCTTAAACGAACGCCTTCGTGAACGAGCTGCACGCCACGAGGCTGGGGATACTTCATTGCCCCTAGACGAAGAATGGGAGCAGTGGTTAAAGAACGCAATCGAGTCTGGCGAACTTCCATTCCTCACAGAGCAGATCGTACGAGAATCCAATAACCTCACCCTCACTCCGCAAACACTTTTCCCACCACGAATGCTCAATGCGGCACGAGCTGGCCATTGGGGCGAGATCCCGGACTTCCTTCATGGCGTACTCCGATATGCCCTAGAAAATGAACCACTGAGTAGAGGCCAAGAATCACCGACACCGAATAGAGGCCAAGAGTCACTGACACCGATATCGGGCGAGCGTCCATCACAGAGATCATCTGGAGATATACTGCAGAGGCTTTATTTGGCAAGGGAAAGGGAGACGAGGGAACGAGAGACAAGAGAGCGAAATTGGCGTCGCAACTATTCAGATTTACGGCTCCCAGCCAGTGAATCATCTACCACTACCAATAATACCTCAGAAGTGCGTCTACAGCGGACCGCCCAGTCCGGCACTCAAACCTACATCTCTCTTCCATAGGTAGTTCATATTCAACGGAATAACGTCAGTCTTTGACGTGAATACCGCAACATTAAGCGCTCCATTCTTCGATACCCCTACATCATATACGATTTCTCTCAACTCTCGAGGCGTTCTTAGTGCTCAGTCACTAAGTAATTTTTTTGATGTTGCATGCGATGATTTACAACCGGCCTTGATGGCTGTTGCATTCTGCTAGACCACTTAATGATGCGCATACCAACGAGTGAAGGACTTTTTTTGAAGCATATGGATCGACATTTGGCACTGTTGGTAGATTCTGGAGGCGGGAGGAAAGGTCACGATCAAAGCAGTCAAGTCTCGACCCTAGAATTATACACTGATGTGGCGATAACAGCGACTACTTTTGATGATGAAGTTGTGTTGTGGTTCTTGGTGTTGGAAGATGGTCCGATATTACTTTCGACGTTCCAGAGCGAGCGAGTTCAACCTATGTTGTCCAGCCTATATTCAACAACCTGCGTCAACGAAAGTAGGAGTCTGAAATTTAGGGGGCTCCTTACTACATGCAAACCTACCTACCTACCTACCTACGCATTTTTATCAAACTAAATCACCTACCTCTCTAGTAGCTAGAGAATCCTTGAGACCATTGCTTTTGTTGCCATAAATTCGTGAGTCAATGGAATTATGCAGCCTTTTCGAAAAAGGGGAGAACAGACCGGTGGACAGAACGGAAACCACATCGATCGATTTTGCTTTTTTTTTCATCATCTTGCTTGCTTTGAAGTCATCGGGGACTTTGTATGAGGAGTTGTGGGCTGCATCATTCTTATCATGGCCGTTTTATTATTTGCACTCAGCAGCAGCAGCAGCACCAGCAGATTTTTTTTTTTTTGTCTTTTCCCACCCCTCTTCGTCTGTGTACCTAACCTAACCTAACCTACCTAAGCAAGAGGAGGCGTTTTTTGTTGGTCGTTTGCAAAAAAGGTAGCCTGAAATTTGCTGGCGGTGTATTTTTGTTGTTCTTTTTTTTTTTTTTGTTATCGACTTACCCTGGTGGCTCTACTCAGTACTTAGCTTGAATTTGTCCCATGGGAGAGAGAAGGAGATGGCTTCAAGTTCGGGGAGGGCGAGGCAGGGAACTAACTCACTGCTTGGTACAATGCAATACCATGTTGTACTTACTTGCCCCCCGTGTACCTACCTACCTACCTTCCTACGTAGATGAAGCTGTAGTGGAAGAAAAAATGGTTTCACGTTGATATATCTTGTAGACTTGCTGTTGTTGGTGTATCGGTCTATGTAACTGCATGTATGTTGTGATCGAGCAACTATATTGGAATATGTACATACCTAGATATGCTTAGCGGCTTTGTGAATAGTTCGTGGGAAGAGAGGGTAGATGGGATAGAGAATGATGGATACCTATATGAAGAGGGAAAAGGAAAAGGGGGGAGGGTAAACTGGCCTACCTAAGCTTGGCTGCCGACTCCTTTTCCCTTTTCTTTATTTTCCATTACAGGGAGGGGTAGGCAGGGGAAATCTTTGGATGCCTAGGTACATGTAGATAGAGATAGATAGATGGCTGCACCATCTCGCTGTATAGGTAGGTACTTACCTACTATGCAAGATACCTACCTACCTAGGTACCCTAACCTACAGTAGGTATCATGCGTGGGATGATCGTCGCCTTTGCAAACATTGAAGGCAGCCCTTTGGGCGGAATAATGCTAGCTCTAGTCAGAAATAGACGCGTCACTTAAGAGTAGGTTGGGCACTTTCAATAGAAACATTGTCTCGTTTTCATCAATCGTATTGCAATTTGGGTAGTTACATAGCATCGATCATAGAAACCAACCGATGTGTTCACGATCATCAGGCCTCTCTCTCTGGGTACTAAAAGACAAATCCATGGATTTGTTCGTCCTATGCACCTATTTCTTCTCTGTATGAGTAGAAGCCAGATACAAACAAGCACAAATAAAACAGACAGACAGACAGACAGACAAACGTATTGATACTGTTCTGCCTACATGCCGAAGAGCAGGTACAGTAAGTATCCTGCGATATTACATCTGGCTCTCTTGCTTCTCTCTCAGTTTTCATCTTCTCTCCTCACGTTCTCTGATTCCATCATCCCAAATTCACCTTTCACTCCTTGCCAAGCATACCACCCTTATTACCGCCCTTATTTCCCATGTTTGACCTCGTAGGTGTTCGCACAGTCAGGGTAATGGAAATTGCTTGCGATGGCGAAAAGCCACAGCCCAACGGTCATTACACCAATCACCTTTCAAGGTTCCATATTAGGAGCACTCAAGTATCGTGTCCCCCTTCCGTAAATCCTTCAATTATCTAGGGGTTTCGAAGACGGGGCCCTTAGTGGAATATAACTTGGGGAGTGGGACAACCAATGCAGCTCGCCGTCCATGTCCATATCCATATCCATGTCCTTATCCCTTTAAGAGGACTCTCAAGGATACTAGGCCAGTAGGAAATATCTTATTACCTAGTTACTTGTGCCAGGTTAATGGCAAGCCTGTGGGTTGGGGAACAGACTCGGTTTTGCACATGAAGGTCGAGGCGGAGCAACGATAGCATCATTAACTGGAGCATCGTGCTGAGCTGATGGCTGAACGAACTGAGCTTGATTACTAGAGAAGCAGTTAGAAAGAGAAACATTAGAAGCAAATTGGAGGGCTGCTTCGCGAGAGATGCGGGCTGTGAACAAGTATCTCGGTTGTGTTGTGTCTTTAATAGGTACTTGAGGCGGAGTTGGTCGGTGGGAGACTTCACTAACACTCTCGTCTACCTCCACAGCTAGCGCTTGAGATGGCTGCGCAGCATTCTCTGTAGTTTGAACGCGAGACTGATCAGAATTCTGACCAGTTTTCCATTTACGGAGACTGTTTCTCGTCGTTCTAAGGCCCGGCTTGAGTTCTGGGAACACCTCGAAATGCGTCTCTATCGGCGCCTTAACTTTCTTCTTCTGCATTTGAAGTGAGTTCACCGGTCGCCAGCACTATGGCTCAAGGTGTGACCACTCAGGAATGGCTCGAATCTGGGACCACATAAATTTCTCGAGTTTGTTTGCCGACTTCGCGTAGGGTGTTGACTCGTTGTTGTACTTGCGACAGTTGTCGAAGATGAGCTTAGCATCCTTAACGAAGTCCTCTGGTGTAGCGTAAAAGTCGGATTCGAGCCTGGTCTCCATAGTAGCGAGATCCATGGGCTCTTTGATAACCTCGTAGTAGTCCGCCACATCATCCTTGTTGACAGGCTGGAGAAATGGCCATGCCGACTGGTGGTTCTGCAAGTCATTAAGCAGATGAAGGAGCTGGTTGTAGTTGGGGCCATGTCTCGGTTCTCGGGACATGTCGTCCATGGCAGATGACCAGCCTGAGGCTCGGATAGCTTCGATTGTGACAGGATCGATAGGTGTCACGCCGTTCTTCCACTGCTTAGGCGGTTGGTGGATGACGTGCGACTTGGAGATGGCACGAATCTTGGCTTGAACACACTCCTTCTGCTTGAGTAGCATGCGACCCATCTCGAGATATCGAACGCGAGGCAGCATAGAGCACTGCATGATGGTACCACCCTCATAATCTTTGATGTAACCCATCCAAACTGATTTCGGCAAGGTAATCTCTTTGGTAAAGCCCTGTTTCTTGAAGTAACCGATTGCGTAGTTGTCTGCGTACGTAAGAAAGTGCATCACGTCGCTAGTGGCCTTTACGTAATCTTTCAGATGCGACATCAAATGGGCACCATAGCCTTTCACCTGTTGGTCACTGCTAATGGCACAAAAGACGATTTCGGCAAACTGTCGCCCCTTAAATGGTCGATACGTGATGCCACCGACGACTTCGAGAGGCTTCTTGACGATGGCGATAGAGAGATGCGTTCGGTCGTAGACGAGTCGGGCGATGTAATCCTTGGGCATCTTGGGAAGTTGCTTTTGGAAGATACACTTCAGGCCGGTAAGGATGATAAGGGACTCGCGTTCGTTATCGTTGTTCACCACGCGGAACTCGATCTCGCCATTTCGCTCCTCGACGACAGCAGGCTATAAGAATATGTTAGGTAGGATATTGACATATATGCCTGGTGTTTGTCGCGAAATGCGATTGTGGGGGATGACTAGGAATGACTGACCTTCTCTGGAAATGGAATCGGTTTCATGATAGCCTTCTTCTCTAGATCGGTTGAACCAGCATGCTTCACTCGTTTGGCAGCGACTGGCGACGCTGGCTCGTCACTAGCCTTACGCTTGCCGTCTGTAAAGAGGGAAGAGAAGATATAAAGTTAGATGCGCAAGAAATGGGATTGAGTAATTGGGGTGGATTAGTAGATTATAAGACTTACTCTCATCCTTCACCATGGTGACGGCTTGGTTACAGCAAATCGCGACGTGCGACGTGTGACGTTAGCGGTAGACAGGTTGTGTGGAGTTGGGAAATGCGCAACTCCCTCGTCGAAGTTGAATAATAGGAACATTGAAGTTGGAGGTTTGGTCATGACGCGGAGGAGAGTGGGAACATTGAATCGAATTGATAAGATTAGTACGTTACACGTAAAGGTGGATTCAGCTTAAACTTTAGTTGATGGAGACCTACTGTAGGTACCTACTACCTAGTACAGTACACTAAGTACACTAGCTACTACGGTATGTGGATTCTTCAATGTTATTGGAGAAATGCCTAGGGTAACACAGCAAACAAGCTTGTAACACAGCCAATAAGATTGAGGTAAGAATCTTGAAGACAGGCCACCTATTTGCTAAGGTGGAAGTCGCAGCGGTTCAAGGTTTGACTGCATGTGGTCTTTGAGATTTTAGATTTTTGGAATATTTCACTAATTCACACTTTACCCAATTGCTTCAATCATTGAATTCGAGGCATGCCGTTGTAAACCAGATTTGCCTACCATTTCTTGTTTAAATATACTACAGTCGCATATTCCCTCATGGATTCGTCACTTCATGAAATCTGGCAAACTGCACCGGGCAGTCCGTTTCTCCCGACAGTAGGAAAGGGAAGTCAATTCTTAGTTGGATTCACCCTCCTTCTTTTCGGCCTTCTTTTAACTGGCGCATTCGCCTTTAGTGAGCAGCTACTTTTCTTCTTCTTATGATGACTTTAATAGCTAATTGCCGTTATTCTAGACCGATCTATTCCCAACCTTCCCATCTACGGAATTCCAGCCTCGTTAGCCGTTGCGTACGTTGCCTCCCAACACGAGCCACCAAAATCTTAGCCTACCTTTTACCTATCTAAGGTACCTAACTTAGTAGATCTATGGATACTAACGTCAATATAGATTTGGCACCGTTTACATGTTCTGTGCTGTTGGAGTTTACGTCTAATAAGAGATACCCCGAAGAAAGGTGCTACGAGCTTAAGAGAGCGTCGGTGTATCATAGATGAATTGAGGTTTCACACCATTATTTCGGATCGTCAACCCTTTACGTTGTATGAATGTGATAAGGTCTATTATCACTAAAACTTTCAACGCCTTTCCTTTTTCCTTCTACTACAGTCCACCAAGAAAGAGCACATTTTACCATGGCCTCGTCTGCTGGTTCAGAACCTCCACAGCAACCAATATTCCGAGCGGTAGCAAGCTCTACGAAGCAGATATATCAGCTTCTCAAATGCATCAGCTTCACTACCAAGGTTCATGTTCGAATAACACAAGATGGCATTCGATTTACTGCGGACCACGCACGTGTAATGCAAGGTAGGTTCTTTGGTCCCATTTATGATAGGGTTAGGAAGATCTAATAATGTCTTCAGGTGTGGCATTCCTAGATCGATCCCTTTTCACATCTTATGCTCTTGTTACCCAGTCAGATGAAGCGAGTGACCTACCACAATTTCAGATGAACCTAGCAGCCCTGTTAGAAGCGTTACAAATCTTTGGTGCCACAGACCAAGCTGCGAAGGCAGCGAAGGCAGAATCAGAATCGTATCGCAGCAATCTCCGTAACTACCGCCCAGATGCCTTTAACCACCAGGCTTTAGGAATGTCAGGCACGTGTTGTATCATGTACGAAGCGGATGGATCCCCACTGAGCATCATCCTAGAGGAAACTGGGTTGAAGACTCGGTGTAATATGACCACCTACACTCCTGAATCCCCCGATGAAATTCCTTTTGACCGTGACGACCTGTCTTTCAAGATTATCATGCAAGCTCGGTGGCTACTGGATGCTCTTTCTGAGCTGGCTCCCATGGCTCCAGCTCGCTTCACCATCACCGCATCACCAAATGCTCCCTATCTAAGTTTATCAAGCGGTGGGGGCCTCGGTGGTGCTAGCGTTGACTTTTCAAGTGGCCGTGAGCTTCTCGAGGTTTTCTCAGTACATGATCGCTGGGTTCAGAGTTTCAAGTTCGACTTTGTCAAATCTGCAACTGAGGCCATGCGAATAGCAAACAGAGTTAGTTTCCGCGGTGATGGTCAAGGTGTTCTCAGTTTACAGTTTATGGTCGAGGTCGAAGGTGGTGCCGTGAGCTTCCTTGATTTTCGGTTTGTTCCTTATGTCACCCAAGAAGATAACGAGACAGAATCAGATGATGGAGATGTTTAATGCATTACGTTACTTCACAATTCAATGGCAAGCCCTCTGTGTATAATGCTATGCGTCTAGTTATCTATTGGCCGATGCTTAGGACCACTGAGGCTATCTCGGTAGCCTCTCCAATGTACCAAGCTTAAGTTCACGCGCCACTTACTTGGCTATCTAAAATGTTCGCTCGACTGGAACAGGCAGATTTAGTATCAATGATTATAATCGACCTTATGTAGGTACATACATTGAGAGCTGACGTTTAGGCACAAGTCTAATGCTATATAGGTAACGATCTTCTTTACGAGGCATGATTTGTACAACAATAGCTGAGCGCTCAACTACAAAGGCCTAAGACAATCCGAGACCTATGTGTGTAGATACACTCGGACATGTCAAAGAACTGAAACTCGGATAATATGAATGGCTTAGTATCCGCTCGCACTTCAATAGAATCTAACTAAGGTTAGAAGCTTAGTAGGTAGTGCTGATATGATATCGGTACTGTCCCTGAACACCACTAGGGCCACCAACCAAACTCAGTCATTGTGAGTTTATAAGTGCCTACCTACGTCGGCAGATGAGACACTGTCCCCGTATCGTCGGTCGAGGCTGAACGGGCTGAACTTAGTTGGGGGTTAAGCTTGAAAAGAAGCTTATACCTTATGGACTGACCGACGCCCATTTTCCTTTCATACCAGAGCCCTCAAGCCATGTTTCGCCCTGTCTCAGTCGCAGCAAGTCGCCAAACCCGAGCAATTCTGTACGCTACGACTCTGTCCGAGTATATGGCGGCATTGCTGAGTGGCGGCTATACGATGCTCCCACTCTTGATGCTCATCATAGCAACGCTCGTGACCGAGTCTTGATGTTTCCCATATCCTTATTCCTGACTAACCCATTGTGCTTTGATGTCTTAAATGCTTACGATAGGGGAGAAGCGTCCTATCACACGGTGCTAAGTTGTTGGCGACTTGGTTCTCGTATCCTCAACATTTCGATTCGCAGCTGGACCGTAGAACAATTCTACAAAGCATTTGCACGAGGAGATACAAAGTAGAATATGATTGCTTGTTACAACCAAGTATCACATATACATACATAGATACGCATAACCGTTAAGACCGTGGTGACTTGCTGCTCCAGATCCTGGCTGTCAATTCTCAAGGTATCCCAAAGCTTTCATGTAAACGCCGCGGACGTTATCACTGCATCTATCTTGATATTTCCCTTCGCTATCAGGTTCTGAAAAGACCGCTGTTGGATATTATCACAATATCGCAATATACCAAGGTTATATTACTATACTTGAACCCCTATACAAGTCGTGATATTCAATATCCACCCTTGTTCGGCATTGAGCCCACTTCGTTCGCAATCTATCATCAAGTAAGCCTCCCCCTTCCCCCTGAGTTCTCGGAGAGACATTTCCTTACCTAGCAAGTAGGAACACACAGGAGATTATCATCCTAAAGAGAAAAGAAAAAGGCAAGACGAGCAGCCTTGTCTCATCCATGGATCATACATACCTGATATCGAATCACATCATGGCGATGTCCAAGGAGGACAGCACCAAGGCCAAGCCCGACCGCGAACCCAAGGACGGCCTCCTGGCCCGACTGCAGTCGCGGATCAACGGCCTCCGTAGTTCATCATCATCATCTTCCCCCCGCAAGCGCAACACCAACAAGGGCAGCAGCAACGACATCGCGGCGATGTTTTCTCCACACTCACCTTTCAAGCCGCGTCACACCACCACCACCACCACCACCACCGCCGCCGCGGCCGCAACTAAAAACGACGTCTCGGCGGTGTTTCCTCCACGTTCCCCGTTTAAGCCCCGCCACTCCAGGGACTCGTTCCTGAGGACGACGACGAACCGCGCGATGAGGAAGGCGAATGGCAAGGCGCTGTGAGGCGGGCTGGCCGGCCGCATCTACCTGCCTACCTAGGCCCCTTTTTTCCTTTTCTTCTTTTTTTCTCTTTTTCTGATTATTTTGATATTTGCGGGGGTTAATTGCTGTTTTCGTTTTTTTTTCGCTGTCTTGCGTACTTGCCTCACATGTTTCTCCTTCTCTCTCCTTTTCTTTGGGGAGGGGGGTTTTACTTTTTGCTTTCGCTCTTGATTACTGTTTTCGGGTTGCTGGCTCTGGGGCTGGGTTTGGCTTGGTTTGGCTGGGCGTGCAGGCGGTAGGGACAGAGAGATGGGTAGAGAGGGAATGGAGAAAGGGGAAGGGGAGGGGGGGGCCAAATTCAATCATCAATGTCTGGTTGGCGACATAAGCGCCGCGCTGCTGCTGCTGCTGCTGCTGCTCGCCTTATTTCTATCTATCGTCTTACGTTGCACAGAGGAGAAAGGGGGAGGGAGGGGGGGTCTAGACGCGAGGTCACCAAGGTCGTTCGTTGCACATAGGTGCACATCGCTGTGCTCACGTCTTACTAGACTAACTAGACCTTACCGCAACCTGTTGTGTTACGCGGCGAGGCGCGGCGCGGTGTTGAGATGGCATGACCTGGGCCGAGCTGGTGTTCTGATTTCTTGTATTCGCCTCGTTCTTCTTGTATATCTTGATTAATTCTCCTTGGCATCTCCTTATTTATGTATTGGTCGTATGGATAGGCATTCAATTATTACTTCGGCTGGGAAAAGATACAAGTCACAGGTGAAATATATTGAATATGTTCTTCAACCTTCGTATTCCTTTTCTGCCTACGACCTAGCGCTGAGTAGAGGCCCTCCATCTACCGCATCTAGGCACCTGCTCGGTCAGCTCGTTGGTCATTAACCATTAACCATTAATCATCCAATTCATTATGAAAGATTTCCGTCAATACTTATTTCCCTTCCAACTTTCCCTTCCAACAATTCTGGAGGCTTGATCCGGGCATAACTTATGAAAAGTCCCAGTAAGGCAAAACGTAGCGAAATGTGCCTATGCTTCCTTCCTCCGGGCAGGTCGCGATGGGTTAGGACGGCGACACTGACGTATGGGCAGGCGACCACTCGCTTGTCGGACTGGGTTTGCCGGCTTTTCATTGGTGCTGGGTTCGTCCTGGGGTCTCATGTTGATTGGGGCACTTTTGGTGCAACCAAGACTTTTGCTCGAAGGATTTTCTCTTTGCTGCAGGGGGCCAGGGAGGGATGGGGATGGCGGCATACATAGGTATCAAACGTGTAGGTATGTGTGTACCTGAACCGACCTGCCATCCAGGTAGCATGAGCAACTCTAAATCAACTTTCCATGTTACTATTCAAGCATTGGACCATCTCTGTTATGCATCTAAATTACTACCCAGGTCTGGTTTAGGCAGGTATGTGCACTTGGGTGCATATTGTATTGGAAACATGCGTGATTCATCCTCGAACCACGATTTGGCGAAACCAAACCTACCTACCTACCTACCTACCTACCTACCTATGTAGAGGGGTTACCGTCCTTCGGCTACGCCAATCAAGCTCTGTTGAAACAAAGGAACTCTCTCGGATGCCAATTCAACGGTAGGTAGCTTCGATGTTACTTCGAGGGGCCCCAGCAGCTTATCGCCCTGGTAGCGAGGCTTCAGAAACTTGTCTCGAGCCCTCGTGGTTTTATTACTTCTTTTACTATGTATGAGGCTGAGCTCAAGAATTACTATGTAGAAGTAGATGTTTGAGGAATTACTTGTCTAAGTTGTCTTTTGGGGAAAACGCATTCTAAAGGAACGTTGAACGTTTGGGGTCATCGGTCCCGTGCGGAGAAGAGGAATGCCCTGGATGCGAGACCCTGTACATACTTCTCACTCCAGCCTCTGCACATAATGCGGTAAATATCTATCGGCATAGTTCGCGACTTATTAATTGTATTTGCATATGGACAAACCAACAGACAGAAACACAGTCAACGAGGGTTCTTTGCATCACCAGCATAACAAGGGGGGTATAGTGATATTCGAGATATGCCTCGAACTAGTTACTTACTAAAAAGTGCCAATAGTGCCCTCTTAAAGCCATGTATAGGGGGATCCGAGCCGTTACATATCTGAATCGGCACTTCAGGTTTGAGTAAGCCATGAGTATCCCTACAATATCTCCCGTATATATCTCGGCCGATACCGATGCCATCTAACCTAGGGTAGAGGCTGGCACCGGAGCAAATATAAGGTATGTAGGTAGGGGAGGTTTCATGACATACCTAACCTAAGTATGTACCTGAACTCCCCCAAGGATGTAATGCCCGCACAGACGATGCACACCATCGCAAGGGGGGGTGGGTTCTCTTTTTTCACGTGGCCCAATACCAATACATCCATCCATTATACATATCATACATGTAGGTACAGGGGAACTTGCCATCCGGGGTAATTAACGAAACCAACACCAGGTACCACACATTGCACCTACCACTAGGTACATATCACACAGACACCCCGGATAGACAACTTACTAACTACCTAAGAAACATCAAGGAAACCCTATGTAGGAAGCCTGCATGAAGTACTCGATACCAGCATACACACATACCAGCCAAACGCTTTTCTCGGAGCTTCATAGGGTACATAGACATGTTTTGTTTCGTTTCATCCTGTGTGGAAACGGTAGGTACATCGCCTAGGTAAGATTTGGGGGTCAGATGTGACCACCCGTTTACTGTAGGTACCTATCGCGCTGCGTGCAGGTAAGAAATAGGTAACAGGGAAAAAAGATGAATACACTGAGGCAGAAACGGGTATTGTACCTACCTACCTACCTACCTACCTACCTACCCACTTGCTTGATTATCTACATACTTGACCCAGGCCTGAACGAACGCGTCAGCCCCTTGCATGCCGGGCTGCATTGGCTTTTCATCTGAAGTAGGTACATGGCGTCAGCGTCCCTCCCAGCAGCCAGCCAGCCCACGCACGCACGCACGGAACCGAAGCCACGGGTTACACGATGAGACCCACGAAACCGCCTCACCTGAGGACAAGTGATCAGCCAAAAATCTAACCTGACCTTGGAAGTTCGTGCGTGATATTTTTTTCAGCCTCTTGATAAATGATTTCTAGGCTATCCTACCTAAACAGGATGTAGGTATATTGTATCGTCAAGCTACATAATATACAAGAAACACCCTTAATCTTACATCATACAACCAGAAAGGAGATGTCTACATGTATTTACTCTTCTTGGCTCCTGTACATATGTATCAGCCAGAACTTCCACCCCTTTCCCTCGCCTCAAAAACTTGATCTGACCCCTGAAATACCCCATCCCAATAAACATTTTTCACGTGAGCTGCGGAGGGTGGGCCTCTAGATACTCCTCCAGCGTGGTAAGTCTGCCTCGGGCATTCGCCGTGCTCCAGGCAGCCTTCTCCTCGGACTCGGGACCGAAGCCGCCGAACTCCTCCTGGAAGCCGAACGCCTCGAGGAAGTTGTCCGCCATCACTGCTGGGAGCGTCTTTCTCAGCTCCTCGGGCGACACCTGCTTGTACACCACCGTCTTCCCCGTGGCCTTGGCGATGGCCGAGGCGATCTCCTCCTGGCTGTACATGATGCCCGCGTAGAACGTCTTGCCCGCGTACTTGTCGGGCGCGGCCAGGATGGCGCCGATGAACTTGCCCGTGTCCCCAATGGCGTCGACGAGCGGGATCTTGGTCTTCGGGGAGATGTGGCGCGTGATGGCCCAGGTGCCGTCGGCTGTCTTCTGCGGAGTCATGAAGGGCATGGCCTGGAAGTTTTCCATGAAACCTCCCGGGGCGTAGAAGGCGCTCTTGACGGGGAGACTACGGATATACTTCTCGATCTTGGCCTTGGCGTCAAAGGGGGTCATGCTGGTGAACTTGCCGCCGGATATCTCCGTGACAGATGGCAAAGTGCTGAAAATGATGTACTTGATGCCTTTTTCGACGGCCACGTCGGCAATCGTCTTGCCGCTGTTGTACTCCGCCTCCACGGCACCCGGGCCCCACGATGGTACAGTCATGGCGAAGACGGTGTGAACACCAGTCAAAGCTGTCTCAAGAGAGGCTCGGTCGTGCACGTCACCGTAGACAATTTCGGCTTTCCCCTTTAGTTTCTGGACCTTTTGCGAGTCAACATCGCGGGTTATGGCGCGTATCTTGTATACCTTGGAGAGCTCCGGGTCGTTTAGGACGTAGTTGACAACGGAGCTACCTTGCTGGCCGGTAGCGCCAAAAACGGCGAGGATCTTTGACATTTTGAGGTTAAAAGAATATAGTATAGAGACTTCGAATGTTATTGAATTGTGTTATACCAATGAGGAGATATATAGGCATTTCCGATTTTCTTGGTGGTGTATGTATACATACCTATATACAAACCTGCCTGCCTCCTTATTATGTGCTTAAGAGGTAGGCACTTGGATAGGCAACATGCTTGCTAACGACTCCTGTATACTCAGCTTGATTATGCCTATTTTATTGCGGCTGACAAATTGCGGCTGACAAATGGATACGTCCGCCGACTCGGGCCGGGGAACAGGTCGGCGGGATCAACCAGACTGGGTCGCTCGGACTTAGTGGAGCCCGCCGTATCATGATAATGTCTAGGCATATATACAAGTGGATGCCACACGTAATCTCACACTGGAATATACGGAAGAAATGATAGCATTCTCTTCTGGGCGGGCATTGGATCATATGATAGTACGAGGTAGATGCCTAGGTAGATAAATGAGTCATCAAGATACGATAATGAAAAGGTCAGGAGTAGCAATTAAAAAGAAATATTAAATGAAAACTTTCATATGTGATGCGGCTGGCGTACCTACCTGGGTAGGTATGTAATACATTGTACATATCTGGGAGGTACCTAGTATTATCCTTAATCTATTATGTCAGCTTGAAGTTTGAAGTTCCTTCAGAAAAACTGCATGTAGGGGAAGGAGGTAAGAGCACGTACCAAACAGCACATGTATTGTACCTACCTCGGTATGTATCTAACTTAGGTACGTACTTTGGAAGTTGCGACACGATATCAATATTGAACATGCAACTTCCATGTCCCTGTGATATAAAAAAATGAGACAACTGGGAGGCAGGTACTGTACACTGCAACACATACATGACAGTACCTTTGTAGAAGGTTCAGGTAGTTTCATTACAACATTCAAACTGCCAAAGACACTTCATGCTCTTCCATCACGTCCTCCTCCATATTCCCATCCGTATGTACAATACAAACAGCTCATATGTCATCTTACCAAACCACATGTTCTTAGGTACCTTGGGTAGCATTTGAGTCAATTACTCTCAACATCAAATACCAATACCAGCATTGACATCACCGAATAAATATCCAAAATCCTACATACCTCTCTTACGTACCTCCTTAACCTAGCTACCTACCTACCTAGGTCAACAACTCCCCATCACCAACATGCCAAACCCAACCCCCGCCCCGACCATGAGCGTCACCCAAGACGGCGACGAGCTCGACTGCACCGTGAGCATCAGCCGGGAGCTCGCCGACGACGAGAAGTGCCTGATCCTCTTGTGCGTCGCGTACCCCAACTACGACGTGTACGAGGGCTTCGAGCCGATCAGCAAGTGGGCCCTGGGCCGCCTCGAGGTTAAGTTCCGGAGCCTGCGGATCGACCTCCCCGGCGAATACATGCTCTGCGCCTCCGTCGCCCGCGGCGTGGGGCACCCCCTCCTCGTGTACAGCGACATCGTCACCATCGAGAAGTAAGTGTGTGATTAACTTAGCCCAAACTCTTGCATACATATATATCTTAGGAAAGTCCATCTGTCTCTCTCTCTATACCCCCCTTTTCTCCACTCTCCATCTCTCTAATTACTCTTCTTGCTTAGTGCCTTGACTTCCCAAGTGCCAGTCGAGTGAGTACGAAGACAAGATACGAAAGAAAATGTGGAGTGGGCTCGTCAAGCGAGGACAGACGTTACAATGTTATTTGGAGTTATTTGCATTTCGGCGTTGGAACTTGCGTTGACCTAAGGTCTACACGTCGTATTGAAATGCATATCAGCGGTCAGTAAGTAGTATTAGTAATGCTATTGTTTCGATAATGTGGCTTTTCTTTTTCTTTTTCTTCACCTTCGATATTCTGAGATGGGTAGGGGGTTCGAAAATAGGATCGTAGAATGTATGTGGCGATGACTTCATTCAACCCGGCAATTTTTTTTCCAACACCCGCTACCAAGAAGAAAAGCGAGGCTTAGAAATCTTAGGATCAAAGGTATGTTTTTTTTTCGTCAGGGATGGAATATATCTATATACCTCGGTATGTCCAGGTATATCGTAAACCTACATATCTGCCTATCTAGACTATTCGCAAGTTCGGACTTCACGGGCGAAAGAATATCTATTCCCCTTCGGTAGCCAGTTGAGCGTCATGAGGATTCGTCGTTACCAAACAGGAAACCCATTTATTACCCCATATCCATCCCATCCATCCGTAAACGTGCACCTTATGTATATACCTAGGGTTATGGAGATTACCTAGTAGGTAGGTATGTAGCCTAAACTCGCGCCATCGTTCTCCACCGTATAAACAGGCAAAATAGGTCTCGTATTTTTGCTTCTTGGAACTTATGCGAGGCATGTAGGTATTGTTGGAAGTACCCAAAAAAAGATCGCCAGCGCCATCGTCCGTAAGCGGCAAACTTGCCTGGCCAAGCTACGAGGCATAGGGAAACTCAAAATAGTATTCTGGGAGGCTACTGGGTATAAATGTGGCCTCTCTTGCACGTGCCGCACACTATTATCCCACTATGAGGGGCTTGTTTAATAAGCTTACAGGCGCAGCAAAAAGAATCTTAGTGAGATGTGGTTTAGCTTGGAAGTTATGTAGTAGTTTCTGTTATTCTGTTATGTAATTGTATTGTTATGATGATTCCAAATAGTAGGGAAGTAGGTACTTGTGTGTGTCTCACTCACTTATCGTTGTCTTTTTTAAAATTGTAGGAAATTGAAAGAAAGGAAGGAAGGGAAAGAAATGAAAATCGGGGGGCATGTGTAGAAATTTCAATCTTGGGGAATCGTCAAGATATGACGATGTTTGCGATTCCCGCAGGATCTCTTAGCAAGGTCTCACAACAGGCTTCGGGCTGGATACTATCACGAATATGATAGGCGCGCTATTGGAGAGAATGCTATTTGAGTGTGGGGTATCTACTATAGTAGGTACTCTGTGCGTAGTAGATAGTTGCGTGGGCCGACCCGATGAACGATAGGTGGATCATCTCATGGTGAACATCATAGGCCTTTCCTATCAGGTGTGTACCCAGTAAGTTAAGGTATAATATAGCGTAGTGTATGAACTAAAGGGCATCCACAGCTCACATGGGAACCCACATCTAGAGAATGGGGGCCGGATGGTGCGATAGGCTGGCGGAAATATTGCTTGGCGCTTATGATCGTGAGTACTACATAGTATGTAGGGACCTACGATTGCTGTGTATAATAAGCCTCGCTTTGCTGCAGATTGCATACTGCAGCTAAAAGTCCAGTCGCATTGATTTCCGACCATCCAGATCGCTTCCACCGACGGCGCGGAAAGGGGAAGAATGGGGGATAGCCCCCAAAGAAAGAAAAGAAGGGATAAAAAGTCATCATGGATAAATTCTATCTAGGCAAGAAAGAGAAAGGATTGATCTCAAAATAATAAGTAGCAATACTAGCGGTTTGCTGCATACATGTAGATCGTCCTGGGTGTTGATGAAAGACATATGTAGGAACATGTAGGAACCAAACGAACTTCTCAATTCAAGTTTGACTTTCGAGATCGGATACCGACTTTTCACGCCCACACATACTTCAAAGTGTGGACACACGCATTATACACATTTCAGTTTCTGAATTGCTCTAACCTACATATATGTATGGTATGCTTGTTTGTAATTGGAGAAGGAAGGGAATTCAGTCATAGGCACCGATTGATGATCTCGGCATGGAGATGTTATGGGCGTATGTGTCCTGGTCATAACTGCCTTGTCTCTCTACACGATGCTTACTGTGTATGTAGGGCTGGGGCTGGTTTGAGTCAAGAACAAGAATCACGTGTAGGTGTCGATTGGTTTGAGTTCAAGTTGTTCAACTGGGCATGTACTAGTACATACGAAGTACGACGTACTACGTAAGCACGGCTTTGAACCAGCGGGCTTGGCTTTACCGATCTCTGATAACCGTAACCTTGAAATGTATGTAACTATGTACATATGTAAAACAAAAGTGGAAAGGGTGGAGGAGCGTAGGCCAAGATACTTTCCCCAATAGTCCCCAGTCCTGAATATTCAATTCCCTCCCATCGCTTTCCCTCTTTGGCTTTCCCTCTTTGGCTTTCCCTTCTCTGCCCCCAGCTCAAGTTGTCTTTCCAGCATATCATGTCCCTACAATTCCCCTACAATTCCCCTACAATTCCTCATCTCATATTCCGGCTGCTTTGACTGCTACCCATTCCCGTCCCATCCTACGCTTCAGATGTAAATGCGCGTATCCTTAGGGGTAGCCTTCAATGTTCTTTTAAATCACATCCGTTCGGATACGTTACACTTGGTATTCCCATACAATTCACATCCCCCCTCCCCCCCCCCTTATGCCTACTACATGCCATATAGGTATTAGACAGTTCTCTTTGGTTGGTTGGTCTGACATTACTATCTAGGCTAACAATGGATGTATTGGTCTGACATATGGCATCTCGACTTAGCTGAGCATTGGCGTCGGCGCTGACGGAACACACTTTCTAGAGGATCAGCAGAGCGTTCTTTCGCCTTGATCACTTTTCTAATGTTCAGGTGGCTGGTCCAACACGGATACGGCTAGAATGCCCGACGAGTCATGACTGTATTAGGTCTTGGTCTCAAGTGCTATCAGACTGTCAGATCCATCTGGTACATGCCTATCTAATAGTAGTTAAGACCTACATAGTAGATACCTATGTATGGATCTTTAACCTCGCATTCGTTCTACACTAGGTAATTTATCCAGGCTAGGTACAGTAGTTATGGACGAGTTTATCGTTTCGTTTTTCCATCTATCAGTCCTTGTTTCGTTCCTCCCACTTACATGTAGCCCACCTAGTACTTAGGTTAGTAGCCTAGATACAATAGCACTGTAACCTCGAGCCTGCCCACACCTCTACCTAACTGATGTTGCTTTATCGGCCATGCCAGCCAACCAACCAACCACTTCAATGGTTAACCCCTCAGTACCTTAGCCCGGTCCCGCTGTCTAAAAGACAACATTGGATTATGAAATATCGGTGAACTCGCTGCATCGCTCAATATTGAATATTAATAACTTCTACAAAGGTAGGTAGTATGAGAGGTGGTATCTCGGTAGCCCCATTGAGCATAGCCGCTGCCATGTTGTACGCCAATTCTCCAATATCTCTGATACTCTACTGAAAAGGCTAGTGTCTTGTCAATTATCCAGTATATATAGGTTAGGTGAGTTTATTTCTCTTATCGCTGGAAGCTCTATGTAAATTCCAATGCTCTAACTTATGGGTATAATGCTCTGGGTCGGGCTAGCTTAGGATTACCTTGTGCTGCACCAAGAAAATGCAAAATCCTGATGGTCGGGCAACTTTCAAGCCAAGTACCAAGCAAACATTGGAAGACAACATTGAAAGAAATACCCACCGCATAAGAATAGGAATAAGAATAGGAATTAATAGTATGCGACTATCCTGTCCCTCTCTATGTAAAATACTACTACATACCTAGGTAATATGTACATACCTACCTAGGTAGGTTAGTAATTATCATTGATGCTAGCTGGAGGTGAGTTGAATTCCCCGTATACTGTGTAGAGGTAGCCTTGGCGATACTATGGTGTCATGAGTTTTGATAGATTCCCCCAGGGTTCGGCCTGGCTGTGCGCAATTATACTACATATATCGTACATAGATAGCACTGCTAGGTATGTATGTAATCATTGTAATGGTCGCGAGCCGGATCGGCTCACGAGGTAAGTACCTAGCTAGGTACGTATCGTGACCAATATCCTAGCTGATCCGCAGTCAACAGGGTCTGCGGTACATATTTTTCAAATGACTTGCACGAATAGTAAGTCCCGAGGTGGACCAATGGGCGATAAAAATAACAGAGTCCCTAGTAGGCAGATGGAGTACATGGTGAAGGACCCCCTGCTCCGAGTTAGGTTACCCAGGGCTTGTACTTTTCCTCTGCAGGACCCCCAACTCTTCCCGCTTCGCAGGGGCTCCCTTTGACAGAGCCACGCTCGTGTACTATGTACTAACCTACTTACCTCGAGATACATGGATGTAATACCATGTAGACACTGCCAGACTGCCATGGACTGGGGTAGACCACCACATGCCGTCAACATGCCTACCCGCCGCAAGTACATCAATGTATGTACTACATACATAGTACTACTCCCACTTACATACATATGTAGGTTAGAAGATACGCATGTACAATAGAATGACATGACGGCTCAGTAACAACTACTTTGTGCCATGCAGCTGGCCCTTTTCCTCATGTAGTTGCAGAGCCTTGTGTCACCCACCATCCGCAGATCCCACATCATATATGTCGAGTCCTCTCCCCCAGGCAACTGGTTCCCATTCTGTATGCTCGAGTTTTCCCTTGCGTCGGCCTCCACCATGATGCTATCCAAACCGGGCGTCAGCATTCGAAGGCTTATCTCTCAACGAAGGTCTATAGATCAGAGTGAGGATGGGGTTCCCGTTAGTACCGATAGACCGGATCACAAAGCAGGAAAAAAAGACACTGGGACTTATAGGAAACGGCCGTATGGTTATAAAAAACGACCACCGCCACCTATTATAGTCAGTAGAGAACAAAGCATCCATGACATACTCAACTCAATACCGCCACTCCCGCCATACGAAATACCACGTTCCTCCGAGGCACGCTTCACAGAACCACGTTCTTCAGAGAGTTCGTTGAATAGTTACGAGCATTACCAAGAGGGCCCTCGATCAATCGACTCAAAGAGGTCTAGGTCACCTCTTTGTTCGACCTCCTCGTCAAAGGACGCTCAAAGCCAGGAATCGCTCCAGCTTCCCGGCACCGCTAGTTACAAGGGCGATGGATCTCCTCCTAGATCTGTACCAAAGCACCATGCAAGGTCATCGGAGTCATTGAGCCTCCGAGCGGACTCTCCAAGCTCACTCCTTAACTCACCAGAAGCTTTATCTTCCCAGCAAGAAAAAAACAAAGCGACTCGGTCAAAGCCGCACTCGCGACGGCAGGAATCGTTGGCCAGCTTTTCGAGTGACATCCAACAGCTAATACATGAGGCGGACGAGGCCTTCAAGGCCGTTGGTAGCGCCCTCGCCGAAGTCCAACTAACAACTAAAAGCGCGTCCAAAGAGCTAACAAAAGCTTCCACTCCTGATTCATCACCAATCTTGAAGCCAACACCTGTGGTTTCTCCTGATCAAATGCAGAACTCACCCCGTGCCCCAGCGGTATCTCCAATACTCGCACCTAACCGAAACATCGCTGTGTCTAATGGAGTCAAGAGGAATAAGTCCAAGAAGTCCAAGAAGGCCATGGCAATGAAATCGTACCGAAAAGCCAATGCGGCCAAGCCGGCAAAGAATGGTCCAAGGTGGACCCTTTCCGATAACGTAACAGAGCTATTCAGCGGGAAACTCTTTCATAGAATTGAGGTAGATGAGATGCTCACACCGGGTCAGCTGGAAGCGTATAAACTGCGCCGGCTGTCCATAATGCAGTCGAAACAGACGAAGAAGTCGACTGAGACCATCGACGCCGAGGCGAGCGATACGCCGATTGAGCCATTTCACCTCGAAGATCTCTCTTCCCGAATCGGATCAGCCGGCATTATCAATGACAACGGACCGATTGAGGGAAAGCATGCCTCGCCAAGTCTTGACCCTGTCGTACGACGGGATTTCTCGGTAGATTCGCAAAACGAGGATCATCGTCCCAATGAATCCCACTCGGCATCATCGCAGACAGATATCGGAGAAGAACAAGCAGAATACAAGAATGCCACATACCCCACACCACCAATGAGGCATCCCGCACGATTTGGTGGGCGAAACCAAAAGACCTCATTACCGAGCATTCCGGAAACGAGCACCATCACATCACCAATAGAGGAGCCCATCCATGGACAGAGCTTTATCGGCTCACAGGATATGGTAGTGGATTCCAATTTTGTTTTTCTTCAATCAGCACCGTGCTCCGTGACGTGCCCTTCATTCCGGCAAGGTCCGATCCGACTAGCCAAGTTGGATCTCATGCCGGATATGAAGGTCGGAGCCGACGAAGGCCTGGACTGGACGGCATTCCAGATGGCCATCGCCGGGGGTGCCGGAGACTGGTTTTCCGAAAGCGACGATACCATTCGCCGCAGAGAGGCGGAAGAGGTCGAGGACCTCGTCGACTGGTTTGGTTCCTTGAATTTCGACAGCATCGGAGGACTTGTCGCGCGGGAGATCGAGGCGCCTAGCCCCACGAGCATGACGTCGGACGAGGACTACTCGGACGTGTCGTACACCGAAATCGAGAAGGACAACCCGTACAGCTCTCACCACCAATGGCAGCCGCTTCGGCACAGAGGCCATCGGTTGGAGCTCGACATGCAGGGACTCCAGCTCGACACGTTGAAAAATCAATTCCGCGAGAGCTACGCCAGTCTTCCGCAGAGCCCGATGCTAGATCTTCGGGTGATCCACAGCGAAGACGGCGATGATGTGGATGTGGTCCCGATGGGATACAACCTCGGACACGACTTGGGAGATTTCCTAAAATGGGAGGCAGAGCACGCTTATGCCGGCGACTTTTACTCGAGCTAAGGAGCCAAGGCATTTTCAACGTTGTTTTTTTTTGGTTTCATTTATATAGATATCCTTATATAAACATCCTTACCTAGGTGCTGGACTCGGTTTCTTTGATTTTGCCAGGCACAAAAGGCGCATATACACACTATACCATTGCTTATGGGAAAGATAACTGGGAGAGTGGGAGAGGGATAGGTTAATGGGCTAATACTAGCACGGCGCTGGGATGGGTTACCTATAAACTTGGAAAGCATTCATTGTATTGAAGTTCAAGATGAAGATTTTGATGTTTTTGATGTTTTTGATGTTTTCGTTCTTGTGTTATGTCTTATGTCTTATGTGTGTGTTTGGGCAAAAAAGAGGTGCAAGCAAAACTGTGCAAAACTCCACTAAACATTTTACAACTCTCTAAATATTACAGTTGGGAAACTACAATGGCAATGGTAATTGGGAATCATGTTGAGGAGTTGAGAGTTGTGTTACGTTACGAGTTCTTATTTTATGGTCTCGACTTCCTACTTACACGGTTACACCTACATACCATACTAGGTCAGGGTGCCTAGGTCAGGGTGCCTACCTTGTAGGTAGTGTACGTCTTAGATGGGGGAACTTACGCGGTCAATGTTGAGGGTAGTTGCAACCATCTATTATAAAGATATCTGGGATTTTATTAAATATCCAAGCTTTTCCAAGCTTTCTCCTCCACAACATTGAATCTACTCCATACCATACAATACAACATTGGAATACATCCCAGTACATTGATCTCAATGTGACAGCGGCTTAAGAGAAAGAAACACTTGTGCTCCTCAGTGTTGCGTATGTTTGTCCTCCCAACCACAACCACACTCGAACCCTGCGTCGTCAGCAACCACGGCATCATCTGCTTGTCAGGGGTCGTTCATCCCTAGTCATAACCTTACCACCAACGTCCAAAAATTAGACGAGGCTTTCCAAGTTGGATGGATCCTTGATAGTCACCCACCTTCACCTTGGGCACTCCAAACTTAAAGGATGTTAGTTACTTGGCTTCTTTTCTTCTAAGGACGGGAAACCTAATTGCGACCAGTCATAGCAATTCTCAGAGACCGGGCATACCAGGTAGGTTAGTTGTTGAAGCGAGCACAGTTTGGCGACTACGTCACGACACAAAGTCAGCTAAGGGCCAATGCTCTATATTTCACTCAAAGACGTCCTAACGGGTATGACCCGCGCGTTGGCGTCGTTTTTATCGCTGGAAGCTCCCGTGGCCATGCAATACGATAATTCTACTTTGACCCTCACCTCCATCGGCACTCCTGACCCTTTCGTCACCTTGTTTAGAGGCCGTTACTACCTTGTGAGTTACATTCTAGCGACCGGTACTCATAAACGAGGTGTGGCAAATGCTGTTGGTAAACTAACGTGATGTACCAGACCTTCACTGCCGGAAATAGGGTCGAGATATGGTCCTCCCGGAACTTGGCAGACATCGAGAATTCCGCTTCTAGGCATGTAATATGGTATGCTTCACCCTGCAAGGCACACACACACACCTTACGGAACATTAACCGACATTTTAGGACTCCCCCTCAAGGCACCGACCACTCGGCTGATCTCTGGGCTCCCGAGCTGCACTCCTTACAGGGGCGATGGTACGTATACTACGCTGCAGCTAACCCAGCACATGGTAACCAGAGCCACCGGATGTACGTACTTGGAGGTCCTCCATCATCCGAAGATCCGTGTCACGGAAAGTGGGAGTTCCTAGGCCGAATCAACGGGATGCCAGACCACTGGGCCATCGATGGCACAGTATTCGCGCTCAATGGCGACCTGTATTTTGCGTACTCAGGATGGCCCCTTGAGGGTGCCCTGAACAACGAAATCTCAGACCTAGTACAACAGCTCTTCCTCCTTAAGCTCGCAGACCCCACAAATGCGGCTAGTCCTGCCGTTACTATCTCCACACCCCAACACCCCTGGGAAATCACTCGGGAGGGTAACGGCACCGACCACGGCATCAACGAGGGCCCGCAGTTCTTGAGTTCGCCGGACGGCTCATGGAAGGGCCTGGTATACAGCGCCGCTGGTAGCTGGACCCATGAATACAAGATGGGTTTCCTGCGGTACGCCGGGGGCGATCCACTTAATGCAGAAGCATGGCACAAGAGCGAGGAGCCGCTCATACAGACGCGGAAGCACGGCACGGGCCCCTTCGGTCCTGGCCATGGCTCATTTTTGAATCTCGGAGGCGAAGTCGTAGCGATCTACCATGCAACCGATAACTTAACGGACGGGTGGGAGAACCGCCGTGCCAGGGCACAGCGAGTCGCGTTCACTGAAGAGGGACCATACATGGGGCTTTCATATGGGTTGGATATTGGGAGGTCGGAGGGAGGGCTGGTAAAAAAGATTAAGCAGAGGTTGGGTAGGGGGAAACCGGATCTGTCTGGGGAGAAGAGTTTGAGGAACTTATTGAGCACAGGTGCGTATATTTGAGGGCACATACGGAATATAGGGGGGTATGTTGTATGGATGGATATGATATGATTAGGAGCGGGAAAATGAGAGATAGATACTTGAGTTATGAGATACGTACTGCGTTGTTTACCTAGGTAGTCTATTATTGATATATTATTGATCTCGAGATACCTCCTTGACTTGATAGTGTTTGAAGAAGGTTGTGACTATCGGCTTCCTACTACGTGGATGGATGGATTGATACCTAGGTATAATGGCGACGAGATGTACCTATCCAGTACGGTAGTAACTGGGTTTAAACAAAGAAGATTGGCTAAATCTAAGAGGTCACTTGGGCACCGTTCAAAGAAAACAACATCCCCGGGCACGCCGATTTCAAACCATGGAACTCGGTCCGGCTCCGCGATGGGTAGGTATATATGTATGTACCTGATAGGTTTACCTACCTATCTTCCCTTGGAAACTACAAGATAAAAAGAGTTGGGAATTGCAAAAAAAAAAATTTAATTCATAAACCCGACCGACGTATCGTGAAAGCTCTCATCTCGTATATCGTCTCCAAGGACCAAAAACAACGAGGCAGAGACTAATAATAAAGTAAAAGTACCTAAAAAAAAATACTTTTTTTTCTTTTGGGGTGCCTATAAGTACAGGAAAACCATTTTTCCTCTTTCCTTGAGTCATCTGGATGGAAAAAATAGGTACGGAGAGCATCATCTTTGGTGGAAAAAGGGGGGGGGGGGTTGGGTGGGTTGTTACACATCCATCCATCCATCCTCCTTTCGCTACCCGGCTCTACCTACTACATGTGCGTTGCTCATCTGTCCCGTCGTCCATCTTCTCGTCTTCTTTCATCCAAGCAAGGTATGTGTTCCACTACCAAACTCAAAGCCAAAGCCTCGCCCTTTTGGAGAGCATATTAAAGCTTGTTCGTAGCCCACCCGTGGCGTCTCTCATATTAGACATTAATAACGAGTAAGTATTACCCACACCGTCGAGGGCTATTAAGCCACCTAGACAACCATCTCCGGTGCTCGGCCTCGGTGCTCACCATTCATTCCACTTTCAGAATCCAGTACGGAATGAGCCTGATCGTCATCTTCTGGCTGCTCTTCATCCTCGTATTCGTGACCTCTGTGCTCGCCGGCCGCAACCCAGGATTCGCGGTCATTAAGCGGCGCGTCCTGGCCGGATAGGTCCAGACCCTCGGATCGGGCCTTGATGTTGTTGCGGCGTCTTGTGGAGAGGGTCCGGGCTCGAGTGGATAACTTGGGGTTCACGGCTGCACTCGATGTCACCCAGTTAGTCAGCGCATCTTCACAGTCCTGAATGATGGCCTTGCTGGCTTCGTAACCATCATAAGCGGCGCGGGTTTCGCCAGGCGTTACGGGTGTGTCGTCAACCAGCTCAAGCAAATGCTTTCCGTAGCCGGCAATAATGGCGACCTTTTCGCAATGCTCTTGCATAGCATCGAACTGGTAAGTGTAGGCAGCCTTTAGCTTCTCGCGGGTGATGTTGGATAATTGAGCCTCGGCAACAAGTGATTCAGCTTCGGCGCGGACGAGTTCTTGCTCAAGGACAACAATCTTGGGCGAGTTGGGTTCCTTGTACTTGAGCTGGGCAATCTGGTCGGCGATCTTCTGTTTGCCTATTATGACGTTAGTGGCTGAAATTGGGATGAAAGCTTCCCACAGGATACTCACGGTCCCGACTTGGCTGTACGGATGCCTCAATGTTTCTAATACTCTTCATGGTAACACGGTATTGATCGTAACGATCGACGTACTGATCTTCGAGTTCGCCGATCTCGTAGAGTAACACCCCAAGTTTGTCGGTCACATCGGAAACGTCTTCATCGCCAGCTTCACCCCAAAGGGAGAGTTGTTGCTAAACAGGTAAACGCATTAGCAAGACGTACTTTAGTTGTGGGTAGCGAAGCGCAACATACGGCGACCTCCATACGCTCCTTCGCGACAAGCTCCAGACTTCGCATCACATTCTTCTCCATCTTGACGAGCTGGGTAAGTTTCTTAGCGAGATCGGGCCCGAAGGCGCCGGCGGCATTTCGACGAAGCGCATGTCCTTGGGGTTATTGTTAGCCGGCGAATGTCCTGTAAATGAGCCCTATGGACCAATTGCCAAAGGAATCAAATGTCGTGGAGGAAGGTGGTAAGCAACTTACCAAATCCGCCTCTTCCAAACAGCCTGCCGGATTTGGTAGATGACGGCGGTGGGGGAGGATTCTGTCCACGAGAAGGTCAATTATGCAAACCAAAGGAGAAGGCGCATTGAATAGAGTAAGGTAGCTCACTTGGATCTGGGAGGCAGTTGGCGCCCGAGTCTGGCGCATAGAATACGTTCGGTGCATTGTGGACGAGTGAGTGGTTGCGTGACTAGGTGGGTGGTGTGGTGAGAGTAAGGGTGATGGTGATGGTGGTAAGATGTAACAACAACAAAGTTGTAGATGAAGCTTTTGGTTTTGGTACCAAGAAAACAAATATAAGAAGACAACGGTTTCAGAGGTTGAACTGATTCAACTGACTCTGTCAATAAGCAAGGAGAATATTATAATTAGGCAGATACGGAGCTTGATTAGGGAAATGCGACACCTTTAGTTATTCAATATTCGATATTCAAGGACGCAAGTGTTGCGGAAAAGGTGGAGGAGGGGGGAAATATTTAGTGCTGTGATCTTCGTTTTAAGAAAGGTGGACGGATTTGGAAGATGACATACGTAAGGTAAGGTGATAAGGTAAGGTCAGGTAAGGTACAATGTATGTGTGGTATGTATTATGGATATGTGATGGATGCGAATGGGCTGAGTGCATGTGGGAGGGACATCAGAAGAGGTTCAAACAGCGGCTTAGCGGGTTGGGCTCAAGACAAGTTCGAAAAGTGGGAACGCTCAATGCAACATAAAGAGAAAAGAGAGACTCTGAGAGACACCATGGTCCCTTATTCTTCTACGTCATCGCTTCTATCATCGCTACCAAATATTGTCCTTTGTACGGCATAGTATTCTTTCAGCCCCACAAAAGGCAGGGCTAACCCTAAAATGGCAGTTGGCCTAACAGAGCTAACAGGGCTAGTGCCTCACTAGCGTCGATCTTGTTCTTGTTCTTCTCCAAATGTTCTTGAATGAGCCGATGAGGTCGTTGAACATGCATTACGGATTGCATGCGTACTAGATATCAATTAGCTCTCAACTAGGTAATTAGCTTCTCTTCAAGTCTGCTGATGTTTGACTCAAGAAGAAACGTTTAAATGGTCATCCATCTCCAGGGCCCAGGCAAGTATGAATGTACTAACCTAGGTACCTACATATATATATGTACATAGTTATGTAACTTGAAGTACTGATGTATTGTGTACCTCAGCAGGCTCAGCTTTAATGCACCTTCCTTGATGTTAATAACAACATTGAACATTGAAGCAGTTCGAATTAACTCACTAGCCACAGTCAATAATTACCAGCCACAGAGTACACTGACCTGACATCAAGTACGTACATAGAATCAATTAGATAATGAATAGACATTATGTAGCTTCAACCTTCAAGGTTCATGTTCTCAACTTCATCTCGCGTCGCTTCATCTCATTGACGCGTCACCCAGTTCTAAATTTCACATTAATTGTATACCCATTTTGTGGTTTTTTCATTGGCATTCATAGTTGCATGTCGTTCATTGGTTTGTACTTGCCTTAGTCATCCACATAATTATATCCCTGGCAGTGATGCTAATGTTTATATCATAGTCATTGAGCATTTGGATTTTGGTCTTAATGGACTATTATTCTACATCTGAATGCTTCGTTGAAATTTAATATCAAGATTCAACACAAAAACAAAGGCGGATAAAGTGTATCCAATTAGTGGATACTATATAAGTTTTCTTAACATCTGGGCAAGGAAGATAACGCACTACCTACCTTCTCATTTTACTGGTCACTAAAAGGAGGCTTCCCCTAATCCGAAGCAGCCTCCTACAATGTCGAGAGATCACATCGATTTGACCACCGTGTCAGACTCTGACAACGCTGATGCTGATCTCACGCTTCGTACTCCACGGAGAGGTAGACAGTCGCAATCTCAGTCACAGTCACAATCACAGCCAGGATCGCGTACACGCAAGCTGGCGAGTCCGTCACTGCCAGATCGACAATCAGCAACCTCATTACCGTTACGTGAAGGTTCTACATCTATCCATGCCACAACACCCTCCCAGTCCGCAAAGAAGTCCGCATCGAAGTCTGCCAGCTTAGATGGCAAGATGGCTTCACTACCACCAAAGCCCGCCGGTAGTATCAATAATGAACAAGACGCTACGCCTTCGTCAACTCATCATCATTCACCCTCAGTTCACCGTACACCTAAAACTCAAACCCCAAGGAAAGTTGATTGGACCACCGATAAGCTGGAGCAGGCTTTGCGAGAATTGTCGGATGAGATAGGCACAGAAGGGGCCAAACTTACTGCACGTCTGATTCACATGGCCTGGAAAAAGGAAGCACCTAAACAGCAATTCCCTAGCAAGAAGGATTGGTTCGCTGATATGAAGCGCATCCCGGTGGAAACAGCCACAAAATCATCGGATACGATGAGAATCAGGACAAAGGTTGGTTTCGATAAGCCAATGCAGGCCAGGCAACTCCTCGGTCTTGGGTCTATATTTATATTGACATATGAGGGATCAGCTAACGAACTCCTAGCAAGTCGGACAAGGTAGATCTGGAAAGCAAGAGAAGCGTGCACATCATCAAGTCATATGCATTAAGACTAATGCCGCCACCGTCCCTCCTTATGGCTTCCATCACGTTGAGATTAGGAAAAACATACTATCTCCAAATACTATGCTTACTTATGTCCCTCACCTACGTGATTTAGCAGACAACGAAGAAGGCGTATACCGTCGATGGCTCGAGAACTTGGAAAATATGGACAAGACTTCTGGGTTCGCCACACTCAGTAGACACCAAAAAGTGACCAAGACAATTCAGAAGGAACGCGCCACAACCCTATTATTGTATCTTGAATCCTGGCTCGATAGGCTTAAGATTGAAAACTGCACAAAGACAACTCTCATCCGTTATATGGCAAGTCAAGGAGATAACGTAACTCCTCAGCAAAAGTCAAGTATTTTGCACTCATATAGCGAAGACTTTGGCTCGCCATGCTCGGCCAAGGCTGTTCGAATTTTCACGGAAGCATTTGATCGAGTTTTTAACTCGCCAGCTCTACGTGAGCGCGCTGTACCTCTGCGCGATGTTCTGTTGCTGGACAAGTCCGTTGATACTATCGTTGATTCTAAAAAATGGATGAAGGAAACCCCTGGCGGGTCTAAAGTCTCCGAGGAACACCCAACCGTCGAATCATTTCTGGAAACATACGCATTACTTGGCTGTCTAATTTGCACCAGTCATTCTTGCGAACATGGCGAATATGGTGTTGATAATGAGCGGAAACGATTCTCAGTTGAAGTGATTGGTGGCCTACAACCTCTGATTCGCCAACAGCTTACGCAGAGATTAAAAGAGAGAGGCGAGGAGAGCCCCACGCATACGCATGGCAAACCGAGCCCTTGCAGCGAAGATTGCTACTTGAATAGACGACCGGGAACACGGGCCCGAGGATGGAGTGAAAGTGAGTCCATGCTCCTCAGAGCATTCTTCTCGACACTGAGCAACACTAGCATACCAGTACAATGCGCTACTGCTGTGGCCACAGGGAGACCATGTTGGGATGTCAACCGCCAGCTTGATAAGCTTGGCCTGTCTCTTCCGAGCGCATCTCCAACGCCCCCAGTTCAGGTCAAGCCGCTACCTTGGTACGATAGGAAAAAGAAAATGTTGATAGGAGATTGGCATGAGCAAACCAACACCCATGAACATCAGAGAAAGGATTTCTTCGATCCGTGCAACCATGATGGACCGTGCACATCCAAGAACTGTGGGTGTGTGCAGAATCATATCATGTGTGAACGTTTCTGCCGCTGTACAGCGGCCATTTGCGCCAATAAGTTCACAGGTTGTGCGTGTCATTCTCAAGGAAAGACATGCCATTCGAAGCAAAAAGATCGGCCCTGTATTTGTGTCCAGCTGAACCGTGAATGTGATCCTGCCTTGTGTGGGAGTTGTGGTGCGTCCGAAAGAGCGAACCCGGTGAACGCGGACAACGATGCACTATATGCTACTGGATGCCAAAACTGCACATTACAAAGAGGTAAGTCCAAGTCGCTCATGCTTGGAAAATCCAAGATTGCCGGTTATGGGCTCTTTGCGACGGAGGACATTGCCCAGGACGAGTTCGTGATCGAATATGTTGGTGAACTTATCAGCCAAGATGAAGGAGTGCGCCGCGAGGCACGCCGTGGAGATGTATTTGACGAATCATCTAATTCATCATATCTTTTTACTCTTTTGGAGCAGGAGGGCATCTGGGTTGATGCTGCTATTTACGGTAACCTCAGTCGCTACATCAATCACCAGGAGACTAACTGCAATGTCACCCCCCGTATCTTATATGTGAATGGCGAATACCGCATTAAGTTTACTTCTTTGCGGGAAATCAAGGCAGGAGAGGAGTTATTCTTTCATTACGGTGAAAACTTCCCCAACCTGACCAAGAAATTGTTGCAAGAAGAAAAGGCGGAGAAGAAACGACGGAAGGCCAAGGAGCAGGCTCGGAAAAAGGAACAAGATGGTGGCGAGAAACAGAGGAAGAAGCCTGGTCGCAAGCCAGGTAGAAAGCCAGGACGTAAACCAGGCCCGAAACCGAAGAAGAAGACGTTCGCCAAAGTAGATTCAGACCCGGAAGATGACGATGCTCTCGAACCTTCGGAGGAGCCATTCCCCGATATTGATATTACAAAGTCGCGAAAGCGCAAGCGTGGTCTTCTCGAAGATGATTCGGACGAGGGTGAGTACCACCCAACGACCGATTCTCAGGATGATGTGATGGTTGATATTGGTGAAGGATCGCCCTCTCAGAAGGCATCCCGTTTTAGGAAACGACTAGGAGCACCGAAGGCAAGGAAAGGCTTCCCTACAAAGCGCCAAAAGGTAGACGAGGACCTCGATGAGAATGATGACGACGACGATGATGATGATGATGATGAGCCTGGGATTACGCCATCGAAGCGCCAACGCAAAAAGACGCGCAAACTTCTGGACGATGCCACCCTCCCTGAGATAGACGAAGCCTTGGTAGTCGAAACCAAACCTGTGGTTGTACCTAAGCGACGGGGCAGGAAGCCGAAACATCTGAAGGAAAAGGAAGCTGCTGAGGCCGCCGCCGCAGCTGCCGCGAAGGAAGCTAAGGGGCGCGAAGGAGATACGGTAGTTATTAGTGGCCAACGCGAATCCGCTCCCAGCCCACGCAGCGCTCCAGGCAACGGTTCGGGGAGTGCTCCAGGCAGCAGCAGCCGATTGAAGCGCACGGAAGCCAGGCTCGAACACGACTCTGACTCGGTAGCCAACGAGGACACGCCGTCACGTATTCGTACCCGAGGGCAGTTAAAAGAGGCGATAGAATCCAGTCCGCTATCGACTCCAGATTCTAATATCGATTACCCCGAGCTCGAACTATCTGGCTCAGATATTCGACCGATATCTAAAAGAGGCCGCCCTAGGAAAGCGGCACATGGTGATGACGAGTATAATGGAAGTAGCTGGCAGGATAGTGATGGTGTCCGACACCATGGTGGCGGCATCGAAACCGACGATAGTGACGACGATTTCCCGATTGATCGCTCCAGGACGAGGCGCAAACCGGCCAGGTATGAAGACTAGACCCCGTGAATAGGGGCTGCTTTTTTGTTATTACTGAGTTGATTTGCGATGTTTTTTTTCAGAGGCAATTCGCCGCCAGGAGGACGTGAAGGCTCAAGTCTCAACCATGATGTCCCGGTCGGCCCAAACATCATCGATCATCGCCCGACTCAGCACAAATCAAGCTCGCTCGCTCGCCCCCCTAGCCTTGAGAAAAGTGTATAGTAAATAGGTATAGCTATGGGAAGAGAGATATTGGTACCCTGATAAATTAATGTGGCTACGAGGTTCTCCGCGAGGCTACCTAGATATGGAATCTACAACTCTGCCTACCTACCTAGGCTCGGATAATAGCTAATATATCGAGCTTTAGTTGATCTGGTGCCTTTTCTTTTCGTGTTTATTCTGAATTGCTGATGTAGGCTGGATAGATGTCTAAGCCCCTACCTAAATTACCCAAGATTTTCGATAATACATACTATATGTACAGGGTAGATAACTATTATTAAGGAGGCTCCCTTTTAGGCATTGGAGTTTAGGTGCTGTTATTATGATTCATGGCTCTTCACATACCTAGAACATACCTAGAGATATAGATGGTCTAAGGAGTAGGTACCTATGTATGTATGGCAGCAGCGGATATATGTACCTAATAGAGGCATCGAGGAGAGGTATCCATGTATACAAAGTATAGGTACATGTACCTACCTAACTTCTTACCTAAACTTAAAAAGCTCTTAAGAGATCATGCTGTTCAGGTACCTATATAAGTAGGACTCTACGAAGGAAAGACAACCAACATTCTTAAAGACTCAAGCCGATTAGAACAATAGCAGATAACCTATGTGTATGTACCTAGGTAAGTAGGTAAGTATCTAAGATACATACCCACCCACCAACCTACCTAGGTTACATACGTCGTAGTATATATATATCTATACAAAACTACAAAAAGCCTCTTTCGGAGCCCAATATTTTTGAACCGGCAAACGAAGAAAACGAACCCTAAAATATTAGATAAATACCTAACCTAGGTACTAAGAAACGATCAATCGTACATACATACGTGAACGACGTTCTATCAAGAAAAGAATCCGAAAAAGAAAAAAAAAAGTTCCAAACAAAATTATAATAACAAAAGCCAACCCGACTTTTTCATTAGCTACGTAGTAATTTCTTCAGACAAAAAAAGCCCTTAGAGTGCGGACTCCGGCATACTCGTGATAATTAACAACTGAAACCCTGGACCATGTACACGATAACTTTCAAGGACTGTGACACACCAATTCCCTTTTCCCTTTCTTTCTTTCCTTATCCTATACCATGGGGAGAGAGGGAGGGGGGGAGAGGACCCTATCTCCTTTCTCGGTGTCGATTAGATAGATATCAGGTATCTATCTTCCCCGAACACCAGTTATTCTCGACCGTCACTGAGCAGAACCATTTCTGGCCTACTGTTCTCCTGCAAGGATTATCACACCCTCGCCTCCCGTTCCTACAACGTCTTTTGCCTCGAGGTAGATCGGCTAGGCAAAGGTAGACTTTGATGCCAGGACTTGCCACTAAATTGGGTGTCTTTCCTCACATCTCGCACCTGGTAACTGTTATAGTGGCGATACCAATTTTTGGCGAGAGAAGGCCTACTGGCATAAATATGCATCTCAGGTCCATACTCTACTTTGGGGGGGTTCTTCGATTCGTTTCCACGCGAAATGAAGTCGTCCGTATGATTATATTGGCAAGGGCCTTCTCTTGAGGGGCCCTCCGGGGAGTATCACCCTATACACTCTGAGGGTACACGCTGGCAGGCTGAGACGAACACGCGAGTTAGCACCAACATGCATGGAACTATTTGGATAGGAATGAAGTGCCACTTACAGGGCTGTTTAACATGTTTTGGCGCTTGTTTCTGCCTTTCTTGATATGGCTCTTGAGCGCGGACGAGTCGAGCGGCTTAAGCAGTTCGAAGCTACACAAGAGCTCCGAGGAAACAGACATGACAGCTCCCCAGTTATCAAATTCGCCACAATACTAGTTAATATCTGGTTAGTATACACATGGTAGTACATAAGTGGAGGGGTGGAAGCATCTTACATTTGGTGCGCTAAAGACAGTGACCAGGACTCTGTCATTAAAGAATTCGTATCCGTCTTCGACAACCATATGCGCACGACAGACTAAATCAAAGTCATGGGTGGCGAGGAAATCAGTAATAACCTTCTTGCCGAAGCAATAGCTGACCCCCCTCTCGTTGGCCTCCCAGTCCGCCTCCATATCAGCAGGGTCTGACCAAAGCAAGTCGTTCAGTAGACCGTAATCGGGAACATCGGTAGGTCGAGCAATGTTGCGAATGTCATCCATATGGCTTAGAGCTGGGGAAAGACCGCCGTGAACGCAGAAGATCTTTCCGGCAACGATGGCAGCAATCGGGAGGGTGTTAAAACAGTCAATGAAGGTTTTCCAAATCTTGACGTTGCATCTTCGTTTGCATTCATCGTAGAATCCATAGACCCTCGTCACGTTGGCGCATTCGTGGTTGCCCCGTAGGAGAAAGAAGTTCTCGGGGTACTTAAGCTTATAGCATAATAGAAGTAGGATAGTCTCTAGTGACTGCTTGCCTCTGTCGACGTAGTCTCCAAGAAACAGGTAGTTTGCACTCGGTGGAAAGCCGCACATCTCAAACATGCGGATCAGGTCCGTGTACTGGCCGTGAACGTCGCCAACAATCTTGACTGGCGCATCGAGCTCTAGCAATGCAGGTTGGGACAAAAGGCACTCGCGAGCCCTTTGGCAGATGGCGACTATCTCGGCGTTCTTCAGGCATACACTCTTCGTGACCTTCCCGGCATAGGCAGCGTCTAGAAGGCGTTTGATAAAATCATCAAGGTCGATATCCTTAATGTCACTCATAGCAACTCCACCAGGCGACGTGTCATCTTTAGATGGTGGCGGTACCGATATAATAGGGTTAATAGTATTCTCCTTTTTCACCAAGATAGGAGCTCCAGGTTGTTGCTGGATATGTGGGTTCGGATTCACGACTCCCGAGGGTGGCTGGTCAGACACGTGATCGACCTCGCCAGAGGCTTGAGCGGCGTTTATGTTGCCATGCCCAGCCCTAATAGAAGCGGACTGAACAGGAGAAGGGGGTGGTTGCGAATCGTCAAGTAGTTTCTCTACATCCGGCGATCTCGGTGCCGATGGAGAAGCGAAGGAATCGTTGCGGCCACCTCTCGACTTGCTGCTTTTCGCGGATTTCACGGATGCCACATCTGACTTGTCTGCAGTAGCATCTCCATTGGACATAATGGCCGAGCTTCGCGGACTGTCCGTTCTCCCAGTACCGGGTATCTTGGATCGGAGGTTTTTGAATGAGCGGGAGGATTCCTTGGTATCCGACTTACCAAACGAAGGATACGATTGTAGATTTCCTTCGCGATCTCCGCCGGATGCGCCTCCTGAGCCCTTGGAGCTTCCTCCCTCCTTCGATGTTTGGTTTCCCATGGTCTCGTGTTAGGTATTGACGAGACTCGAAAGGTACGCAATCCAGCTTCGCGATTATATTTTCTTTCAATCCAACTAGAATAAAATGTAAGGCCTAATAGACGGCCACTGTATAGTCCGGGACTCAATGGTGCGGTGTGTGTGTTTGTTTGTTTCGTCTACAACCGGGCTCGCTACTAGGGAGGATGGAACAGTCGGTCAAGGACGGAAAGGAAGAGGGCAGCGGAGGAAGAGGTGGGATCCGTTTTGTTCTCCGTCTTCGTAGCTACAACGAGTTAAGGGTAAGCGACAGTTTCTTTAAAAGGAGATCGGCGAATTGCGGAAAAGGATAGGTAAATCAATGAAATAGGGGGAGGGATAGAGTTGTCGTCGCAGTCAAATGAAGATATCGGGAAGAAGAGGATGGAAGGTGGTGGGAAAGACTGACAAATATTGCGTAAGAGGCTATGCTGGCAAGGTTGAGGCTGGAAGAGGCAAGATAATTAATCTAATGTTGCAGGTCGGAAGTATCAGCTATGGGGCCATGCGTATCGAAGTCGTACATGTATGAGTTTATCGGCAGTTGTGTAGTTAATCCGGCGGGGTGTGTGCGTGTGTGTGTATGTATGTGTGTACGTATCGTATATGTATGTGTGTTGTATGTGTGTTGTATGTGTGTAGCAGTATGTGAGGGTGTGTGTGTATGTATGTGTATGTATAGGAGGATACAAGTTTGAAAGATTGAATTGATTGCAAATGAGTAATGCCCAGGTGTGTGATGTGATGAAAGAGGGACAACAGGGAAAAGTTGCGGAGGAAGAAAGATGAGGTAAGAGATGTGCAGAAGGAGGAAAGTTGATAATGATGACGATCTCCAAGGTTTGGCAGTTTGGGCCGTCTATTCTTTTTCTTCTCCTCTTAAAAAGGTCACGCTTCTCCTCTCTTTTTTTGGAGGGTTAAATACATTCATTCAAAAGATCAAAAAATGACAATAGAGAATGAAAAATGCGGGGAGAAGCTTTTCATCTATTTCGTTCTGGGAATGCGGCGAACTTGCTGATGAGTAAGGTAAAGAAGAAGATAAGACATGGGGATACGTTATACCCAACCTGCTAACCCTTGAAGCAAGGAAGGCCAAGAAGAAGAAGGTCAGAAGAACGTGCTAGACTCTGTGTGGAGCTTTTGAACGCGGCGCCAAGCAACGAAAGGGTAACTGTCTCACCGTACCGTATGTATTATATTGTACATACTCCAGTCCTTTACTAGTAGCAGTATGTAGTATACCTCTAATCCTAGTATGTAGTAGTATGAAGTTACTATGAACTGGGAGCCGGGAGCTGGGGGGAGGGAGGGAGGAAGGAAGCTAAGAAGCTCGAGGTACCAGGTAGGTTAGGTATGATGTACCTTATGTAGGTCTGGTAGGTCTGGTAGGTCTGGTAGGTCTGGTAGGTCTGGTAGGTAGTCTTTTAATCTTGAGAGTCTCGATCTGGTCAGATTGCTATCTAACCTACTACATAGTAGGTATACAGCCAAGACAAGGGGAAGAACTTAGTTATCTCTTTTATTTAGGTAGGTATTATAAATTATTGTATTATCTGTCCTTCTTCTTGCTGTTGCTGGTAAAATGCGAATACGTGTGCGTGTGCGTATGACAAGAGGAACGTCGAGTTACAGTTTCGAGGCGGATAGAGAAGATAGTAGTTGGGCTAGATTGGCCTAATCGTTACAATGCACGAGTTGCAAATGGAAAAGGGAGAAGAAGAAGAAAAAGGTAGTTGCTTTATTTAGGATAGGATGGGGCTCCGGTTGTGGTTCCTATAGTTCCTTTGAGCAACCAGGTTGGACCAGGTAGGACAATGAATGCAGCACGTTGGAATTCCGGGCGTCGTGATAAGTTGGTTCAATGTTTGGCTGAATGCTTGAGAAGACCATTTGAACATTTGAGCATCAATTGATTTATTTGAATTTGAACATTCAAGAGAGAGAAATACATACATATACATGCATGTGGAACACTACCCCAGGTATATTATTTGAGGAAGGTTCAAAATGTTCAAGGTCCCGACTTGTTGTTTTTGTTCAAATGATTCAATTCAATCTCCAAATGCTATTCTAAGTTAGGAGTCGCTACTTGTCACTACAGCTAAATCGTATGGTCCGTGACGCCGTTTAACGGAAGGAGCTTTGAACTTGCAAAGTGCTAACCTTCAATGTTAGCTAACCTAGACCGCTATGTACTACATACACTACATACACTACTGTCACTACATACCTCATACTATGTAGTAAAGTAATATTTTGGCGGGGCTCCGTCCTTCCGGCTCGAGTCAAGTGACTCAAAAGTGATAAATTCAATTATTGAAATCCAAACATGTTTGTCTGCCCAACTCCATATTTTTGTCAGGTACTAGGTTAACTAACTACCCTACCTACCTAGTAGCTAACTACTAGCAGTAAAAAGGTTCAAACGTTGTCAGGTATGTAATGTAAAATCGTAAACGTATACCAATGACAAAGTAATCCGAGTAGATTTGGTTTACTTAATTAAAATAGAAGAAAAGTTACCTAGTGGTTGACGCGTATGGGGTTAAAGTGGTTGCATATTAACTTCGAATACTATCTGCAACTATCTGCATAGTATATACATAGTATACACATAGTATACGTATGACAACAATATACCAACATGTACCTATAGACATGAACCAATGTAATAGATATTAAAAAAACCCCAACTTCACTTCAGTGCTGACTTCTGAAATCTGCCAGGTACGGCAGGAGATCAGGCCTCTACCCTGCCCTATCCTACCTTACCTTACCCTACTCTCAAAATTGCCCAAAAAACTAATGATACTACTGCATGAGTTTGGATATCGAATGGACAACCGAGCGGCCATTTCAGGTCGATCAAGGTGACATGCAGGCGGGAGCAATCTAGTCAAAATTGCTGAGCCTCCAATGGGACACTGGATATCCCGTCGATCAGGGAGCGCAATGCTACCTGCTGCAAAGATCTCGACTGTGAGCCCGGCTTTTGTTCGTCTCTTTGATTCCTTCTTGCCCAAAACGGATAGTAGCAGTTGGGTTGTGTCGTCCGATAGGTACAAGTACTAATTATGTAGTATATGTAGGTAGGTAGGTAGGTAGGTAGGTAGGTAGGTAGGTAGGTAAGTATGTAGTAAATATCTATCATCGATATCGAATGCTTAGCCGTTTCGAGTTTGCTAAGTGTCTGTTACTCCGCATATGCCTACATGTAGAAAAAATAATCTGCAGATAAAATCTTCGCATATCCCAATGTGAAGTAAGTCTTGATAAAACACGATGCTTGGCAGTAGCCGCGACAGGCACATTGTAGCATCAATGCTATGTAGTGTAGGGAGGCACCGCATTCTTCTCGACCGTCTTGGCTCTGCTTTACCAGACCTGCTTACTTGGCGTCTGTCACCTCAACTTCGGCTTCCGTTTCTATTGGAGTTCGACCAAAAGCTTGACACTGCAATTAATACCGGTATCGTGGCAGCTGCATACACGCCCGCCTGTGGTAGCAGGTCTGCATTGATTAGCCAAGAATATGTTCCAGATAAGCAGAGGGCTAAAGGATAACGCCCCAGGTTGGTGGAGGAGTGGCCCAATAAAATCCCGTGGCGTTGTGTCGTCTCGTGTGCTGGCGAATCGTTGGATGTCTCTATAGTATAATATATCACGGGTAGTGTAGCACGTGGAAATTCGACACCGCCATGTTCAGGGATTTCATGATTCGAAGGAACATCCTCCTATTCGCCGTCACCCAGCACGCGACGGTTCAATGGTATGGGGACGGCACGTTCGTCACCGCCGTAAGATATTTTAGCAACAAGCACGAGGGTTTTTTGAACGTTGTTAATGTTAGGGCCGTGAGATACGTAGCACTAAGTCAAGATCAACAGGAAAAAGGCCTGATAATCTCACACTTACGAGTCAGGTTTATGATATATCGCTTATTCCGTCATTAGACCGTTGCAACAGCAATTAGAAAGATGCTCGTGGCTGGATCGTGATTGGGTCGGCGGGTAGGATATTTTCATGTCTGCGAAACCGTCTCGGAATGGTATACGTCGTAATTAAGAAGCTTCTCGATTGAGAAGCTTATTACTAGACAATAAATTGCAGATTGGAGATAGGGGCAATTAGGCAAGAAAGGTGATGTTGAGATCCTTCTCCAACGTGTGCTGACAGGCCCGAACTGATCCGGTCGGTCGGTGTGTCCCGGACCAGGTAATGGTCTAGAATGTCAGGTTATGTACCTACTCCAAAGTGAGCTTTTGTCTGCATCTTGAAGACACCCAGTCGGGTAGGGCTGGAGGGGTGGAGGGTTGGAGGGTTGGAGGGTCGTTTTTCTAGCTCAAGATAGCCCGGAACCCGGCAGTTCAGAAATTACCCCATTGTATAAAGTAAGGGGTCGGTGATCCGGAGAGTTTTCGTTTGTTTGCTTGCTTATTATTTGTAAGATCGAAATCGAATATGACGAAGAAGCGAGTGATCTCTTGGAAGTTGTGAGCAACTACCTGCCTACATATGTAGGTACTAGATTGGAGATTGGAGAAGTACATATTGTATTGTACATATTGACTGTTTAAGGCTTCAATTTAAAGCTTTAGCTTCCGGATTCCTATTTTTAGTCAGAGCCTTGAGAGATCCAATTCTTAAATCTGCCCCGCAGCTTACGTACAAAAACTATCGCTCTGCTCTGCCACTTAATACATAGTACCGACGAACCCCGCCAAGTCCCGCTAGACAGCCCAAGCCACATTTACAGAGCTGGCCTTGGTCCGAGGTCGTATGTCCATTGTCCATTGTCCAGACTCCAGACTCCAGAGCTCGGCTTGATCAAAAGAGCCTTTCCGCATAGGATCTCATTCTTAAAGCCATATTCCGGATCCTCCTATCAATCCCCCTTGTTTCTGATTCCAACGTCTCTAACACGGTAACACCCTACCGAACTGCTAGGTAGCCTAGGCTATCTACTAACTGCCTAGGTAATTAATTATATACCTGCTATGCATAGTCCTTATCTGATCCTAGCGCTATTGGATATATGCCTAGGTTAGGTTAATGATATTGGCATACTTCGTATAATCATATTCCTTCGATATTGATCTGATTTTGATAAGTCAGCAAGTTTGGATATAATTCAAAAAAAAAATGAGTGTAGAGAGGGGTGTGGAGGACGCGTCAAGATGCATTGCCTCCTTCGAACTCGAGAAAGCTAACGCCACAAGCCCACGAATGTGAACATCCAGGACACGCAATACACGCAATACACGCAACAAGCAAGACGCCTATTTCGAATAGAATCTACCAAAGCGAAATTTTCTTTGGACCGTTAGTGAGGATGATCTGCATTTCCTGCGACCATATGGGCTGATCAACACGGCTAAATCCACTTAAATTATCTCTCTTTTTTTTAATGTTCCCTTGATATTTTTTAGTTTCTTGGTGGTAGTACCGTAGTAATGTACTACTAATAGTACCTGACGTACTAAAGTAATGTTGTTGTAACACACGAAACAAACGCAAATATCCTACAGGACCCCTAACTTAGGGGCCCTAAGTAGGTAGGTGCTGCTTGTTTCTTGCTAGCCGCGATTGCAACTCTTGGTGCCTGCTTAGAAGTTAGGATAGCCATGTGCTATTGGGTTCCTTAAATCTAACAAGGTTCCAAGATTGTGAGCTGTGAGTACTAAGTAGTATCGACCTGAAGGATGAATAACTGCATATCCATCTGCGTTTAAATCTCGGGGTCTTACATAGTAGACTTTTAGACCCCTACACAAAAGCGCAGCTACATTCCTGTCTACGTAAGAAGCTGTTGGGCATCCCAGTTGATCGCCTAGCCCGGGAATTGTGATGTGCCTAATTGGCTTCTTGAAGTGAGATGTCGCCATGATAGTCTTTCAGCTGCTGCACCTCTGTCATACCTTACTAACAAGTTCATTTTGAATCTCGTAGGGTTTGAGAGTAAGAAAGAAAGAAGAAAAATATTATGAACTTATTTCGTTACGCATGAATGAAGTAAAAGTTTTTTGCCTGAACATCTTGATATTCTGCTACATCCAAGGATGTCTCATCAAGACTGATCAAGTGCCTCACCTGGTACGTCAGTCTTCAATATTGCTACCACATTGAATGTATGTATGTAGGTACCTACCCCATGTATCATGTATAGTATTTTCTTTTTCTCAAGTGCTTTTAAAACCCTCCAATGCAGGCTGGGTACATACATACATGTAGTAGCCTGCATTGTGGAGGGGTCGGCCTGTTAGTACTCCAGGCTGTAGTGGGCTCGGTTGCTGAGTTAATAGGGTTTAAGTGGAGATACACCATGTTTCATTGGTGCATTTGTATGGGGGCTGAGCATGGACCTAAACAAAGCTGACGTCGACTGGAGGGCAGGGAAGGGTACCCCCGGTCACTTGCTAGTCTTGAATGCTGTGCTGGCAGGGCTGGTATTGTCCAAAACTGCGCCACGCCTGCCCGTTGATCTACACTCACTTGCGCATGTTCGCTGCGTAATAAATACAACTGTCTTACCTCTCCATCTACTTGATTTCGAATCTCATTATTCTCGTATTACTACTTGATCTATCTATCTATTTATTTACATATTTATTGTGTTTTCCGTTGTCGGGTTTGTACTCATTTTCCTCCTCGACTCCCATTACGCAAAACGTTATCAAACTATATCACTAGCCCTTCGTTTACACGATAACGGCCGGCATTCGCTGAAAACGATCAAACCATAAAAAACCTCTATTTATTATTCTACGCCTTTTCCGCCTCGACTGGTAAAAGATGGGTGTCGGAAGATTTATTTGTGTGGCTTTGCCATTCATATTGACGGTAGCCAGTATTATTTGTATGCTGGTCGCTGGTCTCTCGGGTCTCACCAACAGCGGCCTATATGTTTTTGAAATCGATACCAGAAATGTCACTATTGATGGTGACACCCTTCAGAGCTTAATAGGCGATTTAACTGGTCAGAACATCTCGGCTATTGAGGATAGCATCAGCAGCAGTGCCGATAGTGTAGAAGATACTATCAACAACCTCGGGAGGGATTTGAGCTCCCGCGACCCGGCTCCGCAAGATGTGACCAGCATTATTGAAGGTATCACTGGTACGGGCAACATCTCCGCATCTGACCTTGGAATCGACAACGTATACGACTTCACTCTTTGGAACTATTGCACCACGCCCCAGAACGGAAGCGAAAAGACATGCACCAAGGCCAAATTCAATTGGGCTGAAGAAGATCTCAGCACCGAGTGGGTCGACAAGTTCAACGAGCGTCTCGGAGGTAACATTACCGTTCCCGAAGATATCGAAAATGGCTTGTCTACTTTCAAAACCCTTCTAAAGTGGACCGAAGTAGTCTATATTATTGCTATGATTGGACTGGGTCTAGAACTCGCAATGGGCCTGTTCACCGCCTGCTCTCGTGCGATCTCGTGTCTGGTTTGGGTCATCTCTGGTGTGGCTACCCTTGCTGTTATCGCCGCCGCTGCCATGATGACTGCCTTGGCTATGGTTGTAGTTGGTATCGTTAAAGCTGCTACTTCGCAGTATGGTGGAGATGCATCTTATAACAAGAACTACCTGGCTTGTGTTTGGGTTGGTGCTGCCTTCGCTGTCGCCGCAAGCCTATTCTGGATGTTCTCTGCCTGCTGCTGCAAGTCTGAGCATCGTCCCTACAAGCGAGGAGTCAACGGCTCCGAGGGCGAGAAGTTCATTCCCACTGGCTCGTACGCGCCGCTTGGTGAGCCGAACCGCAACTCTGGTTACAGCAACTATGCTGCCCCGCAGCGTGGTGGTGCCCGTTCAGACCTGGCCTACGAGCCATACTCTCATGCTCGTTAAATGCAAGAAATATATTTTTACTAGGACTGGAGGAGATGGCTGGCGTGCGATAATCTAAGTGTCACCATGGTATTACTTTTGCATTGTGCCGGCGTTACTGGCTTGGGAATGATGAGACTGGATGATTGTGGTATCTGAAGGCTGAAGGAAATAGATCAAGGGCTTTCCTGGATTGAAGAGAATACCCGGGCGATTATGATAGTTCTCATTTCAAATATAATGAACCAAATGAATGACAATGATGGGCAAACATGTTTTTGTTGTTTTTGTTGCTGAATGTTGATATTTATCCAAAAGTGATTGATTGCGCAAGACTCGAGTCGAGATAGTACACAGACATTGGCCAATCACGTGTATGTCAAATATGTTCTATAATATATTACTATTTTTTTCTCTCTAAACCTTAGGAAGCTTTTGAAAAGTTTATTTATAAAGCAATGTGCGACTAAAGAAACCATTTAACTTCAAGATTGTCGAAACATTAAATCAGGCATCTTTCATTGTAACAGTAACCAGTCCTGATGTCTCGTGAGGTAAGTGCGTCTCTCGCTTAACTCACGATGTAATTCCCCAGTTCCGCATCCCTTCTCCCTAATTCTCCCTAATTCTCCCTAATTCTCCCTAATTCTCCCTAATTCTCCCCAATCTCCCACACACCAACCCAACCCAAACCCAAACCCAACCCTATTTCATTCCCTTACACACAGAAATTCATTCCAGTATCCAAACCCATGTACAATTCGGGACTAACTTCTCGTATAGCTGGCTGAAAGTAGCCACCTTCGTAGAGAATATGTGCTGAATCCCATTACGGCGCTAGCCTTTTACACGTCTTCCGTCGACGGGCAGCAGTACCTTTTAGCTGGAGAAGACACAGACATTAAGATCTACAATGCCCAAAGCTCATGCTTATGTGGGCAGCTGAGCATATTCCAGGCCCAGTCCATTCATGGTATCGCCGTACCACCGGAGAATGTCTCAACTCGCCAACATCGTCTGATCCTTGTTTGGGGAGGACAGTCTGTCAAGGTGGTGTCTGGTGATACTATTGAAGGCATCGTCTCTACTCAAGGTTCCGACCAAAATTCTACTACTACAGGTATTGCCGCCGAAGCTAGAGCGCCGGATTGGATATTCGATGGAAGAATATCGCCTTTCGATGACGGCCGCATTGTTCTACTGACTGCACATAACGAAGTCATCCAGGCCCAGGTAGACCTACAGAATAGCACGCTCGTTTTTGGCGGTGTTCAGTCTCCTTCGAGGCCAATCCTATACTCAGGCAACTTCTTCTGGGTCTCACAAAATTGCGTGCTTGTAGCTGCCGGCACGGTGTTCGGCGAAATCCTTGTCTGGAAATGCTACCTCGGAACACCACCGGGGCAGAATCAAAAATGCGAGGTGCTATACGTGTTTACCGGCCACGAAGGATCGATTTTTGGAGTCCACATCTCCCCGGAAATAGAAATCTCAACGGGGGAAAAGAAAAGACTGTTGGCAAGTTGCAGCGATGATAGGACTATTCGAATTTGGGACATCACTGAAAAAATTGAACAGCCCACGCACGAAGGGGCGGGCGAATACGATGTTCATGTCTCAAATGTGCGAGAGACTGGTTTTGGCAACAATGTCCAGGCCATAGACCACTGTGAGTCTGTGACGAGATGCTTGGCCAGCGCCATGGGCCATGTGTCTAGAATATGGCAGGTGGAGTTTCCTCAGGACCAGCCATTATCTAAACCCTCCGATATCGTTGAACTTTACTCATTCGGCGAGGATGCCACTACTCAGAAATGGAGCCTCTCCCTAAAATCCACTGCTAAATTAACGCATCAGTCGACTTTTGCGAACCATTGTGGGAAGCATATTTGGTCTCACGCTTTAGCATACAGCGGCGATAACCTCCTAATAGGGACTGGCGGTGCTGATGGAAAAATTGCTCTCATGGGAACGAGCCCATATCATTCACCGACCGTACAGAGCGATGACCAGGGTATGCGTATGAATACGACTTCGGTTGAGAAGGAAGCTGTCACGTGGTCTCTCGCAGACGTCTTGCAATCCTCAGAAGCAAACGATACGTCAATAAACACCCAAGTTCCGAGTAGGGCGATTTCGACGCCGCGAAGCACTAACCTGAAAAATGCAAAAGAAGGGTTTAACCGGTATACATTCATTTCCGACTGCCAGCTGCTTGCTGCCACTAATTCAGGCCGACTATTTGCCGGCGATTTGGAAGGCGGCCTCAAGTGGACAGAGCTTGCTCTCCCAGATGAGATTGGCCAGATAGTCCTCTCTCATGCTTTGCTTGGAGCCTGGGCGATAAACCCATTGGCACTTGTTGGCACAGCAAGTGGTAACATATACTCGTATAGTGAATCGGGAGGAAAGTCCCTTCGGCTACTCACAAAAGTAGACGGAAAGGTTGCGGATATATTCTGCCTATCCGATACTAGGAATAGGCCTACTAGAGATAGCAAAAATGGCGTCCGGAACGGCGAAGACGAGATCTCTGCCACGGGACCTTTGCAGTTTCTCACCACTATTCTACGCAGTACTAAGGCTGTCATCATTCAAACTGACACCGACCTCTCGGTAGTAAAACATACCGAGGTTGTTTTGGACCCAGGCTTCATGGTCACCGCTACTGCGTTCACTCAAGGCTATCTTGTTTTGGGGTCAAGAAAAGGCATGATAACCATCTTCAAACAAGAGAGGGATAGCAATTATTCGCCCATAGTGACTTTCGAAGTACACTTGGACGAAGCAATCACTTCCATTCTTCCTCTCAGTAGTCAGGATGATCAACAGCACAATTATTTTTTAACCACGTGCCGTGATGGCAAATATAGGATACACGAAATCGTTACAGAGTCTGATGAAATAAAGGCCGTGCTTCTCCATGAGACGCTACCGCCGTTTGTATCGTCCATAGAAGGGGCCTGGCTCTCTAAGAACGATAACGGCACTAGAAACCTCATGCTCTGTGGCTTCAGGAGCCATAACTTTATAGTATGGAACGAGACCCAACGTCACGAAGCTGCCACGGTAGACTGTGGAGGTTCCTCCCGGAGTTATGCCTGGACTCCCATTCGAGATCACCATGACGGATTTCGGTTTGTGTTTACTAAGGCAGGACAGATGCACGTTTTCTCCCAGACACTGGCCCCTCACAAGGCACTCAAAATAGGAGGTCATGGGCGTGAGATAAAGACTGTAAGCGCTTCTGGTCGTTATATCGCTACTGCAGCTGAAGACACCGTAATACGGATCTGGGAATATGTAGGCGACGATGGTTCCCAATCTAAAAAGCCTTATAATAAAGACCGGAGACTTCGCTGTGTCGCGGCGTTAGAGAAGCATGCCACTGGCATTCAAAATCTTGAGTGGTATAACAACGAGTATCTCTTTAGCAGCGGCGGCAACGAAGAGTTTTTTGTGTGGAAGATTAATCAACTTAGTAGCAGCGATTTTACCGGACTTGCTGTCGTCTGTGAGGCTGTGTTCCCTGACCGCACAGAGATAGGGGACGCTCGTATCACTGATTTCGCCGCGACTTGTACTGCGAGCGATGATAGTGGCTCACGTGAGTTCCGCATCTCCATGGCGTTATCGAATTCGACTTTACAGACATACGGGTACAGCAAAGAGACTGGGTTCCGACTGTTGGGAAGGGTTTCCTATACTGGAGCATGTCTTACGCAAGTTAGACATCTAGGAGCCTCTCACATCCTCACTGCGGCAACAGACGGCCATCTAGCAATATATCCCTGCACGAGTTCTGCTTCGTTTGCTGAGAATGGGGCTTCTATTTCTAACGACGTGGTGCCTGTTATTGCAAGACTTCACCAGAACACCATCAAAACACTCGATGTGCGGCAAGTCACTTCCGTGGAGAACGGGGTATCCTCAATCGAATACCTCGTCATCACGGGTGGTGACGATAATGCGTTGGGAATTATGCATCTTTCGCTCTCCCTTCCCTCTTCTTCCCAAGAAAATACCCCGGGGAACATCTCCATCCAAAGCAAATCCATCATCCGCTCCGCTCACGCCGCCGCAGTCACCGGTGTGGCGATCGCACGGATTACAAAAACAGGCGACGCCTTCGTGGTCTCGGCGAGCAACGACCAGCGCGTCAGGGTCTGGCGACTGGTTGCTGGCTGGCACCGGGAAGCGCAGTCGGGGCTGAGGGCGCAGTTGGTTGATGAGAGGTATAGCTCCATTGCTGATGCCGGGGGCTTGGAGGTTCTCGACAACGTAGATGGAGATGGGGATGGAGATGGGGATGGAGAAGGAGAAGGAGAGGGAGAGAGTGAGAAGAAGAAATTCATAGTTGTCGGGGTCGGCGCTGAAGTCTGGGAGTTGGGGGGTATGGAATAAAAGGGGGGAATGGGAACTTGGAAGGGAGTGGATGATTTGTGAAAATAGGGGTGAAGAGTCAATTACCGTAACTTGGATTTATAGCAGCACCATCGAGTCAATACCAGGTATAGACTAAGATCTCACGAAATATTGCAGTAGGTAAATGCTACAAAGATGAAGACACCTAACCTAGGTATATAGACTTAGTACCGAGTCATCCCCATCCACCCTCAGGTTCAGACCTCATATACTCAACTTAATTCAATATGCAATATATAGAGCCTGGACAGGTAGGTAGGTAGGTAGGGTAAATTTCATATTACTACTACACTAGGTAGGTATTGATGATAGCATGCGTGAGCAAGGGGATCAAGGATATTTGGTTTTATATCAAACCATGGTTAGAGGATTGATTCTTTTTTTTTCTTTTTTTTTTAACAAAAAATAAAAAAAAATAGAAAAATCATTCATACTAGGTTAGGTAGGTATAGTTATCCCATAGTTATCATCACCATATATTGTTTAGATTGTAGGTAAGTAAGCTCTTTCACACACACACACACACACACACATGCATACCTACACACATACAATTTTCATTCTTTATCCCCCCCTTTCTTCTCTCTGTGTATTTGCTGTGGTGATAGCCCTGTAGTGGGGGTATGCATGCGTTCTGTAAGTTAACCTCATCTCATCCCAATTTGCGTGGTCCCGGAAATCGAAAAGATAAAAACCAAGACAAAGATGAAAAGCAGAAAAAAAAAAAGAAAAAAAAACCCCCCCGAGGTTACCCCCTGGAATAAGTAGGCGGCATCATTAGATAATAATAGAAGTAGACTTAATATGAACAACCCAACCCGACTAGAGGTAAGATTGGGACACGGGATGAGAATAAAAATAGATAATAGATCATAGATAAATGAATAAATAAACAACAATATAAGTAGCTAACGCCTCTCTGATGCTTTGATCCGTGCATGTGTATGTAAAACGTCTGTCATGTGCTCCATGTTCGCCATATGAACCGTATCCCGAAGAAAATCTATATGAGGCACCTAAGTAGTAAGGAAGTAGGCCGAGGTTAAAAAAAAAAAGTAGGTACCGAGGCATGTACTGTGTTTCCAATATACTAAATTTGAATATAGGGGGCTACGCCATGAGGACGTAGATGATGGATGATGGGAGAAGATAAGACGAAGGAGAAGAAAAGGGGCGAAAATAATAATTAAATAGATAAAACAAACTCCAACAAACTTTTAGGATGCTTCTGTGCCTGGTCGTGAAAGTCTTCCTCTAACTACCTGGATTCATGGAGCCAAACGCCTCGCCTTCAAAAAATAAAAGTAAAGCGGATTGTAAACGAAATTGTGTTGACTGGGCGAAAAATGATGTCGAAACCTAATACGTTTAGTTTAGTACTTTGTATTTGAAAATTAAAATAAATGTGGCTAGATGCTGTTTAAGTAAAATCAGCAGTATTATGCTGCCATAACCTCGGCGTATGGTGTGTTCAACTCGACCAACTGCTCTATTCTGGGTATGAGGTCGGGCATACGAAACGGCTTCGAGATAACATCGTCCTGTATAACTAGTAAGCCCATCAATGTTCGCAAAATGCCGATATAGAAAATACGTACGACTCCTGCGGCCTTAGCGTTTTCAATCTGCTCTGGCCGAGCGTACGCTGTGACGGCAATGATTGGAATGTGGCTGACGATCGTTCCGTTTCTCTCCAGTTCCCGAATCTTGCGAGCACAAGTCATGCCATCCATTACAGGCATTTCGAGGTCCATTAAAATGATGGAGATCTCATCTCCCGTGTCTTCCTTTCCAGTCCAGTATCGGGATTGTTGTATCACTTCCAATGCCTCTCCTCCATGATTAGCTACTTTGGTGCTGTTCCCAACGTTGCGAAGAGATCGCTGTAGTACTTTCTGATTCACCAGGTTATCCTCGACAATGAGAACGTCGAACAAACGCCGACCATCTTCGGAAAAGCGCGGCTTTGACGCCGCATTTTTGCCATAATGGGAACCCATCTCGCTGAGCATAGCTTTCGGTTGGCGCGTCTCGATCGTTGTTGAGGACCCTGGTGCACGAGTAAGAGGAGGAGCAGCGGGCAACGAGTTGGTATCAGGGTCGTGACTCTTCCTGCTTTGAATATAGAACGAGAATGTGCTGCCTATCCCCTTCCGGGAAGTCACCCCAATTTGACCACCTTGCAATTCAGTTAACGTCCTAGAGATAAATAGTCCCAAGCCAGAGCCGCCGTATTGAACATGGGTTCTGGGAGTGGCTTGCGAAAAGCGCTGAAATAGAAGTTTCTTCTCGTGTTCATCTAGACCTCTTCCAGTATCTTGAACAGAAAAATGGAGATTGACCTTCTCTCCATTGCCCCAATCCGGTTGGTTCGAGAGGTCGTGTCTGTCAGCACGATCGCTTGGGAAATATTCGATATCAGGGTCGGTCCGTTCAGATATATGGCTAGAAGCATCTAAAGTTATGACGATGGATCGCTCAGGACGTGACTGAGTGAACTTGATAGCGTTAGTCATTAGGTTGATCAGAACTTGCAAGAGCCGTGAAGGATCAAGTTTGACCCAATCGATTCCCATATCAAGATAACGATTCTTGACTTGGAATGTCATTTCAATACCATTCGTGTTTAATTCGCTTTCAAACATCTTCAGAACTCGTTGTACGACAGCTAATGGCTGCACGTCGACGGGAGTCACGAGAAGTAACTGTGAATCCAACTTGGAGAGCGTGAGGACATCATCTACTATCCTCTTTTGATGGCTAGCGCAAAGCGTTATGGTGTTGGCCGCTTCTATGCAACCCTCAAGCGCAAGATTCAGGCTCCGACTTTGCGCGTTATCCTCACCGGTTTCCTTGATTATGGTCGCTAGAGATTCCGCAATTTCGTCTGCACATTGAAGAACTGCGCTAAGTGGATTCCTCATCTCGTGGCTGGTCGTATCAATGAAATTCTCTTGCTGTCGCTTGAGTTCGACCGCCTCCTCTCGCCGTTGCATTTGAATCTGCTCGGCCAACTTCTGCTGTGATATGTTCGTAATACAGCCGAAAATCCCCTTGATACCGCCATTAGCGTCCTTCTCCGGGTACGCGCTCATTAACACCCATGTATCTATCACGTTTTCCCCTTCATGCCGAGAGCATTTGAACCTGAATTCGTGCGTGATCGCAACTTTATCGGTGAGTAAGTAGTGCCATACTGTCTGTAGAGCAGGCCGGTCATCATCCTTGACACTATCCATCCAGTCATTAACGCTCTGTGATCTGTTGTGTCTTGATATATCCCACCACATATCATTGCAGTACGTAATGTGCCCTAAATAATTGGCGATGAACATCCCTACTGGCGCAAATTCCGCCATCCTCGTGAATCGTAGCTCGCTTTCTTCAACTTCTTGTGTTCGTAAGTGTAGTTGCTTCGTTAACTCCTGGCGATCTGCAGCAGCTATCTGTGCTGCCTTTTGACCACGACGTATCTCCTCCTCAAATAGCACAACAGACGCCAGTGAGGTCGCCAGCTGACGAGATAGCAGATTGATGAAAAGTTTGTAGTCCTCATCGTACGGCCGCCTCGGGTTCACGCCCATCACGATGAAGCCAACCACACTCTCACTACCCGTGGTAGGGTGAACTGGGAATATGACAATGGAGTTGCAAGGATCGCCCGGGCCTCGCCAGGCCAGCCCGTCCATCAGACCATCTGGAAGCGTCCCATCCTCGAGAGAAAGAGCGATAGGCTGCCCTGTATTTGACATTGATTCACGCATGTACGGGGCGAAGCCATCGCTACTCGTCTTAAGATCCAGGGATTCTATCAGCAAGGGATGACCTTGGGGAACCCCAAGAGAAGCCTCCAGCATCAGCAAAGGTGGATTTACCCAGCTTCCCGAGTGCATGGATGACACATCGCTCTCGGATTCTTCTGTGACTGAATAAACGAGGTTGAATGGCACATCATCTTCATTGTATTCAAGGCCCTCATTGACCATATTCCAAAAACTCTTGACATCACGTGCCAAGGCAGTCTTTTCTCCCACTTCACGTAGGGTCAACATCCTCCTCTCGGCAATCTTCCGTCGAGTATTTTCAAAGGCTGGATTGAATAGGCCGACAACGGAGCCGTCACTTCCGACTAGCGGCACGATAGACCACGAAAAGAATGTCTCTTCATCAAAGCCATGGCGTCGTATTATAAGACGATCATCGTTTTTCAGCGTGGCTTGTCCAGATTCCCAGGCACTCTCTAAAATAGGGGCTAGCTCGGGCCAGATTTCACCCCAAGCTTCTTTGTAACTCTGGCCCATGAGCTTCGGATGCTTCGAGCCTGCTAAAGCAACATACGCTTCGTTGTATATGGTAGTCAATTCTTCGCCCCAATATAATGATGCAGGATTAGGACTACCCATGACCATATTCGCCATAGCACGTAATCCAGGAGACCAATGTTCAATGGGCCCCAGAGGTGTAGATGCCCAATCTCTTGTCCGGGCGAACAGTATATGCTCCGGCAGATCTGATGTCAGGGGTATTTGGGTCCAATCGAAGGAAGACTGCGACACAGATGGTGGTATAGTCATGGTCTCTGGCGAGAGACCGCCGATATCTCGGTGTAATAGCATATCATCTCCAATATTGCTGCCCCCATCTTGTTGCATGCGGTCTTCGTCGTTCTCATTAGAATCAATAGCGCTAAAGTAGTCGCGATCAGGCAACACGATATCGCTTGGCGTCTTGGGCTGAGCACTCGGCGTCGGGTCACGAGCTCGCGAGTCGATACTGGCTTCCCGTTCTAGCGTAGGCTCAGGAGAAGTCCGCGCGATTGAAACGACACTCCTATTTGCACTAACAAACCGGTATCGACCTCTAATTGTTGAGCAAGTCCAATTGAGCCCGCCATAGTGAAAGGAGGGTAGGAAGACATCGAGCCCATCTACGTTGCTACCGCCCGTCTTCACCCACGACTTGAATGCGGAAAACTCATCCCGCGCTTCTATGTTGTCCCGAAATTCCCCGGAAAGTAGGTGACGGATAGGATCAGAAACCTGAAGAGCTGGATTTATATAGAGAATTGTGAGAGGCCCTGTGTCGGTTGCGGTTAAGCCATCAACGATAAAAGTCGGCCTATCATCGCGCTCTAGCAATTCGAGGATGCCGATGTTTTGCAATGCTTGGAAACCCGGGGTCGAAGCGGTAGACTCGGGACTTCGCATAATATTCCCTTCAATGGAAGACCAACTACCCGGTGTACCGAAAGACCTTGCTGGACTCGGAGAGCTCACCGTGCCCCTGGCGAGTTTCAAAGTCGTGACCTCCGCACCTTCGCGCACATTCCTCAACATAGCTGCTCCCTCTGAACCAGGAAAACTTGGGGGTCTGGCAATAAGTGGCCGATGCTTATGCGAGAAGAACAACGGGGACGTGAGTCCGCTTGCAAGTCTCGTGGGGATTGCTGGCTTGCTGAAGTGGCCGAGGTCGATTCTATTGGGCGGCGTAGTGCGCGGCTTTTTAGGCACGCATCGGCCGGTATCTCGGCCGGCAGGATCGCCGTCTGATAACCTCTTCACTTGCGTCGACGTGGCGTAGAGCGACTGTTGTGCTACAGTAGTATTTGCCTTATTCACATTCGGTCTCGCGCTGGACTCGCTCGGCGATCGTACGTTGAGGTCCCCAACAATGGACTGCTGATTAAGGCGCGGAACAGGGGTCAAACCATACTGTTCGATTTCCGTCGAATACTGCTCGATCATGCGATTACCAGCAGGACCGGCGGCCTCATTGGCGAGCGTTAAATGGTGTTGCCGCACCGCTCGCGCGTAGGGATCAGAGGCACTATCAGTGGTTTTGGACGAGGTCGTTTCGGAACAGACGCTGCTATCTTGGAGTATGAATGTCGGATGTGTACCCGGGATGATTGGGACATCAGTCTTGTCAGAATCATGTGGTAGAGTCATGAAGGAAATATTTCCTTTCGACAAATTACCGGCACCAACGTCAAAGCTTCTCGACCGAGAATCGTTCCGAATTACCTACTACTAGCAACGATTGGGAAGTGGAGACAATTCGGGCTATTGCCATTGAAGGCGTAGGCCCGCGGATGAAAAAAACAAGGACGAGGATAGTGGCGAGAAAAGATTATGCGAGGTGGATACGGTCTATCGAGTACCTCATAAAGCATAGAGACTCCCGAAGTAGGTATCCAAGATGGGTATCCAAGATTTCAAACCGAAAGTTCCACACCAGCAGATGGTCGGCGAGGTATGAGGTATGTGGTTAGTTAATACAGTACGAATACAAAAAACTTCCCGATCCGAGCTCCTATACCCTCTACCCTGAGAATTGCTAGCAACTCCTCTACAAAGGTTGGGGTTGATCAGAATGTTGAAAATGTAGAAGGGAAGGAAAACCAGAAACTATAAGAACCCCCCCAACCCGGAAAAGGATTAACGGTGGACGGAGAACGGAGAACGAGTCAGAAAGTGTGTAAGCTCTACTGCTCACTGGAGGTCGGATCGCTGTATGACTCGCTCGTTTGGTGCGTGGTTTTAGATAGGTATGTAGGCCAGTCACCTATGAAAGCGCAGCTATGCCACTATACATGCACTGGTACTGATACAAATGGATATATCGGCAGGATTAGGTAGGGTCGAAATTGAGGGCGGCCTGGGTGGGATGGGATGGGATAGTGATCAATACGCTCAATGGCTAGGTGAGAAGTAATTAATCGTGCGAATCGAGACTAAGAATGCTAGGCAAGGCAGGTAAGGATACTAAGTATATAGTAGGTAAGTATGTATGTAGGTAGGTAGATATGTAGGTATGGATGTATGAGGTAGGTATATTCATATGTACTATAAGATGGTGTAGGATGTATGTATGAAATAGTATAACATTAACTGTACGAAGCCATGTGCGTATGTAGATATGTAGGTATATGTAGGTATTTGATGTATGTATGTAGGGTAGGTGTGTATGTAGGTAGTGTATGGATGTGGGTATATGGAGGAGTTACTGTGTATGTGTGTGTGTGTGTGTGTGTGTATGTGTGTGTGTGTGTATGTGTATGTGTGTGTAGTGTATGTATGTAGATGATCACAGACATCAACGATCTGGAGACTTACATGATGTATAGCTACTAGTAGTACCAATAGTAGTATTATGTAGTAATAGCCTGGAGCACTCCGTTGTTTGTTTGGTAGTTAAATTAGTGCCCGTGAGAAAGATCTTACTAGTTGAGCGGGTATGTAAGTGAGCAGAGATGTATGTATGTGTATGTAGTTCAATGTTAAGACCAGTGACTTGCGCAACTATGGATTTTTTTTACTAGATGAAGGAGGTTTAATGTTCAACGTTCAAATGTTGCAACTTTTAGTTTTGTTTGTGGGTAAGAATAGTTAACTACTAGGTACCTAGGTACTAAGAAACCTTGGAAAGTACCGTAGATTCGAACTTCCGAAGGAAATTGAGATGACAAGGGTCCAGTTGATTTTCACGTTCCAGACCCTTCAGTAGACTTTGCAACTCCAGCAGTTCGGGTGACAGTTTGGGGAAAGTATTACTGGTGATCTCTTCTACATATTATGTAGTTACAAGCTACATACAAGCTACATACAAACTACAAGCAAGGGGGGTAGGAGTTGGTTTATCACTTAAGCCCAATTAGGTTAGTTTTGCCCAGTGGGAACACTTTGCTTCCCGCCGCAGCAGCGCAGGTGCCAGGCACTGCTACTCCATTGCCTCCATTGTCTCCATTGCACCCTACCAGCCTGCCAGCTTACCTAAGATCCATATTGCCATATCTTACCTAACGTTGCCTATATAACGACAGTATTATAGGTATATCATGATGTAAATAGATTTGAATGGATATTGATGATTTGGACGAATTACACGTGAAATGAAAGAAGGGGAAGATGATAAAAAAGGATAGTAGATCGTGTATTCTTACTCATAGTAAATATCCATGTCTAGGCACTTATTGATATCTACTATGGACATATATTATTAGTATTATAGATTATGGATTATGGATTATGGATTATGGATTATGGATTATGGATAGGTAGGTATATTTTAGTTGAAGACTTGTGTAATGCTTTCTTTTCAGCGACACGCTAGAAACGCTGATTGAGTTTAGGTAGCTAGATGTGCATAATAGTATAAGCACATACCTAGTAGTGCCGTGTATTATTACTAGGTATACTAGGTACATATCTACCATGTATCAACAGTAATTGTACAATACCTCAAGTGCTACATCCTTTGCATACCGACATTTCAAAGTTCGATGTTGGCGTCCAGATGTCGTGGTATAGCATACATCAAGTGCATGTAACTGAACTGCATAAGGCGAAGTATGTATCTATAACGTATCACAAGTAATATTGCTCAGAAACATACATAGTAGGCACTGAGCCCCCTACGTAGGTAGATAGATAGGTAGATAGATAGGTAGATAGATAGGCAGATAGGTAGACAGACAGGATTCTGGATCCAACATACAACTGTAATATATATCAACGTGACTGGCGTTGATGCATGAAGCAGGATTCCCCATAGTCATTCTTAGACAACAAATGCTACCCAAACGAGACTCTTGGTGCGCCATGTAGTAGTCGGTAACCTATAGCCGGAACAGTTGTAACTTACCCAGTGCTACATATAGTGCTTGAGTCTTATATCGAAACTTGGTAGGATTAGGTTGGTATGTACATATCTCCAAGGCTGTCTGGTATCATGCTATGTAAGTATGTATGTGAGTTTCAATGTTTGAACTTGTCAACATTGAAACATCAAGATTGTGTGTTTGTCATCAATGATACTACCTAGGATATGTAATACTACGTATCTGTACCTGCCAGGCCTTGCCTACCTACACTACTACATGTAACTATCCACCCAACTAAGCACTGAATGTTCCATAATTTCTACTTGGATAAGTTTATATCCGGGCCTTTTGAAACCACGTGAACGTGCCCCCCCAGAAAACCCCAGTGCTGATCTATTCCTGTTTTCTTCCCAGTCGGCTTAGCACAAACGTGGTCTCTTTATACAGATCGTCTTCTCCCCACGGCTCGTTCGAAAGAAAGCGAAGGGGATCTTGTCCACAGCAGAGACATATGTAGGTATGTCCGTTGATGGTATGAAGCCCGCAATTCGGCTTGCCTGAGCTTTGGTTGAGCCTTGGTTGAACCAACTGTGTGTGTATGTACAATTCCTAGGCAGCTAGGTAAGCAAAGGGCAGTTGGCGGGCCATGTCGATCCCCAAGTCTAGACCATTCTGATTTACAAAAGACGCAAGTTCGGGCGGCTCGTTGAAGGACGATTGCGCAAGTCATGAGCCCGGGCAATCATTTTTCACATTTTCCCAGCTTGATTTGGCTTGACCATCCACGATCGTCGATCTTCGATTACGTCGGCTTATTATCGGGGTGCCTCGGCTGGCTTAATATCGAAAAGGTGAGCATTTGTGATATATGTATGTATGTGTGTCCTAATGCGGCGTCCGAATCTCAATTGCTAATGCTAAGCGCCATCAAATCGGGCATCCCAGCGGATCTTCTCGGCGACAAGAGAGACAGTGCGCCCCTAAACCCCCCCTCCCCCTTATATACATGCCTGGGGTTTGCAAAGACGAGACTCTAGCCCGTATGGTTTTCTGTCTCGGATTTTCTTCTAGGTTAGGTTACTTTACGTAGGGCAGGTAGTTCCATTTTGCTTTTCTTTTCCATATCATCATTTCCAACACCAGCCCCCTTAAATTAAGCCCAGCAGTGCAACAATCAAGTTTACGTCAAATACGTGCTAGTTAAGGCGATTACCCCCACGCGTTAGAAACGATTGTATATAACTCCAGGCTACATGCACTTCATTATACCTACCTAGGCCTATATTCTAGAATACGCACAGCCTTGCAACTATGTATCTACATACCATAATATTATGGTACGTCGTAGGTGTTATTGGCTTCTCTTAGACGTCGTAGTACATAGGAGTTATAAAAGTTCAGCCGCCTTTCATTTCAATGATTTCATCTCAAAGGATTTCTTCTTCTCCATCTCCATTTTCTCCATTTTCTTCATCTTATTCTTGAATGCCAATTCGATAATTTGAAATTTGGTTGGCTTGTTAGAAAAGTGGTAGACCCGCATCTCGCTGTTCAGCTAATAGATAAACCCAGTCCTCATCAAAATTAAAAAAGAGGCAAAGCTGTTCTCTATCGTTGGTAGCAGGTAGAAGCGCACGTATAAACTCGATTAGGCTTCATCGTCACCTTCTGATGAGATTTCTTCATGACCACCAAACTGTACGATACTCTGGAACGCCTCATCAAGATTATCCCCGATTAAAGTACCTAACCTGGTGAGTTTTCTGTCCGATGGGGGCCACTGCGCAGCAGCCGGGCAATCCCCGTTACAGGGTATGGTAGGTCTGTACATGCTTAGTGCGTGGTTGGTTCTTGGGGGCTTGGGGGGGCTTTCATTTACAGAGTGAAAATACGGGACGGGATCGTGCGGACCCCAAGATCCGAGAGGGTAGTTCGAAAGGCACGAACCAATGAAAATCGTACCTAGTAGGTACGAGAATACGTCTGCAGTCAGTGAAGCCAGTGTAGCGTACGATCAGCGTCTGCTAGGTACTACGCCGTACATACATAGTAAAAACCAGCGCCTTATACAGACTAGTAGGGACAATACAATAACTACAACCATCAGCACAGCCATTAGCAACAACCATTGGCCAGTCAAAAAAAAGTGAATGGAACCAATCCTGCGACGGGATACGATGGCCACTCAGATTCGTGCTGGGGTGAAGCGCCCGCAACGAACCACAAGCCGGCGCTTACAGCTACTCAAACGTTGCTCATTGGCGCTTTACCAGTCGTACAGGACATATCACCTTGCGCAAACCTGTGATTTGACTTGCACACCCACCCCCTTCCGCCCTGCCGGCAACCATATGGTTGTTGTTGGCGCCGTACTCTGTCTCTTTTAAAAATGGTCGACCGCCAACTTCCCCATCAATCCCGGAACTCCCTTTCTGAGAGTTTTCGACGTATTAACATTCCTTATTTCTCCATTTCCCCCGTCACGATCACCACCCCCCGCCATCGTAGGCGCTCCGATGTGAAGTATTAATCGAACTGCTGGCTTCCAGCGACCGTGATATTCAGCCAACTTTTAGGGAGACAAAGAAAAATCCCCCACAAAACAGCGCATTTAGCCGACCCGCGTGAAGCAGCCGACTTTCGACGGATTGTAGGACAAGTGAGGCAAGGAGCCTTCTCCAAAAAAAAAAAATAGTCAAGGGAGATTATTTTCGTAGCGCGAAGCGGTTTGAGCGATTTCACCATGGCGTATATACTGCTGCGACGAAAATGGAGGTCGACGAGGGCAATGTATATCGTGATGATAGCGGAGCTGTTGGGAACTGTAGCGGTTTTGGTCATGTTCGGCGTTGCGCAGCCCGACCTGTACCGGACCAAGTTATGGCGCGCCGGCCACGAACTCGGCTTCAATTCCAGCCCCAATGTGATTCTGTGGGCGTACGCCAACTACGAGCCACTGCCCAAATTGCCATTTGTCTGGTCGCAAACGTAGGTGATGATGCCGCTCTGGTTTGGGGGTTTTTTTCCCTCTGCCTGTGTTAGATAGCTAACCATGCATGTAATGCACATACAGTATAACCGACTTCAACGTCGCCATCTCCGTCCTCAGTCTGTTCCTCCTGCTGTCAAAGCTTATCGCCTTCATCATGCACGTCTGGTTTCCGATCGTGGCCCTATTCATCAACCTCGCACTAGCTGCTCTGTACTCGGCAAGTCTGGGTGGTCAAGCCGGCCCCGATTATCTCGACCCAGACCATCCAAGCCGCGTTGCTTGGTACATCGCTAAGCCATGCACCGTCGCCGCAAACCAGGACATCCAGAGCTCCTGCCGCGAGGCCAAAGGCGCTTTTGCCGCCGCGTGTTTCATGCTGTAAGCGAAGACCTCTTTCCTCTCCCCTTCTCCCCTCCTTTTTCCACCATGCACTTTGGCTGATTATATATATATATACGACAGCTCTATCTACGTCATCAACCTCGGCCTAAACATCTGGGCCCTGCTACCAAACGAGGCCGACAAGCAGAACTTCAAGGACGACGACGACGAGTCTGGTTCGCCCGCCGCCCTGAAGAAGGGAGACGGGTGGGAGATGCAAGGGGTCCCGCCGACGCCGAGGACCGGGGCCATGCCGTACACGCCGCGGACGATGGCCTTTAATACGCTCGATAGAAATCTTCCGCTGCGGAATCAGTACGCATGAAATGCCTAGGTACCTACTGGGGTCGTTGGGTTTGAAAAAAAGGAAAAACAGAAGAAAAAGAAAGAAGAAGAAAAGGGATACAGTATCTCCTCGAGGGCTATTATAACGGTTGTTCATCTCGCTCCGGAAGCGAATTGGTAGCGGGGCACGGCATTATATTCCCAGCCCCTACAGGATGAAGCTTACAACGGGAAAGGGAAAGGGGAAAGGGACGGCTTAAGTGCGCTCTCATCCTTTAGCGAAGGTACCTGGACAACGGGACGAGGTTTTGACGGGCGAATTGTACGAGTTAGAAGGTTACAGGCGTGGAGGACGACTGTGCGTACGAAGCGGATTGCTTTATTGATTGATACCAAGCGAAATGTGGAAAGGGGGTAGTTATAGCTGCACCCCCCCTTTTTTCCCTCTATAGTACGATGTACAGATAATATATCACAGGATTCTTTGAGATCTGTTCTTTGTCATTTGTCGTGGCGATTCTGAACATAGTTTGTGATTTGAGCAGCTTCTCTCGCCCTTTACGATCATCGTCATCTACTGGATCCTGTGTTTGGCTGGGTAGAAATTCTCCCAGGGGATTTCCACCCATGTTGGCGCAGTGGTAAAGTGAGAACACCACCATGCGGCTGTCCCTTAAAAAGTGCGGGTTCGGAGAGAACGCCACTGCGGGACGCCCGAAGGTGAGGGTTCAAATCCGCACCCTTCGCATTTTTCTTTTGCTTTTCTTACTTTTTATCTGTTCTTTATATTTCTCGTTCCCCTTTTGCGTCCCCCTAGCTGCCTAGGTACCTAGGTACTTTCTTTTTGCGTTCTCACAATTAAGGCTTCTACTATTTGTTCTCTCATTTATTGAAATTAAAATCTGCTTATATATCCCGCTTAGAGACAGGTGAATACAGAAATATGATGCAAAGCAATCAGCTCTCGTGAGCCTCCCAGCGTGTGTCGACTTAATCAGCATCATAGCCAGTACCACCCAGCCGGGTATGCCATCGCCCCAATATAGACACATGCATACCTACATACATGTCTACATACCTTCCTAACCTACCCCCTTACATAGCACCCCTTACCTTAGTCCCATCAGTCAGTCCTCCGCCAGACCCCTCCCCTCCCCGCATCCCCAAAATCCAACACCACGGCCTCGGAATCCGGAACATCAACTAGCACCTCCCCGCCACTAATAACCGCCACCGTCTCCCCAACCGTCACGTTATCCAAGCGCACCGGCCGCCCCCTATCAAGCTCGTAATTGTAACTCCAGCCGTCCCACGTGATCCCCGTGACGGCGTCGCTACCGTTCGCGTGCAGCCTGCGGACCACCGCATCCACGTTCTGATCACCGACGATGAGCCGATACGTCCGCACAGACCGGGGAGCCGGGTCCAGCTCCGGGCCCCCGGTGCCGTTGAGCGTGTAGTTGTAGGCGCGCAGGTTCAGCACCAGGATGCGCGTTAGCGCGCCAGCGGTGTCGTACGCGGCGTATGCTACGTCTGTCTCCCCGCTCGCATCGTCGTCATCGTCTGCTTCGAACGAAACGGGCACAACGGTCGCCGTCGTCCCAGCGGAGCCGCCGACAAGGAACATAGCGGCAGCAATATTACCATAATACGGCGGCTTCGTCCCCCGCGCAGTCTTATTCGTATCCACGGGCTGCCACGAGGCGTACCTATAGTCAGTGCCCATGTGGAAGTGTACACGATCGATTCCCGCGGCCGTGGTGGCGCATTGCACGGCGAAGTCGAGCGCCCAGAGCGCGGCGCCGAAGGAGTTAGAGAGGCCCGGGCGGCCTTGCTTGGAGAGCGAGTTGGTCTCGCCGAGGATGTAGGGGGTGGATGGGTGTAGGGCGGCTTTCTCGGCGGTGTGCGAGGCGATGCTGAGAGAGGTGCGTGTGTGGTTCATTAGGGTGCCTTGGAGGGTTACGCCGGGGGTGTCGGAGCTGGATATGTAGCTGTGGTTTTGGAGGTGAGATGGGCACCGGGAAGGGATGGGGGGGGGGGGGGGGGGGGGGGGGGGGTATAGGTAAGATACATACTTATGGGAAGAGAAGAGTTTTATGCTCTCGTCTTTGTCAAGGCCGTCGGCCCAGGTTACAGACGATTTAAGATGGTTATTAATGCCGGCAAACGAAGGGGCCAGGTATCCGTATGTATCGTGACTGAGAAGGTCCGGGCAGTTCGACTCAATTACGTCCCTGATTGCTCTCGTTCCGTTTAGCCACTCCGTTACGTAATCCGACTCGTTGTATTCTGGTGATCTGACCGGCCCCTGGTTGCTCGTCGTGAATAGGTCAGGTTCGTTGCCGTATTCCCACCAGTAGAGCCTGTCTTTTCCAATGGCCTTGCAAGCCACGGCAGCCGTCTCCAGGAGCGACTCCCATTGCCTGTCGTCGTGGTTCCCGCCCAGGTTGAAGCCATGAGAGAACTTCACGTCTGGCCAAGTGTGGTACGACTCGAAATACGAAGGCCCGATTTCGATGGTGGTTGGGTAGTCCGCAGACCTCGAAAGGTTGTAAGTGCCGTTCAGGGCAACAGCTAAGTCAGGATTGTATATAGCGTAGTCTTGAGTATTTCCTCCAACCCGTATGTACGGCTTAGTCCCAGCAAGGGAAGCGAGATTGTTCAGTAAGTTGTTCGAGAACTCGTTAGGATGCGATAGGTTGCCTGGCCTGTGTATAAGGAATGTCATAGACCTGTTCTCGGGCAGGATCTTGTCTTACCTGCAAAATCCGGAAATGACGAGAACTCAATGGAGTAGCTAATGAATCCATCTAGAGGTTGGCTGGCGTTTATAGGTTTCGTAAGACTCCCAGCAAGGTTGGCTAGGGGCTTGGCCATAGACAAACTTGCCTGTGCTACTAGCATTGCGAGACTACGCATGGTGATAGATCGTGTAGGTTTATTCCTACCTGCCGTGTGGATGATGCCAACAAGAAATCCAAGATATAGGATATTGTAAATAAGGGGCGTCTATGAAATCCTACATGATCTAAACCTCAAGCCCCCCTTTCTAGGTCGCGTCAGAACCGAGGCTTCTCGTAAAGTAGGTATGTACATGATATCAGAATAGGACGCTTCTACTACCTTCAGCCTACAAATGACATACAGCTTCACACAATGAGCTGCCTCTTTCGAACGTAAGAATACAACTAAACAGTGTTGTCTCCTTGGAGTGCATAACGCACTGAATGTGGGGTACACTCAGGTAACATTCCGGCTGCAACCTATGTACCTGGCTCTCTTACCTACCCAAAGAACCGAGACATCGAGTATTTATCCTCATTACAAAATAAAATCAGCAATTGAAATGAATTATGGATATTTGTGGTGATAACCTGGAATATAAAGAGTGAGACACGAGATTGAGGGTCCTCTAAGATAATAAAAAGTAAAAAAAAGTAGAAAAGGTAAAAAAAAAAGTAAAGAGAAACAGAACAGAACTCAGGGTGGACCTGCCTAATCAGGGGTAGCTACACCGGTATACGCCGGTATAAATAGTTACCCCACAGCGAGCTTTGGGGACTCGGTGGGGGAGAGCTTGTATTGTACACAGTACGCCGTAGTGCTGGATAAGTGCCCCTCATAATTGGCCGATGTCGTCAATATTACCAATTCCAAGTATCTTGCCGACGTCACTTGGCCTGATTGAAGCTGTTTAAGTTACTACCAATGTACTAAACACTTCATATCTTAGTACATAACTTCAAGTTACCCTAAAGCTAATTCATCTTAGGTACAATACATCCTTTTCATACCTCCAGGCTCCAGGGCTAGTAGTAAACATATACCTACTATCATCCTGGTAGTGTAGTATCGTGATAGTTAAGGTCCTATCATGCCTTAACTTAATAATTCCATTCATTGGTTCTCTAATACTTACCTGACTACCTCTACTTCATCGTGACCTAATCATCCTCTGCTAGTTCTAATCTTGATCAATCGTCTCCCTCAAGTCGCTTCACAATGACTCTCCTTAGGAGCATACAACGGAGTGTAATCTCCTCTTCACCACGACTTGCCGTGAGATCGAGTTTCCAAAGGACGAGTCTACCCCTTGTGATGTCTCGGTTAGCGTCTAGTAAAGCTCCCAAGGTAAGACTCTTGAATACTCCAAGTATTACATCAAATATATGCTCACTGTTATAGCTTCGCGATCCATCGCTCTTCAAGACCGATGTCTGCTATGTAAACGGAGAATGGGTCAAGGCAGCATCGAATAAGACGTTCGAGGTGCATGACCCGGCAACGGGCGCCTTCATCGGGACATGTCCGGAGTTCACTGGCAAGGATACTGAAAAAGCCATCGCTGCCGCCGCCGCTGCTTTCCCAACCTTCCGCACAAAGACAGGTCGTGAGAAGGCTAAGTTACTCCGCAAGTGGTATGACTTGATGGTAGAAAATGCGGACGACCTCGCCAAACTAATCACGTGGGAAAACGGGAAGCCGTTTGCGGATGCAAAGGGCGAGGTAAACTACGCTGCTAGTTTCTTCGAGTGGTTCAGCGAAGAAGCGCCAAGAATATACGGCGACACGATACCAGCCACTGTGGCCGCAAATAGGGTGGTGACCATCAAGCAGCCCGTGGGTGTCTGTGGACTCATCACGCCGTGGAATTTCCCCGCTGCAATGGTAACAAGAAAGCTTGGTCCTGCTCTGGCAGCTGGATGTACAGTGGTTGTCAAGGCACCAGGAGAGACACCGTTCACCGCGTTGGCATTGGCTGAACTGGCCCACCGAGCGGGGATTCCCAAGGGTGTTGTTAATTTCGTGACGACTCTGAAAAACACACCCGAAGTCGGAGAGACATTAGCGACCCATCCTACGGTCCGGAAGATATCTTTTACGGGATCGACAAACGTGGGCAGTCTCCTCATGAAGCAAGCATCCCCGACCCTGAAAGTCTTGTCTATGGAGCTGGGAGGTAATGCGCCATTCATCGTCTTCGATGATGCCGACGTCGATGCGGCAGTGACGGGTGCAATTGCTTCCAAATTTAGATCATCGGGCCAGACGTGCGTCTGTGCCAACAGGATCTACGTCCAAAAGGGAATCTACGACGAGTTTGCCAATAAATTCGCCGAGAAAGTTAAGGAATTCAAGGTTGGCAACGGGTTTGACGAGGGTGTCACTCACGGACCTCTGATCCACGATCGGGCTGTCTCGAAAGTGGAAGCCCACATCAAGGATGCCCAGCAGAAGGGCGGCAAGGTTGTGGTGGGTGGACAGAAGTTGCCAGATCTAGGTGCTAACTTTCACCAACCTACTGTCATTACGGGCATGACAAAAGATATGGCTCTTGCTGGCGAGGAGACCTTTGGACCTGTAGCCGGACTATTCCCCTTCGCAACTGAAAAGGAGGTAGTTGACCTAGCAAATTCTGCCGAGGTTGGCCTTGCGGGCTACTTCTTCTCGCGAGACTTGGAGAGGATAACCCGAGTTGCTGAAGCGTTGGAAGTGGGAATGGTAGGTGTTAATACCGGCTTGATCTCGGATACTGCTTCACCATTTGGTGGTGTGAAGCAATCTGGATTTGGCAGGGAAGGATCCAAGTATGGCATCGACGAATACTTGAACATCAAGACGATAACATGGGGAGGCAATAACAAGTCATTGCAAGGTTGATTGGTATTTTCTTTAATGGCAAAGCTACGATGTAGGTGTTATGAGTTAGAATCGGACCTGAGTAACTCTATATAGGTAACCCATCAACTGTAAGATAGATGATCAATGAAGCCAAGACTGTTGAATAAGTTCAAATTGTGCTTTCATATTGATATCTTGGTTATGCATCTAAAGAAGTGCTTGTATCGCGATAATGAAATACCCCTCTACTACGTAATTACATAAATTCATCAATCGCAATTAAATCGTCTAAGCTTCGGAGAATAATTAAGTTTATTAAGTTTATCGGAATCTCGAAATCTCGATAGCTCCAAAACCTCCAAACCTCAAAAATCAAAAAATCAAAAATCCACCTAGATGAAGACCCGGGAGCCTCAATAATAATTCCTCCTCTCTCACCTTCACACACACACATAAGCTGGGTCTCGTCTCAATGATTCGGAACCCGCTCCACTCGGCCGTCGGCCGCGCACGACCAGACATAAACCGGGTCGCCGACGGCATCGCCGCCTCGCTGCGACAGTTCTCCATATCCGCGCGACGGGGCGCCGCCTCCGACAACAACAACAACAACAACAACAACAACGACGATAATGACCGGCCCTCCAGCCGCCTGCGAGCCGCGGCCGCTTTCAACGATCTGATCGCTTCCGTGGACGGCACGTTCAATAAGCCGACAGGACCGTTATCCCCATCATCATCAAGACCTGCCGCCCCCGAAGATGCTTCGCCCCCCCGCCCGCCGATCCGAGCTCTGGGCTCCAATGTGATTTCGCTCGCGAGCTTACCTCGCGGCGGCTTCAAAGGCATTAGGAGGGTTGACGGGGACGGGCGGGCCGTTGAGCCAGGCGGCAGCGGTGGTGGGGGTGGTGGTGGTTTCGGCGGTGGTGGCGGCGCGCCAAATATCATCCGAGGCGGCTTCCGCGGGCGCGGAGGAGGAGGAGGAGGCTCCTTTTTCCGAGGTCGCGGCGGCGGCGGTGGACCAATGGGCGGCAACCGAGACGACCGACCACGCCGCGGGCGCGGGCGCGGTGGCGGCGCCGGCAGAGGTGGTCGAGGTGGTCGAGGTGGTCGGGGTGGCCGAGGAGGGCGCGGCCGCCGAGACAGGGACGACGCGGGGCGGAAGGGACGAGAGGAGGACGAGCTGGACATGGGCCTGATGTACGACTCGTCGGTGCGGGAGTACATGGCGTCGAAGGAGATGGGCGTGGACACGCCGTACAACCCGGCCCTGTCCCTCGACATCCTCGCGGGCTGGGGCCCCGCGCTCGCGACCTCGCGCACGCCCTTCAGCACCGGCGAGGCCGTCATCCGCCAGGCGCGCATCCTCGGCAGCGGCCGCCCCTACCACCCGCTCGCCCTCGAGCCCCCCGTCGACCTCGTGCAGTCGTGGGCCAACAAGAACGGCGCCTTCGTGCCCCCCTCCGAGGAGGGGCAGGCGTGGAAGAAGAACGTCATGAAGGGCCGGAAGTTCGAGGCGCCCGAGGAGGTCAAGGCCGCGGTGCTCGAGGACGCGGTACTGGGACGCTACGAGGGGCCGAAGTACGCGGAGCCGAACGACACGCTCGCTATGGTCAGGAGCTATGTCAAGAGGGATGGCACGTGGAATGTCGGTGCCGAGAGGGCCATCGAGCATAAGGTCAAGACTTTGCTTAGGCTGTAGTAAGCTGAGCAGGGTAGCGGTGGGGCTATCATAAGAAGTGAGGGCCGTCGTTGCTAGTGATATGGCGATCCTTTTCTATCACCTTTTTTTTACTAAAAAAAAAAAAATAGGGGGGAAGAATTAAAAAGCTCTGACTTGGGCTCTACATAGGCCTGGGTATCTTGCCTCGTCTCGTATGATCACGCGAGTCAAGGCGCTTGTAACAACAACAACACTTGAGCCAGTGAGTGTACATTTTATACTGCCTACGTAGGTTAGGTTAGGTTAGGTACATACACATACAAAAACACACTCGCAGCATACACGTCTCGGTTGATTGGGCCTAAGTGATCGCTTGAATGGACTATTGATATTCTACATAACTTTTTTCCATGTGGTATTTAGCCATGCACCTAGGTATATGGTACAGATGCAGGCATCTACAAACATTGAACTTTTAGGGTATGTCTTGTCTAGGCAAGCAACAACAACCGTCTTGATCTAGCCATCTATCCCTCTAACCATTCTACTTACTCTCCGCCGCCTTCAGCGCCTCCTTCTCGGCATCATCGATCTCGACCATCTTCGCCTTGACAACCTTGTCGAGCTCCTTCTCCGCAGCGCGCTTGAGGTCGGGGCCCATGCCGCCGTCCTTGCGCCAGTTGGCGTGGTGCTTCTCGCGCCAGCGGCGGGTGGCGCGGGCGCGGTCGCGCCAGTCGTTGCAGGTGGCCTTGACGCGGCGCAGCAGGTCCTCGCGGCTCTCGGGCTCGATGCGCAGCAGCAGCTCCAGCTCGTTGTCCGGCACCCGCTGCGGCTGCTGGTTGAAGTCCGGGCTCGCCTGCACCGCGCTCAGGATCGGCTTCACGTACGCCTCCTCGTGCGCCAGCACCGACACGATGCGGCCTCCCTGGGAGCTCACCTGCGCCAGCTCCCGCAAGGGGTAGGTCACGGCGCTGTTCTTGCGGTCGGGCTGCACGCGCAGGGTCCCGAGGATGTCGGGGTTGAAGCGCCCGCCGGTTTTCAGCTTCTTCAAAGCCCCGCGGAAGTACTCGTCGTGCCGACGCATGCGCGACAGCACGTCTGCGAAGTCGAGTGGGTTTTCGGGGTTCGCGGGCGGGTGTTTTGGACCGTTGGGGTCGTCGTCGTCGTCGTGGCTGTTCTCGGTCTCGGTGGTGGCAGCAGCACCGTTGCTGGAATTATTATTTTTCTTCGACTTCGTGTCTTTGGCTTTCCCCGGTTTACTCTTGTATGCGGCGGTGGTGGTGTGGAAAGCCCTCAAGTTGTCTAGGGGAAGACGAGGGGATGAGATTTCGGGGCCTCGTTGGCGAAGACATTGTGGCCTTTTAGCGTTGATCGCATTGAAGGCTGGTCGGATTACATCGTGACTGCTTTATTTTTTCAAAAAAAAATTATAAGTGTAAGTTGAAGTGTCTTTTTTCTCTCTCTTTCTCTTGAAGGCAATTGGGGATTACACACACCCTCCCAAGCTCAGGAATAGTAAGGCCTTGCCGTAGGAGCGCTCTGGCGGCAGTGTTTCGCATGGCTTGGGTAAGATCGAAAGAAAATTGTTCGTGAAATCGAAATTTTAGTGTTGAGTGTATTTGCTTGTTGCATGCATAAACTTCATAAACTCTACAGTTGACTGGTCGTATTGTACTTATCGATAAGTTCGTTGACTAACTAGTTAGATGCTTCCTTGAAGTTCCTTCCCTTGTACCTGACCTAGCAGTCCCAGGGCCAGGCCTTCAATTTCTTAACTTCTATATCTCAGGAAAGAGCAAGTGTATACCTAGTTATATAATTCAATTATATAATTCAATTAAAACTATGAACACACTCAACCTTGGTATATAAACTTCGATTATAGTAAGCTTAAATAGGAGTCTGGATATATACTCTTGAGTGCTATATTCTTCACTGTCCCGCACCACTTGGCTATTCACAGTAGTTATATATATCCCTAGTGTATTAATTCAAGTCTTCCAGGCTCATCGCCCAAATAGCATCCTGTCGCAAACAATGAAGCCACCGGAATCCGGATACATACATCATGCCTATCATCTATGTATGCATGTAAAAGCCCGAACCTGCTTCTAGAATACATAGACGGCTCAGCCCGTGGCGCGCCCACACACACACACACATATTTTAACCCTTCCTAGCATATCTCGACAGAACGAAGTATTAATGACTAGTTACTCGCTTAGCCTTTTCCATCCATTTTCCATCCAAAACCCTCCCACCCAATCGACGTTCTTATCTTATCAGTGATTGTGGCCATCTATGATCTATGTATGTAGATGCACCTCGATAAGCATTGTGACGCTTATAATACACCGCGCGACATATTTTAAACGAGCATAACTATTCATTACATTAGGGGATAATATGAAGGTAGTCAAGGTAGAAAAAGAAAAAGTAATGTCGTGACAAACATGTGTTACATGGTTAACAACAACAAAAACAAATTGGTCGACGCAGGGATCGAACCTGCGACCTTTTGCGTAGTACAACATAGTATTGTAAAGCAAACATGATAACCACTACACCAGTCGACCGGGGATGAAAAAGTGTGCTGCTTATTTTAGCTATAACTAAACCTATGTAAGTAAGCTAGCCTACGGAGAAGCCTTCATAATAAATTAGGTACTAACTAACCAGCCCAGGTATGTAGGTTGGCTAAAACGGATCAGTTAACTTGCGAATCCACAATGATACATGACTGAAGGAATTATCACGATTGCGACTAACTAGGCCTGAGAAGACCTGCGCCGCCCGTGCCGCTTGTTTCGTCAGGCAGCTCGATGCTCAGGAGGTAACTACTGTACGGATGGCAATGAACGATCTGGTTGCGCAAACCCAGCAAGCCTTTTTGCTCAGCTCTTCCAATAGTTATCTCTCCGAAGCAGTGCCTTGGTTTCTCTTCTTTCTCTAGCTAACTGACTGCGCATCAATAATAAATAATCATATCTTTAACCCAAGTCCGTCCTATGCGGGTAGTTAGTTAACTCATTTAGCATCGGAAAGTCTATGTATGGAATGAATCACACAGGACTTTTAAAAGATGTCGCACCAACACCGAAGCATTTAAAGAGTAAATTTGTGTTTAGATAAACATCGAACATGCTAATGTGAGCCAAAGTCTCAGAGTCTTCTCATGAAGCAATTCCCACAAACATCGCCCAATTCCAATACCTAACACCAAATCACCAGCAGTATGAATCGTCAAAAGTGCTGTGCAACTAAATCACCTAACTAACATGAACTGATGCAAGTTCAGGTTCGTGCAAGCTCGATCACAACCTAGTACAATGCGCGGCCTGGGCCATCTAGCAAGACAACTATACAATCTTCCATCACTCAAAGTCGTTATACCTACATAGGTAGGAGGAGATGGTGGCAGGTTACGACAACAAGGAAGTGCGACAGCCAATGGATGTATTTGAGAATATTTCATAGTAGTTGAGGTCTGCACAATCCTTTGGATCTTTATCTTTTAATATTCAGGTCTTTTCACTATTATCTGTAGTAGGTACCTAGGCAACATAATGTAGAGGCTTAAGCTTAAGCTTGAGCCTTCGCCCTCTTCCCCCCTTTCCTACCCCTCCCATTACCCTTTTGCTTACCAGCGCCCCTTTGAACACCCTTGCCTTTCCCCTTACCCGTGCCCTCGCCACTTTGGTGTAAATAATCACCATCTTCTCCTTCCCCTTCTTCATTGTCGTCGTCAATATCATTATCATCATCATTAATCGTAATCGTATCTCCGGCCTTCCTCTTCCTCGCCGGCGCTAGCCCTGCATCCTCCGCAACAGACGCACCGGCACCGGCACCGGCACCCCCACTCCCACCTGCCGCATTCGCGCGGAGCTTACTAACAGCCTGCGCCATCCTCTTACTCCCCTTGACCTTCTCCCTCGGCGCGAACACCTCCTTCGCCTTCGCGCCGACGCCCACTCCGCCCTCAAAATAGCGCGTGATATTACTCTGCGTGCCCTCGGCCTCGCGACGGTTCATATCCCTAATGACGGGTACCAGGACCTCATCCGTGCGCTCCTCGCTCCAGCCAATGGTGCTCATGAGGAACTGGCGGAGGCCCGCGACGTCGGGGACGCCCCACTGGAAGGGGTCGGCGTCGCTGTCGACCTCGGGCTTGAGGTAGGCGTCGTAGACGGCGGGGCTCGGGAACCCAGAGGGCAGGAACAGCTTTGTGGACTGGGCTTTGCGGAACTTGCGGCGGAAGGTGGAGGATTGGTCGGCATCCTTGGGGCGGTTGTTGACCTGGACGTCCTGCCACCACTCCTTGAACTGCGTGAGCCCGTCCTTGCCCGGGAATTCGGAGAGGATCTCGACGGCGGTTACGGGTCCGACGCCAGGTAGGCCTTCCGTGTAGTCAGAGCCGAGAAGTTGGGCTAGGGAGATGAGCTGTTCGCGGGAGAGCGAGAGGTCCTTCTCCAGGTCGCTGCCGAGGTAGCATTCGACAAATTTATTACTATTAAACATGTTCTTGTACACCCGCGTGCCACCGAAGAGGAAGGTATCCGAGTCGTCCGTCACGATACCATCCACAAGGCCAAGTCTCACCAACTCGGCACATTGCGCTTCGGCTTCCATTGGCGCGGTAATGTACGGGATGCCGAAGAAGCGCAATAGAGCTTGACATTCGGTAATCATGATTTGTGTCACTTCGTCCGCATCTCGTCGGTCTTTCTTCTGTTGCGACCGCAGTGCTTTCAGTTCCCGCTCGTAGGCTTCTTGGTTTTCTTTCTCGGACTTGTTATTCAGCTGACTAGCAAAACGTGCATGTTCTTCGGCTTCTTCTGCCATTTGAGCGAGTAGCTCTTCTTCCTCGGGGTCACTGAATTCATCATCATTGAATTCGGCGTCGCCAAAAATCACACCATCAGCAGCTTCGGCCGTAGTTTCTGATGCATTGGGCTGCTCTATGGTTTCTGGGGCAGGCATCTCAACATCTTCAAATGTCGGCTCTGGAGATTCATCCCGGTCAACAGTGACACTGAGTTCTGCCGGTTGCGGGATTTCAACCTCTTCGAAATCTGGTTCTGGTGAAGATAGCCTTGGTTTTGGGCTAGACACATTATCATTCATCGCCTTTGCCTTTGCTTGAGGAGTAGTCCCAAACTGGTCTTCTTCATCAGTAACTGGAGGATTGACCTTTGTCAAGGTGGCAGGAGATAATCTTGGAGTAGCTCCGGTTTCTTCCACAACAACGGGACTTTTCTGACGAGTCTGTAAAGGAGCGTCAATAAATTGAACATCGCTCTCATCATCAGATGATTCGATCTCGATGATTGCATCCTTGCGGCGCCTCCTTTCCTCTTTAAGTGCAGCTTCCCGATCTTGTTCATTAATCTCATGCTCGATTTCTCGTTGAACTTTCAAAGCCTCACGAATGTCTGTTTCGTCCTGTACCATCCATGGCGGTAGCGGACGAGCGGCTTCGTTTTCTTGAGCTATGCCGTCCTGCTCTTTCTCATCTTCATCTTCTCGGATGAACCCACCAGCGAATTCATCGAGATCTTGTCCTTTTTCGGTCTCCTTTTGGGGCATCTTGGCAGGCGCTTGGTTGCCCTGTGTAAAAATACTAGATTTCCAATCCAACTTTTCAAAAGGCAACGGCCCATCAAATGGATTCTTCACATTTGGAAATGTGGGCGCAGCCTGTTGCTTAAAGACCGGGGCTTTCTTCTTTCTCTTAGAAATCAGAGCAGCCCGAAGATCAACTTCGCTATCGCTACTCTCATCGTTGCCCTGTCGCTCAGGCATGGGCTTCGGTATAGATGCGATGGCTCTGTGATTCACAATATGCGCAATTGCACTGCCACTGGTAGAACTTATGGGTTTTGGTTGCTGATCGACGGCTTTCTGAGTCCATTCGGGCGCCGGCGCCGGGACATCCTCAAATTCTTCCTCTTCCTCCTCCTGCTCTTCTTGTCCTGCTAAAGGGTTTTCATATTGATTTTTAAGAGAAATAGCAATAGCTCGGTTAAGATCCTCTTCTTCATCGTTTAAAAGGACATCATCTCCATCCAGAGACTGGAAGAGGTCATCAACGTTTGCCATATTACGTCCAACAAAAAGTGATTCTTCATCCTCAATATCAACAAGAGTATTTTCCTGGCTGTGCTGGACTTTTGGTAGTCGGTTTAAGCCTTCTATAGGAACGTCCTCAAAATCCTCCTCGTCTTCGTCCTCCTCTTCTTCCTTAGTCTGGTATTGGAAATCCAGAGCGTCAACATCAATGGGCTTATGTATTTCGCCAAGGTCTTTGTCTTTGCTGACAACACCAAGAGCCCATCCACCCTCGGCTCCGTCATTTTTAATAAGAATATATTCGCGGTCCTTCTCGCCGGCTATACGGGCATTTTTAGCCAACGTAAGGTCAGTTCCGGTCATGCCGGCTTCTTGCATGAGCCTTTGAGTCAGATAGTTTCTCTCCCGTACCCTTTCAATCTGGAAGCGGGAGAAGGCCATCCTGTCGGGGAACATGGCGTCCAACTGCTCTTTGCTCAGGCCCATTCTTAGTCGGCTCCGTATTCTCGCTGCATTGAGAATGTTATACCGATCGACAGGAGGTAGACTTTTGAAGAACTCGCCCTCGAAATCAATCTTGCTAAAATCGTAAATATTGATATCTTCACCACTGTTAAACTGCCTCGCGTACTCCTCCAAGTCTGCGATACTCATAATACGCGGGTCGCCAGGCTGGCCCATGTTCTCGATACCACCCTCTAGCTCTGGCAAGTGATAAGCATCCTGCTTGTAGAATTTCCTTTTCTTTTTCCGTTCGTCTGCTGTCATTTGTAACTCATCATAGTAGACCAGATTTTCGACATCCGGGATCTCCTCAGCAGGCTCTTCTACATCAGGTCTCCCCTGCTCCTCACGCTCTCTTTTCCGCCGACGCTTCTCACCCTCCTCTTCAACCATGCGCTGCATCTGCACGGCCAGCAGCTTGCCAGCCGTGCGGACCGCATCCTCTCTCCTGCCCTCCCGTCTCTGCTTCCGGCTCGTAATAGTCTGGCGTTTCAAGGCAGGTGCGCCACCATCGAAGACGAAGACAGGCTGGATGCCGAACCACAGCAGCTTGCATATGCGCCGGAAGAAACCGACAACGTGAGAGTTGCGTAGAGCATTTCCTTCTTTGTCGCGGACGGCCTTTAGGAATTGGTAAATCCAAATCGATGCATCGACGGCGAGACGTTTACGGTTCAAGGTGGCAAGGTTTGTCGGTCGAGCGCAAGGCTGTATCACCGTCCAAAGGCCGTTTACACCCATCTCCACACAATGAATGCTATTATAATACCAAAAGTCGAGAATTAAGGATACAATCGGTTGTTTATTGGATTCTATGAGACAGAGATAGATCACTCATGTATTATGTAAAAGAAGCCGCATGATGGGTGATGTTGATCTGAATGCTTGAGATCAAAAAGTCCAAGTCCGAGTCTGGGTTTCGAGACCGAGTTCAAGTTTAAAGCATTTGAAGTTTTAAAGAAGTGAAATTGTTGCCTAGAGAGGAGATGTACTTTGTATGTAAATAAGAAACGGAAATAGAGATGACGAATAACGATGACTTGAGAACTTGCATGTACAGTAACACCCGCGACAATGGACCGCGTTTAGGTCTAGAGGCCCTACTAGAGGGGTACCTAGCAGGGGTTTACCCGCCTAGTACCCAGTAAGCTTAATGTGGCGGACCACTGCAAGCAAGGGCTACATATCGATAAGTCCCTACGACGCAATCAATGCCACCATATTTTATCTAGGTTAGGTACTACTAGTACATATCTAATTACTTCATTACTTCATAATCGCATGACATGATTGGAAGAAGAAATCACCAACTCTCACAGCTTTTTACTTCTTTACTTTTATTCCACTATTCTAAATAGACAACCTCTTCGGCGCACCGAGCATAATGGAGATCATCCCCGGCGCAACCACAGAGACGGACCCCGAGAAAGCCGAAGCGGGCACATTTCTACGATCGCTTCTCAACAAGAACCTGCGCATCTACGCAACCGACGGCCGTCTCTTCATAGGGACCTTCAAATGCACCGATACTGTTCGTCCCGCCCCGACTCAAACATGATGCGAATACTACATCTCTCGTTGCAAAACTGTATGCGCTAATACCCACCATTTTTAATTTTTTTACAACTACAGCACAACAACATCGTCTTATCGCTCACCTACGAGTACCGCCACCCATCGCAGCAAAAGCTAGCCGAAGCCGCAGCCGCAGCCGCAGCCGTCGCCGAAGACGAGAGTAAAGGCACAGTGACCGCCAACATGACGTCGCGATATCTAGGTCTGGTCGTTGTCCCCGGAGAGCACATCACCAAGATGGAGGTCGAAGAGTTTTCCAGCCAGGCGAAGACGCGGTCGATATTCGACAGGAGAGACCTATACGGTGGCCGATGATTGAACGAAGGCACCACCATGTTCGAAAAGCGTATGCCAACTTAACATGGCAGACCCCGTTTTGCGTTCCATGCTCCCGATAACTATACCCTATCTACATACCTACCTACCTACCTACCTACCTACCTACCTACCTACCTACCTACCTACCACCTTTGAAGTTTAAAGAGCTTGGGACGCTAAAGATGTCCAGTAGCCATGCAGACGGCAACACCGGGCGCGCACGGTTCCTTGCGATGGTGTGAGTGGGCCGGCCCGTGAATGAATAATTTTGAAGTCTTGGGCAAGTTTGACGGTATTCGGCGTTCAGGGGCAGTATGCCAATATTACAGCATTATGGATAGCTCGGGAGCAAGGGTCCTCGAAAAAGGTGTTACAGCAACGCATTGGCTGGACTAGAAGCTACAACCCTGAATAGGTAGCAGAAAACAGCAAAAGGTGTAGGGCTGACTTCGATGAGTGCCTACTTGGTAGGTAGGTACCTAGACACCGTTGAAAGTATCGTCCTTTGGTGCCTGCAAGGGTCATATAGGCACTCAAACAGAAATCAAAAATAAATTCATAAGACACTCCGGCTCAGATTCAAGATTCTTTTCGATTATTCGAGGTCATTTGCGGAATCATGACACTTACTAGGCAATATAAGCTTGTCTGCGACTAGGGCTTTACAATATTGAGCGGATAGACATGTGGAGCTGACGTAATGAAGATATATATATTGTGATTATATGAGTTATGGCCAAGTCGAGAGGTTAGGTAGGTATGCTTGTTGAACTAGGATATATCGATATTGAACCCGGAACACCGGGATTGAATGTGAAGCCAAGTTTATCAGCTACCCTATTAAAATTCTAGGGGTAGCAATTACTAAAGCAAAGTTGGGAGAAAGTAAAAACGAAGCGGGTAGCACAGCGAGATATGATGTACATTTGCCGATGGTCACAGGCCTTTGGTCGAGGTGAAAGCAGTTAGGTTAGCTTGGAAGGGGATCCCATACGACGGACGAGACGCGGGGGAAGCTTGTGGTGTAGCTCCAAGGGGCTCGGCTTATGCTGGAGTTGCGTAAGTCTTAGAAATATTTGGATTAGTGTGACTTTTTGCTTGTCGGTCGTATACGACGATCCTCTTAGCAAGCAGCCAAAAGATCCCGTTCAAGATACGGCTTACATATACTTCATCGTTCAATTCCCGGGCGAAGTTACCGGACGACTACCGAAATGATGGGCCCGGGCGTTGCTAATACCCCGTAGGTATATTACTACTGCATGTAGTTGTAGGGCAGCTAGGGTGTATGGGAATATGCGGGGCTTGGTTTCAACGGTAACCCGGAATCCTAACATCGTGATCACATTCCTGGAAATCTAAAGTAAGTGATAGGTGTGAGTAACTACACCTAGGTACTAGGTAGGGATAGTCCTCTAGTACTGTAATAACCTGGAATGCTCGGTAATACCATAGTAGCTGTGTTCCACAATCAATTTCGAACAACCTCACATGCGGTGCGATACTAAAACCGACCGACTCCGTCGTTAGCGTATAGGTAGCCGATTATACTTTGCTGGCATTTATAGTGAAGCCAGTCCCAGCATAGCACATACAAAACACATCCTCAGTCTCCTTGATCGGCCACCTCACATCACATATTCGTATAGATACCCAGTCATGTCCGCATACACAGTCCCGTTTGTCATCAACGGCGAGGAACGCCACGTCAAGGACACCTTCGAGGTAAAGTCACCTGACACAGGAAAAGTAGTGCATAGATGTGGTATTGCAACAGAGGCGGATGCGTCAGCAGCCATCGAGGCTGCTGCGATTGCTGGTCGAACATGGCGAGATTCACGTCCGTCTGAGCGCCGAGATATATTCCTCAAGGCGGCAGAGATAATGGAAAGGAGGCGAGACGAACTAGCTGAATATATGAAGGACGAAATTGCCGCACCACGAGGTTGGGCCGACTTCAACATTAACCTCGTCATTCAGATGTATAAGGATGTGGCTGGCCGAGTAACCACTTTAGAAGGCACATCTCCGGCTTGTGCAGATGTAAATTCCACGGCACTGGTCCTGAAAGAGCCATATGGTGTTGCATTCGCAATGGCTCCTTGGTAAGCACCTCCTCTTAACTCTCAATTAGATTCAAAACATGAAAGCTCACCATTTGAAAGGAATGCTCCATATATCTTGGGCACGCGTGCAATACTCTTCCCTATTGCGGCTGGCTGTACAGTCGTCATGAAAGGCACCGAAACGGCCCCTCGGGTGCAGCGGGCCATCGTGTCTGTCCTCACTGAAGCGGGTCTTCCCAAAGGGGTTTTAAACTACATAGTAACTGATCCAGCGCATGCACCATCAGTAACAGAGTTCATCATCGCACATCCGGAAATCAAGAAAATTAACTTCACCGGGAGCACCATGGTTGGGAGGATTATCGGAAAGCTGGCAGGCCAGTATCTAAAACCTGTCGTTCTGGAGCTCGGAGGTAAAGCACCGGCTATCGTGTGGGAGGATGCAGACTTGGACGTTGCTGCCACACAGTGCATCGCAGGGGCTTTCTTCTTCTCCGGACAAATATGTATGGCGACGGAGAAGATCATCGTGCATAAGAAGATCAGCAAAGCATTCGAAGCGAAGTTGACGGAGAAGGTGGAGCAAATGCATCCACCCCAAGGCGATGCGCTGGTTTTGATCAACCAGCAAGCAGCTGAGAAGAACAAGAGACTTGTCAAGGATGCCATTAGCAAAGGGGCTTCCCTTCTCAACGGAGATATCGAAACCGAACAGAGCACGAAGACGAGAATGCGTCCAGTTTTCGTCAGCAAGGTGACCCCTGAAATGGACATATACAAGCAAGAATCATTTGGTCCGTCGGCGAGCCTGATCGAGGTTGAAACTGAAGAAGAAGCATTACGAGTGGCCAACGACACCGAGTATGGTCTCACTTCTTCTATCTTCACAGAGAACCTAAGAACGGCGTTGCGACTGGCCAAGGGCATCGAGACTGGTGCGGTACATATCAACAGTATGACTATCCATGACGAAGCGGGATTGCCTCATGGAGGAGCCAAGTCGAGTGGATATGGCCGATTCAATGCCCTGACTGGGTTGGAGGAATGGGTTCGATCGAAGACAATCACCTGGAAAAATTAATGAGATAGACACTATATTAATTCAAGTGATAACCATTAAATTAAAAAAGAAAAGTGAAGTGAGAAGAAAAAGAAGCTTGGAAGTGAAGAGATCATATGTTAATATGTTAATAATGGAGAGATTATGTAAGACCTTCAAGAGCTTCAATAGTGCAATAATTTGGTCCAAGCTCCATAGTTCTACAATCCCTGTAATTACATATTATATAGGTAACCTTGGAGAAAAAAGCTTAAGGTTATGTACATAAATCGAATCGCGACGGCAATGCAATCATAACGTCATTTCGCATCGCAATCTTGCCTCAACTCCAAAGGTACAGTACTACTCTCCAATTCTCTACTTACTCCAATACTCCGATACATGAAAACCACCACGATAGACAACAGCGACAATGGGGTCAAAAGTCTCAAAACCCGCCCAATCCGCCACGCGCAAATTCCCTTCGAGAGCTCCGGGTACCTCTGCTCCTCCATCGAGGCCACCCCGGCCGGCGGCAGCTCAACCGAGATCAGATGGACGGGCTTCCTTTACGAAGAGTGACGGTTAGTGTTGCTCCAGCCAGCGTAGTCACTTTTACCCTCGAATTTCCCACGAGATATCTAGTAGCTGACCCTACTATCTGCGTCGCACACATTAGCCATCAAAGCCGACAGCATGGACCCCGACACCAACCCCCTGACGAACCCAGCCTTTTCCCAGCGGCTCAGGCAGATGGGCGTCGCCGTGCCGAACCCGACGCTGTCCAACTCATCGACCGCGTCGCCGTTCCCGAAGCAGCAAGGGCCGCACATCTTCCCCTCGCCGGAGCAAAACCCCACGCTGAGCGCGCTGGAGGCGCGGAAGCACTTCGAAGAGAGCGCAGACCTCGAGTTCCAGAACATGGGCCAGGGGCGAGAGTTCCTGGACGTGGGCACGCTGAAGCAGGCGCTGATCCTGCAGGCGCAGGGCACGCCGGCCGCCGACATCGAGAAGAGGCTTAGGCTTAAGAGCGGCGTGGTGAAGAGGCTGGGGCCGAGGGGGGTTACGTCGCCTTTGGTTGCTGGGGATGTGTTGTGAAAATACGAAAAGGGGAAAAGTTAAAAAGTAAAAATAAAAATAGTAAAAACGACACAGCCCTACTCCAGAGATATAAGATTTGTCGTAAAATAGTAGGTATGTATTCGAGGTATGTATGTATGTAAAAAAAGCGGCTTCTATAATGATTGCCTCGCCTCATATCATCAATATTGGATAGTAGCTACACTTTATCCAATGTTGCCATCGCCCAAGCGCAGCCGTAGCCGCAGCGAGTGTTCCGTCCAGGTCGCTCCCTAGCAGAAAACAGATAAGGGCGATATCGTGCCAATCCACAGTGAGCTACCGATACCGCGCTCCCGCACTGAACTCCTGTGCCAAGGTTCCTTTCTACCAACCTAACCTAGGCAACTGGCCATACTTCCCCCTTCCATCATTTTCATCCATGGGCTGTTATGTGTGTATCCCACCCAACCCTCCCCCTTACCAAGCAGAATGCCCGCCATCAATCCTCAAATCCGCGCCCGTCATGAAGCGGCTCGCGTCACTGAGCAGGAAGACCGCGGCGCCGCGGTAGTCCTCGGGCTTGCTGAGCTTGTTCAGCATGTTCTGCTTGGGCCACTCGACGGCGCGGTCGGGAAACCGCTCGAACAGCTTCTGCACCATCTCCGTCACGATGTACCCCGGCGAGATCGTGTTCACCCGGATGTTCTTGATGCCCCACTCCATCGCTAGGTTGCGCCCTAGCTGCAGGACGGCGGCTTTGGAGGCGTTGTAGACGCTGGTGGGCGGGTTAGCTTTGGTTTGGTGGTGGGTTGGGGTGGGAGAAGGGGAAGGGGAAGGGGAAGGGGACAGGGGGGGGGGGTGACTTACGGGCAGATCAACCCGCGGTTCGCAACAGTGCCGCTCATACTGGCGATCAGCACTATGCTCCCGGGCGTATCATTCTGATACATGTGTTTCGCCACCGCCTGCGCCGTCATCAGCGCGCCCGTGACATTGACACCCAACATGCGGTTCGAGTCCTCCGCGGTATAGTCCAGCGCCGGCGTCTCCTGCTGGATGCCCGCCGCCGCGATCAGCCCATCAATATGCCCCTCCTTCGCCACGATCCCCTCGGTGATCTTATGGAGCTCCTCCGCGCCCGTCAGCACGTCGACCTGGTGGTACGTCAGCGAGGTCCCCAGCTCCCTCCTCGCTCTGCGCTCTACTTTCTCGTAGTTGGTGCCGGGCCCCGGCTCCGGCTGCCGGTCCCAGATGTGCACTACGGCGCCGGCTTCGAGCAACGCCTCGGCCTGCACGAGACCGAGCCCTTGCGCGCCGCCCGAGACGACTATGACTTTGCCGCGCAGGCTGAACTCGGGCAGCACCGAGGGGCTGTTGACGATGGGCTCGCCGGGAGCAAGCTTGGATGTGGTGGTGTGGAAGGTTCGTGTGGCTGGCCCGTCACGCGCAGGCTGCATGCAGGGTGCTGCCGTCCTGGTGGCGGCCAGCGTGCATGCGGGCGTCACACGAGGCGTGGCGCGGGCGAGTCTGCCCAATGAAGGGGCTACGCGAGATATTTTTAGCGCAAGCGACGTCATCGTGAATATGTATAGTTTTTTTTTTAGGTTTCTTTTTGGAAAAAGCCTCTTTATGTCGTAAACTCAAGGTGTGTGGGTGTGTGCTCAGGTTGTATATATAGGTAGATATATAATCCCGTATTGAATAGCTTGGAAGCTGCGCGACACAACACGACACAAAGCTCTTAAGGGTTTGAGCCCGCGAACCCCTGAACCGATAAACTTGTATGTGTTTGTTTGGTAAAAAAAAAAGAGAGAGAGAGAGAGAAGCCAATGGGGTGTGTCGACCTTAGGAGATAATAGCAGAGGTGTTGGGCGAGGGGCTCAAGCAGCAAGCAAACCGGAAATACGAATAGGGGAAAGCGCCCGCAAATGTCACATCAACGGAGAGGAGGATGAAGAGTTTGAGTTGAGTTGGACTAAAGAGAAGCTCGAAGGTTTGCTTCGATCGGGCGTCCTATATAGCGAAAAGCTCCTGTGCTCCTTGTTCAGGAGCCCATCGTAACCTAGGTAGGCCGAAGGATGCCCTCTTCCGCCAAGGTGTTCAATAAAAATGCCTACCTACCCAAAACCGGCCCCTCTTTCCTTTGTCTCTCCCCAAGACCAGGTATAGGAGAGGCCGTGGGACACCTTGAGTTCTAGAACTTGGTACTGAGGCAAATTGTGAAGGAAGGAAGGAAACTGACGAGGGGGGAAGACTCCGCTCTCCCATCTCCGTCTTAGGAGCTGTGAGAGAGAGGGGCCGAGAGAGCTTTGGTTTGGTTGTTGAGCGAGGATTGGACTTCAAGGAAATTCTAAAAAGTTTGAAATGGCATTTGCTTGCTCCAGCTCCACCGGCACGGTGACATGTCTAAGTGGTCTTAACTGGGTAATTGGGGGCAAAGGAACCGGTGAAGGTTTGCCAAATACGATATGTGACCAAAGACCGGCGGACATCTTAATCTCTATTCTAGGGTACTAAGGTAGGGTATGGGTTCGGATTCTCGGTAACGATGCAAGGCTAAAGCAAGAGAGAGGGCAAGAATAGAAGAGGAGCTTTTCTTTTGTTAGTTACAATGAACGAACCGGGGGTGCCGTCAAACCCACACACGTGCTGTTCTACGCCAACAAAGAACATCGTGGTATGGGTCATCTGATGGACATCACAGGGAGCAAGGCAATATTCTTTACTAGGTAAGTTTTCGATGCTTCGGATTGCCTATTCGAGTAACCCACGAGGAAGGGAAATAAGGTGGAGTTCATACAACAGCGCTAGCAACGTCAGCAGCATTCCTATTTCTCTTATTACTATAAACTATTGCACAATGTTGACCGTATTTCACGATAATTTTTTGATCACGTTTAAGACTAAAGGTGGACTAGGTAGGTAGGTAGACAGGTTAGAGGAGGTTAGGAGGTTAGGTTGGACGTTGTGTCTTGGATGTGTGTCTATGCCGGCTTGGCCAGCAGTTTACCAGGTAGGTAAGGTAGACATGTAGGTAGGTAGGTATGTATGTATGTATGTATGTATGTAGGTAGGTAGGTAGGTATAATACCCGGGACTATAAATCAACGCCACATGATCGCAACGCGCATTCTCGGCTTCTGTATCCATGCATCGCTGCCTCATTATACCTCCTTCTGGCCAAGTTGTATATACTAACCTACTAAGTTAGCTAGCTACCTAGGTAGGTAGACAAACAAACAGCTGTATAAGCGTGTACAAGCTCCGCGAACCCCCCGCATTGTCAAGCTTCTCCCCGCGAACCTACCCTAGGGTTACGATGCTTCAAGGTTGCATGAAGGGGTATTTTGGGTTCAGACTTCGGTCCAATAATGCAACTTCATCGAAGGAGGCGTCGAGCTATTAGGGGTTAGCTCTGCATATGGGTTACGCAGCATTAGCGTTTCTGCCAAAGCACTCAAGACTTGCCCAGGTGGTAATACTGCTAAGTGACTGGATGAATCTGTGAGACAAACAACGTTAAAATGAACTAATAAGCCCTCGAACAAGATCTTAAATCGCCTTTTATATTTTATTCCCCTCTTCCGCGATTGGCTCACTTCACGTTCGACATACCTACCCGTCGGAGTTGCAGATTGTACCCCAGGGCCCGGCTCCCCGTATGCCAGACTTGCCAACTACAGAATGGATTTGACAAGATTGCCGATTCGCTATGAGAGTCAGAATGTGACAAGTCAACTCGGCATTTGACACACTCATCGGAACCTGTATGGAATACTTGCTTGTAATTGGATGGCATTCGTATGAACCACCCCTCGTTCCGATGGATCAATCAGCATGGCATAGCATGGCGTGGCGTGGCGTAGAAGAGGACCCCTACTGCAAGCAGAGTGATCTTTGAGAAGTGTGCCAGGGGGGGCTTCATCAATTTTTGGAAATCCGCCCCTCCATCTACGTAGGTAGTTAGGCTTCGTGGCATTCAGGGTCCTGTTCCTCAGCCCTACCAGGCCGTCGGAGTGTCCACCTATGAGAATAAATCGGCGCCTACTGCGGATACTTAAATAATCGATATTACTTTCAAATAGCCAAGTGAGGCCATCGCATATTCGGTCAAGGTAATGTGTTGCTACTCATACCTCATACGTGCCCGAACCGCACCATATCCGGCGGGGGCGGTTTATTGCGAGGCGGATGCGAAACACAGAAGAGACGGTGAAGAGACGGTGAAGAGACGAGAATATTCGAGAGCGGCCGACGCGACGCGATAATTGCCGAATTCAAATTCCTCCCCCCTCGACAACTCGACACCGGTCCATGTGTTGTCATCTGGCAAGTCGTTTTCTTTCGAGAAGTATCACGAAGTTGTTCGGTCGTACGGCCTGTTTTCCTCTGCCGTGTCCTGGACTTCCGGAGGTTTTCTTACGATGAAAGCACTTTTGATGCCCAATATTAACAAGAGGGCGAGATATCCGGTCATCGTCGGTAATCATACCCAGCATTAAAGCAGACCATCCCAAAAGTGCCAAGGATGAAGCCTCGAAAGCAGTAATCCTCCGCGATAATTTATCAAAGACTTGACCAAAGACCCAAATCGAAAAAAGAAGGATACCGAAGCGATCGTTTCTCCGAAAGCAGTTGTGCGACCGTCATACCTTTCTCCTGATACCGTATTCCCCTAATACTTACTCTCCTCTCCCTCTTCCTCTTACCCCCTTAGGATAGCGACTAGCTCAACACTAACATCGTATTTCTATATATATCTTGCAAAGACGTAGCGAAATGGCAAACAGAGCCTCATCGCGCATATAATAAGATAAGCGAATAAGCTAGTTTTCAGCGTAACCGGAGCCTTGGTTCGGCAGTCTCGCAACATCCACGCCAAGGAACAATCTCGGGGTCTTTTGCGGCAAAAATGTGCTTGTCCTCCTTTTTTCCCGGTCGCAATATCAGATTAAAGCTTGCATCTACTTTCCTCGGGTATTATCCAGCGATCCGTAGAGCCGCCGATCGCATATTCACATGTGACAGCTTCGCCTGGGGATGCCACGAGACGAGCTGATCAAGCCTATGTGCCGTCTCCAACCGCGAATGACGTTGCCTAGATTTCCCCCCAGCTCAGCTGAAGCCCAACAGCCGACAGCGTGGGTGACATCCTCCAATAGAAGCTTGTACCAGAAATTGCAAAGACGGGGATATCGGCATGACTGACAGCGAAGCAGGCTGCGACGTTTGTGAGTCTAATTTAACTTACTGGTCTTGTACTGAGATTATGCTCAATGAGGAAGATATGACGGAACGGCGTGGCGTTTCCTGGATACTGCGTTCCGTAACGTTGCCTTGTCACCGTCTAACCTTCTAGAATCTCTAAATGTATATGACATTAGAAAATACCTGATTAGGTACGCAGGCGTATGTAGCAAACTTGAATGCTATCCTATCATGCATCCAGTACACGCAACCACGGCCTCATCACAATGCTACGACACAGCATATATCTGCGAGGTGAAATAGAATGAGATTCATGGCTCATTATGGAAGGAAATTCATTGCCTTTTCTTGAGTCTCTCTTGATGGTGGCGAAAAGGGGCCCCAGATAGGCAGGCAAGGACATGCCCAAGGTAGTATCGATGGGGTTTTCTAACACAGCACGTGAGTAGAGAATCCATCATACTTACGTCGGCGTAGAGGAAAAGGAAGCAGCAGCAGGAGAAGGCCACGCCGCTTTTAATTATCTCCGTTGAATGAACTCACACAGAATGCTTCGAATATAAATTAAATTATATCCTTCTTTCTGACCAATAGCCCGATTACACATTGTCCTCGTTGCCAAGTTGAACTTGGTATACGGTAGTTGTGATATCTACCTTGCCTAGGCTAGGTAGGCTGAGCAATACATAGAAATCCAGAATACTCGACTGCTTAATGCTTTTTGTGACAAAGAGGCGATAATAAGATTCAAGATTGAAGATTAGTTAAAGATTAAAACTTTAAGAGTGAAGACTCTGAAGAGAAGCATTCATAAAGAAGAGATAGTTACAATTACGTAACATACCTACTAGGTAGTATCCATGTGAACCTTGATAAGTACAGTGCAATACAGTATCCATGCACGTCAACTCTCTTTCAGCTAGCTTGCGCCACAAAGCCTTAAAGGGGAAATAGGGATCTCCAATTTCAATGTTCAGCCCTTTTTCACCGTGGCTCTGCTTTTACAATTCCACCTACTGTATCTCCTACCTACCTACTTACTAGGTACATAGTAGTAAATCATTCATTACCAAGCCATCAAACATCAAACTCGTCCAAATCCGCATAACTATAATACTATTAGGCACCTACAGAAATGACATAAACTGACAGGCTTTTCCTTTGAATGGCTTCGTTGAAATTGTGGCCTTTATGCAGTCTCAATGGCACGTGATGGGGGCTCAAGGCTGACAGCTGTCTGGTGAGTTTGCGACATCCCCGAGCCCATATACGGATATAGATATGGGTATAGAGATGGATGGGTCTTTGGTGTGAATGGTGGCTTACTTACGGCGCAGCTTTCTTGCCTCATATATCTGGCTCTCTTGCTCTTTACAGAGACACTCATTAATAGGTACGCTTTCATTACCTACCTATGTACCCTGCCTCCTTTAATCATACTATACGCTTAGAGACTAACCGCTCCACGACACTCCCTACAGATCAGCCACGGCTTTCTTCATTCTTACTCCTGTTCATCTCAGGCTCAGCAGCTTTCATAGCTAGCCTTTTCTCAAAATGGCTTCCCGGCGCAGATGGAAGATTTGGTATGTCCTTCTGATTACCTAATCGCTTTCACTTAATTCATAGCTACCTAACTCCTGACCTCCTTTAACAGATTCCGAGGCCATTTTGAAGGGAATGCAATCATCATTGCCTCATAGACCTCGTCGTTTCTACGTTCCTTGTATCATATTTCTCATCGTCTTCAGGCTAGAGATCGCTCATACGACGATACGTGACTTTGAGTGTACTACTGCAGGCATAGAGGTATATACAATATTCTGCTCTAATTATCTACACTCTCACACTCTCACACCTCATATAACGTTGCTCTAATGTCATTCAGGCCTTTCTCCCTGCGCTCCTAGCTGCTTATGAGTTCTTCTCACATCGTACACTTCAGGCCAAGTCTGACGAGCCGGAAGAGATGTGGGGCAACCCCTTTGAAGATTTTAAGAGTTGGATTATGAGTTCTCCAATCACTCTTCTCTTCAGCACTCTGTTCTTTAGTTACGGCGTTTTCATGGTTGGCGATTTTCCCACAAGATCTACCTACTTCTGTTCCACCATAGTGAGTCACAGCTCATTCATTGTGGCCATGCAGTGGGTGGGAGTTTTCATCGATGCGACTGTCATGGTCATGTTCTGGAGGGTACTTTCGTGGGCTAGAACCACCAAGAGTCGTCTACGAACACTCGGTGGCATTTTAATTTTGACGTCTGTTGGTGTCTCGGTTCTATGGATGGCAACCCGGATTTCTCAACATCAGGAAATCATGGGTCATCACCCCTTCAGGGGGATTGGTTCCCTTTATTTCTTCGACGTTTTCAGCACAGGCCTGCTCGTCTCTACGCTCTTCATATCTACCGCTCTTTGGATTTGCGATTCAACCGCTCTGGAGCCTACGGCCATCGCAACTTTCACTTCCGGCATGCTAGCGAGTATTCAAAATGTTCTGTCGATCGGAACTTATCAGCAGACCGCAGTTGGCCAACCACTGGTGGTTCTCATCTTTATCTCCGCTGGCTTCATTCTTTTCACGTACGCAAATAATATGAGGTGGATAGTCGTGTTTAAGCGAGTAATCCTTATGCTGCTGATTGCCTGTATTGTCATCGCATGCACAATCTTTGCTGCAGTAAAGAGCAAGAATATGGACCGCCATCCCGTGGACGACCTCGTTTACAAGAACCGAGTAGAGGCTGATCGTTGGCTGAGACATGCGACTGTAAGCACTACATTGAAGCTGGCTGTCACTGAATATAAGGACCGCCATGATGGGCGTGATCCTCCACCGAATTTCGACAAGTGGTTCGAGTTTGCACAACAACAAAAGTCGGTTGTCATTGACAGATACGAGCAGATTGGGAAAGACATCCGACCTTTTTGGGGCATGAAACAGCATCATATCCAAGAAGGCCTGGAGAGGTTGAGGGGATTGCCAGATATTGGTATCATTCAGATCGCAGGTGGACAGGCGACCCATAACCAACCAGAAGATGCTGTACAAAGGGTGATTTTAGATGAGGCGGTGGCAATGATTACTAAATTTGTCCAACATCTCCCTGATATGTCTATCGCCATCAACATGAAAGAGCGGCCAAGGGTCTTGATTCCCTGGGACGATGTCCATAGGTATATCATGGCGGGGAGCAAGTCACCATTCCAGTTTCTTCCCTACGGCAATCGCAAAACTCGGCGCGATGATGATAACACAAAGCTAGCGGAGGCCAATCCTATCGACGTGTCGAATGCACCTTTGGGCTCGGTTGCCCAACCTTACGTATCTGAAAAGAAATTCCGACAACTCGAAACCCTGGCGTGCCCACCTGGTTCACCTGCTCGCGGAGGTATACATTGGGATGTCCGAGACTTTTGCTCTTCATGTGTCAAGCCGCACTCGGAGGGACAGTTCCTGCAGGATTGGGAGATGTTTCTTGATCCATGCCATCAACCGGATATATTCAATCTCCACGATTTACACACAACACCCCATCTCTACGAGTTACACCAAGACCTCTTACCTCTTTTCAGTCGATCTAAAACAGATAGCTTCCACGATATCCTCATCCCGCTAGTTAATCCCAATGTCGACCAGGGGGTTGACGGTGTAGACTTCGATAGAAAAAAGGAAATTGTCTTCTGGCAAGGGGATGTCAAGGACGCGCAAGTCGTCACGCCTCAATCTTTACTGGGTGGGCATCGCCATCGCCTCGTACATCTCGCAAACAACGCCAGCATTTTCGACCAAGTATCGATGCCTCTCGGAATTAAAGTCGGGAACAAAGACAAGTTCCGCTACGAAGCAACGCGAGTGAAAGACGCCAACGGGCCCTTGCCTTTCGAATTCTCGTTCACCAACACCGACGGCTGCGAAGACGCCAACTGCCAGCTGTTGCAGCGGGAGTTCGGCTTCAAGGAGCCGGGCCGCGCGCTCGACAACAGATACGTGATGCTGCTCGACGGCGCGGACGGGCCGTCGCCAAACCTGCTCCCGACGCTGCGCTCCAACAGCGTGCCCGTACTGTCCTCTGTCTTCCGCGAGTGGTACACGGAGCGCCTGATGCCGTGGGTCCACTTCGTCCCCGTCGACCTGCGCTACCACGCCCTCCACAGCACCATGGCGTACTTCATCGGCCTCAAGGACCGCGGCCCCCTCAATGGGCGTCCGCAGATGACCGAGGGCAGGAAGGAGGACGCGCGGTGGATCGCGGAACAGGGCCGCAAGTGGGCGGACAAGGCGATCCGCAGAGAAGATATGGAGGTGTACATGTTCCGGCTGCTGCTCGAGTGGGGGCGGGTCGTGGATGAGAATAGGGATAACTTGGGCTTTGTGCTGTGAAAGAGGTGGGTATTTGCTTGGTTGGGGGGTTGGGGGGTTGGGGGGTTGGGGGTGTTGCGTATAGTAAAAAAAAAAGAAGAATTAAGCATAGCAGGCAGATATTTGAAGTAATACACACATGGATGTATCTGGAAGCGAAGCGTTGTACATAGGGATGTAGGTTGTATAGGTGCCTGGGATAGAGTTGGGATTTAATGTAGAGCCTGTTTGTTTACTGCATAGGTACCTATCTATCTACGCATATTGTACCATCGTTGTTTGTTTCCCAAGTAAATAGGCACTCGAGAACTGATTCAACGTCATGGCGATGAAGTACTTCTTGGAGTCGTACCTCAAATAACATAAGTGTCATCGTCCTCCTGTGGTTCCGTATTCGAGGGATGTGAGAGGGGTCAGTGTGCCGCTGACATTTCTGTGCTTAGGGTTTCAAGGGTCTTTACATAGTACCTAGTTGTTAGTAGTGAAGGGTAATATGATTTGTACGCAGAAAGAAGAATTAGTTAGCATTGTAACAAATAGTAACAATGAGAGATCATGATCATTTAATGAACCTTGAGTTATTTGAGTTTGCATGATTTTATACTTGGGTAGGTAGTTACCAGGTACCTAATGTAAGTCATGCTTAGTGCATTAACCCGAGTCTTGCATACGTAGGTAGTTACTTCGTGCTAGTTGTGTATTTAATTGCATGGGGTTGTGACGTCGTCGTAATACATAGTCACAGGCACCTGGAGTCTAGAATTAGCACAGTACCTGAACAAACTCCCCACCTGTAGACCTGTAGCCTGCGACTTGCAACTTACACCAATCCAATCCCGCATCATCAACCTCACCCTCTCTCGACTTTCTCACTCGCGACAACTACATACCCATACCATATTACGCCTTTCGAGCAAAAGTGCATTCGGCTAATATATCTATCTAGCCATAATCCTATCTACTGCCTACCTAGCCCACAAAACCTACACTTTGCACCCATTCACATCTATACATACAATCCCCCAGCATTCAAATAGTGGATCAGTTTGCTTGCGCTGAGAACTAGATCCGAGACCCCACCCACGATGGCGGTCATTGACGAAGACACATTCTCTAGCATTCCCTGGAATGGCAACAGCCACAATGATATCGTAGAAGGTTCAAGCTCGTCGACACCAACTATAGAAGCAGAACCCCCTACTGCCGAAGACCAACATCATGGTGATGATCTACAGCGCCAGGACCCCGGCTTGTCCGGCGATATACTCGAGTGTACCGTATCTGAGCCTCGCAAAGAACAAGATGGCACCAAAGATGCCTTCGTATCATATCTAATCACTACTAATGTAAGTCCATAAACTATTTCATGTCTGCGAGGCTGCTGCGAGGCGTGCCTGAAGTATACATGTCTAATGCTAAACAACCACTACAGTCAACATTCCCTTCCTTTCAGAAATCTACTTTCACCTCCCGCCGCCGCTTTACCGATTTTGTCTTCCTCTATAAGACCCTTTCAAAGGACTATGCAGCCTGTGCTGTACCGCCTCTTCCTGACAAACAGCGCATGGAATATGTGCGAGGCGATCGCTTTGGCTCGGACTTCACAAATCGACGAGCCTACTCTCTGCAACGGTTCCTCGCGCGCATCACCCTACATCCCATCCTCCGCCGTGCCCCAATATTCCACACTTTCCTCGAATCTCCCGACTGGAACGCCACCATGAAATCTCGTGCCTCTAGAACCAGCACCGCTTCCGATCCAGGTACCGGCGGTGTCTTCGACAACTTTGCTGACACCTTTATCAACGCCTTCACCAAGGTCCATAAACACGATAAGCGGTTTATTGAAGTGCGCGAGAAGAGCGACAAACTGGACGAAGATTTAGGGCATGTAGAGAAAGTGGTGGCACGAGTGGCTCGGCGGGAGGCGGACCTGGAGACCGACCTACGAGATCTTACCGAGCAATTCCAAAAGCTGATCACGCTAGAGCCAGGCGTAGAGAGTGCCGTCCATGGCTTCGCTGCCAGCGTCGAGGATACAGCCACGGGGCTTAGAAAGCTGCGTGAGCACACCGACCAAGACTACCTCGGCAGCCTACGGGATATGCAAGCGTACAGCCAGGCACTGAAAAATCTCCTCAAGGCGCGCGAGCAGAAACAGCTCGATCACGAACAGCTAACCGAATACTTGAACAAATCTACCGTGGACCGTGATTCGCTGGCTTCTGGACACGGCTACGGCGCCACTGGAGCCTTGGGTGGTGCGGGCGGCTTCATCCGGTCCAAGATCGAGGATGCGCGAGGCTTAAACCACGAAGCCATCCGCCGCGAGCGCCTGCGAAAACTCGAGATGCGCATCGACGAGTTGACAACCGAAGCCGAACGGGCCAAGAAGACGAGCGAGGCCTTTGACGAGGAGGTGGTCAAGGAAGTGGTTGATTTCGAGCGCATCAAGCGCATAGAGCTCAAGCAACAGTTTGGCGGCCTAGCGGACGCGCACGTGGAGTTCTACGGCGGCGTGGTGGATGTCTGGGAGCAGTATGTCAGGGAAATGGAGAAGGAAGGTCTATCGGGTTCTGGGTACACCGGCTGATAACTTTTTACTACTTTTTTGTCCACATCCATACCTACATTACAATTTCAAAATCCGCCGGGTGGCTGGACTTCTTAAGGGACGGATGGGCTAGGGAGGTCTAATAATGATTCATGGAAGCAATGGAAGAAAGTTGAAGGCGGCGGCGTTGGCACTTTGGTCATTGGCAGGTAGGTAGGTAGGTAGGTAACTAACATATAGCAAGGCTTTTTTAACCAAATGGTTATTTGGCTGGGTCACTCTACTACTCGCGACCTACCAACCATGCCAGCCCGCTTCCAGTGTTTCTTTGCCTACCTACCTGCCTGCCTGCCTACCTGCCTATTTACCTACCTACTATACTATATGTGTTACGTCCCGTCCCGTCCCAAGCTATCCCTCGAATCACATGCAGAGAATAGGGGGATAAAGAGAGAGGGAGGAAAAGAAAAGAAAAGGGACGGAGAGGAACAATAACGACCGATATATGTCTTGAAGGCATGAGGTTCATGATATATGTACGTGTCTTAGGCAGGTATCTATATATCTAGGTTAGGGGGGGGTGATAACGGTTAATGGCACGCAGCAACGTGGTAACGCGGTAACGCGGTAACGTGGTAACGTGAGCAAGTGTGTTAAACATTCATGAGATACGGCGAAGAGGGATGAATAGGAGGAGGGACGGACACAACCACGAGGAGGGGAGACGGAGGGGGCGGGTTTCTTGGGTGTCATTTGCTTTTCACGCACACAGAGAGAGAGAGAGAGCCGTGGAGGTTTCTCGTTTTATAGAAAAGAGCCTCTTGCGATTTCCTACCTACCTTGATGATGATGCCGCTGATTTGTTGTAGGTAATGCCAGGTATTATTCTGCATTTTTTTTTCAATATCTCCAAGGCGGCATTACCTACCTACCTAGGTACATAGGGGGGTTTTAACGCTCTATACCCAATGAGACCATACATCATGTGTTCTCAAGCCAAAAAGTTACTTGAACTACTATTATTCATGTAGGCAGGGTAGACTAGATCGTGTGCCTTGATATACTTGGTACCGAGCCTTGTGTGAATTACCCAAAATACACTGCAACTACCTAGTACCTAAACAGCAAAGCATCACCCGTATAAAACACCGAGGCAGTACACTGTAGTACAGCTACCTGGTATGCTCGCATATAGTCCAACAAATCAATTTACACGCGCCGAACGCCGTACGGGCCATGCCATATGCTAATACTATAAGGTGTCAGTGTATATACATGGGTATGCTAGCCAAAAACGAACCCCCTCCCTCCCCTAAGCAGCTTGCCATGATAATTCTAATTTTTAACGTATTCACAAGTTGTTGTCAGCGTTTCCGGGACGACCACTTTCTATCTCCGTTCCATCTAATTTTACCTTCCACCGCTCAACAACCTTCGGCCTTGCTTTTCGGTGCGTGCTTGTCCCTCGGCCTCTTGGTCGTCATCGTCATCGTCGCTGCTGGCTATACTGAAATGGTCCCTTCCTATGCCGTCATCCTCGTCTTCGCTACCACCGGCAAAGGCATCATAGAGCTCGCCACCGCGTCGTTTCTGCCCATTTTTCTCAGCACCACCATCTAGATCGCCACCATCCTCCGCGTTGAGTGGCTCGAACTCATAATCGTCACGTGGGTTGTTAAGGCGCTGCTTGCGGCGCATGAACCAGAACCACGCGCCTAGGCCGCAGCAAAAGGCGGCGATAAGACCGATAGCTCCATATATCCAAGCCTGAGTGCTAGAAGATACGCCGAAGGTAGGAAGGAAAGAGGGTAACCAAGAGCTTGCAGCAGTAGTGGTTTGGGCAGCAGAAGACTCAGTACTCGTCGAAGTAGGAGCACTGCTGCCGGGAGTCTTACTAGGCTTGATAGGGCGCTCTGGGTGATCCGTAGGAAGGGCGGTGTTTATAGCAGTGTTGGTATCAGCAGGCGGAGGAGGGAGGCTAGTAGTAATGGCAGTTGCAGTAGTGGTGGCAACTGCATCGTGGTCATCATCATCATTGTCACTTGGCATGGGAAGCACCGTAGCCTTGGAAGCATCGATAGCTTCACCCCATAGTTTCAAATGCCAGTCAATGAATTTGCCTTTATCGTCGTTTACTTTGGTATCGCGCACAATAAGTGTCCATGTGCCAACTCCGGATTCACCCCTATAGTATTATTAGTCACGAACAAAACTACGAGTATCCGATCTTGGAACTTACCAATGAACCACAGACATGAATGTCCAATCATCGTAGCCATCTTTGCTGGTATCTAGCTTACGAGTAGCTGAAAGGTGACTGACCACATTATCTGGACTAATTAGGTCGACACTTAGATCTCCTCGACGAGTGTGCTCAACGTTCATCGTAACAGTGACATGTTCCAGACGCTCTACATTCGCTTCCTGGATCATCTCTTTTGTGACGTGGAAGCTGACTGATAATCCCTGGTCCCCTTGAGGAATATCCTTGCGGACATGTAACCATGGAGAGTAGAGCCAAGCCTGGGGTTTTACGTTCTTCCAAGTTCTCGCCGTTTCCACAAGAGCCCAGCTGTCAATCTTGCCATATCCAAACGTGTGACTGAACTTCTTTCCAATGGTAGTAGGCTGCCACTCGCCCGTGTCGAGGTCGACGGGCACTGCGCTATTCAGTGCAATGTATTGCATATCTCTCCAGCTTAGATCAGGGCGAACCTCAAGAGCCAGTGCAAAAATCCCAGCAGCTAGAGGTGCTGCGGCAGATGTACCACCATGTCCATTGTAACATTGGTTCTCACCAACATCGGTAGTGTGGATGGCGTCTCCGCTGCCACTGCTGTAAGTAACGACAAGCTGAGCTGAACATTTCTCGGAGTAGTATGGATGTATTCCCTCCCTATCAATGGCGCCAACGGTGATACTGTAAATACTATTGGTATACCCATCGAAATTGCAGTTGTCCTCGGCTGCGGCACCATTGCCACTGGCGAATACGAAAATTGACCCCTTTTGACCACGTCCGTTTTGCACACCATTCAGCATGGCCTTCTTGATGAGAATTCCTGGAGCGTCCATGGATTTTCCATCGTCCGGCGGGCCCCAAGAGCAGGAGTAGATATCGTTATGCTCGTAGTCGTAGTTTAGAGCCACGGCCTCGTCAGCGTCACTAATCAGTTTACTTAAAATGCGGATACCAGCAATCTTGGAATCGTACGCGACGCCAACGCCGCAGACGTCATTTCTTGCAGCAGACACTTCACCTGCACATCGAGTGCCGTGTCTATCGTCAGAAAGAGTCGGACGAGGCTCGGGTCTCTGGTCGTTGAAGTCATAACTACCCTCGGCATAATAGTTCGGTTTGAGATCGTTGCTATACATGTCTAACCCATCATCCACAATAGCCACAGTAGCATTCTTGCCAGTGACGCCTGCAAGCCACAACCCAGTAACATTAACATCGTGGCCTAATTGAACAGTGTTGAAAAGGTGCCACTGCTCGTGGAATATTGGGTCGGAAATTTCGAGCTTCTCCATAACGGACTTTTGAGTCTTGACTGCTTCCGCATCAGACTTATCCGCTCGTCTCGTGGGGACGTAATCTGCCGGGGGCGGTGGGATGACTCGCTTCTGCATGGGAGCCCGTAATTTCTGTTTATGGGAAGATTTAACACCATCTAGAACATCTAGACCACCCAATGATCGCTTTCGCCGACGTTCCTGCACTGCACGCCGTACGACATCTTCGCCGGCTTTGGCGGTTGAGAATATATGGTGGTCTGCAAGTTTACCCAACTGGCCTTCGTGCCTTAGACCCAGTCGAGACGCAATTAGGTCAGGATGGATGTCGCGATCGAGATGGAGGACATAATAATCGTTGGATTCGAAGTTCCGAGGTTGCAGGGCCGCAGTGCCTAGTCCAGCTAAACTGCCGGCGACTAGGCCGACTAAAGGGGCGAGCCTCATAATGAATAGTGAGGTTAGATGTTTGGTTAAAGATCGAGGAGGTCTTGAGGGATCGAGGTGACTGGGGGGGTAAGTTGTTGGTGGTATTTGATATGGACGACGAATCTCAAGCGCTCAAGTGGCGATAAGGATAGACACAGTGAGATGATTGTGACCAAGAGAATGACGAGATGGGTAACAAGATAACTATCCAGCCACTGTACTTAGTAGGCAGAAACCAGAAACGAAAGGGACTGGAATAAGACACCTTCATTCAAGGCAATGCACGAAACCCACAAACCCCTTTATGAAACCATGAAAGAATATCTTGGCGGATGAAGAACCAATAGCCTCCCCATCGAGGGACAAGAATGCCTGGCTTGTTGGTTGGGCACTTTAGATGTAGGTATTTGCGATATCAGCGTATTACGTGGTGTCAGTCTAAAAGTATAAGATTGGGTGGTTAGAGTAGAGAGTGAAAAATGACAGTTGAAATTAATAGGAAAAGAGATGATGCTCTCTCTCTCCTTGCTGGAAGTTTGGTTCAATGTTGAATCATGCAAAGTACAGGTCTAAGTTGAAGACTGTGGCGGCATAATACATAATTATTGTACGGCATAGTACATGCTACAGTACGTAACCTTCAAGGCTAGTACTAGTAAGCATAGTGGAAGCCAGGTGTTCAAGTTCCTAAACGCTTCTAAGCCACGCGCCACGACAGTGTATTGTGGAGACCATATACTCTAATTCAACTCATCATTGGCTCGCAGCGTCACCCGTACCTGTGACTTAGACATTCGATGTTCATTGACAGGTATTAAAGGCTCCGCACCTGCCTTAAGAATACAAGAGCCGAGTGCCGTGCCCCCTGCCTTTGCGAGTGAGAACTGTGAGAGCTACTATTAGTTAGGTCATAGTTTCTAGTTTCTCAATCAACTTTCAGGGCTGTTAGGCTATTACGGCTATTATGGGTATTACTGTGAAGTTGAGCTAAGTACATATATATGTATTTAACTAAACTACCTAAACTACTAGACCGCGCCATGGCCATTCTTGAATGATTCTTCACCTTTACCTTTAACTAACTCAAATCACAAATTCAATGTTACTACAAAATTGCTAAGTACCTAAAATTGGAAAAATGCCAATTACAAAACCAATACCAATGCCAATACCATTTCCTCGGGTTCATTCCAGGATATAAAACTACGCCGTACCTACGCTACTACTATTTCTATCTATCGAATAGAATGCTTGCTCCTCCGGGATGACATCACGCCCGAATCAAGATCTACAGATCTAACTGCATAACGAGGACCAAGAACCCCCAACCCTTTGCCTAGGGCTAATTAATAGTGCTATGTATGTACTATGTAGTATGTAGGTAGGTCCATCTAGGCGCAGCGCAACGGGAGACGGTTATTTCCAGCCTCAAGTAGCCAGTCTGGGGTCGTTTGTCATTGGTTTGAATTTCGATCTTACCAAAGGTCAGTAACTGCCTTACTTATAGATAATGCTGAATGACAGGTTCAATGTTCAATGTTCAATGTTATAAACGACTTGTCCAGCCAGTCAGCCACCTTTATTTCGGTCTTACTAGTCGGCTTCTTACATACGATGGTACAATAAGGCAAAAAGAGAGACAACGTTCAAACGTTGAACTCCCTGCCCACATGGTAACTTCAATGTTCCGGAAACCTGATTCTTATTGTGTACTATCTAGAATCCTCTATCTACCTGCCACTTACCTACATTTCATGTAGAGTATTCTCATCAAAGTCCGACTAACAGGTAGATATCCACTTACTTATATTTGCAACAGAATAAAGAAACTCCGTCAAAATGTTGACCGCTCTTTTTCTCGATTACCGCATTTCTATTCTAACGAATGGATAACCCATACAAGACCACGACTTTTGTTTTCATGTAGTTTTCCACGACATACATGTACGAGGTCGCATTTGCTGCTTATGTGACTACCCAGGTAGCCAGCTACCTACATACCTAGTACCCGGTCTGATCCCGTTGTTCCGCACCAGGATTCAAACGAAAAACCCGGGAGGCTTGCAAGGCCTGGAGATCTAAAAAGGAATAGGGAAGAAAAAACAACCCGGCCTCGTTTTTTCTTCTTCCGCCAGCCTGGAAGTGAGCTGAGGCACTAGGAAATAGCTCGATCTACCAGCCTTCATGATTTCTGTCGACCAACACCTAAATCTACCTTAGACCAATAATTTGAGCTTTTGAACATGCAGTAGCAGTTCCTGAGTTCACGCTTGCAGTTCTGTATCTAGTATTCTTATTCCCCCCTGCATTAATTACCTACCTAAGAAGTAGGTAAGGTAACCTACCACGGTGATTACCACTATCCGAATCCTATGTGTCTCTACGGCATTGGTCTATCTATCATGGCCACCCGCAGATGATAGTTAGTTCGACGCGCCTCCAATCCCAGTACCTACCTACTTGCCTGCCTAGGTACCTACATTCAGCCTGCCTTGCAGCCCAATCAACGCCGAGCCTGATAATTGCTCGTCATGTCCGCGCCATATTGGGGCCAATTGCCCCCTTCAAAAGCTCGTCGCATGTCCGACGACTTTGATCAGACTGATCGCAGACAGTCGTTGGATCAGTCCACCTCTGACTCTCGCTCTCGCTCTCGCTCACAATCACATTCGCAATCACTCTCTCGGTCTCAGTCCCAGCCGCGACCGCTACCGATACCGCCATCGAAACGAGCATCCGTTCAAACCACCCATACCGACGCCTATACAGACTCCACTTTTAGTCCCTTCCAAACACCTACTACACCCTATTTCCAAGACACCGGACTCGCTCCTCGTCCGCCCTCTTTACCATATGGGCAAAACCAATATCCTCCAGAGCTACAAGAACGCCGACGAAGACGCACCAGTCAGCCCCCAGAAATTGGCTTCCACGACGAGACCCCTGCCTCGCCTCTCCTTCCCCCAGCAGCTCCTGACGTCCCTAAAGCCCCGCCTGTTAGCTATAGGGACCCGTATAGACATAGTAGTCCAGCTTTCACTCCCACCTACTCTTACAACGCTGACGGCCAGCCTGGACCGCCGCTTTCAGCTTACCGATACGGTTCGCCTAGGTACGGGTCACCACAGACCCGAACCGGGGCCATGGACATCGAGTCCTTCTATAATACTAGCACCCCACCCCCGGAGAAACAGGGCAAAGTACCCATTCTCGACCGATCTCGAGAGAATTTTGGCGAGGATGGGGTTTTCGGTGGGCAAGTAGGCGCAGATAACGAAAGATCTAGACCCATACGTCGCTCAGAAAACGAAAAGGTTATAGAAAAAGGGACCGCAGATCCTGCTCCACCCAAGAGACGAGGGACCATAAGTGCACCAGTAAAACGCCCGACATGGGCAGACGATCGGTCGCCGTTGCAGAAGCTCGAACTTACCCTCGATAGCATCACCAAGGAGGAGAAACGAGCTCGAGTAGAAGCTGCTGAACAACGCGCCAGAGATCGGGCAGTACGAAGAGATGAGGTGGATCAAGAACGGCTTCAACTTCCGTCTGGGCATCGAACTGGTCAGCAGGCTCGGTTGAAAGACCGGCGTGAACATGAAGATCGGCCTGAAGAACCACGTGCAATTGTTCCAGATCAGATGCAAGCACAGCCATCAGCAGCCGTGTTTCGTGGGCCTTTGTCTCAAAACCCAACAGAGGATACTGGGCAGAACATAGCATCGGACCACTCCTTAGGTTCTCGGATTCCAGTTGCTAAGAACCGAAATGTTCCACCAACTGAAAAGGCTGATTTGCCTCAACGTAACTTGAGCTTTCGTGAAAGGGCTGCCAAGAATGATCTCAACTTACCAAAAGAAGTAGAGAGTACCTCGCCGGCATCACCCATCACCCCGCCAAGCGGGGGCTTTTCCCTCACTCGGAGTGGAAGTAACAAGCTTAAAAAGAACCCCCCCGGAGATCCTTGGTACAGCATGCGTAGGGAGGCTGAAGAGAAATCCGCGGCCCAGAATCAACGCAATATACAGCCTGAGGAAAGGACCGGGCCCCCCAGAAACACCACTATAGTTGATATTGCACAGTCCAACAACGGATCACCCCGGAAATTACCTCTTCTTCCAGTCGACTATCCCGACAGACCTCCAGCTAGGGGTAAGAGGTTTGACTCGGGAGAAGATTATGACGACTCGTTCGGTAGACAGAGAGAAATTAATCCCGCAATTGGGTATGGCCGAACCGAATCTACGGGAACGGGAAGCAGTCAGCAATTGCCGTATCAAAGTTCGTTACGAAACACGGACGCTCCTAAAGCGCCTACTGGTAGTGTGGTAAAATCCGTCAAGTTTCCAGAGCGACATAACGAGGCCCAAATGTTTGAGGGCAGCGAGTATGAATCGGAAGTGAGTGGTCATGGCCTCGGTTTTCATGACTATTTGCATCGAGGCAAGCTTAGGCCTGGCCGAGGGATGTACCAACGACCAACGTACTTGGATGAGTGGAAGACCGCTACGGTAGGAACCCTACATGGCCCTCTACTTGATCTCATCGAAGAGCCTTCTACGTCTACCGAAAAAACTACTCCGTGGTGGGAGGGTAGTGGTAGTACCAGTAAGCGTCGAGGTAGCACGACGACGCGGCCACAGCAGTTCGACGGGGCGTACGACGATGCGCAGGTTCCAACCAGATTCAGACCACAATTATATCTCAAGTGTGGGCCGCTATTGCGTTATTGTGGGCTTCGTCATGAAAAGCCTGTGACACGAACAAGTCTTGATAACTCCCTTTCCGACCGAGAGATATGGAGAGGCTCTGTGATGATCGTTACGCAAGATTCGCAATCGTCGTACGACATTCCACCAATTCTCCGGCTTTTTGTTCAGCCTATCGAACTCCTACCACCGCCCCCTGCAGAGCTCCATGGAGAGCTGCCACCAGAGTACGTGGACCCAATCGCTGGCATACCAAAGCTTGGCCGACGAGGAGAGACTCTTTATGTACGACCAGTAGAACATCTAGAGGAAGGAAAAGATGTTTCACGGTTTGAGCCCGATGATGGCTTATTCGAAATTACTAGAAGCGCACCCGACTTCAATAATGCACCTGATCCGCCAGGCTCTTTTACTAGTCGCAAAAGACGCACTCCGGTTGACGGTGAGAAGCTTGGGAAGTATAAAGACGTACGTGGATTTCGCCTACATACTGAGCGAGGTCATACGTTTTGGAGATTCAACATCGAAGTTGAGCTTCGCGAAAAACAGCAAAGGGTCGCCTACCGTATTAATCATGGGCCTGCGACAGCATTCTGGGTGCCTGCTCGGGGCCAATCGATGAACATCATGTTCCACAGCTGTAATGGATTCAGCCTGAGCGTAAACCCTGACGAGTTCAGCGGTCCAGATCCTATGTGGCGTGACGTTCTCAATAACCATCAAACCCGGCCTTTTCACGTAATGATAGGAGGCGGAGACCAAGTCTACAATGATGCTATCATGCGAGATACTCGTCACTTCCAGGAATGGCTACATATCAAGAATCCTTTGCACAAGAACAACGCTCCGTTCACTGCCGAAATGCAGGATGAAATGGAACAATTCTACCTGGATAGATACTCGATGTGGTTCTCGCAGGGATTATTCGGTTTGGCGAACTGCCAGATTCCCATGGTCAACATGTACGATGATCACGATATAATTGATGGCTTTGGTTCCTACCCTCACCATTTTATGAAGTCGCCAGTATTTACTGGCCTAGGCAATGTCGCGTTCAAATACTACATGCTCTTCCAGCATCAGAGTCTGCCTGAAGAAACAGAGCAATCAGAGCCAAGCTGGGTTCTTGGAATGAAACAAGGGCCATATATCCATGAGCTGAGCCGCAGCATGTTCATACCTCTGGGTGCTAAAGTTTCCCTTCTTGCTGTTGATTGCAGGACCGAGCGTACGAGAAACGAAGTTGTGCGTGAGAATACGTGGAAGAAGCTCATGGATCGTTGTTACGACGAGATTACCAAGAACGAGACGCAACACTTGCTCGTTCTATTAGGGGTTCCTATTGCTTACCCTCGCCTTGTTTGGCTTGAGAATATGTGAGTCTCAGATTTAAAATGAACCATAGAAATCAATGTATATCTACTAACATTTTCCAGCTTAACTTCACGATTAATGGATCCCATTAAGGCTCTCGGGAAAGCGGGAATGTTAGGTAATTTCCTCAACCGCTTCGATGGGGGCGTTGAAGTATTAGATGACCTTGACGATCACTGGACAGCAAAGAACCACAAAGATGAGCGGAGGTTTGTTATCGAAGATTTACAAGATCTTGCCGCAGACAAATCCGTTCGTGTGACGATCCTGAGCGGCGACGTACATCTAGCTGCGGTCGGCCAATTCTACTCCAATGCTAAGCAGAACCTTGCCAAGCACAAGGATTTCCGCTACATGCCTAATATCATCTCGTCTGCTATTGCTAACACGCCGCCTCCTGATCTGATGGCGGATATTCTCAACAAGCGAAACAAGATTCATCATTTCGACAAGGAGACCGACGAAGACATGATCCCTATCTTCACCAATGGCGTAGATGGCAAGCCACGAAATAACAAGCGTCTTCTACCTCATCGCAATTGGTGTTCTATTCGTGAATACGTCCCTGGACAGACGCCACCGCCTACTCCGTCGCTGGAGGATTACGACCTTACTCCTGAAGGTACACCACCAGGTAGCCGAGTTGGGCTCTTCCGTAAATTCTCGTTGACCAAGAATCGTGGCCCCACTATCCGTCCCGATGTTGCCGCGGACCGCTCGCGTCCGCCTTTGTCTAGCGGCAGCGGCTTGTTCCGTTCCTTCTCACGGCGGCGCACCTCTTCCGAAAATGTGTCACGGCCTAATAAGATTCTACGCACGCTATCACTAGGCCGTGGTGACCCCTCTCGCCCACGCGGTAGTGGTCTATTTGGGCGGAAGAGTAGCATTGATCGGTCCAACGATGGCGGCATCAATGGCGACTGGGGCCCAGATAGTGAGGAGGATATGTATGACGATGTGCAACCGCCCGCTCGGCAAAGGGTAGCTCGGCCAGCTGTTTACGGCCCGGGACATTCGGACTACGGAAGTAACACGAGCGCGGGCAACATGGGATATATGCGTGGTGGGGCTGGGGACCACCGAAACGACGAGTATGAGGTCGGCGATGATTCCTTCTTTACCGCCCGCTCCCCGCGTCGTGCGGTCACGCAACCTGTGGCCGCTTCTACATCCTACAATAACGAATATAATCGTAGCAACGACTACAACGATTACTATAACCGCGAAAGTTCAGAGGAAGCGTACGACGACACGCTGGCGCCGCCAACGCGCCCGTTTAAGCGTACGCCTACCGGACTCTCGACGAAGCTACTTAAGAAGCGCGGCCCCGAGCACTTCGAGGTCGACATCCAAGGCGGTCTAGAGGTGTGCCTCAACGTCGAAGTCAACCCCAAGGACCCCGCGGGTATCACAGTCCCGTACAGACTGCTCGTTCCGAGGCTGTGGTATGAGTACCAGGGCGAGGACGGGGGCCATGACACAGAGCCTGAGATACAGCAGGGGCGAAGAGAGGAGATCCCTCAAGCACCAACGCCAGGACCTCCGCCTGCGCCTGCGTCCATGATGTCCGAGGATTTGGACGAGGAGTACGAGGACGACTATGAGGAGAAACCCACAGGAGGATTGCTGAAACGCATATTTAGCGGTCGTGGGAGACGCGCGAGTGAGGGTGGTGGCGGTGGGGGAAGTCATTACAGGGCGAGGAGACAATCGCCTTAAGTTTGAAGTTGCCGAGCATATATTAAGCGGTACAAATATGAAGAGAGAGAGTGTGTGAGAGTCATGGACAGGCTATATTATGATCATATATGCCTAAGGTACGACCAGGCTCAGCAACAAAGGGAGCCTTTTCTTCGTTGGATTTTTTTTTTAAATTTTCTGGAAACAGGGGAATATTGTTAACATGTATGGGAGCTAGGATGGTCAGGGAAAAGTTTCTGGTTTCAACGATTTTTTAGCCCTGGCGGTGTTTCTTTTCTTCTTTGCCGATGCGGTTTCGACCGATTTACCTACCTGCCTGCCTACCTAGAGATTGGGTACCTAAGGTGGGTAGGTAAGTCCCCTTTTGATGAGGAGCTCTTGACGAAAGGGTTGGCTCGAACGAAGTATCTTCTAAGGGAGAGCGTTGGTTTCTACTCTTATTCTTATTATCATGTGTCGGAGCGGACTTTGCTATCCCTGGCCGGAATGCCACGCGGATACGATACGACACGGTTTCGTCCGAGTAAAGCTTTACGAGTTTAACGAACTTTTTTTTTTTTGGGTACTTGTTGTGCTGTGATCAGCTACGAACGTTTGTGGTGGAGAGGTTGGAAAGGAGGATTTGGGAATTTGTTGATGAGAGGGAGGGAGGGCCTGGGCAGGCCGGGATTTAATGAATATGTGTGTGTGCTGCGTTGAGTATGGGATATACGTTAGCGGCGGAATCGTAGATACTGGAGATTCAGATAGGGCACCTACATACTTGGGAGGAGAGAGTGGAAGTCATATTAAACTCAGGGTTTTCTGTCGTCTGGATGAAGCCCCTATTACATGCCTTCTACTTACCCTGACTTGACTTGAGCTGCCTGTCGTGAGCCTGAAGCATTTACCCCCTTTTTTGACCTTCGTAATTGTGGTAATGCCAGGCCGTTCAAGTCTGTTGGCCCGGCGAACTCTAGCAGTGTACGGATAGCCATACGCGGCTTACATAATCCCACGATTTTTGTGTTAAAGCCAACCCCCCCTCCTCTCCTCCACCGAAAGTATGTAAATTGGGATGTTGACATCCTATCATCGTTGTTTTCGGCAACCTCGGCGTTACAGCAACAAGAACAAAAGATGATCGCAACAATTCGAGGACAGCAAATCACATGGAATACAATTTTATGACATTACTTGAAGTAGCGGTTGAGACCACATGGATCTGATCTATATGTACTGTAGATTACCTAGAAATATCTATCTATCTATGATGACTTGGCTACTACCTACTAACTATTGTATGTACGCATGCAGGTAGATAGCTCGGTGCCCGGGGGGATCTCAACCTACCATAGTACCTACGCTTCATGGGTAGGTATGTACTTACCTAGGTATAACTAGTTCGAAGAATGGCATATGTGCCCAGGCAGGTGTGTGTATAAGCTGACGGAATTGCCGACATTCCAAGGTCACGAGAAAAAACTACCCCTCCACTTTCCATCACAGGTCTTGGCTCCACGGACTCTGCCGCGACGATCAGTAGGTAACTCACAATATATTTTACCTACATCACGAAAAATAAAAAATAAAAAATATCCAACCCTAGAGGGTTTTTGTTAGGTTCAGGTAGGTGGGTTTTTTTTTACCTAGGAATTCATGCATGGAATTATGGAAAACGAGCAGAATATAGGTAGGTAGTAAGTAGGCTATGTATGTCCACCTATGTAGTAGGTATCTACCTCCTACATGTAGGTTCAACACCTACCTAGGTTAGGCATTATCTCCCATATGCCCCTGAGGAAAGGAAGGAAGCCTTACCCAGCGTTGGAAGTGTCAAACGCACGCATTGAAAGCCTACCATACTCAACAAAACCTAAGTAGGTAGTCAATTGCCTTCTGGAGTAATTGTTGGGCCCTTGGATGTTTGTTTCGGTGCCCGCGAAGGTGGATGGCGTGTGTGGACGTTGGGCGGCACATGTCTGTCTTTCTGTCTGTCTTTCAGCCTTATTTTGCCCCCCCCCCCCTCTCCCTCCCTGTAACTTCAAGATGCCGTCACCCTCGCTTAAATAGTTGATGTGCATTTCAGACGTGTGTAGTAGCGCATTTTTGGGGCCGGAAGACTTTCTTTTGACTAGCTGCTCCTCATTCGACATTGTCAAGTACGTATAACGGGTGCTACTCTGGGAGAGACTAGTGGGTTTGGTACACACTATTGACCAGCATAAGTACGGCTCATGATAGGTCGGGAAAAAGTCCGCATGCTGGAAGTGTCGAAGCACATGCTTAATTCTCTTTCTTTCTTTCTCTCCCTTCCCCCCCGCCGTGTCTCCATGTCAAATGTATCGTGCGTTTTTCGTAGCCCGATACGACGGTGCAAAGAATATCCAAACCCAAAAGCCATGGCGTTGTGAAACCCCCTTTCCCGGGCAGGAGTTTTGGGCGCAACTACATAAGCTGCCTCGTCTGAAAGTATCTACACATAATATGTAGACAAGCTTCAGCTGGGCAAGGTATTTTGCGGTGCTCAAAACGCTTGTTTCAGAGTGAAATAGGCAGGGCGCGCGTGATTGATGAGGCGAATTCGTTTTATGGGATTGACCCGGGGGTCAACGGGTTGAGCTGCAAGCGGTTGTGATACAGTGGCTGAGGCCTTGCATAATAGCACTTATCTAACCTAACGAAGGTGGAAAATGGGTGGAAAATGGGCGCTCTCCAAGAAAGAGGTCCGGACCGAAGACAGCTTCGGAACCAGATATGTGAGGATGTGAGGGTGTGACTAGGACCCGGTGTGCCGCAATTGCATTATATGCAATGCAAGACCTGGTCTGGGCAGAAGGATTCGAGCCTCCTCTCGCCGTACAGTTAAGATATGGATCATCGTCAGTCACCGCGGCAAGCAACTACAGCCGGAAACCGAAAGCCGTAATGTCTACAAAGCCCGGATCTTATCAATACGCGCAGTGAAAAGTACCAAGCATTGCCAAATTGGGGGCTAACTTGTCGTGCTGCAAGTCAGGGGCCACTTTTTTTTTTGCCTTCTGTATGACTTTGATGCTTGACTTTCTTTCTTTCTTTCATGCTTGGTCGTTATTGTTGCGTCTGCGGTCTACGATAACCGTGGGGTTTACAAATGGCTGAGCCGTGGCAACGGATGAGAATTCGATGGGATCTTCTGAAGAAAACGTCAATATACCCGTGTACGGCGTATGGGCTTGATATCAAATCTAGCTCGGGTACTTGAATCCGTGGATACGTACGGATGACTCGCTTGTCACTAGGGTGCCTCACCGTGACTTCGTTAATCGAGGTCGGGGTTACGGTGTAAGATTTGCGCAAGGGAGGCTGAGATGGCGGTTGTAGTTTGCCCTTGACAAGTTCTCGACGAATAGGACTAGGCATTATTAGGCTTCTTTGTTCTTTTTTTTGTTTCCTTTTATTTCAATATCAGTACTGTACTTCGGAAGCTATGCTGTATGTAGTGCAGGACCATGTAAGATGATATACTACCTAGGTATGTAGGTCTGTAGGTATGTAAATGATATATTACATGTGAGTGAGTGAGTGTCACTGAGTGGAAGTGCAGGCATCGATGGCAATTGGAACCGAGACACATCACCGCTTATACTTCGGTAATCTGTGCGCAAGCCATCAAATACTACATAATATGTAAAAGGGACGTGCACGAGCCAGGTGTTTGGTATTTAGCGTCGTTGAGCTAAAAGGCTAGCTCCGACCTCTAGACTCTAGTGGCTTTCTTTCCAAGCTGCCTTGGTTAACCTGGCTTGTTGAGGTTAAACCCATCTGCATCATGTATGTACATCCATGGATACCCTGGGCAGTAGCCATGCAGAAATCAGATAATTAAAGAAGGGTAGCTACCTAACTAAGAGAGAGCTTCACTAGCCAAACCACAAAGGCCAATTGCAAATGCTGAAGTTTATAATTAAAAAAAAGAATTGCAGACCAAGAGAACGTTGAAGAATTGCATCAAACTAATTGTTGATGATCAATTGAAAATTCCAGGTAAATCATTTGCGTGAGGAAACACCTAGTACCAAGTAGTGCTAGTATCCCGTACCTGACAGGGATCTCATTTGCAAGAGTAAATTGGTGCGAGTGCACCTGATCACTTAAACCGGGATCACCTGCCTATACGAGTATCCCGACCAGCCAAGAAGGGTAAAGTGTGACTTTGTTACCCCTCATTTCTACTCGTCCGTACAAGGGTACCCAAAGGTTTTTTTCTTTGCAGTCGGGGGCAGTCTCGACGATTCAGATGGTGGAAGCTGCGCAGGTGCATACAATGAACAACTCATGCTTCAATATAGGACCCGTGATTTGTCGTTGAGAGATCCTCTTTACAATTAGAACAATTAGGTAAGCTAGGTACCTGACCCTACGTGCATTCCAATTCTTACGACCTTGAAAATGAATCCAATCCCTTTGGTCAATTGAAGACTGACCGATGAATGTCTTGGAAGATTTGAAATTTTTAATTTTTTTCTACTTTTTTTTGGAGATAGGACCGGGGTAATTTGTGTTTTTTTTGAGGAATGACTCTTTATCAAAAGTCTTTGAAAAAAGTCGATTTATAAAATTTTGAATCAAATCTTTTCCCCTTCTTTTTTTTTGACTCTTTTGAAGAATCTAGTATCCACTTGCCACGCGTGTACACACGCCACACCCCGCGTTAGCGGGAAAAAAAAACAAAAATTCCCTTGAGCAAAGAGGAAAGAGGAAAGAGCCGCCTCTCCCACCCCCAAATTCTTACTCATTTATTCCGTATCCTCTTATCGCATCGCCTGTTACCTACTGTACCTAGTAAATCCAGACCCCTCCTCCTCCAATTGTCCAATTCCGTGATCGGTCTCGGAACCTCGAATCTTGAACAACTCACCAAAGCTGAACACACCTCTCAGCCTCGGCCGATATAGCGGCAACGGAGCTCTACGGGGAGGATCGAAATTACCTCAATTCCTACCGGCCTGTTATATCTCAATATTATTTGTCAATTGGAGAGTGCATGGATGGTCACACAGTTGTCGGCGCCGTTTCGGCGCCGTCTACGAGTCCTACCAGCCCTGTGAGCCTCCATCGCCATAACTCTATGAAGCGAAAGCGCAGTGAAGGAGGTCTTGGAATCGATAGTAGTCCTGGAAGCGTTATCGGCGATGATGACCCTTCTATGGCAGAGCCCGAAAAGAAGAGACAGCCTGGCGTGAAGCGGTATGTGCTAACCAACCAACATTCATTCGGCGTATCTGCTTATATGTCAACATATCGACATATACCTCTACCAATTTACCAGTCTACCAGTCTACCTACCTAGCCTATGCAGCATTATACCATTCATCCTTCCCCATATACCTACTTACCAACCTACCTACCGATTTATATTCTATATACTATGCAGATATATACAACACATATAGCTAACCATCTTCCTGGGACAGTGCCTGTAACGAATGTAGACAGCAGAAACTCAGGTGCGATGTTGTCCAAGAACCGTTTCAAAGTTGTTCGAGGTGTAATCGTCTAAAGCTCGAGTGCAAGATCGAGTCCAATTTTAAACGTATCGGCAAGAGGTCAAAACATGCCGAGATGGAAAAAGAGATCGATCGACTACGACGCAAAATAGCCCAGGCTAAGGCACAGGGGTTTGTGATAGAAGACGACGAAGAACTGCAATCCCAATTGCAATCCCCCGTCGCAAATAGTGCGTATTCGCATACCCGAAATCCTTCCCTCATGGGATCTGATGAGGCTGTCACCTCCCTTCTAACTCTCAAGCGGGGAGGGTCGTACAGCTTGGCCGCAACCCATTATGCCTATGAGCTTGAAACAGTGCGGCTGACCGAACAGGATGTCCATGGTCTATTTCAGGAATTCTTCTCATACTATCACCCATTCCTCCCTTTCCTAAACGAGCACCAGTCACCTGACCTGTACTATCAACAACATGCTCTACTATTCTGGACAATCATTGCCATTGCTTCTCGGCGCTATCCTAATAAACCCAGTATATTACATGAGCTTTCAAGCGGACCCCTAAATCGACTACTCTGGGGCACGGTAGGCGATGTTCCCAACAGTTATTTCGTCGTCAAGGCTCTTTGCCTGTTATGTACGTGGCCCCTGCCGACAAGTACTACGACGGCGGATCCAACTCATATATTATGCGGTGTTATGATGAAGGCCGCAACGGGTATCGGCCTACATAGACCTAATCATACCCAGGATTTCTCCCGCGTCTCCGTCGAGCTCAATAAAGACCAACTTCATGATCGAGTAACCACCTGGGCCGTTTGCAACATTGTTGCTCAGTCGATCGGAACAGGTTATGGTCAGCCGGCAACTACGCTCTATGACTGGACGCTCGCTATTCGCCCCGGTGAAGACGGCCCTTTTACCCTTTCACCCGAACTTGAGGCTAGGTTGAGGATTGAGAGGTTTTGTGACAAAGTCTCCAAAGAAATGTACAGTAACGCAAGCGACCCTAGAGGCGTGGCTGGTGACGAACATAGAGCGATGCTGATGCGGGTGTATCGTCGCGACTTTCAAGAATTACAAGCATCAATACTTTCGCAGCGTCTCTCGCCAATAGTGGAAGTTCATTTGACTGCTGCTAACGTGCACCTTCGCCTTGCCGGATTCTTCGATGCGAGTAGCACGCCCGGTTATATGGATGATCTTATGGGCCTATGGCGAGCCATCACAAGCTTTCTGGATCTCTTGTTCCTGGACTCGAATCAGCACATCTTATTGTACGCCACTAATTACATCCAGCAGATGCTCGTCGCTGCCGGGTTCGCTTTGTTGAAGTTGATGAGGTCATTCTTTGCAAAGACGATAGACTTTGAGAGAGGACGCACTCTCTTTCATAGGACTATTCAAGCGATTCGTTCCACAAGCGTACTAGATAATGATCTACAATGGCGACTAGCAGAACTCATGGTCCAGATGTGGAACGGCGCCCGAATCGACAAAAGCAATACATTTCACGACGACGATAGTTCTCTTCTCATAGACGATAGCCTGCAACTGAAGGTGCGATGTAGACACAGCATGAGTCTCGTCTTTGATTCTATATGGCGTTGGAGGGAAGAGTATCAAGCTCAAGGACGTGGTACGCTCGATGGTAAGGCAGTTTTCTTTTTGTCGATATGACCATGCTGGCGTTGCTTGGGACTTACTAATATCGAGCAGCTCTCAAGCAGCCAACTAACCCGGACTCGGCTAACGAGTCTTCAGCATCTTCTACCCACATGGATAGCACACTCTTACCCCATAATAACTTAGCGAACCTAACGTCCATAACGACGACGACTAATGGTGGAATCACGCCGACAGCAAACCACGGCCTGGGTGCCGGTGCGAGTAGCATGATCGGAATAGGCTACGGAAGCGACGCCAACTACGATTTCTTCGATCCTCAACACTGGATGCTTGACGGCTTGTTAGATTTCAACTACACGTTTGCCCAACCACTAGAAGGCATGTAGGAACGCCTTTGACGAATTCGGTTACGGCAGTAAAAAATACAGGACCCCCTGGGGGGCACAACGGTACCGGATCAGCATCGCAGCATACGCGGATATAATATAATATTGAGAGCACGAGAAAACGAAAACGAAATTGAACGAGGCATCAGAACCAGGACTCCCGAAGGCGGCAGGCGTAAGAGAAGATTGTTCGTTTCATCTGCCACCTGGAGTGGAGGTTTTATTTACGTTCACTGCTGGAGGTCCATCCCCAGTATAGATTGATTGAACCGGGGAGAAATGATTTAGTAGGAATTGTTTAATACCCCTCTACATCGTCCATTATCTTGCGAAAGGGGGGAGGACATGTATACCAAGGGGTGTCGGGGGTTCATTGCGGATTGTTTTTACTGATATCTATACCTGTAACTCTTGGTCGCTGGGTTGTGTCTGTTATTCATGTAGTCAGCATTACTCGGAGCAAGGCAGGGAATTGAAATTGTTTCAACACTACCCCCAAGTCATATTGACTTGACGTGAGGATATTCAATATCTATCTAGATACTAGCCACCTTCCTACTCGGTAGGAAAAAGGCGAGTCGGTGCCAATTGAAGCTAGGTACACCCCAAACTTTGAATCTGACAGCCAACAGCCGAGCTATAACCCTCCAACCTCGTGGAATATAGGTCTGAGTAAGGCCGAAGTCCACGTGCTATGAAGCGCGTTAGAGATCTTCGTTGGTGCTATTTTGTGATTGAAGAAGGATCCGTTGGTCTATCCCCTGATTATCTTATTCAAATCGTCGCCAATAAGATGGTCTTAGCCCAGCAGAAGAGCATCAGTTAGATACACTCTCTGCGGAACGGCCCATTAGACAAGCCCAGTAATCCCTAATGCCATGTGGTGTATGTGGTTTCAACGAAGAGCACATGAGATCGTGAGATCGTGCGATCCCAACAGAAAAGGGTGATCCGATCCTTCTGGCAAGGGCGACGGGGTTCGAAGTTGGACCCACGCGATAATAATTTGCGATCATAACATCAGTATTAACGACCAGAATATGGCAGGATGGTGAACACGATGTGTGAGCGAGTGAGCGAGTGAGTGTATGCGCGTGCGTGCCAAAAATAGCAGCAGTGGATAATTGAGGATTATGAAAGTTTCGGCCCATTTCTTTCCCAGCCGAGAACACGGGGACACTTGACCGCCGTTTATTGCATACCCTACCTACTCACATCCTCCGCCGTGGGATGTATATGTATTGGATGAGGTGGGACTGGGCAATTGACGGAACTTGCCGTGGATACCCTACTCCTACTGCAGGTAGGTTATATTCTTAGTTACAAGATAACGCTAATGACTGGCGGCGGCAAGCAAAAGAAGGGGAAAGGGGGTAAGGGGGTGACATGAAGTACTAAGGTAGATGGGCGGTCATGTTTCAGAACTGCGCGTGCTGGTCCGCACTGCTACCCTCTGACTTACATCGGTTCGCCTTACGAAGGAAGATAGCCAGCCAGCTAGCTATTCGCGTGGCATTGCAGGGCTGCACGGCCGTGGCGCTGGCCGTGTCGTGTCTCCCCTTGAGTGTGGTATGCACCGCGGTATGTAGGTCGGTGGGTACGTGGTACGGGATCTGGTTCACGACGCCTTTCGCGGGGAATTCTTTGTTTTTCTCATGTCTTAATATGTTTCCGGGGTTTGCTTTTGAGGTTGTATGAACGGTTACACCTGCCTACTACCTACTTACATAAAGTGCTGCCGAGGGGGGATGGGGTGGATGGCAACGTCCTACACCAACACGCTGTTTTTGACGTGATTGTATTGGATCGGTACCCAAACCACCCACCTTGAGTAGCTAGGTACATACCTAGGTAGGTAGGTAGGAAACCGACCTGGTGTCATATTTGGTAGAAGCGGAATTAAACTTCTGCTCCTCCTCTCCTCGACTCTACCTACCCCCCCTTTTAGATCCTGGAGATGAGTATGTAACGTCGCGCTGATGTGATAAGTCGCAAATCTAGCTTCCGTATGATCTATTACTTACTGTACCTGAAAAGAGGCACGAGTGAAGGAGAAATATAATGAGAGGATGAGAATAGGAAAAAAAAAAAAGAAAGCTAATTGCCCAATAAGGGTTAATTAGCAGACTTATTGGGTGGGTTATTTTCAGCCCCCAAGGACCGTTGATCTACGGATCCTCGCGATGCGGCAGTAAGCTTTTGGCGTCGCGCTAGCTCTGCTGGTGGTGTTAAGCTGCTGGGTAGGTATGTATGTATGTAACGACCCTGGAAAGCAGAGCACGGAGGACGGTAGGGCTGGAAGTGGAGAGAGAGAGGGCACGAGTTGAGTGAGACGATCTTTCTGGACCTCTACCTACCTACTACCTACCTGTGCTTAGGCGTGGTTTATTTTTGGTGACACATACGTAACTAGATGTGCACATCTGGATTGGATTAGATTTGGTGTGCAGATCATATCATCTATCAAGTCGGGGGGGGGGAGCAAGAAGCATCTCACATCGGCGGCTATTTTGACGTAGGTAGGTTAAAGCCGCTGCGGAAGACTATTGGCGGTGGCCGTATCATCTCCCGACCGACCCCCCCTCCTCTCCCCTTTTCGTCTGCTCTTTCAGTATTGACTTACGATCGCTAGAGACTGACCTACATATAACCTACCCTATGTTTACTCTCGGCTGTCGATTTTGTTTTGCGCCAGATACAACGGTAGGTAGGCTCGGAGATTAGCCAGGTCTATGCCATCAAGAGCCTCCAGACGTATCCATGTCTGTGCCCTCGGGGACTTCCCTTGTGTGTGTGTGTGTGTGTGTGTGTGTGTGTGTGTGTGTGTGTGTGTGAAGTCACATAGAAACGCTGCAGTGCTACGGTCAGCAGGCTGCTTATATTTCCCTTGTTTTGGTGGAGAGATCACACATCATTACCCTCGCTCTTGCACCATCCGCCGTGACAGGTAGGTAGCACATGTAAAACAGAGATATATGATGATGCACATCCATCCATCCATCCATCTACCTAATCTAGTGTATCTAGTCCTAGGTATGCACATCATATCGTCACGGTGGAGGTCACGGTGTGTCTGTGCCGCGTAGGTACATACCTACTAGGTAGGTCCAGAGCACGCACTCGTTTCGGGGGATAGTTTATTAGGTATAATGACACGTTCGATAGCGTGGTGAAGGTGAAGGATGGAGTCAGACTGCCTGGGTACCTACCGGTAGGTCTGTCCATACCTAGTCGTCGGTCAGTGATACTAATCGTAGATCTGTAGTAGCTACCTACATGGGACGAAGCCTACTTGCATACCTAATCTATGTAAACACTAGGTAAATAACCATCAGTCCACTTACCTCTCCTGCAATGCATTACGTACCTAGGTTTGGTAACATACACCTACACCTACCCAAGCAGGGACGAGACGAGACGAGACGAGACGAGGCTGCGCGAGAGTCTTCCTGGGTACCTAACTACCTAATCATACACGCGACCCAATGGAGCCCGACCTTTCGGCAAGCAGGATTTAAGCAACCTATGGCAAACCATGGTAGGGTACGGTAGGGTAGGGCACGCACGCACGCACGCACGCACGCACGCACGACGACGATACTTCGGCAATAATTGGCCCGGGGTGTGGATAACAGTGCCGAAGGATTCATGCTTGCCTCGTGGTATGGCTGTAGCAGGTATGGGTAGGTAGGTAGCATTGGTAAAATCAAAATGTCACCTACAGTGTGACGCTAGAGTCCGCACGAGATGCCCAAGTAGTTATTGTACAAGTACTACAATACCTACCTACATACGCGACTACATGCGCAGATATAGGGCACGTTTTTTTCTTGCTAACGTTGCGGTTGTGTTGGAATGTAATGTACTTTACACATCTACCTAGGTGGAATATGAGGTAGGTAGGTAGCCCAGTCAGCCTAACTACCTGGGTACATAATTTATTATGTAGAGATACCTGGTATGTATCTATATCTTGGGAATTGGTGGCGAAAACGCGGAGGTTGTTTGGAGCCGCCTTTTCGCGAACGAGTCAGCTAGGATCGTGGCAGTTGGGAAGAGAAGGGAGACCAGAACGAATATCTACCCTGGGCTGGCTTATGTTCTCGAGTTTTCTAAAGCTAACTAACCATCTACCTACATCGCCCTCATTCCGGGGAGGCCGGTCAGGTTATTGAGGCTTCGTTCCTTCTCGAGCGACACGACACGTGTGGCCCGTCAGCCTAGGGGCCAAAGAGTGTGTTAGGAACACGAAAGAAGAGGTGGAAGAAGAAAAAGTATGGAAGGGGGGGAAATATCCTCTGTCTTACAGAAGCTTGTACACTTCCCAATATCTTTTTCGAAAACGTTCTTTTCCTCCGGAGCTAGGTCTGGTTTTCGGGCCTGGGGGCCAGAAAAGCAGGCCAGTAGGTTAGTCCACCTAGGGATGAGCAACCGGTGCTCACGAGCTCGGCCGTGTGGCTTAGACTCCACGAAAGTCGAAACGTTGACGGAGGACGGCCGGCGTTGGGGTCGCATGAAAATTAAAAAAAAAAATGTGCAGGAGACCACCACCGCAGATCTATTCTTCCCTTATTTTTTTTTTCAAGTTCTTTGATAGAGAAAAAGGTGGTCGAGAAAGTCGGGTTTTTAGTGACTGCCGGATAAGGCGTTATACAGCATGGGGGCCGGCTCTAGTATTGCGGCGGTGCTGATCAGGCTGTTTTTGCACTTCTTTTTTTTATTCCTCCTTTTTGTACTAACCTCCTATGTTCAAGTTAGATCCGAATATCTTGAACCATGCATGTGAGTATCTTATTTCTTTTACCGTTCCATACCGTATACTGTAATTCTGACAACAGGTTAGGTACTGAAATAGATACGATACCTGTCTAACTGTCTGCTAGGTACTGTTACTAAACCTGGTTCAACGTCAACTCGAATGAGGAAGAGTGTTGGTCGTTAGGGTTACATTCTCCTACACTTTCGGCAAGTAATCGAAACTCTGGAGCACCGCTGCTATGTACACGCCCAATATTGCCACGGAGTCAAGTAATTTACAGTCTATCACCTCCCATCCTCACTCTCTCCCTCTCTCCCTTGGTTCCAGACTCGGGAACTGATCGGTTTTGCAATGTTGTTTCGTAGTCCCAGCCTTGCTGCTGCTGCTGCTGCTGCTGCTGCGGCACAGACATACAGGATCTTTTGATGGAGGGCTATTATTCTCATAGAGAGAGAATCGTCTAAGTTGAACCCCCAAATGCAAAACCTGGGCCCTGACGTTCGATAAGCACAACCAACAATACGGATCCTCTTCATTTCCAACCGGTACAGTATCGTATACATACCTCTACTTACCTTACTTACCTACCACCCAGTTCGTCCCTGCTCATAGGGCTGGCCAATAGCTCGGTGAGGTGTCAGCGAGAGAGGTACCGAAGGATTGGCGTCCAATCCGGATGACGCATATGCACCCTATCAAGAGATTCACCCCAGTCAGCGTGCTCGATATGTCATCGTAGATGCCGTGGTTGCGGGGATGAGTTACCTTCCTAGCACACTTTATTCCGGGGTTCGGCGGTAAACGTGTGTTCGCCAGAAAAGAAACAAAGGAAGAAAGCCCCTGAAGACCGACTGACTGATGACTGACTGAGGCTTGGTACTATCTTTTCGCCCTGGTCCATCCATAGAGCCGGGAACGATTTAGCCATACTGGGCCATAGATACACGCTTGCTGATGGCCATCACATCACTTCCTACGTATGAGTAAGTAGTACAGGTGATGGGCACAATGAAAGAGGGGGGGGAAAGCGAAATAGCTTATCCAAATTTTATGTTGCGGTAGGCGCCTTGCATGAACCTCGGTGCCAATAGAAAATCACGGTTTGGCTCTCGTTTCATCTACACCAGGCGAGGATTCTGTTTGTATGTATGTATGTATGTATGTAGAAAAGGGGCAGGCCACACTTTGGGAGGCTAGACCTTGCCCGGTCGCTGCGACTTGTGGTGTTATTGCATATCTCCTCTTGAGGCTTCGCTTCGGCAGCCTCGCCGCCCATCACACACCAACAATCCTTCCCGAACCCGAGGCTTGCCCACTGTTTGGACTTACCGACTCTCGCCCTCGCTCTCCCCCCCTTTTTTTCCGAGAAAACCACCCTGGATAGTAGGTAGCAATCGAGAAACCCTCGGCTAGTAGGTAGTGTACTTTTGACCTACATACAGCAGGACATTCTCGTTCGGTATGTACGCTAGGCCGTCGTTTATCACGACGCCTTGCTTTCTGAGGCTCTGTTCTTGGGCGTAGCCGCCTAGGTAGGTTGAAGATTGTTTGCCTTCATCTAGAAGACGGCATAGGTAGCACCAGGTAGAGATAGTTCGTGATACCTACCAGGTATACAATGCTGTTGCTGCTGCTACAGCTGTCTTTCGGTAACCTAAGTGCTAAGCGAACCCCTTGTAACCAAGAAAAAAAAAACTCGCTCTTTAGTATTTTCTGCATCGTAGCAATATGTAGGCAGGTAAGGCAGGTAGAGATAATTTCGTTTGGGTCGTACCCCGTGTGTTTTCTCTAACCTGCAGATGGCATTGAGTTACTCCTAGCACAGCACGCACAATCTCGTTCATTCACCGTCCGTCCAAGCGAACTGTAGATCATCAGGCTTCATTTGTCCGTCTGTCCCCTTTTTCGTGAAATGAGAGAGTTTTTTTCCCCTCTTCCCGACAGTAGATCAGTATCGTTATTGTTACCAGAAAGATAAAACTGGCAAGGATCGGGAGGATGGAGGAGCTCTCCTTGCGTTAGCGACACCCCTGAGCCTTTTCTCGTCGCTGGTAATAGATTGCCCCCTGAATACCTAGCAGATGGGCACGCCTACAAGTCAAGGAGGCTCTAAAGTCATTCCTTCCTGTCAATGGGGACCGCATACCCGCATGTGCCGTACGATAGATACATTGATGCTGTTTTCGCTTAAGGGGGGGGGGGGGGGGGATTGTGCCTACGGGCCGTTTGCAAACACTGGGGAGACTCAACGAAAATAGGGGGTGAGGCTCAATACTCCCCAGTGGCAGAGCACAATGTTTGTTTCACTGCAGGTGGCATTTCATTTACGCTCTGTTACTCGTTTCATCGAGCAATTCTATATCATTGGGCAGATAGTATATGTAGGTAGACTGACACCTACTCTTGCATGCACTTCTCGGTAGACGTCACCGCTACCTATAGGACGATTACAAGCCTCTGCCTTTCCCACTAGCAGCGCCATACCCGCGGAGGATCTCGGAGCAACTGCCGAGCAACACGGCAGGCTCGCTGGTGAAGGATCGATAAGTACTAGGAGGGGGGGGGGGGGGGGTATTTTTCGAGGAGATCGGCTGTAACCTTCAAGCCAAAGAATTTAAGCTTGTATTACTGGGTACGGGGTCGTCGACTGCCCATGGTTACGCCAAGCCCAGGCTGGACTGTGACTGGTAGGGTAGTAGGTAGTAGGTACCTACCAGCACGGAGTTAATGAAAAAGGGGGGGACGGGGTGGCCAACTACATATGCTCATGTACCTAGCTACCCAGTAGCCATAGATTGCGCGAGTCGGCGGCGCTTATATGCATTTGATCGAGACCCTATACCTTGCGTAGGGAACCTATATTGGACGTTCTATGCTCGATTCAAGGACTGGTCATTGGTGGCTATTGGTGATTGACGAGCGTGCTGGCCGGGTAGGGACCCGGGTCTCTTGGGTTGAAAGTATAGGGCCCACGAAGAATATTGGCATTACAATGCTATCCAAATACTCGGGTTCGTCGTGTGCTACCTGTCGTGGTACAGAATTTTACTTTACATAGGTAGTCAGTCGATGGGTATGCATTGCATTGCCCTATGCAGCGCAGTGTATAGTGAAAGTGCTGTGTACCCTTCCCTGCGGGGGTACCTAGCCCCTGAAGAAGAGCCCGGGGAAGCTACTGTTAGTTACCTAGACTGCCCCTTAGAACTACCTGTTCACTGCAATCAGTGAACCTGGGGTTCGTACAACTTGTTGGGTCGAGAAGAGTCGAGCTAAGACCGCTTAATCAAGCAGCTCGCAGTATGTTAGAAGATTGAAAACCCGACTAGAGCGTACTAGCATCAAACAAGCGCGCGGATGAGGACGTGATAGTCGCGATAGCTAGCCATAAGGGGGAAATGCTGTTCATCTCTTGATTGTAGGATTCTTTCTAAAGGCGTCTAACTAAGTAGGTAGGTACATATCCTAGCATTGCTCCTCCTCCTTGGCCCATCCCTCGACAGGACCCCAAAATGCCATCATTTTAGTCTTACAGGGGCGGAATATCTTGATAGGTATGCTGGATCAGATCTCTTACCTGCCCAAGGTATTACTACCATGTTATCTTTCGGCAGCAGGTATTCCGGCGGGCCAAAATCCATATTTTCTCATCCATCACCTAAACCGGATTTATGATTCACATGCTCCCTCTCCCTCTCTCTCTCTCTCTCTCTCTCAGCCCTATCGTCTAAGATGGATGAACAATTTATGTCTGTTGGTAAGATAAGAAAGACTAGACTTCAACGTTACACATACTATTCGCAGCATTCCCCTAGGTTAGTTCCCTTACCGGAATACCTGGGCGCGCCCCCCCTACCCAAATCTTTAGAGTGCTGACATTGCGCCGCTGCAAGTCGTTTACCATCATATGTACATAGAGGGACTGCGGCCCGAATGGGATTTGAAAAAAGCATCAATGACTAGGCATGTATTTGGTGGAGAGCGGTGCTTGGCATTGCCTAGGACCGTTCGATTTATGACTTGTATGACTAGCTTCAAGTATGCCTACTTGTCTACCTGCCTATCTACTACTTACCTGCTGCATTACGTAGCACTGCTAAAGCTAGACTGTAGACTGTAGAGTATAGACTGACTGACTTATACATTCACATGTATAATAGTATCAACGTCTCTTTACCTGACTCGTACGCATCAACGTGACCACAAAAAGCAGGCTCAGGTCAGCGTCACACAACCTTTAGAAAATAGAGCTTGGTAAAGAGTCGGTATAGGCTATGTCGCTGCAATGTCACTGAGGCTGCTCGAGAAGTTCTACTGACAGTGACTTGATAATAGGTGTGGCCAACTCTGATTGGTTACCGACAGGACGGAACGCTAAATTATTAGAACAAGGTCAACTTGAATCTGGCCAATGAGAAGTGTGGTCAATGTGGTCAATGTGGTTTATGGTGCAGCGCCACCTTTTTTTTTTAAACGCTAACTAGTTAAGCGCTGCAATACAACAGTATCCCACCCATTCACCCCGCTCAACTTACCTAATTGGGCAAACCACGTCACTTTTATACTCGCACTGTATATCTGCTCAGCTGCTTGAACTTGTACAACCCATTATTACAATTACAATACATTATTGAACAGTCTTTACCTACACTACCTAGTAGTAATCTATCAATTTTCAACCCGCCCTCCCCGGCTTGCCGTACTCTGGCCCATGTCCCGTCGGCATGTCGCAATCTCTTTACATTTTTTTTGCTACTGCAATCGTCAAGCCATCCGCTTCTCCATTAGGCTCATGCCTCGGCGCTCATGCACGGTTGTCGAGTCAGGTTCAAGAATAAACCGCTCAGCAGGATCGCTTCGCATTATTTATTGTATGCGTCCCAGAGTGTCGGTACCTATCGAGACAACACATCGCCTGTCATGTCACCACCGACGTTGCGCGGTCTGCATAACTTTTGTACAAGCCTCGCCGGCTCCAGGCCAGTCCCGCGCGAGAAGAGAGAGAAAGCGAAAAAAAAAAAAAAAAAAAAAAAAAAAACATAGACACAAAAGGCACAAAAGTTCTTTTCTTGTCTATATCACGACCGGGTTTCTATGCAAAGATCCACGACCATCACCTCCTGGGTTATCCACCAATCAGCGTCCCTACCGAGGCATAAGTAAAATCAGTCCGAGAATTTCGACCCCAACCCCTACTACTACTATAGTTACTACATCTGGCCTGCTAGTCTATTTGATTTACCGCCTTACCGCTTAGACTATGTGTGCGAGTGTGTGCGAGTGTGTGTGTGTACATATGTATGATTTCTTCGTCCATTTTTAACTACATATATATGTACCTACCTACCTATCCATAGTAATTTTTGCAACACGGGATTCACGACTGCTAAACTAAGACGGGCAAGACTTTGCGCGATGTGCCTTTAGCGTATTTCCACAAAGTCCACGCTAGACCCATTATATAATCAATCTCCAGGGCTGATTTTTTTAATTACCTAGCTAATTAGCCCGGGAAGGATCAAATAGGTGTACTATGTAAATTGCCTAGTAATTAGTAGGTAGTGTATATATGGATATATATCTAGGGACGGGATGGCATATCTCACGGATCTGTATACGGCATTTCAGGATGGTTTCCCCGTTTGTGGGCCTGTGGGATTGATTCCATGGCTCTTATTTGGTAGTAAGTACACGTAGGGTAAAGTTGGGGGCTGTAAGGGTTTGTTCAAGTGATTCCGTCCTCATTTGACCGATTCTTTAGTATGTAACTATATGTATGTGTATGGTATGTGCATAACGTTCGATTCTTGATTCTATCAAATCTACAGTTGATATTTCGGGTATCTATTGTGCTACATTCGAGTGTTTATGATTTGGAAAAATGCCGCGATTGGCCGACCCCCTAATCACTTTTCCGCATTGATAGTATCGTACATACGTATAAGTATACTACTAGTGGTATCAACGTTGAATGATACTTCAATGTTGACACCCCCAAATGTAGTACCTAGCTACATCGATATGGCATATGAAATCAGATGGATACTAACGTAATAATTACATTACATATGCCATAATTATGGTAAGGGTTGTGGCTCCTCAGTGCATTGGCCAGCCCAATTCAGGCAGTGTGTGGAGCATTACGCCCCCGTTCTCACGTTCTCACCTCAACCTTCCTCAACCTTGAACCTCCTTCTCAGCCAATACCACATAACTACTAGTTACTATGATACTAGCAGTCTAGTAGTATCCATATTTTAAATTTCGACATGCTCAAGGCTCGATTTAAACCCTTCTCCCCTTATCATCGATCAATAAACCCACAATTTAGGGTTAATTAACCCGGTTTCAACTTTGAATATTTCTCCATTTTCGAAGGACTACCCACGTAAAAAAGTAAGAAAAAAAGGAAAAGGGAAAAAGGAAGAATAAGAAACAGAAACAGAAACAGACAAAACAAAAAAAAGGCCCCCAAACTCCTTAAGTTAATCCACTCCTCATTGCTTTCAAACATTCGAATTCAAATTGGTTCATCGTCCTGGCCCCATTTCATCAGTAGATCATTACTCACCCAAGATAATATCTACCTACATGTAGTATCTACATGTATTTATTATCATAGTAGGATGATGTTTATCTGCTTACCATGCACTATAGTTCGCACATCAAAGAACCCATTGATCACCTGGGCAACTCAACCTTCACGAGTTGAAAATTCTGGGGAGTCAGACTACCGCAGTTCTACCGCTCTTTGCGATGAGCATCGCATCATGAATGGCAAGGGTACCTACTAATTGGGTATATACGTATATGCCTACTACTTAATTCTACCCAGCCTACCTATATCTACTAGGTTGATACTCTACACTATTCCTGATGCCGACATTTCGCCAGGTATCAGGCCGCGCTTGGCCAACTTAACGGGCCGGCCATCTGCCTGATGACTTCGCAAACCACCGAACATTCATCGGTTTCAGGCGAATTATATGCTAGACCAAACCTCGTCCTGTAAAAGGGCGGCCTCCTAGAAAAAACCAAGGGACTTCAAGTTCAATATGCTTCGGGATTTACGAACTTCGTTTGTACCTATCTACACAATAATAGCTAGAGGTACTTCTTTATCTAAACGGCGATGACTAGGCCCGTTTACTCCGCCAGCGCCATACAGCGCTAGGCAACGTTTAACTATCACGATATCGCAAACTGCGGAGAGATTGACCTCCCTCGGGCTTTAACGATAACTCTTCCACACTCGGAATTCTACGCATCATCGTGGCGTAGCCCCTAAGGCCGCTAAGTGATGTAAGATCCTAAACCAACTCAGGAACCCTTGATACTATTTTCTTCTCCACACTGAATTTTTCACTTGTGTGTTTTTGACTTTTCCAAATACTTCTTTTCGACTACATACCTTGAAGTAGGAGGGGATATGTATGCGAAAGCGAGCTTAAGTAAAGTACATGGATTTGTATAGGGTATGTGTGTAATCCGCAATTAGAAGTATAGAAGGCCGAATTAAGCTATGGACGAGGCCCTAGTTCATTCATGGCCCCATTTCCTTGATCTTTCGTAGCAGAAACGGCCCCAGTTCGAACCCCGGCGGACACGATCTGCGCGGAGAAAGGTCCTAATTCTAATAGCGCCGCCATCCTTCCAATGCTAATTAGCCCACGTTTTATTTCACTAGCCCTTTTAATGTTCTTACTCTAATAAGCACGTCCCTTTATTTCCTATGTATGTAATGCTTATGAGGCTATTCATTGACTAGGAACATCCAGATACACGAATCTTCACCCTTCACGATCCATAAACAGAAAGTGGGAGGATCTTAGTAACGTTCGGTATGGATATCGACTAGAGACTTCGCTGTCAAGATGTCCATCGACCATCCTCATTGCGTGCTGTCTTATTTTTGGGTAGATTTGGAAGTCAGACTTTAATCATACCTACAGTACCTACCTAGGGTATACAAGATACATACTTGTCAAGTTCTCTTAGATCGACTCCTAATTTAGGGATATTTCTCTTCCACACGCTCACAACGCCATATCCTTGGGTCACCCAGACTCACCCTACCCTGGTCTATATCTACAATCCATATGTACCACTCTACCACTCTACATATGCTACCGTACCGGTCCTTGACTGCATACATAACCTAAGTACAATACATACTTACAAGTTACTGCAATGATGGTAGCATACATACTTAGTACTAGGTATCAAGTATATGTCAAACTACACACCTTTTGGTACCTTGAAACGGGATTTAAACTCCTAGTTACCGTACCTAGCTACCTGCTACCGTACCTGGATGTTAGGTATACATGGGTACAGTGTTGATACTGTCCGATCATATCTGTCGGTATACAGTACTTTACTACTTACCCAATCCTCATATTCGCTTAATATTCGATTCCTAGTTAAGATTAACGGGGAGCTTCTCTGAAAACCTTGGAACGTTTGCTCTCATCCCCATTATCCATGCCTGCCCTACAGCCCCGTATTTCCTCGCCATGCGATACTTCCCATCTACCTAGTACCTAGAGGCTAGTTAGCCATTACCATACCCATCCCAAGCTTGCCACATCTATCAACCCCCCCGCTATGTACATGTTCTTCTAAGCCTCGATTTGTGAGCCTTGGGTTCCCATTCCCATGGTCGGAGCCCATACTAAGGGCAGTGTGACCCCTACTACTACATATGTAGAGGCGCTTAAAGGAAGGAAGTCCTTACGGAATGGGACCCTTGTTCAACGGTCACACTAGGGTGTCTGCTAATCTGCCCATCAGGGAACAGCCCATAAAAGCTCTACGTACATAGCGGCGGCTATTCATGCGTTTCGTTACCTTGTCTCCACAAGTAGCACTCGGGTCACTCCCAGTACTCGCTAGATCCAAGCCCCCCTCACAGCTCACAGCTCGTTCTAGCACATCTACCTGTACCCTGGTCAGACTTCGAGGATGTATGTACCTCGAATACCGAGGTGGATATTCTCAGGGTACTGTGCGGTATGTTCCTATACATTACATAGGTATGTATGTACCTGTCAATGTACATGGTGGAGCTCTTCTTACATACGGACCCTGGGACTCGGGCGTGTACCAGGTATCTTCTTAGAGCACGCTGACGACGTAAATACATATGCTTTTCAGTTCCCACCTCAACTTTAGCAACCCTAGAAATAACGAGGCTCAAGTAGTTGTGACTACTATAATACCCCTTCGTCTTCTTCCCTTTGCCTCGCGCTTGGCCGCGACCCGAAAGGCAGATTTACCATCGAGTAACATCTAACACTACTCTACACCGTTGGATCATCTGAGGAACACTTGAAGATCCATGAACACAAATTACTTTAAGAATCGCCCACCCTTTCACCTAATTTTGTTTCCACTCACGAACATATACACGACATATATTCGTCCTACCTACTAAAGAGTTAACCAACCACTCAATACTACTAACAGCAACTTATTAGCATTAAGATGGATGACGGCACATACCTACATGCAAGGCCCGATCAGATGCGCCATAGTCTTTCACGAGATTCGAGTCTACCTGAAGACCGGCGATCTGTTCCATCACCATCTAACTCTGCCTATGCGCAGGATATGTCAAATACCTACGCCTCAGTATGTCGAGAGTGTTGTTCTAATCCCCTACAACACGAAGAGCACGGTAACTTATTAGATACTCAGGTTGCCCCGTTCAACAACTATCCTGTACCATATGATTCTTCGCTCCCTACACCTGTCTCTATTGCTGGATCCCCTTCAATGAATGAACGGACCGCAAAGATCATGCACCCGTACAACCAACACCGGGCAGGCTCGCAGCAGCCCACTCCTCCCAACACCTCAAGGTCATGGTCAAACTACCAGATGAACGCTCAATGTAGCCAGGCACCATCACCTCTCAGCTTACAGCACCCTCCCCCCGATCTACTAGAGATGCATAATTTAGAAGCTTCCCAGTCTCCTCCAGAACACGGCCACATGGTCTCAGAACCTCCATTTCAATGGGGGAACTATGGAGTATCTACCACCGAGGCAGAGGAAATTCCACCACACATGACACACCCAATGTACTCCATGCCTGGCATAGTGCCGACGGACTTACATAGGCATCAGCTCGGTCTAGGCCACCCGGGTATGGCTCTCCCGCCTCCACCACATATTCCCACCCTACAGCAGCAACCGGACCCGCGAGATCTAGCTCCTTCCATGACGCCAATCGACCACATACACCCTCACTTCCATGAAATGCAATATCAGCAGACCCCACATGTGATCATGGATATCGCCACAACGTACAGCCGGAGAAAGCCTTCCAAATCACGGAACGGGCGATCAGGCAGACCCCCGAAGCGACCACGTGCCTCGAACCGAGCTCTCTCGAAGCGCGACGAACTGGACTACCCGGACCCCACCAAATCGACCACAGGCGGCGACGGCTCGGTGAACGTCAAGCCCCCTAACCGGAATATCACGTTAAGAGCCGACGCCCCGGAAAAGGACAGATACATACTGGAGCTGCGGTGTCAGATGGACGGCGACAAGGGGAAGGGGATATGGGAGGAGATCACGAAGAAATACGAGGAGCGCTTCGGCAAGAGGCGGCAGGAGTCGCTGCAGATGAACCTCACGCGGGCCGTGCTCAAGTACGCCGAGTGGCCTCAAGAAGAAGTAAGTTTTTGGCATCCATAGCGCAGCAACATTATTAGAACCTTTTTTTTTTTTCTCTGGGTAGAAACCGGAATCCTAACCGTGCCACAACAACAGGACGAAGCATTACTCCGGGCCGTCGAGGAGCTCGACCGCCGGCGGTACTCGGACCTCGCGAAGCTGATGAAGGAGAAGTACGGCGGGTGCCAGGCGTGGGAGTGGAAGGAAGGGCACATCCTGAAGCGGCTGATCGACCTCGGCGTCGAGGAGTTCGACCCGGAGGACGTGACGAAGAAGCCGCGGCGGAAGTCCAAGAAGGCCATGACCAGCACCAGCACCAGCACCACCAACACCAACAAGCGGCCGTCCAGCAGCAGCGGCAACAAGCCGTCGTGGGTGGCGCCCATGCCCTTCGAGGACCACCACCGCGCCATCTCGTCCGAGCAGGAAAACTACATCCTCGAGAACTTCTGCAAGGCGGAGCCCGAGTACGCGGACCCGAACGCGGCAGCTATGCAGGGCATCATGGAGCAGCAGCAGCAGCAGCAGCAGTACCACCACGCGGTCCGGGGCAGCGTCGACATGGGGGGCGGCAGAGAAGGCGCCGGGATGCAGAGCGAGCGCGTGGCCAAGCAGGCGTGCGACCAGATGCTGCTGCAGCAGCAGCAGCGGCGCGGCGGCTCGCATCCTGGCAATAACATGTACGACGCGCTGGCGACGATGGGCGACGGCCACCGCCCGATGTGATTGCTACCTACCTATAGATATCTTTCACGTGGTTTTTTTCCTTTGCCTACCTATTTTCATGTTCAAATTTTTTCTTCTTAAATCTAGGTTACTTGCTTACTTTTTGCTAGGAGTTGGAAAAGAGGCTTCGAAGACAGAGAGAGAGAGAGATATCCTATAGGTATCCGGGGTGTAAAAAAAAAACGAAATCTTTTTTCCTTTTCGCTCTTGCACGAATGGCTGGGGCCAGAAAAGGTGCGCTTTTGGTTTGCACAGCGAAGCGAACACAGTCCCTTTTATTTACATAGGTAGCTAGGTATGTATCTCTGACGAACCTCAGGAGGTCCTGTGTTGGGTGTGGAAGGGTGATTCCACCGAGGCGTTCTAGGTGCATTTGCCCAATTTTTTATTTTTTTGCTGTTTCTTCTTTTCTATTTTTTTCTACTGTTTTTTATTTTTATCTATTTTTCCTCGCTCACGGTACATGTCACACAAGCTTCACAGCTTTCCCCATTCCTTCAAATCGAGGCAGAGATGAGAAATTTTCGGGTTTGGAAATCATGTTTGTTGTTATCAAATACCATCATTAGACAATGGCGGGCGACTCCTTTTTACCTCGACTAGGTATTATTTTTTGGTGGAAAAGGATGGATGGATGGAAAGGAGGATTTTGTTTTATTTCAAAGGGTTGGCTGGATTATAATACCTAGGGCAAAAGGGGGGAGGGGGGGGAATCATCGAGGAAACGCCAGTCCGATGGTGGCGATGGAGCATTTTGGAGTATCTAGTCGGGACCATATGATCATACCAGCTATTGTTTTCTCTCAAAACTGACTATTCCCAGTATCTGAGTGTCAAGAAGTTCAGAAAGTATCACTATCATGTGTCTATATACATAGGTATTGAAACTCCATTGCGGAATTACTTAGGTTAGTGAAGTAGATGAGATATTGAGATTCTCACGCCAGCAGAAAAAGAAAAAAAAACCTCTTCTAGACCAATTCAAGATCGATCGATATACTACTAGATTTCTACTTACTAGACATAACGATCTTCGCGATGTGTGCCCTAAACACCAAGACAAGCGCTTCCTACCACCCGCTCTCTCATCTCCCAAGGGGCTTAGCAACCGTCTATCCCGACAAAGAGCTAGCTAATCAGCTATACCATACCTACTATAACCCCTATCCTGACTCCCCAAGCCGCTATCTATAATGAGACAGAAGCTCACGGTACATGCCTACCTAGCAAGTAGACCAGTACGCGGGGCGGGGCGCGGTCGAGCGTTAAAGTAAGGGAGGGGACTAGCATGGAAAGGGAGCCGCGCGGAAGCGAGATAGGGGTGGGCCAGGAATGGGGACAGAGCGAGAAGTGGGAGTGGGAGTGGGAGAGAGACATAAACAAGAAGCGCGCTGCGCCTGTTTCTAATTAGATACATGCCCCCTTCTACGGTAAGCCCTCTATAGGTAGGTATACTTACTGGGTATGCAGGCAGTATTCGCTTAGGTACTACTCTTGGGTCGGGTAAGACATACCTAGCCTGGGTGGTTATCCTAGGACGGGCTACTACCACTACTACTATTTACGGGGTGCCAGGTAGGTAGATAGGTCCATTAACTTAGGTATGTATTGTACCTACCTGCCTACCTGCCTACCTACCAGGACCTACCTATAGGGAGGTTATGCTACAACACGGGTGTCTGGGGCACCCACATGGTTTCCCCTTACCGCTACTATGTACCTTGCTCATCGCGTGTAAACTGGGGGCTGGCTCGCCGGGTGTGTCCTTTCTTTTCTTTTCCTTCCTCGCCTCTGTAGATCGTTCTCTACCTAGGTAGGCTAGGTAGGTAGGTAGGTAGGTAGCTATTCCCTCTCGTCTCTCGGCCTTCTGGATTTAGCCTCCGTTAGCCACCCTGGATCTCCGAGTCTGAGCATGGGTAGAGTAGGGTATCATCGGTATGAACATAGTCAGGTACATGCTTACCTACCTACCTACCTACCTACCTATCAGTCAGTCAAGAGATGATCGATGCTTGATATAGAGCATGGCTGAGATAGGTATCTACCGTCGCAATACATTGTGATGTAGCATCACTAACCTTAGGGGCATCTATGAATAGAGCATCGTGTCATGAACCACGTGTCGCTGATCCTGTGACCTGAGCTATGCGTGCGCACCCTTCTCCTCCTCGACGCTATTTTCTCCCCGGGGAGCAGGCCATCGCGCGTGTGTGGGTCTAAGACTTGTATGCTACATATGTAGGTAGGTATGTACATACATACTAACATCGGCTTTTGATATTACATAGCTACGTCCACGCGGGGACAGAGATAGCGCCGACGGATCAAGCACCATGTACATACCGTAGTGCGGCAAGCCTGCCTAGTCATGCTAGTAGGACGTTGATGTACATATGGTGCAGTATGTAGGTACATGTACCTATGTATGAGGTTACTAGGCTTATTGGACTACGGTACTTACATAACATACATCAGGCCTGGATCTAGCCGAGATATACCGTCAGCTACGTACCTCTTTAGTATAGTATGTATGCCGGGTTTTTCTCTCCATGTTTATTCCGTTTTCCGAGCCCAAGACAGGTTTAATGCAATTTCATAAGTAATGTATGTAGGCAGGTAGGTAGGTATGGGTATCTGTTAGCGACACCGCCCCCCTTTCCACAGCAGCACGAAACCTGCCCGTATGTACCAGAGAGGAGGAGGCCTGGCCGGGCAAATCAGAGCAGAAACCTGCGGCCGCTGTAATCACATCGACTGTCTGCAACCGGCTTTCACCCATGGTTGAGATGTGATGGTGTCCAAGGAAGTGCGCCATGAACCACGTTGCTGGGAAATTGGAGTGTCTCTTACTGGCTCAAAAGAAAAAGCCTACGTGAGATATGCTAGATACATGAAAAGAAAGAAAATAAAAAAATAAAAAATAAGCGCAAACGAAACCCCAAAAAGAAAGGGGGTGTTTACCTAGCATGAATCTACGATGGTACATGTAGGTAGGTAATTATCGGAAATAGAACTTGAATCTCTTTAATCTTCCTCTTTCCCACCGCAGATGCCAATGCAATTTCAATGCAATACACAACAAATGGTCCTCATTATCTTCATCCATTAATTCATTTTATTTTTATTTTCTCATAATACCCCATACACAGTTCGAGTACCTACTAGGTATTTGGCCATTTCGGGACATATCTTTGGCTTCTTCGGACTGGATTACTCGGCTTACGGGATTAGCTAAGGAACAGATCATCCCGTCCCGCTACATACGTACGGTACTATATTATTGTACAGTGCCGTACCTAAGCCTCCTAAAGGTAGGTTAGGTAGGTATACAGACGATATTACGTCAGGTATAGGCTTAGTCGGCCGAGATGCCCAAAGAGGCGAGGTACATATACATACATACAGTATAGGTAAGTATAGAATGGGGACAACAAAAATAGGAATGGGGATGGGGATGGAGAGCCTCCTGCACATCTCCGTAACGCGGGTGCATACAGGAGGTGGCAGGTAGATAGATACAGGGCTAGGCATTGTACTTGTTGGGTACTACATACATCTACTACATACATCTTGGCGTAGAACGTTTGAACGAGAGCGACGTACATGTATCTGGACGTTGAGTACATAATCTGAGACCCAGTGTAACGTAAATGTATACACTTACATGCCAAAGCATGCAGAAGATTAAAGTCGCGGAATACATCCATACCTACAACAGAGATAACTAGCAGGACGGACAGGGGGGGAGCAAGAAAAGACGGGGAGACAGGGAGACAGGGGGATGGCAGGGCTGCAGTAGCTCCGCCGTCAAAGAAGAAGCAGGATCCCGTCGTTGATCCAAGAGCCCATACTGATCCCTACCTGCCACTACACTACATGGTACACTGCATACATACATACCTACCTCTAAAACTACCTCTCCCCTACCGTACTCCACCCTTTAAGCTTAGAAACTATGGTACGAGTGGGCGACAGGGAGGAGGAGGCGCCGTCCGTCCGTCCGTCCATCGTCTCGATCGGAGCGGGAACTTCTTCCTTCCTCTTAATTTTCTTTCCTTTCCTTTCCTTTCTCCTCCCTACCGCCCGACGGCTTCCTACTATACAGTATGTGCAAGTAAGTAGGTTAGGTGTGTATGTAAGAATGGAGAAGATGCTGCCCAGAATGAGTAATTACCGAATGAGGGCTTAAAGAGAACGATTACTACGACAACTACCGGCTCGCGAATTGTCAGATTGCTCGTTTGTAAGCTAACCCGACGCTCTGGATCCGAGGCCCCAAATTCTCCCTCCCTGCCTACACTACATACCTACTCTCAAGAGGACAGACATCGCGAGATATTATGCTGTGCAGCAAGCAAGCAAGCAAGCAAGCAAGCATTTGTTACATCAGAAGGGCCATCATGTTTTAAGGGTATGTATTTGTCATTGAACAAGAGCATACCTATCATATAATACATTGTAGGTAAGCAGTAGTTGTGGGAGCACATTAGTATCAACGACTAGGAAGGTTACGTTATACGCTAGGGCTTATTTTAATCTAACCGCCCTGTATTTGCGGCACGGCGTAGGCTAATCTAGCTCCAGATGTTTCGTCGTCAAGGCGTGTAGGTATTTTAGCTAATTAGCCCGAATAATCTCAACGACCTACATACTTTAAATAACTACTACACTAGGTAGGCTTTATGTTTTCAAGTCTTAGCCATAAGGATGTCCCCAGCCAGCGATCATTAAAATAGCGGGCTACTTACTTAGTGTAGTAACATCGAAGTGGGTTGGCGTAGATCCCTAAGGATGGAAGACCCCGGGGGTTGAGGAAAAATGCACTACTATCGTGGATCTTTTTGCAAAATTGTAGGTTAGGAGGTTATGTAGGTAATTAGCTATAGGTAGGTGGGTATCGAGATGGTATACAGTATACCACGCTAGTTGCCGACTCTTCGTTCGATGTAAACGACTTGCCAATCTCCTTATACCTACCTACATAGGTAATTGTCTCCTTCCAAGACTCCAATTTTGGGAACGCCGGGTACTGGTAATGTGTGTATATGCCTGTTGGCGGGTACTCATCCGATGTCATCCAGGTATCACTGCATTCACAACGTTGAAAATGCGGGACAACGATCCCAATAGCCTGGGCTGAAGCTCGTGCTAGGAACTCGTTCCCCGAAATATTGAAGCTCATATAGGGAATAGGTAGTCACATTAGGTAGGTAGGGTATCTTAGTAGTTCGAACTAGCGCCGGGGAGAGAGAGGAGTGGCGAGGAAGAAGGGCGTGGGAATGGCATCCGGTGCTTGCTTGTCTTGTACGACGTACATAGGGATGTAGGTATGTAGATACCTATGTAATAGCTCAGCATACCCAGTACCTACCTAGCATACATGCTAGGTATTTGAAATATCCCCTATCCCCGGGCCCGAGATAAAGGGACTGCATCCCAAATAGGGGATGGGGTAATCGAGAATTCCATGTGTCCGGGTGGGATCATGATAGTCATCGGCAAGCATACGCGCGTGGTAATGATGTGTAGTTCTCGAAGCAAGTGGAAAAAACGCCTAGGAATCTGCCTACCTGCCTTACCTACAACGATGCCCGGAATCGGTACGAATTACCTTGAAATTGAAACTGCTTGTCTTGGAACGAGGCGGGCGAAAGGCCCACATCGTCCAAGTCCTCGTTTCATTTACACTAGTACTCAGGGAGACAAACATCGACGGGGCCTTAGGGGACAGTTCGATAAATAGTTCGCCTCAATTGTTCTCACAGCCCCTCATATGGAAGAATACGAGAGGTATGGATAAGAGAGGCAATATGGTCAAGTCGATGGGGATAGCGGTGTAGGTATAACGAAGGGCATCTTTCAGGGGACAGATCTTGCAGATATGACTCCTTAGTTTCTTCTATATCCTGGAGGCAGTTCCGGTATGCTTTGCAAGTGTATCAATAGGTCCAATGAGCCCTGCTAGAGGGAGCGGAATGGTGACCGATGGGCAATAGATGGTCTATACCAGTAGACCACCGATCATACGTGGTAGGACGAGGGACTCCCCGCCACTCAACGACATCTATACATACTACATAGTAGTTGCAATTTGCCTTATACGTATGTAGATAAGTGCCTTGGCAGATATGTAGCGACGATCTAGAATCCCATCGACACGCGAGATTTCGATCGAGTGAGGCGAAACGAAGGTGTGTCACGTCGAGCCGAGCATAGCCTGTACTTTTCTCGGGCCGTAGTGCCTCAACATTTTGTAAAATAAGGCAGGGCGATCAACATCTTCAACATCGCGTTGTTGTCGAAACACCCCCAGCCGCGGCACTGCTCAAATAATGCCGAGTGGACTCTCCCTTGCGTCGCGCGAACTGAGCGCGGGCGCGGAATTTGAGCTTCACGTTTTAGGGGTGATGGTCTCCCCTATCTCAGTCAAGAGGGAACAAGATTGAAGGCGATAGGCAAGGGAGATGAGATGGACCTCGTATCTTCATCAGTAGTAATGTAGGCATGTATGTACCTAGCATCATATCCTGTTTCAGAGGAGATAGGATAATATCTGGAGTTTTGTCGGGAAGTACAGTAGGCATTGTGCCTCTACTTCTTTTGTTCTTGGGACGATCGCCCTGATGTCATTGAAGACCCAAGTCCTTGGTAAGTAAAATTAGCTATAATCAAGTGCAAAGCTACACGGGGAATGCTTGCTAAAGTGTTCTCTATTCCATCTCGTCTAGACTAGCTTCTGTCTCAGCCTCTGGTGGAGTTAATAAGGGGGTTATTGTATTGTACCAGGCAAGGTACTACGTTGTAGTTAGGTAGTAGAGATGGACAGCCGGACACGTGGGAAAGAAACTCTACCGGTGCCGTAGCGTTGATCGATGTCTTAATATGGATTCAAGATTGAGTCTTATTCATGAGTTCGGGTCCGTAGATGGCCTGTCAAGAGGGATATGCCTGGCTCGCCCGACCATTGAGACAGATGATAGGCAAACGCCAGGTGGTGTGGGTAGAGTAGAGTTTGTAGGGATTCGCACGGCGTAGTTATGGCACTGTACAAATTGTAGTGATACAATACAAATTATGTGACTTGGATATCAAGTGCTGATTAAAATGCCGTGTAGGTCCTGGCTTCATATAAAATAGAGTGTTCCGACACCAATAAATATCGTGATATTGGTGTTGTAGAAGACTTGGCGACTTCACAATAAGATGACCGATAGTTACCACTGCGGCACTTTATAGGTGGTAGAAATGATTGGTACCTAGGAAATGTTAGAAAATAAATCTAATGATTGACATCATTTTCTATCATTGGATAAGAGAAATCATTTGAGATAAGCAATCATGTCTGACTAGAAATTATCTCCATCTTTAAAATCATTGAAAATAGAAATCATTTTTAAGGTGAAATGCTTTGTCTGTGGAAATTATTTGAAAACTAGGAATCATTTACGCTGTTATGCTTGCATAAAATGAATGCATAGCATCTGTGATATCAAGTACAGACTCTACTACGTCGTAAGGTTACAGGGTAACTAGTTAACCTTATCGATACTAGCCTGTACAATACTGTAGGTATCGAGATGCTGGTAGCTTGCACCTGCACATGCCAACGTTGGCACGTGTCCTCAGGCTGGTCCAGATCCTTACAAATGCCAGGTGATTGCGAGTACGAGACAGATTAACAATTTAACATGCATTTCGATATGAATTGTTGTTAGTGAGAGAGGTAACTTTCACCTATCTCAAATCTTTCATGACAGCATCAAACATTCGACCATCATGCTTTAACTTTCCCAGGTTGTTTTTCTTTTTCTTTTTCTTTTTTTTTTTTTTTTGCATTGACTATTCGCTTCAACATCAAAAGGAGGGATAAGGCTTTTCCTTGACCTCAAAAATAAAGGAAGATATCGTGATTTTCCTCCCTTATTAATCGTTCTCTTTGAGATATATTCTGAGGCCGAGGACGAGGACGGTGGGAACTTCGCGAATTACCTAATCGAGGCGGCTAGCTATTCAACGGTCCGCCGCCTTTCTTTCTCAAGAGTTACCTATCAGGTACACATGCATTCTTCTGCAATCTCCTGCCGGTGATGCCCTTGCTAGGCATGGGCATTTGGATGTTGGCGCCCTCGCACAACTCAACGAATTATGGCCATTTTACAAGATTAGCCGCGTGGTTCGCGCTGTTGGTATCAGTATTACCATGGCTAGGTCAAGTGGAAGCGATGCGCCCCAGTCGCATCGCCGAGCTAAGGCAAGAGACCGTCGACATGTTCTATCACGGATTCGATAACTACATGACCATTGCCTTTCCCGAAGATGAGGTATGAAAATAAAAACAGTCAGCCATATATCTTTATCATATACATATTACTATATAGTATAAAGTAAGCTTGCTCGTGCATTAGCTTATAATTTATAGTTACGGCCCGTGTCCTGTACGCCCTTAACTCGAGATCCCCTCAATCCGAGAAATATTGCCCTGAATGACGTCCTCGGAAATTACTCCTTAACCCTCATCGATAGCCTTTCCTCCCTCGCAATCCTCGCTTCAGCGCCCCCCGATAGTAATAATACTGGCCCTAAAGCATTGAGCGATTTCCAAGATGGTGTGGCTGCTTTGGTTGCTCAGTACGGCGACGGACGGCCTGGTCCATCCGGTCAGGGTGCTCGCGGTCATGGCTTTGATGTTGACAGTAAAGTCCAAGTTTTTGAAACTGTTATAAGAGGTGTAGGTGGATTGCTTAGCGCACATCTGTTTGCTGTTGGAGAACTGCCCATTTCTGGTTACAACCCACGGAGGACTGGCGAGGATCTTGAAGAACATCCCATACCATGGCCGAGCGGGTTCAAGTACGACGGCCAACTACTACGGCTTGCCCTCGACTTGGCTCAGCGCTTGCTTCCAGCCTTTTACACTCAGACTGGGCTACCTTACCCACGTGTCAATCTCCGTCATGGGATACCATTTTATCAAAACTCCCCACTTCATGAAAACGCCAATCCACAATCCAACGTGGACGAGGACTCGTCAGAAATTACCGAGACTTGTAGTGCCGGAGCGGGTAGTCTTGTACTTGAGTTTACTGTACTAAGTCGTCTCACTGAAGATCCGAGATTCGAGCAAGCAGCCAAGAGGGCTTTCTGGGCTGTCTGGTCAAGAAGAAGCAATATTGGTCTCATTGGGGCCGGTGTCGATGCTGAGGGGGGGCATTGGATCGGGGGGTTCTCTGGAATCGGCGCGGGCATTGACAGCTTTTTTGAATATGCTCTCAAGACCCATATTTTGCTCTCGGGCCAGGAGCTACCAAATCGAACTATGCCTCAAGTTCGCGATGGAAATTGGTTGGACCCCAATCAGATCTATCATCCACTTACAGATGAGGATAATGCTGCCGATTCTTTTCTTCAAGCTTGGCATCATGCCCATGCGGCAATCAAGCGACATCTTTATTCCGGCCTACACCATCCACACTATGTGAATGCGCACATGTCTACGGGCTCACCTCAAGCATATTGGATTGATAGTCTAGGCGCGTATTACTCAGGTCTACTGGCGCTTGCCGGAGAGCTGGATGAAGCCATCGAGACCCATCTTGTCTACACAGCTCTGTGGACCCGGTATTCTGCTCTCCCAGAGCGATGGTCTGTTCGCGACGGCCATGTCGAAGGCGGTCTCGGGTGGTGGCCTGGCCGTCCAGAATTCATTGAGTCTACGTACCACTTGTACCGTACAACTCGAGATCCTTGGTACCTTTATGTGGGCGAAATGGTCCTAAAGGACATCAACAGACGATGCCGAACAAAATGCGGTTGGTCTGGTCTACAAGACGTGCGTACCGGGGAGAAGAGTGACCGGATGGAGAGTTTCTTCCTCGGGGAGACAGCCAAGTACATGTATCTCCTTTTCGACCCAGAACATCCGTTAAACAATCTTGATGCCTCGTACGTGTTTACCACGGAAGGACATCCGTTGATTATCCCCCGAAGCAAAGCATCTGGTCGGGCGTATAAACCATCGCCGGAAAAATCGGTTCAGCCCTACTTTGACAGGCAGTTCACCAATACTTGTCCTCGCCCAGCCGACCTTCCCCCGCTGTATGGATCTGCCATTGCCGCACGGCCAGACTTTTACAACGCGGCAACCTTAATCCGACTTAACCAAATTCCCAACATCCATAGCGGCTTGGAAAATGCAGTTGCGAATTTGGGCAAACTGGAAGCGCAGACCAACCTGCCAGAAGGGCCGAGGGAGAACTACACTTACTTTCCCTGGACATTGCCTCCCTCGATGTTGCCCACTGACGGAACCTGCGCCATGTCAAAACAGGCTCAGACTTCCGTCATCGAATTTCCTTCCAGCTCTCAACAGTCTGTTGGCAGTGCCTTCAATCTCATGTTTGGCGGGCACAACCTTGTTCGTATGGGAAGCGAAGGCATTGCGATCAATAGTCTTTCCAGCCTCAAGCTTGCGTTGCTTATGGAACATCCACCGGACACATCCGAACGATCTTGGAGAGTTTTTAGTATTGGCAACTTGGCGTTGGGCCGAGATGAAAAAGTTTTCATCACTCGCGACGTATTGGAGAGTATATCGGATCCTCTGTTCCATCGCGTTCGCGATTCTGTCACTGTCGACCTTCTCTTGCAGATTGAAATTCCCACGGAAGTAGTTGACCACAATTCTACTACCGTGAACGCGGAGCCTTCTTTGGAGACCGAGCAAACCATTGAGCTGGATAGCGATACTATCGGCAGTCAGAACATATTCAGTTCACTCTTGCAGCAGATTACGTCTGCCTTAAGAGAACCGGTTGCCACTTTCGGTCCTGAGCCTGTACCAGGCCCCAATTATCGGTACGTGGAGATGCCCGCCATCACTCCGGTCGGGGTGGGAGCTTCTTCCCTCCCGGACGTTCGCGAAGCCCCCAACCCACAGACTATCGACCTCACCGAGCCACTATCTTGGCAGCGCATCTACTTCGCAGACCAAGCCTGTGAAGGCAAGCTACCCGATGCGGCCCCCAAATTGCACCATGTGATCGTCATGCGGCGGGGCGGGTGTTCGTTTTCGGAAAAGCTGGCAAACATCCCATCGTTTGCGCCGAGCCGGAACGCGCTGCAGCTCGTCATCGTCGTGTCGGACGACCAGGACGAGAAGGAAGAAGGAGGGGAAGAAGACCTGTGGGGGTTCAACTTCATCCGGCCACTGCTCGACGAGCAGCAGAAGACGCCCGCGGGCATCCCGCGGCATCATCCCATCGCCATGCTGATGACGGGAGGGGGGCAGGAGGCTTATGAGGTGCTAAAGACGGCGAGTAGTATAGGGCTTAGGAGACGATACCATGTGGAGAGTCAGGGGCTGAAGATCAATAACTTGGTGGTGCTGTGAATACCCTGATGGATGGATGCGGGAGTGTGGTGTGGATAGATTTATATATTTATATATATATCAAAGAGGATAGAGATGAGAAGAAGCTTATGAAGTTATGATGATTGGACATTTAGACAACAAAGGACGGCTGGGCGAGTTTGGGCGTATGGGGGCAGTGTGGTTCTGTGTAGCAGTGGTAGAGTATGTGTGTATAGGCAAGAGGGTGGTGGCCCTGAAGTACATATAGTCCCAAAAATCCCCAGGAGTAACCTACAGTTTTGTGCGGAGATGTGATTGGGCTTTGCTTCGTGATTTTTCTGATGTGGGTTGGCATCGTAACATTCAGTACGACGTAAGAGCAGGTGCAGAAAGCAAGGTAATCCTAAAACAGCACCTACTGATCAGTCACCAAGCACAATTTATTAAAACAGAAAACACCAAAAAGTTGCAATTTGGACAGGGTAGCAGATTAGTAGCCAAGAACATAAAAATACCTACAGTACTTACCTATCTACATTCTTTCAACTGCGTAGTACCCTACCTGTAGTAGAACATTTGAAGTAGACCGTAGACCAAAAAAAGACAACAAAAAGATGGACTCGCGGGGAATCGAACCCCGGACCACTCCCATGCTAAGGGAGTATTATACCACTAAACCACGAGCCCCCCTCCCGAGTGCCGATTGTTTGTCAAAAGAAGGACGATTGACACCCGACCGATCTTCGGATGAGAATTTGGAGCGTTGGAAATGCTTCATATACTTACATACCTACCTACCTTTATAGCTAGGTGTGGTTTAGGTAAGTACAGGTACATGTATGCGGCGGTGGCTAGCCGAGTTACCTATCGTAAAAAAATATAAAAAAATAATAAGGGTAGCCCTGGTAAGGAGGGCAGATTCTAGTATAGCTTGATGATAACTACCTATGTACCTAGCGTAGCGTGCGAGCTAATATGAAAAGAAGAAGAAAAAAGTCAAATAATAATAAAAAACCGCACGGCGTTGTTTTCTTTAGCCTCATAAAAACTATCGAGATAACCTCTAGCTGTGAGGCTAAAATAGTGTATGCATGTGTTTTTTTAGTTAGACGCAGATACTGTAGAATTCAAATAGTTCCATCGACGGAAGACGAAGCTAGAGGAAAACTCGTGATGGCTTGGCTTCTCCGGGTGGGTAGATAGATAGATACCAACATAAAAATAACCTCAGATACGATACGAGGAGCTATAGGTATACCTGCTATTACGAGTAGGTAGCGAAAGAGAGAATAATGAAGAAGGAAGATAGTTACCCTACAATGCCTCGGTCTCTACTTACAGTACATAGCAAGTGCCAACTTCAAGTGACTCGCTTACTCACGCAACCCAGGCGCCGAACGCTTTAAAGATAGTTAGTTACAGCTCAATCGAGTTAGAATAACCGGCCAATAGCCGTGACCGTATTCGCCTAGCTACTATGTATAGACTCACTCACTCTACTATAGAGTCTAGACTGTGTCGTTACATACCTACCTATAACTATCTGGATTCCGAAGAGGAAAGCAGAGCTTCCAAAGTCCAGAGCTGACACATGTTAAGAGTTTGAGGTTTTCGGATATAGCCGCACGTGGTTGCATTATCTTGCCTACAGTCACATCCCATCCCACATCCCATTCATGTGTGGGGCTTTTGGATCCGAAAAAGAAAGACGAAGGGGAAGGAAGCTGATTGGGTCATAAATTATAATAAATACCATGCCATGTATGTACTGTAGGTTACTGCATACATATGTATGTATGTATGTGTATGTAGGTTAGGTATGTACACTACATATCTCTGATTAGAAGGTGCAGAACTGGCGAACCACCTAACCTAACCTAACCTACTGTACTGTCTCAATTCAACCTTATCAGACAGAACAAAAAGCTGCCGCATTTCTGCTGCTACTGCTGTCAGTGCAGATTGCAGATACGAGAAACAAAAAATCAAGCCATCAGACGGGAAGAAAGCTTAAGAAAGTAAGTAAGAAAGAAAGAAAGAAAGAAAGCCCCACGCACATGGCTGGCTGGCTTTGGAAATTGGAATGCTTCCCTTCCCATCCCAATGATGATTGATCCCATCCCACCCATCGGTTGCCAAGACGATGCTAGGGGCAGGTAGTACATGCTCAACGATATCTCAACGGTCTGCTTAGGTCTGCTAAGTTGTGCTAACGGTATGTACCGAGAACCTTAGTAAATACTCGGGTCTTACTAGAACGTTCAAAGTCTTGTGGTGTGTTAATCAATGACCTCAACAAGATCTGAGGAAAATCACAACCCCAAATTTTTTTATTTTTTTTTGATGTGTTAAACTGAGCGACCGAACATTGGTTACTCGAGTATCAGTTCGTGAATTAGAAATGGATATCTATCGTTCCATCTTCTCGAAAATGGTTAACACTATGTACCTATTCCTAGACCCCTTCGTTCGAAATCGAAAACCCATAGTTATCACGTCATGCAGTAAAGTAAGTAACCTAATAGATAACCGTACCGTCCGTTCCGTTCCTTTAACTCCGCCATACTATGCAACAATGCGATGCGATGCAGCCATGCCTCATTCTTATCGGTTGGGTTCTTATGTACGAGCACCCATGTGAATAATCTCAACCATCTCGCCAAGTAATCCTTTTTTGACTTGTCCACTGTGTACCCCCCCGCCCTCCTTGCCGAACGCCAAAAAAATGCCCGTAGTAAGTAAGCAAGCCAAACCCTCTAGAAATGCAAAAACGCCGATACCATGCTGAATTTCCGAGGCCGATGATGAAAATATTTTTCTCGCTCTTCAATTCTGTTATTGTTGGTCATCGTTTATCGTTATAACGGACAGCAGAGCTGAATTCTTCTTGTGCCCTGCCCATGGCGATGACGACTGTGTTCTTGCAGACTCCATAGCTACAGCATACTTCCGCCGGCAGTGCTCCTCTGAGAATTGCATCTCGCTTAGACTAAGATATGTGTTAGTGAGTGACTACCTATAAGTCATGATTTCAGAGCGTTTTGTTTTTTGCAAGTAGGTAAGAAACATACATCTGGACAGCGGATGGGAGAAGCTTGAGCTAGAGCTCCTATCAGCGTGAGAGCTGTGACAGTTGACAATAGAGGATTCAATTTCATTGTCAGTAAGTAGGTAGGTAGGTTGACTACGTCTACTAGCTAAGGGATAGCCAAGTAATAGGTAGTAATAGCGATTGGAGATATGCGAGTTGGTTTTGTTAGGTAGATATTTGTGTGGGAAGAATCTTATGTAATGGGGATGTGTTGGTGGTGTTGGAATCGTTTTGGGGGATTTTTTTTAAAATAGATGAAACGAGGGAGTGTCTAGCCAAGGTAAACAAATAGAGACGAGGAAGATTTATTATTATACTACGTCGTTTGACCTCAAGAAGGAAAGGAGAAATGAAAAGGCCGGTGCCAAATGTGTGGTAGATATCGGATGGATACCCGCTTCCTAGGTACACTAAGGCGGTGGTGGTGCCAGCTACATATGTAACTAGAGATCGAAGATACGGTGATACGGCGATAGTGTTGTGATACCTGGGGTACCTGGTAGAATAAGTATGCACGTATTCTACAGCTCGTTTCTTCTAGTCTTCTTCTTCCTCTTATTCTTCCGCCCCATGTCTGAGGTATCCACGCCACAGCCATGACCGTGACATCGGAGCTGAATATTCCATTAATCACTCACTGTATAATACTTAATTTAGTACAATACATAGTAAGCTGCGGCTAACATACAAACGAGACCTACCTTATACTCAGACATGACGCGGCTGAGGAGGCCTGTGATCTAATCGCTTGTGGCTGTGATTTTCATTCGTAAGGGAGCATGACGAATTGTGACTTGGACAATGTAAGGTGGCAGTCAACCAAGTCAGCCAGTGCTGCTAACAAAACTCGTCATTTACGTGCCAATTGGTAAAGTTGGTAAAGTCGTGAGAGTAAGCTTGCTATCCTTGAAGACATCCTTCATCGGAAGTTCATCCCAGCCCAGCAGACTTGCCAAGCTTACTAGAAGTCGTTCGTCGCGATTTTTAGTATAAGAGCAAGGGCCATATCGTAATGATCGATATACGAGAAAGCTAGGTAAGTCGGTAGGCATTAACTACCTAACCTAAGTACCTAGGTAGGTAAGCTAACTGGAATATGCATTCAATGTTCTAGCCGAGCAGAGTCTTGTCAGAGTCTTGTCAGAGTCTTGTCAGAGTCTTGTACAGAAAAGGAACGTTGCAATTGAATTGGTAATGCAGCGATTGGTGGTATTATCATAAGGTTTGGGAACGGATAATATTAAATGCTCTAGGGCTACAGTACTACGCAGTATGTAAATAGAAACAACCCTGGAACTTCAGGGGAGTCAGGGCCTGTAACATTCATTGAACCTTGAAGACACGCTGTAACTAACCAGATTTAGTGTGGTGAATCCAGCGGGGGCTGAACATGGGAGCGGGAAGGTGAGGCTCCGGGTAGAAAAGCTTGAACTGGCAGATCAATGATGGATCAATGATGGTCCCAACTCCAACTTACATAATACAGTAGCATTCTTCAATGAGTACTACTAGTACCTAGGCCCTAGGGTAATGATCTGAATCATCTGATACTATTCTCTTTTCAAACATTAATGATATTAATAGCCATTCGCCAAGTTGGCACATATTACTTTTGATTGTAATTATTACTATGTGCTAGGTAGATACAAGTACCTACCTATTATCATTGATGTTGGTTGCCACGAACAGTTAGTTATGTACCTGATAAGTACTCACATAGTAGTGCTGTTGACAACTTGACATGTACTGTACTAAGACACATGGGCATATCATCATAAAGTTATGGCAGGTGCGCACTTATAGGGGAACAGCAGGCAGGTTCAGGGTACATGTAGATCATTATGAGGCAAGCAGAACTCGGCCTTCCAGTAGTACGAAGTCATCTTCACCTTCTTCCTCTTTGAGGCTCTTTCTTCTAACCAGTTCATCTCTACTTCAATGTTCATGAGACTCAAAGCATTGTTCACATAGTAGGGTAGCTAAAACTATCAATACAACCGAAGTGATATCCATTACCTAGGTACTACGAGATCCCTATCCAAACATAAACGAAGAACCGCGTAGGCTATATCGAACCCCGAGTGGCCTCGTGATTCGACTTGGATGCGAAAGTCTTGTAAACTGTCGTGTACCAGAAAACTCAGATCATCCAACAAGCTCGTCCAGAGGAAACCAAGTCACCTTCCCAGCAAGACCGCCTGACATGTTTCGTCCGAGCAAGACGATTTTACTCCCTATTCCTCCAATCTTGGGGGAGACACCAGTATCTGAAGTTATCGAACTCCCCTGGGTGCCGAGCCCACCACGTTGGATGCCGAGCTATGAGTACGGTCGGACAGGTCAGCTAAAACTCTGCGATGTGAGTCCCGTGGCCTGATCTCCCTCCCCGAGTCTTTTTGTCGTCCGTCTAACCCGCATAGCTCCGGAGTAAAGACAACGGATTCCCTTTCCCACTCAACGGCTGGAACCTTGCACGACTCCAACGTATGTCGGAGTACGTTCTGGCCAACATAATCCTTGATTTCCATCGAACTCCTATCCTATGCTTTCGGCAGGATACCGGAAATGTGGTCTCACGTATATCTTCTCATTGGGTAGTCAAATAGGGAAGGGATATTCCCGAGTCGGAGATAAACATGATGATGCACATCAGCACAAAATTCCCCCTGAAGAACCATGTTCCCCAAGCGCACAGGTTCTTTGAAATCGCCGACTACAACTTAAAGTTCATCGTCATGAACTATGTTCCAGGGCCTTGTCTGGCTGATGCTTGGTATCGTCTCAATGCTCTCGCACGATATAACATGGCCTATCAGTTCGCCCATTGCGTTCGATTGATGCACGCGAATGTTGCAAGCGGCAAGCCTGGTCCACCAGGATATAGCCGTTGTCTGGCATTATCACATAACCCATGGCCCCCCGAATTTTGCCCGCACATTGTGGAATACGAAGCGTACCTCAATGGTATAATATGGAAGATCAACCGCCACCGACCATGGAGAACCCCTATTTCATACCTGTGGGGGACTCAGCTCGTTCTAACGAACATGCAGCTTGATCTCAGCAGTGCTGTTCTCGACCCTCGGCGCTCTTTGCATATTGTGGGTTGGGGAAAGGGTGGATACTACCCGCCTGAGTGCGACTTAGGCATAGCTGAGTATCTACTACTTAACCCTCGCGATATCGGGATCGTTATGATGGCATTGATAGACACCATCCAGCACAATGCAGAGTTCAGGTTGTCTGCGAAGGCGATTGCTCAGTTCGTCGATGGGGAGCTACACGAAGATGACCCAGAATCATAAATCTTATTGAGTTCGCTGGATACCTGGAAGGGGAGGAGGTAGATGATGGATATGGATGCATTAGCAGGTACGTTAGATATTGAATAGAAGAGTACGGACCGTCTGTCGTTTAGAGAAATATGTCTCGATCAAAATCACAGCTCTAGGGTTTTCCCCTTGGCCTCATGGAATTGAATCGTTTTCTGGTATCTACAAACCTGTCGCCTTGGTCAGGGAGGCTCCTTGCTCGGGAGCGGGTAACGACGTTGGTGTGACGTCTACCTTTATATTCACATTGGCCTATTAAATTCGAAGGTTCCAAGGTCATGGTGAATAGGCGGTGAAATAGTACCATTCGGAACGACCCAGTTTGTCATCCGGGAGGGTGCAGGTGTGATGCCCCTTTCCGTGACTTTGGAACGAAGGCGAAACACTGGGTTTCCGGATTCCGAGATCGTGTATCACGCAGCCAGAGAGTTTATTCGGACCATCTGGACATTTCTGTAGTCTAGATATCTATAGGTACCTATTTATTTAGTTCTTAGCTAGGTATCAAGCCGATTGCTATCAATGACGACTGACGACAATGGTAGGTTAATGTATTAGGTGCGTACCCATTAAACCTCCAATTCATCCCTTGATTTCAGTACCAAATCAAACTCGCAATTAACAGAAATGGAGATAGAAGCATGGACCTGTTCATACATACCATTCATAGGAAGTTGGGAACTATTGTAGGAAGGTATACAAGAACCACAAGACCCAGATAATATAACGTGCCTAGCGCGCGCGGAGCTGAGAATAACTACGAGGCATTGAAGCTGTGGCCAATGCCACGACGGCTTACCTCGTCCAGCATATGTCGTGCCCATCCCCTCATCCCCTCATCCCCAACCTTTCTTGCTTCAATGGTTCTCCACGCAGAAGTCCCCATATACCAATTTACCTGCCTGCATGTGGTTTTCATATATTATACTATAAAACCTTATACGAGCAAACATGCAGGCTGCGGGTAATCTATCTCAGACGTCCTAGGGATAGATGTCACGTGTTTGACGTTTCCTTTTACGCCGACCGAAGTCCAAAACTTGTCGTCTCTCATTGGGCTATTGCGATGGGAAAATTACGGGCTTGAATATATGAGAAACAAGCGGTTTCTTTTTTTTTTTGGTTTTTTTTTTCTCTCTTTAGGATCAGGGACCCTCATTGTCATTGCCCTCACTGCTGAGATGAATCAGTCAGCTTACATGGATCATAAGCAACCTCAAATTGTCAATAGCGTAGACGGGCGACTCCGAATTTGGTGCTTACCTTTACCTCCTGTTCTTCGCACCTCTCCGGAACCGCGCGTCTCTTCAGTATTCTTTATCTTCAAGAGTCTCCTATTATCTAGGCATATACCTATTTCAGCCATGACTTTCCTTAGCATTAGGCAATGATGTTGATTACATAGGTAGATATGTAGATAAGGAAGGTATGAATTGTTAATTGGGAAAAGTCATTTGAATGATTTGATAACAAAGGCCCTTTAAAGCTGAGGAGTCAGGACATTGGACAATGTAGGGCTTGGCTCACTTATCCTCCAATCATGTTTGAGCTTTGCAGCTTCGCAGACTATTATAGGTAACATTGTATTATAAGCGCTTCGGCACCATGTCTCATCAGAGTTACTCGACCGTTCATCCCCTGTTCCTGGCCACAACACTTAAAACGCTTAACCTTCTTTTAGCTCTGGAGATCTTCGAATTTCTACTTTCCCTACTTACTATGTATTATTACCCTACTTACCCAACTGCTTACCCAACTTAACCCTAGATAGGTCAACTTTAGGTAGGCACCTCACCTAATACTTTTCTAAACTACCAAATGTTTCGACTTTTGGATCGCTGACAATTATTCAGATGTCTAGGATCCAAGGTTAATAATGTATGGGCAGCATCTGAACCGAGTTTCAGCATCTGGCACAGATCTTGAGTCTCCATAAGCATGACGCACATATCCAACTAGTTATTACTACTGCTGAATTCAGTTCATGAAGAAACGTCCCGACTCTGCACGTCACTCACTTGGCATGATTGTTTTTTGTCTTGTTTGTTTCTACATTGAAGGGCTGGCTGGTCCTCTTTTTTCATTAATATCCAACCATCTTAGACTTTTTACCCCATTAAATACTATATCCTCTTTTCCCGCAAAGTCTTGGCTTTGTCCGAAACAGCCCACGCGATGCCACCGAGGTTTTTTTTTTCTCTCATCTCACGCTAGGTTATCGCGGACACAACTTAACGGGACCTCCACATTGTGTGAATGGACGAAGGATAACTAATCCGTTGCTTTTAGTTTGGTTTCGGTTTTCGATGAATAGGTAAATTAGGTACTTACTACCAGCCAGGCTGCTATGTAGATGAACTACCTAGTAGCCACCTGGGTTAGGTAGGTAGGTAGGTAGGCAGGTCGTCTTCTTGCCTCGTAGTGTTTGACAATGAATGGATTGTGGAATTGTGTTTATATACACTGTCGATAGGTCGATCTCTTTCCCATCTCCTCATCATAATAATATTTCTTACTTTGCCACTTTTGTTTACTTTACCTAAGTTCTACATCTTTTCTACAACCTATTCTACAACCTGTTCTGCAACCTGTTCTACAACCTATTTTACAAATCATTTCTTGATCCCCTCTTCCAGGAACCAGCCCTACTCCATTAGCCTCTCCTCCTTCATTACATTCTATCAGGACTAGCCCCCCTTATTAGGACCCTTTGCTTTCATTGATTGCACTCTTATGAATGGGACCTGAGAGACTACTAAGGTAGTAGTGATTGCCACGAACCCCTAGTCGAAAATCACCATTGTAAGCCACCCACAAGGATAGCTCTCCCTCCCCCGGCGAGCTTCTTATCTACAAATTCCCCGACCAATAGCACCTTACACACTGTCCGATCCCTAGGCCTCGGTCTAGCTTCTTTTTTTTCAGATCCAGGTTTTTTTGGTTTATTATATCCATATCTACTTGCGCATTCGCTCTCATTCCTTCTTACGGGAACTGGTCTTGTGCCGTGTCACAGTGGCATAAATCTAGCTCTTTTTCTTCCTCTACCTATTACCAGAACGCCTATTTTCATTCATTGATCCATGATAATCCGCGAGTAAGCCCTCTTGGTGTGATGTACAACAACAACAACAACAACAACAACTGACTTGTAAGTCGGCGTGCTCCGTCTCTCTCCACGGTTGATCCTTCGCAACTTTGTTTTTCTTTTCCAACAAAACATCGATGAGGGTCGAGCTGTCCTAGGGAGAGAACGACTACAGGAGGAATTTACGACCCGTCCGTCAAGCTACTTAAAAGTCAACTCAGATCAACCAAACTTTACGTCGCGGGATCCTCCTCGAATTTCTGATAATTCCAATCAGAGAGAGAGGAGCGAAGCCTGATTTTACTGGCAATTCCTCAACGGCTTGGCTTTTTTCTAATTCGCGAAGAGATATCTGTCACTAGCGATGGCGAAAATGTCCTTGTCTAACACGAGCAATGACGCCGATGGCGCTCAGAAGGAGATACGGATGGACGAAGATTACGGTTTGGGCTACGTCGACGAAGGCAATGCCGTTCACAGACAGGCATTCGTATCAGGAGAATCGTGGTATGCTAAAATACAACGATTCGCGGGCAAGTATGGCGTTGAACAACGCGGGATCGAACGGGTCCCTAACGACGAGAGAACGGACGCGGGGATGAGCCAAATCGGCACACTGGTAAGATCAAATCACTCGTCTGTGCTTACCTAGTACTCACGGCGTTTAATACTAACTCCATCGACAGTGGTTTTCAGCCAATATGGTTGTATCCTCATTCGCCATTGGCGCCCTTGCACTACCCGTCTTCAACCTCGGGTTTCTCGACACCGCCCTCACCATCATATTCATAAACTTTCTTGGGATCATGCCCGTATGCTTCTTCTCTACATTCGGTCCCCGATTTGGTCTACGTCAGATGGTGCTATCTCGGTTTTACTTTGGATACTACGGTGTCAAACTAAGTAAGTCTGCTCTCTACATCACCCGATAACCACGTTACCAAGAAGCCCCCCTTAGCTAACTAGTTCTCTTCACTACTAGTTGCCATATTCAATATCTTGGCTTGTATTGGTTGGTCCGCGGTCAACGCCATCGTCGGCGCCCAGTTCTTTCACGCCGTCAACCCAGACGTGCCTGGATGGGCGGGTATCGTGGTCATATCTTTTGCAACACTGATCATTTGCACATTCGGATACAAGGTTGTACATGCCTACGAAAGATGGTCTTGGGCACCGGTATTGATTATATTCCTAATCGTTCTCGGTGTCTTCGCCCATTCAGGCGAGTTCAATAACCTGCTTCCTCTCAAGACCGGTCCAAGTGAGGCCGGTGGCGTGCTGTCCTTTGCCGCTTCGGTATTCGGATTTGCCACCGGCTGGACATCCTACGCCGCCGACTACACCGTCTACCAACCGGTGGACCGCTCGAGGAGGTCCATCTTCTTCTGGACATTCGGCGGTTTATTCATTGCCCTATGCTTCACGGAGCTCCTCGGCGCGGCGGTCGCAACCGCCATGGTGTACAACGAGGGGTACGCGGAAGCCTACAGCAACGCCCACATCGGCGGCCTCCTAGCGCAAGTGCTAGTGCCCCGACTGGGGCGCTTCGGCGAGTTCTGCGTCGTGATCCTCGGCCTCTCCATCATCGGCAACAACTGCCCGAACCTGTACTCGGTGTCGCTCACGCTGCAGGTGCTCTCGGAGAAGACGCGGCGCGTGCCACGCTTCATCTGGACCCTGGTCAGCACCGCCGTCTACATCGCCATCGCCATCCCGGGGTACGACCACTTCGAGTCGGCCCTCGAGAGCTTCATGCTCGTCATCGGCTACTGGCTGGCAATATACGAGGGCGTCTCCTTGACCGAGCACTTCGTCTTCCGCCGCGCCTCCTTCGACCGCTACCACCCCGAACACTACTGCGAGCCCAAACGCCTGCCCCCCGGCTTCGCGGCCATCGCCGCCTTCTGCGTCGGCGTCGCCGGCGCGGTCCTCGGCATGGCGCAGGAGTGGTTCACGGGCCCGATTGGGAAGCTGTGCGGTGCGGATTTCGGCGGCGACGTCGGCTTCGAGCTCGCGTTCGCGTTCGCGGCGTTCAGCTATGTTGCGCTGAGGGTCGTGGAGAGGGGGTATTATAAGCGGTAGGTAGGTGTGTTGCCTGCCTATACTTGCGCCTACCTACCTACCCCGACCTAGTACCTACCTACCTAGGCTAGGTAGGGTTTGATGTAGAAAAGTTAAAAGGGGGTTGTTTTATTTTTGTTGGAGATTGGCTGGCTGGCTGGCTGGCTGTTTCTTTTTTCTCTTTCTTGAGGGAGAGATCATTGGTGGGGTGTGTGGAATGTGCGGGAATACATACATACAACGAGGAGGGATACGTACAAGGAGAGGAGAATAAACGCCTGATGACAAGGGACGGATGTAGATGCCTAGAAACGAAACAAGGACGCCTATGAGACGAGATGGGATGAGGATGAGGATACAGGACGCCTATGAGACGAGATGGGATGAGGATGAGGATACAGGACGCGTTGAGACGAGGTGCTATGGGTGGATGTGTACTATCTATCTAACTATGGCTTGCTTGCTCGACGTGGTGGTGGTGGGCTTATACAACAACGCAACGTGGGTACCTAGTACCTACTTATTGCCTACTATACTTATACTTGGGGTAAGAGGAGGAGGAAGAGGAAGAGGAAGAGTACCTAATACATATGTACCTACCTACCTACATACACACACACACACATATTTCTGCGCACAATAAGTAGATGTGTTTATCATGATACCATACTTTTTTTTTTCGGATTATGGATTTTGATGCTTGAAAGTGAGACGGGAAGAAAAGAAAGAAAAGAAAAGGAAAGGAAAGGAAAGGGGGCTGTGTGATACACTACCTAGGTACCTAGGTAGGTATTATGTTTGTATAGGTACCCAAGGTTAGGTAGGTACGCTTTATTGTCTTGTTTACTTAGGTAGGTAGTAGGTAGGCACTGATATATATCCGTAGACTTCAAGCTCATTCGATGCTACGGATATGACTACAACTATTCTCGATGACTGATGGTGCTGGGGGGGTTGTGTGAATACATGTGATTGATTGATTGTACGATGCTGTCTGGGTAGGTAGGTAGGTAGGTAGGTAGAATTGCTTCATGAGATGTTGCGTACCTAACCTACCTAACCTAGGCACCTGCCTGTGTAGGGCCCTATATACGTATATACGTGTGATACCTAGAGTACGGAGCGCTCTGGATTGATAGTTTTAGTGCTATATCCATGGGTATATCTTGTATTATTGAGGTGTATACTATATAGGTACCTTGTATGTGGGCAGTACTAGGTAGGTACTGAGGCATACATGATTTACAATACCTACACAACTCAGGTCCAATCAACGACGATGGAATGACTAATGAGGTAGGTATACTTAGCTTGTAATAACGTTGCAGGGTGTACTGCAACCAAACGGGAGGAAGAAAGCGTGGTTTATCCCAGACTACGATGGCGGAATGTCAATATATGGCAGGCCTAGCGGAGTCGTGGCCCCTAAGGCACCTGCAATAAATAATAACCTAGGGGACGCATAAACAGAAAGGAGGACCCCTCCCCTTTTCTCTCGTTCGAGAGGCGCGAGCATTACGGATAGCACCCAATGTGCCTAGATATCTAGCGGCGGAGGGGGCCGGACCCCGGGATTCTCGGGGTCCAAACTCCCTAGGTGCAATTCATACAGTCATTAAATTATATCCACGGATTTTGGCAACACGAAAGCGCGCTGTATTAACGATTATGTATGTACCTCCTATCTTATGTAGTGAGAGTAGTACTTGGCTAGTACCTATTGTACTTGTACGAATACGTGTACGTGTACTTCCCCAGGCCACTCGCTCGCTCACTGACACACTCGCTCATGATCTATGAGGGAGCCGAGCCATCCATCAATCCCATCAGTAATGCCGTCCTTTTCGTGCGTCCTGAATCCTGAACGCCAACTGTGATGATGAAACATGGCGCACCAACAGAAGCATGTAACAAAAAAATAAAAATAAAAAGTGAATCCGTACTTCGTGAAGAACCTCGCTCGACAAGACAACAGAGACTGTTCGTTTACTCTCATAAAAAACAAGGATACCATAGCCTGTTATACTCATCTCTGCAATGAATGATGCATATCAGCGACATCTTGGTGGGGAGGAGCTTCATTTTGGACGACGAGTGAAAAGCCCCGGTCGGGAATAATTCGGGGCGCGGTAGAGGATGAGCCAACTTGTGCTTCGGTGGGGATGGATCGAACTCCATCTTCGCAATGGAGCTCTTCTGAATGCGAGTCAATGCTTTTTTGCTAGCTCATGGGCAGACATTGAAGAACCCCTTCATGGGATACCGTCCGATACCGTCCAAAACCACCGATGATCGCTCTTGACGACAAATGACTTATAGAGGCCCCAGTTCTGGGTGGCGAATTATTCGGTTCGATCCTTTCTGCTTCCTTTTTTTTTCCTGATCGACATTCTCACCCTATGAATCTTAGTCCTTTGGTTTTATAAGAATATCCAGCCATTCAACGATCGTATTCGTAAGCGAAACCCCCATTCCCTCGCCCCATGATGCTAAATTCCATGTCTCACGAGAGTCCGCAAACGCCAAGACTAGCCCCGGCTAGCATAAGCAGTGAAGGGATGATTTCTGATAGGAAAGTCTGGGTGTTTTGGGGTGAAAGATGACGAAGGCTGTGCAAGTTGACTCTGATGTCTTGAGCACGGCATGAACTATGCCATACTAATTGGGATAGGAACTGGGGCGGCCGCGGAGGCTTGAATGTAATCGTCCGTGTTTCTTCGGACGCCGTGACCTTGGTAGATTCTGCAGGCTTGCTAGTTTTGGCAGCGATTCTTTAGACACAAATTCATTTGCCTATGAATAGAATTGCGATTTTTGAAAACTCTCAGCAGAAATGTCCCCCGCCTTGCCAGTAACTGCAGGTGGTTGGGGGCTTGAGCTACCGAATAATGTTGGTTCGCTCTCGGCTGCCTTGATAGCTGCGATAGGCTGTCCGGGTCTTTTCGCTACCTCCAAGAATGTTGCGGGTAAATATCCAAGTCGTCCGTCCCTCGCGCGGCAGCGCCACCACTCGCTTGGGTTACCTAGGGGATCACACTTGCTGAGGACAGCAATGAAGTCGCCCTTCTTGACGGCAAGGTCAACGCCCTGGGTAGCGTTGCCAGTCTCCGGGGTGAAGTCGTATAGTACACGACAAAATTCGAGTTTACTAGGATCAAGAGACGCATTCTGGCCCGCAACCCCAAGGCGTTTACGCTCTTCTTCCTGCGTGGATGCGGCGGCGATGGAACGAATTGCCCTGCTCATGATATATGGGAGACCGAACGCTGCGAGGATGAAGAAGAGAAGGGGTTTCCTGCTGGGTTTTGATGGGCTTGAAGGACCGCTAGCACCAGTAGGTGCTTGGTGTCCCTGAAAACGAGCAAAAGACGCGGGTGTGAGTGCCATCGCGTCAACAGGTGGAGGTCGGCCCGTCACCTTGGCAAATAAAGTACGAAGCCAACGCATGAAGGTGAAAATGCCGAGAACGGATCCGAGAGTGTTGCGCAAATTGCTGAATTGCTCAGCCACGGAGACCATGGCTATTGTTTGATTAGCTAAAAGCGTACTAGGTGGCCATTTGCGATAGATTTCACACTGGATTTTACTTACCAAAGAAACTTGAATGTGTTGCCATATATGTGCTTTCCAGCATCTGGGCAAAGCCACCAAAGGCACCAACAAATCCTTCGAGCATTTGAAAGGTAGCTTGGGTGCTGTTGTTAAAGCTGCTAGTCAAGCTGTTGGGATTGTTCGGGTCGTTTGGCATCATTCCCGGCATACCGCCGTACATGCCTCCCCCATACATGCTGCCGTAACCCCCCATGCCTCCCATTGTTCCCATACCTCCCATCGCGCCATAACCACCATACATTCCGCCACCCATTCCGCCACCGTAGCCCCCATATCTAGAGTAGGGAGATTGGTAGGGGCTGTATGCGGAATTGTATGGTGCGCGACTGTACGCTGACGCATTCTGGTTCACGGTCGAGTTCAGGGAGTCGGGACGAGGAGGGATAGCTGGAGTGCCAGTGGCAGAAGAAGCACCAGTAGGACTTGTTGATGACGAGGTCGCGACAGCATTTGAGTTGGTAGTTGGAGGTAGATTTACACCGGTGGCCGTTGCTGATGGTGTAGCTACATTAGATAGGTTAGCTACAAAGATGTGTACGAAGATTTCGGCCAACTGGTGTTATTAACACGTGAAATGGATGATATCCATGAATGTTTTTTCGACTTACTAGTAGAACCACCACGCTCCCAAGGTTTAGGCGGTGACGCCATTTCAATTGAAAGAAGTATAAAAAGGTTTCAAGAATTTGAATATAATAAAATATAATGTTAAAAAAGACAACGGTTTGCAAAAGAGTGATGATTGAAAAACGGCCTCTACAAGAGAGTGTGAGTGAGAGACGGGAAAAGGTCAAAAACGGCCTCGGCCTCGGTATTTGTTCATGATTGAACTTGGGGAACTTGGAATTTATTGGTCTTTTGTTTCCTTTTCGGCTGCGGCAAGTAACTACTAGGTACGTACCTAGTAACTACAGTAAACCTTGGCCATAACGATATGGAAAAAACACCACTCTTAATTCGTTATAGAGAGGTATCGTTATGTAGAGATGGACCCACTGTCATGGTCCGTGTAATGCCGTTGTACCTTTACTGCCATTTTATTGGAAAAGGTACTTACTATTTTATGAAAAATATTGTACAATAGATATTATGCAGTAAGCCAATTTTTCGGCGATTAGATATCGTGGCGGTGATTAGATTTACCTGAAAAAAGGACAGTTTAATTGGCTACCAAACGCAAAATTCCACTTATTCCACCAAAAAATTATCAAAATAAACGGTTTTTTACACATGGTCCATAACGATCTTGGTGGTGGCGGTCAAAAAATTAACGATATATCGCTAAGGTTAAAATATCGTTATTTCCCATACAAAATTGCAATGTTCCCAAAATTATATCGTTATACAAAAATATCGTTGTCTACCGAATCGTTATGGCCAAGGTTTACTGTACCTACCTGGTAGTTCCAAGTTACTACCTACCTAGTAGTAGGTAAGAAGTACATGCGCTTTGTACATGAACGCCACACAAGCTAGGTGCACGGACTTCTAGACTACACAAGGCATTTGACACGTGACTCGTTATATAATCACATCGTCAAATATTAACCATCCGATGCAATACTACAATCAAATAGTTACCAACGCTATCAATAAAATACCAACCGCTACTCATACTCAACTAATCTATATATCCACCCTCACTTCTCAGTCTCCGTCCTTGTCATTCTTCTTGCTCGCTTCTTAATATAATCCGGCACGTGCCAATTAATAGGGCTCTCCGCTCCAACAAAAACAAATATATCGTAAACGATGCACCCGATGATAGATCCCCCCACAGTGGAAAGCCACGGCCCGAAGAGCCACCACCCTGTCTCCCAAACCTCCTCGCCACGGTACCCGACCGCCCAGGCCACAACCCTCGGCCCAAAATCCGAAGCTGGGTTAAGTGCTGACCCGGTGTTATAGCCCAAGGCAAACTTCAAACTTGTGCACAATAGCCCAAGCAACTATGTTAAGTATCGTGTTAGCATCTTTGTCTATCGGATATCGTGGACAGGAAGGATAGTTATCTTACCAAGATTTGCGTGCCAGTACCGTGCTCACGATTACGAAGATCGGACAGTGCACAAACCGCTATCATCATTATAGCACTGCCCACCACCTGGTCGAAGCAGGCCGTTCCCATTGAAACCCATTCCTGCGGACTCGAGAAGAACGTCTTAGCTGTGTTGGTCATTGTAGGGTTAATATGGCGAATCGTGTCCTTGTAGATACCAAAGGCTAATGCCCCTGCCACGATGGCCGCAATTAATTGCACAAACACGTAGATGACGCACAAGCGCCCGGGAAACTTGCGGAACAATGATAAAGAAATTGAAACAGCTGGGTTCATGTGTGCACCCGAAATGTCATAAGCAAGCCACATGCCAAACATCCACGCAATCCCCCAAGCCTTGAAAATATGCCACGTTAGTTTCTTATCTGATCTGATTTCCGAGCTTACAATAAATAGATGGGGGTGAGAACTGAGAGAGCATTCGGCGGGAGGGGGAAATAAAAAAAAAGGGGGGGGGAGGGTGAATTTGTTTGGGACGCCATATTCCTTATACTTACCCAGCACGTCGTGTCTATCCCCAGATTAGTATGCCTATGTAATATCATGGATTCTTTCGAGTCCTAGGCAACTCAGGGCTAGATTTCAACTTATGGTACTTACCATAAGTACCGTACTTTTTATCCTGGTTCGAAGACAGGTTCACCGAAAGGGTGGACGCCAATCCGAGGAAACAAGATGTTCCAGTCTATGGGTCGAGTTAACTCTGTCTCCAAGAAAAGTTGCCAGGGGCGACACATACCGCCAGAAATTCAGCCAACGGCTCGCGATGCTTTACTCGTTGGCGAGCCCACCAGTTGCGAGGTTTAGTTGGGCCTTCCCCTTCTGGGTCCGCATCACCATCGGCTTGCTCGCCTAATAGCTCAGCGTCGGAGACGGGCCGTCTAGCTCCATTGCAATTGCACCCGCAACAATGGCCGGCACCAGCGGCTGTTCTAGGCCTCGTGGCTGTGCCCTCCGATGATTCTTGGGCATGAATGCCAGCCTCACCAAGTTCTGCCCGGTCCTCCGCAGATTGGCGTGGGGGCTTCCTAGAGTGCACATCGGCGGGCTTCCACTCCCCTTGACGTACTATGCACGGGGTTGGTAGTACAACACTCCAGACTGGCCTCATCCTTGCCGCAGCACTATATTCGTCCAAGTTATAAAGATACCCCTGGACCCAGACTGCTTTCGGCGGTGGCTCCCTGGGTGGTGGTGTTCGTGATCTTAAAAATCGGCTTCGTCGCCCTTGAGGTTTGGGACTTTGGGCTTTGGGTGTAGTTTTGTGAAGGCATTGGTTGAGGCATGGTGTAGTGTCGGATGCCTTCACATCATGTTGGGATTCTACAACATCGTGACTTTTTCGGGGGGTGCAGTCTACCACGGGTTCGCACTCCTTTGAAGCCATAACACTGAAAAGAGGCAATGTTCTAAGTCAAGAAGATAGAAAAATAAACCAATTAAATGTAAGATATGGATAGACATGAAGCGTTGTGTATTTTCTAGGATTCGACGGAAGAAATGCCACCTCTGCAGCTTATATACAAAAAATGCAGTACGGTCAGGGCCTTCCTCATCTCGAAAACTTCCAAGGTTAAGCTGGGAACGACCTAATGACATCTTTCGAGGTGACGTGAGGCGAATCTAAAATACCTAGGACGATGGTTGGACTTTACCTACCTGGTAAACTATCTCGAGAGTTTACCAAGCACGAAGGGTCAGTGTGTTTGTACTGAGTACCTACCTAGTACCTATGCCTCTAAGCGGACTATCTGCTCCGCCAGCAACGGAAAGAGAAGCCCATACAAAGCGTCAACTGCGTAGGTCGGCATGTAGAAGCCTATTCAAGTTTTGTCTCAACCTGCTTTCCAACTTACACACTGGCACCCCTTTACTCACCATTGAACGTTATTTTCGAGATCGAGCTACACAGAATCTCGGTAGACGACAGGTTCATCTTCGATTATATGCACCCTCCCCTTCCGCAAAGGGAATTTGTGTTTACACATGTATCACCACCACCCTGCCGGGCGGAAAGCTCAGCTTGGTTATCTACCTACCTAGGGTAGGTAGCGCCCCTTAAGTCAATGTTTTCCTTCCACGGAAAACTCTGAAGATACTACATACCAAGGTACCTAAGGTAACTCCAACCAAAAGTGTGGCGACATGATGTCTCTGCTAAGGCTAGCACTGGGGGTATCGAAAACTCTTTCCAGCGGCAGTCGATACCTACATATCATTCTTCGGTGACGTCGTGGGACCTACCGGGAGTTTGTTTCCCAAGTCAAATGCACTAATTGCCCATGCGAGTCTGGCATCAAAGAATGCTCTGTGCCTGACTACGTAGGTTAGGTACATGCTAAGGTACCTAGGAGGTGCTCGCCATAATGAAGCAACTACATGTATCTACCATCGGTGCCTACCCAATACGTACCTGGCCAAATACATATGTAATCTCGCAGCTTCACGAAATGCTTCTACATTCTCGTGCGCTTTGCGCTTGGGCTGCCGCATCCCGTTGTTTGTGGCCTAAGTGACGGAGGGATACCTAATCGTATGCCTATCGACATACATATGTAGGTACTTGCAAGATACGAGAGTTCCCCGGCAGCCTGATGAATGTGAGTTTAATCTATTACTATTTACTGACCTATGGTGCACTGAGTTGAGGTGTAATTTGGGCATTTCCAGTTGACAAGTGACAAGTATCACTTTCAGGAGGACAAGGTTATATATACTCCGATTGACTGATTTGGTGGAATATAAAGGGGTGGGGGGAAAGGGGTTGGTGGCCTACTCGAATGAGCCAAGGTTAAGTGCTGAGGCCAACCTTACTGGTACATACTACATAGTAGTATGTATGTAACTTCAACCACGGACAACACATAATGTTTGCTGAACTACCTCTGTTTAGCTTTTCACCATTGCCAGTGCTATGGAGGTACTTACTTACCACATGCAAGCTAATAGTGATATATCATCAGCACTTGGTTACTACATAGTAGGTACCTACCTAGGCAGTAGCTTCAATACTTGGAAGGTTGACTCCTTGAATACTTACAGCTGCACCAAAGTTCCTACTGACCGTCTAGACAGAGCAAGAGCATTGAAACTTGATGACGTTGTCCTTGAGCCTAGGTTGGCAGGCACAATGACATCTAAGTACCTACCCAGACAATGTACAGCGACGACCTCAATGTTCCTGCCCCACGAGCTTTCGAGACAACGCACAATGACGCTACGGGTTGCACAGTGGAACATTTCGGTGGCTCTCAAGGGTCACTACCATGGCGCTTCCGAGTGCGCTTGCCGCTTCTTGGTTATGACATCTATCTATCGCTACTGCCATCTACGATCGCTAGTAACAGTGATAATTCGAAATTTGGAAAAGAGTCAAGACACCTGAACCTTATTCCATGGCGTGTAATGTACATTGTTTCGTCTCGAAACAAGCTCGACACTTACTGCTCTCCTGAGCTTTCTTTCCTATGATCTGACCATGGACGGCCTTTCTTTAAAGCTCTACTACTGCCTACGCGCTTAGGTAGGTAGGCACAATCTTAGGCGATAGTCAAGGCAAACTATGGACAAACTTTGGCAATGACCTCTATCCTGTTTCCCTATACAGGATACGAGCATGAAAAAAAAAAGCAAGTAAGGTGCATCTCTCGAAGATAGATGGTGACTACCTGAGGATATATTGTTCTAGTTAATAGCCAAGCAACCTCGTCCAAGCGTGGCAACGACTTACTAGCAGCTCTGCGAGAGAAAGAGCCCACGACGTGTCCATGCTTGAAGCAATAATCCCAAAAGAATCTGACGAAACATATTGGGGTTATGGCCCTAGGCTTATGCTCATAGTGGGTCGAACTGATCTATCAGGGATAAGGGGAGTTGCCCTCGACGTCGCGCAAGGTGGGACGCACACTAACAATATCTAGGATTACCTCGCTGGGATGCGATGTTGGCCTCAGCTTCACTGGTCTTGCGACAAGTGTAGTCGCACGGAACACTGGATCTGTCTCGGGAATATCCCGAGACCATGCGCAGAGCCTCACGATATCTAATCTCTTATGTACCCGGTAGGTAGGGATGTGGAACAAGCACCCGTGCTTTCACTTTCTTCAACCACTACGGCTTCTCATGAAATCCTCGCCGAGGCGTGAGCTGGAACTTACATGAGGTTTTACTGTAGTACGACACATGGGAACCGGAGTCAAAAGCAGTTTACGCACGAAAATGCTTACTACACGCGCAACGAAGCAGAGGGATATATGGCGTGGAAGGAATGCGAAGGAGATAAAAATAAGGTACGCTGGTACCATATTAAAAAGCAAATACTGCAGAATCAGATATCATCTTCATATGCTGGAGGACATGTGGTTAGGTATACTGGCAAGAAAAAAAAACATGGCTGCACTTTTTATATCCAGCAATGGGGGGAAAAACAAGGGGAGAAAGCAAAATCGAATCGCGCATTGAATTAATAACGTCCGCCGCCATTCCCCGTCCCTTTCCTCCCAACCCGGATCAGATCAGATCACTCCTATGCTACACCATACATCGACCACCGGTTTCCACCCCCTTCATTCTCTCGTCACACCTTCCCCGCCCCGTGTCTTCCGTGGTTTGACATATAGGTACCTAAGAATTTATAGGAATTTATAGCGCACCAAACGTCATCAAGCTGAGGAGGCTGAACTCCTTCTCATCAGCGACCATATCCTCGACCTGGTCGGATGTCAAGCTCGTGGGGAAAGCGAAGTCATCAGAGAGGACCTTGATGGAGGCCGTCGAGGACGAGGCCTGGAAGACGAGGGCGACGTTGATGTACTTGTCGACGGGGCGGTCGAAGTAGTGAGAGTCGCCGGTGCCGGCCGCGAAGTGGAACGTCGACTTGGCCTTGGTGTCGCCGGCGCGTAGGACCTCGAACACGTCGACCTCACCGCAGCCGCCCTCAATGGGGGAGCTGTTGTCGCCCTTCCAGCAGCTGCAGCCACCGTATTGAGCGGTACGGGTGATGCCGCCGTTGAGCAACCACCATGCGGGCATGTCCTGGTTGAAGCCCGTTTTGCCAGTTAGCGGCATCTTGAATTTGGCGATGAAGACCTTGGTGGGTCCGGACCAGCCCTCTGTACAAAGAAACCCAGGTTAGTATCAATCAATCTTCTTTTCATTAAGAGGTGGAATATGCGTACTGTAAGCGACGGAACCGGGGCGGATGGTACCGCAGTCATCGGCGCCGCACTCAACGTCGGAGGCAATGATGATCTCGGTGTTGTCCGGGAGGACGGCATCCTTCAGAACGGTGGGCGAAGCAGCGGCCTTGGTGCCGTCTTCGTTGGCTAGAGCCAAAGAAGCACCCCAAACGCTATAGACAGGTCAATATTATATTCCTATGAAGAGCGAGCGCCTTCTCTCCTTCTTTTGAGGGACATGTTGATTATTGCACTTACGTGTCAAAGGTACCAGAAACGGCATCGTCACCAACGTTACCGAGGAAAACGAGGCCGTCGGCGACCTGCTCCGCAGCGTTGTAGTACGCAGCGCGCTTGAAGTCACCAACATCATCGAAGCTGGTGTCAGCGGATGCGGAAGCAGCAGCGGCCGCGGTAGTCTTGGAAGACTTGGCAGAGGTAGCGGCGGTGGTGCCGGCAGCATACGTGGCGGCAGAGGCCTTGGCCGTAGCAGTGGCGGCAGGGCCGAAGTAGTTGTTCTCCCAGGTCTGCACGACGCCGTTGATGACAGCGGTGACCATCTCGGCGCGCTTCTCGAGCTCGAGCTCGGCCTCGGCCTCGTTCTCTCCATCTTCGACCTCAGCCTCAACCTCGGTCTCCTTCTCCTCGGCTTCAACCTCTACCTCGGCTTCGACCGGGTGCTTCTTGTGGTGAAGGTGCTGGTGCCCGTGGCGCTTGTGGTGAGGGACGTCCCGCTTCGTGTAAGGCTTGGCGACGTCACGCTTCTTGCCTGTGGCGACGGGCGTGAAGACGGCGAACTCGGCCAGGTTGCAAGGGCCGCGGAAAATGGCCATCAGCTAAGAGGATGGGTTAGCTATGTGGGGAGAAATTTGTCGCACGGAGGTTGTCTAGTGAGTGTTAGGTTAGGTTAAGTAAATTATACTGACATCCTCGTCGAAGGGCGCGATGGGACCGGAATACGGCTTGTCCTTGTACGTGCACGCTCCGGACTTGTCCATGGAAGCGACGGCTCGGTACTTGCCGGGGATGTCGAGGCCGGAGTACTTGATCTGCTTGACGGGGTTCGGGCAGAAGAAGTTGCCGAACTCGTTGAAGGCGTCGTCGCAGAAGCCAGCGTTGGCGACCGAGGCCGCAGCCACGGCGATCGCGGTCGAGTATTTCATGATGAGCTTGATTTTACTCGAATTACCGATTCTAGGGATGAACGATGTTTCTTTCTTTTATTTCTTTCTTCCTTTTTTTCTCCGCGTAATCTGTCCTAATTATACTTGTCCGTCGTATAAAACGGGGGCTCCGGGGAAGTTCGAATAGCCTACTGTGGTGTATATGTATGTTGGGAAAAGAAGGTGACGAGCAAATACACCGGTGTCAGTCGAGTCGCAAAACAATGAATGAAGCGAATCCTTTCTTTCCACCTGACGTGAATTGAATTGCTTGTTTGTTATTTATTTTAAGGAGTGGCTTGGTGAAGAATTCACCAGTGACAATGAGTGACTCAAGCAACAGAAGTTACTTTCCGGGCGTAAAGAAAGACCAACGACAATGAAGACCAAAGCGTCGAAAAAAATCTAAACGGGATGAGAGAGGGAGGGGAGGGATGGGATGGAGATATGGGTATAGGTTATGGGTATTATTATGAATAAAATGGATGAATGGAGTTGCGTGGGAAAGGGGGTGGATTAATTGGAGATTAAAGACCGAGCAATTCAGGGACTTGGCGAACCCTGGCAGGCCTATCTGGAGGGCGTGGATTGGGTAAATAGTGTACCTGTAATTGTACAATACTATGTATGTAAGCACTGGGCACAGTACTAGGGAAAAGGTACAATACCTTGAATTAGGATTAGGAGGGGGGTGTGAGAACAGAGAAAAAGAGAGAGAAAAAAAGTTGGTTTCAAAGACTGAACGCCACCAGGAACAAGTGTTCCCATGGGATATCATCAATATCATTGGCGAGGGAAGCCATTAGTGTAGGATGTAGTCGCGAAAGGGGGGGGGCCAAGGATTGGCTTGGGGGTAAGTTAGACTACGACTACACACACTAGAAAAAAGTTGGTACCTGCATCTTGCATGAATTCGGCATGCAGGTTGTTGCTCAGCAGTCCAGTTAGTTAGTTACCATGCAGTCATGTTGTAGGCTTGTAGCAGCCATGTTGTAACCATGCGGCTTTGTTGGATACAGTATTAATAGGTTATCTAGTAGAGAGCAGGTTTCCAAGTTGTGCTACAATGTTAGTATTTACTAACTTACTATTAGCACTATTCACTGCCATTTATGACTGTATGCTAGGTATATAAAGTAGACGGACATAAACAGACTGTAGATACTAGACAGACACTGACAGACAAAAGCAAATGGATTATCCCAAAATGGAATACATAGTAAGATTAGGTAGGGGGATCTGCGGCTACGTTAACATTATAACTGCTCTAGGTAATCATGTCCTATCATGGTCCAGGAACCATTAATAGAAACACGCCTCCCCCATCCCCTTTTTTTCTTCTTCTTCATTAACTAACTAGTGTAGTTATTCCCCTTTCATTCCATGGATCACGATGGACCACACGACAGGCCTTACTGTCACAACGCTACGACGCAACACTTCACTCTTCCCAAATAGTGTAGTTAACAACCCACTCGGGACTAATATTGCGATTTCTGGTCAATGCAAGAAAAAGAGAAAAGAAATCTGATAGGACGGTTCTTCCCCTGGATTCCCCAGTACCAAGCTTTTAAATTATGGAACATCTTTTTTTTTCTGAAAATCATCTAGATCACGACACTGACAGAATCATACCTACCTAGTACCTACATAACGAACAAGCCTAGCTAGACTAGCTTCTCAGTCTAGTAAAATCAGATATCCAGATGGGAAAGTCTTTTTTCTTAGCTTTTCCTTTTTCTGTTTTTTCGCTAGGCTTGTTTTGTGGACAGCGACGAAAAGAGACTTGCCTAAAACAACGTTAGTTGAGTTTTGTTATGTTACTATTTTGCAACTTTGCAGCAATGAGCGACCAACCTGTCACGATTCACCAGGTGTAAATATGCAGTTCACCTACTGTACGCCGTAAAATTACACCTACCGACCTACCGACCTAGGAAGTAACTATGTAACCTCGACTACTCCCAGCCAAGGCTTCTAGTTAGCGCTCCGGACCCTGAAACCTCCCAGAATAGGGCAGGCCAAAGCCTCTCTCTGCGCCTCTTGGGTTTAATGAGGGGAGCAGGATAGCATATGATAGGTGGGCGGGTAGGTAGAAGTGAGAATCGCATCGCATCGCATTGCAAATGGCTGATGGCCAGAACAGAGACCAGACGAAAACCAAAACGTCCCAACTGGCAAAAAAAGAAAAAAAAATATGAAAAAATACCTAAAAAACACCGAATTGTAAAATTTCTAATCGACTAGCTCTACCAACGGACTGATTGTAGCGCGCTTGTCAACACGTCATCCTGCAGATTGCAGATGTCGTGGCCGTTTGGGATCGTTGGTTGGCCATGGAGCGAACGCCCTCGGCGCCATTACGTTGCCTCATACTTACTTGCTTCCGTACTTGTACATAGTAACTAACTACTGTTTACTGACCTGAAATGCAAGCTGGGCCTAATGGAATTGAATACCGAGATTGTTTGCATTCCCCATGCCTTTAGTGCCTGCGTCGATTTCGCGCGTGACGCATGTGGCTTGTCGTTTCGTCGTCTCTCTCCTATTTTATGTATTTGCTTCCTTCAACAAGCGCCAGGGCGACAAGTAAATATAGTCTAGTAGGTAGGTATGTACAGTAGCATCGTTTTCTTTACACCCCCCTCCGCATTTTTGAAATGATGGCAATCTTACTTTACACAGCAGCAACATGGTTCAGTTGAGGTTCCGATAGGGTTGGCTGCATCCCGATCATTAATTAACTACTTAATTATGTCCCCGACGAACAGACAAAGAAACCTCCAATCGCCCCCCCCCCCGTCTGGTCCCGCTTCGGTTGTTGCAGGCAGGTACCCGGGATTCTTCGATATACTAAGACATTCAAGCCATGTGGTAGGATGTGAGTTGTACTACATGAATAGTAACTACGTATATAATATCGTGGGCTTCGACGTCATGGTCCTATCAGGTGTCCGGAGGTGACTGAGAAAGGAAGGGGATTCTTGCAATGTGACTGGGGATGCTTGTCTTCTTATGCCATCCCTTTCTGAGCACTATGAGTATGTACCTATCTAGGTAGGTTACCTAACCGTAGGTACAGTAGGACTAGGCAGAATGCAGATAATACCAAAACCCGAAGAAAGAATCGCTAGCACTGCCGGGGGCATGGATGAACCTTGACCGGAACATTCACATGTCTCGTTGTCAACTGTGGTTTTATTTGCTAGAGATATGCCGGTATATTGGACTCTGTGTTTCGATGGATAAGAGCCAACATCAATTAAATACAAAAAGACTGGTATCATAAGAATAATTCATAAGTCATCATATTATTACCCCTTTCATCATCGTAGCCCTTGTTCCCCGTCCCCCTCCAGACCAGCTGCAGACGAGATATTCATATACCTATACAATCGCAAGACGTTACACCGAAGCCGTAGCCTCAGACGGGCGCCGAACCTCCTGGTTAGATTTCACCGGCGACAGACCAACGCCACCGTCCTCTCCTCCATCCTGTCTAGTCCACAGCGTCGTGGCCTCCGAGTGGAACGGTTCGAACGGGTTTACCGCTCTGCGCTCCTGGCCCTTGGTCCTGGGCACGTTCTTCATGACCTCCGGCTTCGACGACGGGTTCCTGCCCATCAGCTGCCGGACCAGCGGCCGCAGCATGGGCACCGACGCGCAGATGAGGCCCAGGCTCGACTCGAGCGTCGTCCAGATCGCGAACGCGAACGAGTCCCACTGCGCGTAGCGCGGGTTGAGGAACTCCCACGCCACCGCCATGCGCGTCAGCGACGCGCACGCCACGAAGATGCCGAGCGTCAGCACGAACGCGAGCGCCGCCTTCTGCCGCCCCGGCAGGTGCATCTTGAGGATGTGCGGCAGCACCAGCCCGATCAGCAGCAGGTCCGTCGCCGTGTGCAGCGCCGCGGACGCCGTCATGATCGGGTAGTACGGCAGGCAGCGGCCGACGCGGAAGTCGAACTCGTACACGCCTTCCAGCGGGTTGCAGAGGAAGAAGGTGAGGAGGAAGAAGACGGCGCCGTACACGGTCACGCAGGCCATGGTGGCGAAGACGACGAGCCGCTGGTACGGCAGCTTCAGGATCCGCAGGTAGAAGAACAGGATGCTGATCTTGGTGAGGACCAGGCTGACCTGGTAGCAGCTTATCGTCGCGTAGGAGAGCCGGATGCCGACCGGTCGGAGGTGGAGAGGGATAAACTCAAACTTGTGGCCGAGGCCATACTCGGTTTCGACGCCCACGACGGCGACGACGGCGACGGCGAAGAGCCAGGCGACGAAGATGGACGCATCGTCCCACCACTGGTTCTTTAGCAGCAGCCGAGAGTAGAGGCGGCCGATGACGACGAAACTTGCGATCACGAGGGGAGTGACGATTCCCGCTAGAATGGAAGGGACCTCGGACGGGCCCGTAAGCTGTTGTGATATGGCGTAAGTACTTGTAGTTACCAGCCAACCAAACTTTATACAAGGTATGTGATTTATGATTACATGATAATTACACGAGAATACCGACAGAATGGTATTCAGGGTCAAAAATGGGGTGGATTGTCTTACCTGTTGTGGAGGCGGTAGGGCCATATGTAGAGCATAGCTTCCGCGCTTCTGCGAAGAATTAATTACATACAAGGAGGAATGGGATGGATGGGGGAGGAGAAAAAAACCTTTCGTAATGGTCTCCCCTTTTTACAAAAAAAAACGACGGAGATGGGATCGATCTTCCCAAAGGACTACGCCGCTTCTTTTAAACCAAAACTTGTCCAAGAAATATAAATGAAAAAAACAATATGGTGCAGGAGATCTTCTTCCCTCTCCCCTCTCTAGAGTGCCATCCCGCCATCATGGATGACACAGGCTTGTCAGCCACACACCGGCGATCCATCCCTCCATCCAGTCAGTACGCAGTTTACGAAAGTGCTATAGTTGGAAGCAGCTCACGAATCATAATTCCAGAGAAAACTTCGCCTAGAGCTAGCTGCTCACTTTTTTCTTTTAGTGTGGCATGATGTGTTCCAACCAATCCGGCGTTAGTAATAAAGAATGTGCTTGGGTTTGGAAGCTTGGGAACGTAGCATTCGGCAGGATGGTAAAGTACATACAATCGATACTGATAACTTATGTGCCTGTTATATAGTACTATTGACCTAGGTAGGTATTTACCAAGCCTAATACTCCTACGCTTACATACTACCTACTGTAGTGTCTACATATAATACTATGTTATACAGACGGGGGTTTCACCTCCAGTTAGTTATACCAGTTAGTTATATAATACTATGGCAAAAGACCATCGCCAAGAATGCGGGAAACGGGCCAATCCCTCGTGAGAATCACACATATCACACGTGCAGTACGGAGTACCGTCCCATAGCCCTGACTCCTGAGCATCGGGATTCTTATATAATACGATATAATATTTCTCACACACTCACACACTTACTTACACACACCCTTCCAAAGATTTTTATGTCCGACTGTCCGAGTATTAGTCCGTCTAAATAAAGAACTCAACCCATGCTACCTAGTGGATTTTCGGTATCGCCACCACCAAACCCCAGACCAGAGGGCTCAAATATCTGGAACACCAACCATTTTCTGCATACATAGTGCTATCGATCATCGCATGTGGTGACAGAGCCTTGCTGAGCCTTGTCTCACCACATACCTAGGTAGGCAATGACTTACCTGAGTCTGAAGTGCCTCAATCGTAAAATCGATTGACCTAGGTAACCTACCTAGGTTAGGTACCTTACGGGAGCAAGTAATAAGTATGCCTACCTATCTATATCGATCCTTCACGAGTTTCATAGTTCGAACCCGGGCCTCAATCATCATGATAAATGAGCCAGGAATAGAATCCTAGCGGAGGGTGGTTTGGTTTACCTATCCCCCATAGTGTACAATACCTAGGCGAGCTCAATCGCCCCTCTCCCGCTACCAAGATCCCCCCATATTGGGGGCCATACCTACGTAGTTAGGTACCCAGGTATAGATGTTGTATTGCACATAACTAGTATAAATAAACCTTCCTCGAGGCAACTAAGGTCAGGAAACAAGACACCGGCGACGATCCAATAGATTAGCGAACGCTGAATGGACAGCGGGCGCCGAGAGACTTGGCCTCATCGTCCTGCTGCAACTCGGGCCCACTGATAATATTCCTTCGAAAACCGAAAAAAACCCCCCCCCCCCGGGACTGACTTATTTACCTACCTAACCCTTGGGTAACAACCTAGGTTACTATGTGCCTAGGTATGCGTTTAACTAAAAAATCTCAATTTCGACACGGGCGCTTCTTTAGAGCTTAGTTTTACGTCTTGGTATAATACCTACCGCCAAGCGTCAATTTAAAGCCGACTGTGTGTCCCCGTATCATGAGTTGAGTTTAGTTAGTCTCCATGCATCAGTGCGGCAACGAAGAAACTTATGTAGCGACGAAAGAGGGATGCTTAGGGGGTGTTGTAAGCGGCTGCTTGGCTCGATTGAGCTCTGTGATAATATCGACGACCGACTCTTGTGTGTGTTTTTTTTTGGTGATATGGCGAGATGGGCGATCGAGGTCTTTCTACCTTATCATGCCAACCTACCTACTACATGCACAATACCTATACACTTGCTAGACAGCCATCGTACTATCTACCTAGGTAGACTTGTTGTGATGTCAAGAGAGAGGGTCGGTGGGATCAAAGGATTGGATGGAAGCTGGCTGAGACTTGGTATTCAGTAGAAATCGAGTGTTCTGGGCTTGCGACAGTGGTGAGTGCTCATGTTGATGGCAACCTGGAAAAGGAAGCATCTCACGACATTGATTTGAGATGAGATAGGATCGGAATATCGTAGGTGGCCCTTGGCATAGTTAGGAATCCTCAGTTTGCTAAATATCACAACTAGGTGTAGGTAGCTGTTGTTAATACATGTGTCTTCATTTTCCTAGACTCAAAATGAGATGTGAAATTTGGTATGTACTAGTAGTATGTTCTTAGGTACATAACTACTCATGAACGAACTACGACGTTCAAAGAGCTCGCCATGCTACTACGCGACCCGATACCATCCCGCCTATCACGCATCAAATGGACATAAAGTTGGACATGAGGAGTATCGCGCACAACGTCTAGATCGCTCAAAAGAGGGTTGCTGGGCCTTTTTTTGGGAAGAAAGAAAGGGAAAGGAAAGAGAATCTAGAATCTTTAGATCCAACGACAAACGGGAAATCCTCGATTTTTATACTTGCAGCAGAACCGCAACACAATTTCGGCTCCTCGCATATAAGCGAAGAAAGATAAGGATTCATCATCTGAATCAAATCTGAATCATAGAAATGGCTCATCGCTACGTTACGCAACATCAACACCGAGCTAACCTAGGAATTCAAGCATTCGGTCGAATTCGTCGGCCTCTTACCTCCTAGTTAGTTCCTTAGGCCAAGTGTGAAGTAAGACCTTTAGGGAACAAAAGCCGATGACAACTTTCTGATATTTTATATGCTACAGTGTAGGTATGAATCAGCATATAACCCTTCAGCTGGATAATGAAGAAATGAAAGAAAACGCACCCCCACTCGAACCCGACATGGTGGCTTGCGGCCCCGATTACGCCATCGGAGACGTCAATCGTGAGATCGACTTTAAGACCCGGTAGGGCCAATCACACCCGCGTAAATCCACGAGAAACCTAGCTTTAAGGGCTATCACGACAGCGAACCCCCGTCATGGCGACGTCGAAGCTACTCGCCTGGTTATCAAATCGGAGTTCGTGCAGCGCCGTAAGCCAGTCCATCCCTCCTCTCCCATGTGGTCGAGACCCCATACAAACCGGACGTAAGGTTGGAAACAAAATAATACTGGTTATCTTGTTTTCTTAGCTTGTATTGACTTGTTTCCTTATTCATAAAGGCCTTGATGTCCCTTCCTTTGGTACGAGTATCTAGGAAGTTACGATGGTCGGGAGTAGGATACGGATTTTTATTCTCATTCTAGAATTGCCTACCTCACATACCTGCCTACCTAATCTACCTTAGGTACCTAGGCAGCCAGTCGCCAGCATGTCCGAGCTAATTTCCACGCCACCGAAAGAGGTGGTGGTGATCGAGTCCTCGCGCGACGCCTCCGGATCCTCCCATAGCAGCAACGACAACGGTGAGGCTGGAGAGAAGGCCAAAGTGCCATGGTGGGGGTACATCTGGGACTACGAGCCGGGGCGGACGCGGGAGGAGCGGGTGTTCGTGCAGAAACTGGACGTGTTCCTGGTGACGATGCTCTCGTTCGGGTACTTCATCAAGAACCTGGACCAGACCAACATCGGCAACGCCTTCGTCAGCGGCATGAAGGAGGACCTGGCCATGAACGGCAACGAGATCAACCTCGTCGACGTCGCCTGGACCGTCGGCTACGTCGTCGGCCAGATCCCATCACAGATTATCTTAACGAAAGTCCGGCCCTCCGTCTGGGTCCCGACCTGCGAGCTCGTCTGGACCATCCTGACCTTCTGCCTCGCCGCCGCCAAGACCTCCAACCACGTCATCGCCATCCGCTTCTTCGTCGGCCTCGCCGAGTCCTCCTTCTACCCGGCCGCCCACTCCATCCTCGGCTCCTGGTACAAGCCGTCCGAGCTGGGGAAGCGCGCCTGCATCTTCCACGCCTCCTCCGCCGCCGCGAGCATGTTCTCCGGCTACCTCCAGGCCGGCGTGTATAAGGGGCTAAATGGCGTTCATGGTTTCGCGGGCTGGCAATGGCTATTTGTGCGTTTCTCATATTTCTCTCTCCCCTCCCTCCTAGGTTAGTGTCATTGAAATCAGCACAGTAGCTAATACGCCCTATCATATAGATCATGGACGGAGTTATCAGTCTCCCGATTTGCATTGCGGGATACTTCATCCTACCCGATCTCCCGGAGAACACCAAGGCCTTCTATCTGAGCGAAGAGGTAAGTCTTCCGTCTCCACCAGCCCTAGTATGATAAGTCAGCTCGCTCACTATGAAAATTACAACAGGACCGCACTATGGCTAGAACCCGTATGGAGAAAATCGGACGCGCGCCTCGAACGAGGTTGGGGCGCTCGGCATTCAAGCGTATATTCGGTATGCAACTCCTATCTATCCCTTTTCTAACTCCCTCGCACTCAACAGGGAAAAAAAAAAGCTAATTAATATCTATAGGCCGATGGCACGTGTACCTTCTATCGATCTTGTACATAATCTTCATCAACATCGGCCCATCGTCAAGCATCAACCCCATGGCTCTCTGGCTCAAGTCCAAGGGCGAGTCCGTGGAGCGCATAGTGAGTCACCCCCTTTTCTCTCCCTCTCTCCCTTTCTTTCCCAGCACCCCCTGACCAAAGTTCACCATACTAACCTCTCAACAGAACCTCATCCCCACCGCCTCCTCCGCCGTGCAACTCGTGCTCACCGTGACCTTCGCCATCATCTCGGACGCCCTGCGCCGGCGCGCCGCCATAATGTCCGTCTCCACCTTCCTCGGCGGCTTCGCCGCGCTGCTCCTCGCGATCTGGAACATCCCCACGGGGCTGAAGTGGTTCGCCTTCCTCCTGCAGAAGGCGTCGGTCCCCTACGGGCCCCTGAGCATGAGCTGGGCGAACGAGATCTGCGGCGGCGACGCCGAGGAGCGCGCCATCGTCATCGGCATCATGAACACGCTCGGCTACGCCTTCAACGCGTGGGTCCCGCTCCTGACGTACCCGCAGCTCGACGCGCCCACCTTCCGCAAGGGCTTCGTCTTCTCGACCGTCGCGTTCGCGGCGCAGGCGGGCATCACCGCCACGGTCGCGGCCATGTACAAGCGGGATTTGAAGAAGGCCGGCAGGAACTTGAGCTTGGAGCAGGAGGCGGTGGATCGGGAGAGGAGGGTTGCGGATGAGGAGGGGGTTGCTTCGTAGGGTTGTATACCTAGGGGTATGTATTGTACCTAGCAGGTATATAGGTACCTATATAGGCGCCTCCTGAGGTGTTTTAGTGTACATGGTGAGAGATATAGGCGTAAATACATTCACAACAGCGTCATTTGCGATACAGCTTCACTTTCGATCATATTCTTTGTGCGTGAGTAGGTAGGTAACCTAGGTATGTATTTATTACCTACATGTAGGCATCAAACAAGCACCTACCCACCTACCCATCCATCTATCCCCAAGCATAACAAAATCCCAAAATCCCCCCCCAAAAAAATCTAAAACCCAGACTCCTCCATCATCCTAGCAATCACCTCATCAGAAATCCAACCATCATCCTCGTCCCCCACCCCCCCTCGGCACCCCCCTCATCACCTCGGCGATCTGGCGGTACCTAAACGCAGGACTCCACGACGGGCAGCAGCACCTCGGCGCCGAACTCCTCGAACACGCGGCGGAACTCCAGCAAGCCCAGGCGCGAGCAGCGCATGCGCTCCGCCACCAGCATCCGGAACCCCACCGCCAGCTCGCGCGCGCCCGACGGGCGCACCCCGTACGCCTGGCCCACGTCGCCCCCCGGCCGCGCGGGGACGACGACGACGGGGCCGACCTGTACGTCTGGATCGGGGGAACAATGGGGATTCATGATAACGGGTGTGGATACTGTAATATCTTTTTATTACAATATAACTATAACCAAGAAAAAGAAAAAAAAAAGGAAGAAAGCTTGTTTTATTCCTAAATTATAGATGGCAAAGTGCTAATATATAGCCATAAAGGCTATATAATTAAAAATGCTTAAGACATTTATAACATACCCTCGTTAACATAAAACCATATAACTATTGTTATATTTATTGTCGATAAATAATTTTAAAATTATATAATTAAATAATTAAAGTATAATTTTCCATTTCTTTTTAAAATAATAATCGTTTTTTTTTTAATTTTTTAAAATAATATTTATAAGTTTATTTTTTTTATTTACACTTTCTTAAATTTATTAATCGAATAAAAGCCTTATGTTTTTCCTTTATTAATAATTTAATCAATTTATTTACCACCATTTCCTTAATTCTAATATATTAAATTTTAATTTTTTTACATTAAACTTTATTAATAATTTATTTATACCAAATATCGATATAGCAGGTTTTTATTATATTTAAAAGATTAAAAACTATAATAATTATATTAATTAAATTTAAAAAAAATAATAAAAATTTTAATTAAAAATATCTTAACTTTTAAAAAAGTTTTAATATTTATATTCTTAATAATCTTATTAAAAATAAATTAATAAACTTTACTTTTATATTACTTAATATAATTAATAATTATTTCTTTAAACTTTAATATATAAAGTTTTTTATTAAAATTATTAAATAAATTCCCGTTAATTTTCTTAATCTTAAATAATTTATAAAAGTAATATTTGCTTAAATTATTAACTTTAAATTCCTAAAATTATATTTACCACTTAACATTATTTTAAAATTTTATATAATATTAATGTATTTTTATAAATATTTTTTTAATTTAAAATAAATCTTATTAAATTTTATATTAATTTTTATAAAAGTTAATATAATTTTAATTATATTTAAACAAGTCTTAATAAATAATTAATTTAAAAATCTTATTTTTTTAATATATTTAATACGTTTAAATTTAATAATTTTTTTCCATATTAATAAAATCATAATATCGGATTTTTATAACGACTTTATTTTTTTTAATATTTTAATATTATACTTTAAAAAAACTTTTCTAATAAATTTAAATTAATTAAGGAATATTTAACGTAATTCCTTATTTCGTTTAATTTTAAATTTAATAAATTTAACCACTTTACTTATTTCATTAAACTTAAAAATATCGTTTAAATCGGTTTTTATTTTCTCGATAATTTTAAGTATATTACTTATAATTAATAAATCATTAACATATATTAATATAAAAACTTTTAATTTTTCATTTTTAAATAAATAACATTTTATAAATATACTTTTAAACTTTATCTTTTTTATTATTTTTAATATATTTTTAAACCATTAAATTAAAACTTATTTTAAGTTATAAAATACTTATTTAAACTTTTATATTTAATTTATTTTATTTTTATAATTAATTACTTATTTAATATAAATTATAATTTTTTTTAAAATTATATTATTTAATGGTGGTTATATAATAAGGGTACGTATTAACGTAATACGTATATAACTGGAAAAGGTACTTATATAACTTAAATTATATAAGGAGTTAAATCCTCTTTTTACTTTTAAATTTAAACCTTCTTTTTTAAATATTAATATTATATTAGTCTTATTTTTATTATTTTTATTTTATTTATTATTTAATTTATTATACGTACGTATTTATTAATATTAATTAATATTACTAAATTATTAATAATATAAATTAATAAGGTTAAAAAAGTTATTATTATAATAACTTAAAAAATCTTATTATAATAATATAAGCGACATAAGTAACCATTTTTCCAACGCTTATATTTTATTTATAATAAAATATAATTTTATTTTATTTAATCGTTTTGGATTTTTATCGTTATATAATAATACTGATTTATACTTTTTTTCTTTTTTAAATTTGTTTACATTAACTACTAATACGATAACTACTTTAAAAAAATCAACATTATTTTTAACGCCTTAGCTATAATTTAAAGGTTATAATATTAATGTTAATTTTATTGCTTAAGAAGATATAAACGAGTTATACGAGTTATTAAATTTCGTTTTTAATAAAATAATATTATTAAAGTAATAATTTGCTTTAAAAGTTATTAAGTGGGACGAAATATTATCATTTACTACTTAAGAGTAAAAGAATATTTAAGTATTACTAACCCTCGCTAATTTTAAAACAATTAATAAAAGTGCTAACTACGCTTATATAACGAAGGAAACATTTGAAAAATATAAAAGATATTTCGATATATTTTATTTAAATGATTTTAATGAAATGTTAAAGGTGTTACGAACGGCGTTACGAAACGTACTTATGTAATAAGGGATTTATATAAGTAAAAGTAACGATAATTATGCGAAAAAATTAGTTGATTTAATAAATATATAAAAGCCATCACGTTAACGCTTTTAAAACTTAATATAAGCCTAAATAAAATAACTTAATACGTTAATTTGGAAGGTATTTATGTATTAAACGAAATTAGGTCCGGTTATCTTTAAGGCATAACGGTTAAAGCAATTATTAATATAAGCATTATAAACGTTTTAAAATCCTACTTAATCCACCACCCTTATTACACCTCCTCTTATTTTAAGAAAACGATTGTTTTTAAACTTATTACCCTTTTTATTTTAATTTTTTCGTGACTTTAACAATTCCTTTTTAAGTTTTTATTTATTTCCTTTTCCTTTTAACTAATTATAAAACTTAGCTTTATAACTGTTAAATCTTATTTAACGAACGAGTAATAACTTATTTCCTTTTATTTAAGTATTTATTAAAGTTAAATTCTTTAATTTATTCCAACCACCTCCGTTATTATAAAAACCAACACCACCCTTAACACCCCCCTTATAGCCGTTAAATTTTAGAAATCTTTTATTTAAGTTCTTATATAATAACATTTTATAGCAAGGATTTAATTAAAGTGATTAAGAAAAGCAATTATAAGGTAATTAAATAGCCTTAAGAAATGGTATAAAACCCCTTAAACCGCTATTAAAAGGTTCGTTTATGTTTTCGACATTATTTTTAGAATTTACATTAAAAGGAGTAAATCATTTCGGTAGAAATTTAAGTTTCTTTTTTTAAATAACATTATTACCTTTATTAACACCTAATTAATAATAGCAAGTATAAATGTTTATTAATAACTAAAAAGGCATTACTTATTATAATGTTTCTTTTATACGAGTTTTTAATGAAATGTGTTTATTAATTATTATTAATTATTTTAAAAAAGCTTAAAATAATAAAAACAATTATATAAGCGAATTATACGATATCTTTAAAAATAAGTTTCGATTTTTCTTTAATGTTTACTATATAATAAGAATATAATAAATGTAATTTTATGTTATATTTTTTATAATCTTTATAAAAAAAGCAGCCTTATATTTTTTTTATAATATTTTATACTATTAAACCTTTATAAACATATACTTAATTATAAAACGACATTTTAACATTAAATAAAATAAGATTTAATATTATTATAATTGGATTATAATAACGTTTTTTAATGTTAAAAATAATAAGAAAAATGCAAGGAAAAGTAATTTAAAAGTGTTATAAGTTTTTTTTAATAAGTTTTCTTTATATTAATAAGCGTTTAGCCTCGAATTTAAAGGGGAATAATAACTTATTATATTTATTTATTGCGTTTATCATGTTATATTTTAGCTATAACATGCCTTATTTAAATTATTATTAAAGTTTAAAGATTTAACTAATAAGTTTTAAACGTCGATTAAAACTTATAAAATCTTTAAAACAGTTAAATTAAATAATTATAAGTGTATTAATAATAGCGATGATAAGGAAAAAGACGTTTAATTTTATATAAATCGTAAATATTATAAAACAAATAAAAGTAATAAGTATAATGTTAAAAAGTTCCTTAAATTATAAAAGTGTAAATATTAAATCTATAAAAAGGAAGGTTATTAATCCATTAAGTATTTCAAATACAAACGAAAAAAAGCTAAAAAGGAATGAAAAAGTAAACGTGGTTTATTAATTAAGAATTATATAATATTTTTAACGAATTACGAGGGACTTAATAATCTTAGTTTAAAAGCGGAATAAAAAAATAAAACGGTAATATTAAAAGTAAACTACGATAATAATAACGACTTTTTTTTAATTATTATTTACTTATTTAATTAAACCTTTTAACATTATATAATTACTTACCCCCTTTTAAATGTAACGATAATCGATAATATCTTTTTCTTAAACTAATATATGAAGGATATCTTTTAAAACATTATATTTAATATAAGTGTTATTTAAGTATTTACGGTTAGAAAGGGATAATATTTAATTTTTATTAAGGAGTATTTTAATAAACGAGTTACGATGGATAAATCTCGCGTAGAAAAAACTTAAATTCGTTTTAAAGATAAATAATCGATAAAATCTTTTAAGATAATTATTATCGATATTTTTTTTAACTATATCGATTTTTATGTTATAAATATCGACATTTTATTTTTTCTATCGCTAAAAAACATAAATCAATTAAAAGTGTATTTTAATAATATTATTAATTAGTTAATTTGCAAGGACGGTATTATTATTAACGTTATCCGTAAATAAAAATACCTATAA